TAGCGCCTTTTCCCATAAGCTATAAAAGCAGCAACCAATTAAGCTAAAAGGTATATAATAATCTAAGCTCCCTTGGATTATTTAGCCACACTATATAAGGCTTGGGCAATAGCCCAAGCCCATTACATTAAGTAATATATTAAGTTAAAAGAAAACTAAACTATATAGCTAATCTTTTATAAGGTAAAATTATACTAAGTATATTACCTTTTTAAAATTCCTTTATTATTATTTATTTAAATAAGCATATTAAAAATATTTAATTATAAAACTAAAAACTATAAAAGCTAATAATAAGGTTATAATAACTTAATAATAATAAAAGTTAAATTTATAAACTTTTTATTTAAAAATAAAGCTTTTAATTATTTAAACTTATTATAATTATAATAATAAGTTAAGTTAATTAATGCTTATAATAAAAGGCATTATAATTAAAAAAAGGCAAGTTTTTAAAGTTTTTTTCTTTATTTTTTTACTTTTTCTTTTTAAATTTATTATAAGTATAATAATAATTTAAATTATAATTGCATTACTTAATATTAAAAACTTAGTTAATAAAAGCATTTAAGGCATTAATTATTATATTAAATTTCTTATAATAATAATTTTTAAATATATTAAAGTATACTTAAAGCTAGGTTAATATAAATATAAAAAAAGAATAAAAAAAGTATTTATATTAAAAGCATATATATTATTAATATAATAATTAATCTTAGCTCTTTAATTATTATTAAGGGTTATAAAGGTATTTATTATTTCTTAAGTAAAGTAAATTAATTAATAATTATTAATATTAATATTATTAATGTAATATATAATTATATTAATATTAATAAGAAATAAAAATATATTAATAAGTTATAATAAGGTTAAAAGCATATTTTTAATAAAATTAATAAAAGCATTAATTAAAGTTATATTATAAAAATAAGTATAGCTATTTAAATAAATAGTAAAAATAATAAAGGATAGCTTTATTAATATAATATTTATAGCTTTATAAAAATTAATAATAATATAATTAAAGGTTAAGGTAAATATAACTATATTATTATAAATAAAAATAATAAACTTAACTTATTTAAAAATAAAAATATAATTATTATTAATAATAATTACTTTCTTTAAATAATGCTATATATTTTATAATAATAATAAATTAATAAATATATATATATATTAAATATACTTATACTTATAATAATAATAATTAATATAAAATATATTATAATTTTTAAGAATATAAATAAATAGCTTATTAATTTTATAAAAAGTTATAATATATAATTTATAAGAAAAGAATAATTACTTAATAAGCTATTAATTCTTATTATTAAAATTATTAAATATTTAATATAATCTTATAATATAATATTCTTATATTTAATTAATAATTATAATAAACTTATATTAAAAGAAAAATAAAGTAATTTTAAAAGTTATATTATTAAGATAATAAAGTAGCTTATTATTATTATTATTAATAATAATAACTATATTAAAGCTATTATATTAATTATTAAAACTTATAATAAAAGCTATTTTTTATTCTTCTTTTTATATAATAAAAGGAGAATAAGTATTAAAGAGAATATTAAAGAATTAAAAGGGTATTAATAAATTAAAAAAAGGGTGCTTAATAAATAAAATATAAATAAAGAAAGGTATATTAAGGAATTATTAAGGGATTAAAAGGGTATTAATATATTAAGGTAATAGCTTCTTAATAAAAAAGAATAACTATAAGGAAAGCATAATAAGTGCAAGGAAAAATAGCTAAAGAATTAAATTATAAAAAAGCTAAGAAATTATATAAATATTAATTATATTAAGAAAGGCTTTTTAATTAAAGGTAAAATAAAGCAAAGGGGTAATTAATATAAATAAAGAAATAATTATAAGAGTAGTAAAAAAGTTGCATAAAGATAATAAAATAATATATATAATAAGTATATTATAATAATAATATGGCATTAAAAAGAAGGAATTGCAAAAAAGAATATAATTATAGAAAAGTTATCTTAAGCAATAATAATAAATATAATATAAAAGTAATAATTATAATAAGCAATATTAATATATTAATAAAAATGCATTATAGCTTAAGGCTAGCAATATATATAGCTTATATATAATTATAATATATTAATAAAGAATTATATATATAATAATAACGTTATTATATTATAATAGCTTATAATATATATAATATATACTTTACATTATATTATATTAAGCATAATATATAAATATAGCTAATATAAAAACGAAATAAATAATTATTGCTTTTAAGGTAAATAAATATAACTTTAAAATAAATATATAATAAGGTAAATATATAATTAATATAAAATCATAAAAGCCTTAAATTTAATCCTTATTATATATAATATAAAAATAAAAAGAGGGCTAAATAATAAGCTTAAGCTATTACCTAAGCTATAATATATGCTTATATTAAGCTTATATTATATTTAATCCTTTTATATAATAAGGTATATACTTAAAAGATAAATCCAAAGTTAAGCCCTTTTAAGGCTTAACTTACTTTTTAAATATTGCAATTTATAACTTCTTTTAAGTATCTTTTAGCAAATGCTTAAGGCTAACCTATAATACTTAGTAAATAGCTAACTTTATAAGAAAATTTAATATTCTTAAAAACCCTTAATAAAGTTTATATTAATTTATAACTTATATTACATTATAATCTTATAAGCTATAAAGCTATTTTAATTATTATTAAATAAGAGCTTAATTAAAAGCAACTTATATTAAATTAAAGGTAAGTTAAAAGAATTTATATGCATTTTAAGCTTTATAAATTAATAAAATATTATTATAAAAAGAAATATAGCAGCATTATTATTAATATTAATAAGCATTATTATAAATAGCTAAAGGAGTTAAGGCGCTTTTTAAGCGTTTTTATAACTTAATATTAAAGTAAATTAAGAAATTCTTAGCTATATATTTTATAAAAAGGTTAATATCTTAAGTATAAGGTTATTTACCTTTATAATATAAGTATTTTCCTTAATATAATTTAAAAATTATAATTTAATATTATAGGTTAGCCTTAAGCATTTACTAAAAGATACTTAAAAAAAGTTATAAATTATAATATTTAAAAAGTAAGTTAAGCCTTAAAAGGGCTTAACTTTAAATTTATCTTTTAAGTATATACCTTGTTATATAAGAGGGTTGGGTGTAATATAGGCTTGGCATGGGCATGCATTATGGCTTAGGTAATAGCCCAAGCCCATTACATTTATTATAATTAATATTAATAAAATATTTTAATTAATAATATTACTTATTATATTTATTATATTATTATTATTTTTTATTATTTTAATAAAGTAATAATAAGAGTATATTTAATTTAAGAAAGAAAGTAATAAAAAAAGGAAATAAATAATATTAAGAGAAAATAAAGAAGTTAAGAATTACTTTTATAACTTAATTATTAAAAGGTAAATTAATTCCTTTCTTTATATTTATTTATATAATAAAATATAAATAAATATATTATTAATAAAAATAAATATTAATTTAATTCTTTTAATTATAATTATTAAATTTAAAAGTTATTATTAAGGTTATTTAAGGCATAATAAATATATATATATTAAAAGTAAGGAAGTTTATTATAGTTTCTTATTATAATAATTACTTTTTTATATATTAAGTATTATTATTATTATAAATTATATTATATAAATTTATAATATTAATAATGTTAATTAATATAATTAAAAGGTTATTTTTTTAAGCCTTATTAATTTATAATTATTTTTATAATTATTAATTAATATTAATTAAGTTATATATTGCAATATAATGTTTAATTAATATAATAATTAATTAATATTAATTATAAAAGGAAGGAAGGTAAAAGATTTAATTATGTTAGCTATTTTATATGCAGCGCTAAGGCTGCTGCCTATTAGGTATCCTAATGGGTTAAAGCTACCTAGTCCCAAACAGTCCTTTATATAAACAACACCCATTATTCCTACAACCTTTTTAAAAAGCTATATTAAAAAAAACTCCTTTATTATATACCCCTTATATATTATAATATTAAGAAAACTATTAATTTTAATTATTAATAATAAATAAAAATAAGCGTTTTACTTAAAAAAAACTCTTAATTTAAAAAATATACCTTAATAATGCTTAGCTTATTCTTTTTATATTATTATGCTTATTAAGTTTTAATTTATTATATAAAATAAATATTTTAATAATATGCTATAACTTAAAAATCTTAAAAAGGTAATAACTTTAAAGATTCTTATTATATTGTTAAGCTAATATATATATTTACTTATTAATTTAATTATATGCCTTAAAAACTTTATAATAATTAATATAATAATATTAATTTAATATACTTTAACAAGAAAGTATTATATCTTATTAAGATATATATTTAACTTATTAAAAAGAAAATCTTTAAGCTTTTATATAATAATAACTAAGCATTAATAATATTTAAAAAGCTTATTATATTAAAAACATTATATATTTTTAAAGCTTATTACTTTAATTTAACGGTATTTAATAATAATAATAAAGGCACGCTTAATGCTATAATATTTATAATTATAACCCTCTTTTAATACCATTAAATCATTACTTAATTATATTAAAATTTAGCTTATAGCTACTTATTTAATAATAATAAGTTTAATTATAAATAAAATTGCAATATTTATAACTTTATACTTATTAAGCAATAATTATTTATTATAATAATCTTTCTTTTACTAAATTAAGTATATAATTAGCATTAATAAAAGGGTTATTAAAAATCTTAATGCATATTCTGCATTCACAACTAAATTTTAATGCAAAAGGGGATAGCTAATCAAAGCGATAGGGGGGGGCTGCACTTCATTTTCCACAGACAGCAGAGCACTAAGCCGGAATGGTCGCTTATTCCCCCTCTGCCAATGACTCTTACAATCCGATGTGAGTAGACTCGATCACGGCGACTCCTCGATCCAGGCACCCGGCGGCGCCTCGTTCAAGTCACCATCATCCCAAGTCCTATCGTCGGGGTCATCACCCTCGCGATGCTCGCGATGGTGTATGTGTTCCCCTGTTTCCTCATCCCAACTGTCGTCGCATTCGACCACTATCACCTCTGTCGTCTCTCCCTCGACACGCCTCGTAGCACGACGTCGTATGTGCCTATCACCAAGTGCCTGTCCATTGACCAGCATCGAACCCCGCATCGTGCTTACGAAATGCACGGTACGTCGTACATCGAAATCATTATTTACGGCCGAAGGGTCGTCGTCGAAAAAACTTGAAGCTGAGTCCGGCTCCTGCATCGACAGTGGCGAGATGATGAAACGCAGCCTCAAGCGCCTCAACCCGCGTATGCTTTGCAGGCGCGTCACCCAGGGCCTCGAGCTCCGAAGCCTGCCCTGAAGACGATGGCCTTCTTCCCACTGAGGATGACTGTCAATACCAGCGGAGAAACATAGAGCCACATAAAGGACCACTCACCGGGGAGCCGAAGCGCATGTCGGGTGGAAGACCGCCAATCGTCACTGACAGCTCCTGCAGGTTGGGAAGATCGCCCGCCACGGTGTCTAACACTGGGTTCAAAAACTCCACCCCGTTTGACCTTCCCAGCGGGTACGGTTTTTCAACTCTCTTGGTCCTCTCCGTTCTGGCCTAAAGATTTGTTCAAAGGCTTGCCCACTTACATCATTCAAGTAAAGTGGTCCCCTCGCGGGCTCCTTGAGGGTGAGCTGCAGTCGCCGTATCTGCTGTAAGTAGATATCATGGTAGTTATGGAACCAAGTCCAAGCAGCAAGTACGCCGTAATAATCATCTCCCGGCAAATTAACATCAGGCATAATAGATAACACCACGCCATCGACGAAGATCCGACGCCAAAGTTCAATCTCGGCCTCCCTCCCGATCTGCCTGTTGACAAAGAGAAGGGCCCAGCGACCACGGTGATTTTCCGTTTGGAGCCGCTCGTCTTGAAACTCGAAAGTCAAGCCATGAGGCGGCTCCCCACCCATATCTATCGAGGAGCGCGGGCGCTGCAACGCGCGGTCCATGATGTCCTCGGCTGGACCGAGGAGTCTCTGGACGACTCTGACGAACCCCCGGCTGCCATTCTCGCGTGCTGGCGGTGGTGGCCCCAGCACCAGCCAATATATAATGTTGCGGATCTCCAGCGGAAGGCGCAGGAAGGGCGGGGGATTTTGCTCGACAACCGGTACGGGAGTATCCTCGACGACTTCGGGCTTATCAGCACAGTCGCACGGTACGAGGTTTTCATGAAGTACATTGTAGTCCCACAGGAGTCCAGCCAGCATCTCCTCCAGGAACTCGTCGCTCGCATGGTCAACGGATGTCCCATCACACGGCGGTCCGCAGATGCAGCCTCCCACTCGCTGTCGGACGGGCAGCAGCTCCTGGACCACCGCGTTCAGGTCCTGGTCGTCTCGCGCGTGGCCCCGCGCGCCGCAACGGCATGGCCGAAGCGATTCTGCGAGCCCGGCCGCTTGGTCATAGAGTTTCCCGAATAATTGTCGCACTTGTCGAGTAGTTGGTTCTGAGGCCTGTTGTGCCATGGTGGCCCCGCTGTTATGGATCTTACCTGGGCTCCAGTCTTCCGCTGTTGCAGATTCGGCACCGGGGTGGCTTGGTGGTCTGGTCGAGTAGTAGTAACCGGGTCGAGTGGCTTTGTCTTACGACTACGTAGGATCGAGAGTGCAAGTATTCCCGGAAAGGTTATAATCGGACACTGCCTTTGTCTGCAAAATACTACGTCAGATGCGGTCAGATAAATGGTCAATAGTGACAAAGAACAATCACCACTGAACCCGTAACTCAAATCGGTCAATGGAGTATTGAATAACTTTGACCCTGGTTTAAAATGGGGTAAATACCTTAGCAATCCGTGTCCTAGTTATGAAAAAATACTCGGTTCTCCAAGGTATTTTGACACAGCGCGTGTTCACGTCAGACATTGCGGCAACGGAGGAAATAAAGTAGCTAGGTAGACAGGCGGCATGCGGAACGATCGACTGGGTCTGGTAAAATGTGCAATGCTTGTGTTCGAAGTGGCGTATGGCCAGAACAGAGTTCTTGATTGCAGAATGGCGTAGAGGACAGCATTTTTATGTGCGTACTCAGTATGCAACCCGAGTTCACTATACCTCCTGACGTAGTCGTTGCCACACAGCAGGTCGGCGATTGCAGTTTCATTTCTTAGGCATAATACCTGAGCGCCATGCTCATGAATGCGTTTAAGTATGGCTGAGCGGCAGCCCCATTTCGCTTTTCTTCAGTTGAACAGTGATGGTAAACATTTTAGGCCGTGCGTTTGATCACTTTGTGGGTTCCTTATGAAGCAACTTGAAGTTGCTGTCATGTATTTTGATATTTTATTTTGTGCTACTGCGTAGCAATATTATGGTATATTTACAAAGAAAGTTTGTCGCTAGAGATATGTGCACCCCGTTCTATCTACAACCGCTCCACGCCACCAGGACTTTCAGCAGAGGTCACAATATAACTGGACCAGAATACTGCTGTGAAGCCTCTAAAGCAAGAACACAGCGCCAGCAAGCGCGACCAGCGCAAAGCCGCTGGCGTTCATCTTGCTCTTGACCCCGGAGTTGGACTGCACGACGATGCAGTCCATGCCCTGGCAGCTGCCGCTGGTCTGCGCGGCCGAGGAGGCCTCCACCGAGCTGGCGAGGCTCATGAGCGCGTCGTTGTAGTTGGTCGTGGTCGGCGTGGCGGTGGCGGTGGCATCCGTGGGGACGGCCACCGTCTCGGTGGCGTCCGTGTAGACCGCCGAGTAGTCGGACGGCGTGCCCGTGGCCATCTCGAGGACGGACGAGTCCTCCGACTTGGACTTGGTGGTGGACGAGGCCGAGACGGTGGTGAGGACCACGCTGGGGCTGGTGATGGTGGACTGGGCGCGGACGGATGAGGATCCGGAGCCCACTGCGGACTTGGATGAGATGAAGACTGAGGACGAGCGGGATGGAGACGCCGTTAGGGTGGTGGCGCCCTGTGCGCCGGTCCTCGAGGTGCCGAAGCCGGGGATGTTTCCGGATGCGGTAGGCCGGATGGTAGAGTTGCCCAGGCCCTCGGTGGCGGTGACAGGGCAGACGGTCGTTGAGAGGGCGACAACGACGGTGGTGACATCTCCAACGGTGCAATCGGATTTAGCAGTAGGGCAAGCAGTGATCGTCGACGAGTGGGTCGCAAAGATTGTGCTGGTGGTCATTGGCACAGAAGTCGAGTTCTGCAGAAGCGAAGTGCTGCCGACGCCAGACCCTGAGGCGGAGTGTGAGGGTGTCTCGGCCACAGCGGCCGTCTCAGACGTCGCTGTGGTCAGGACTGGAACGGGATTCGTCTCGGTAGGCAGTACAGAACTCTCGGAGGCTTCGGAGGCGGTGACGGGGCAGATTGTCGTGCCGACTACGACAACGACGGTAGTCTCGCCGGCTTCGTTGACGCTCGTCGAGGTCCCGGTCACGTAGCTCGTCGTATGCGTGTGTGTGGGTGTTGGTGCCTCGCCGAATATGGCATCAACAACGCTCCCCAGGAGGTCAGGAGAGTGGGCGGCGACCCTCCCCGCGGAAGCGAAGGCGATAGCTGCCCCGAGCTTTTTGAGTGAAGATGGAGCCATGTCGATGGCGAAGAAACGAACGTGGGATTAAGGAAAGAAAAGGCTAAAAGATCTGTATGCAGAATGAAAGAGAGTGTTCTGTGACGACCGATAGTACGTCCTGGAAAAAAGAGCGAAAATACTCAACTGAACATTCACACTGAAAATGACCCCGGGAAAGCAGCAAAACATGGGAGAGAGAAACCTAACAACAGCAGGGCCCAGAAGCTGGCTGCCGCCGGGCTTTTAGACGCCCTCCCCTTTCTGGACCCGGCGTCACTCAAATCTTGCATCGGTGGACCACCGGGCCCATGTTGGCCAGGGACAGGGAGATCCAGCAAGTCGGCACTCCGTCCTAGCTCCCCTGCAACAACGACGGCCATCGGTTGGCTGAGAGGTGCCTCACGGCCTCCACGGCTTCTTGGCAAAGGCGCGACGGAAGACTGCGAGTGGCGCGACGGACCGATAGACTATCTGGGTAGCGAAAAACAAGCGAGTTTGGCGCGGAGCAGGCTCGCACGCCAATGTGGAAGAGCGGTGTTCGGATGACAAGAACGTGGCAGAGTCGTCAACCGGTATTTTGAGTAAGGAAATGCCAACTGTCGCCGGCGCAGTGGAGTGATCTGCAAGCACCTGGCAGGCTGAGTTCAGGGATCCGCAGGCCACTCTCGCTTGATTACCAGGGCGGCCCTGTAAGCCAGTCAGGCCGACTCCAGATACGGTGTGCCACATGGTCGCTATCAATTTTGGTTCGGGATACTCCACCCAACACCCTCGTCGAACTGCCCGCGAATAAACAAGCAAAGCGGCTTATGTAAATTCAACCCTGCAAGCAAATCTTAGTAGCTGGAAGCATTTCAAGCAAAACTACGCAATTGCTCCGTCAGGCTGGTCAGGGGAACATGTTAGCTTTCAGACCAATCCAATGAGTGGCATTTAGAGCTTGTCGGGATCCAGGCGTGACATGGTGACATTGGTGTTTATTCAAGACTCAGACTGCCCAGACCACATGGGTATAACATGCACAGCAAGCCTTCACGTTCGTCATGATCAGCATTAGCGAAGATCCATCCATTGAGGGGTCAGTGAGTCCCAATCACGCTTAGAACCACTCGTACGAGTCAAACGGTCATTTGGAGGCCTGATTCGGCATCACGGCGATGCCCTCAACTCCGGACGGGGCCGGGGGTCTCTGCTTCAGCGCATGCCTCACATACCACCCTTCAAACCCGCCTGTGTCTTCATGTTGGGTTTGGTCTCGCAATTGTTTAACCCTTGCAACACATCGATGCCTCATCTTAGCGTACCCGGTGGAGCGCCACAGTGGATTACGAGCCGGGGCTCGAAACCAACCGAGTGGACTACGGCTATCCACGATGGATGGATCTGGCAGGACTGCCTTGGCCCCAATTTGCTGTGCGCGGACGCCTTGCGGTCTGCACGGCCACTCTATGAATAACCGGTGGTCCGGTACCAGACGGCAGTCGCATTTGCGGGCATGGTGCACCTGAGAACCGGGACATAAGGCTGAGAAATCTGCCTGGCACCACCGCACCGGCCCATGTATTTCGCATCCCGAATGGAACATGTCTTGGTGACGTATGACAATGTCACTATGCCGAGGTGCATCATGCTCGGCACATCTTGATCACCTGCAAAGCGAGCGAGGACAAACCGCAGCACTTGTACTGCTGAGGCTTCGTCATGTATAACTTGAATGAATAGTAACAACTCGACGTTCAGCAGCTATCTAACGCCCTCTCTCTTTTTAGTTTCTTCTGCCTAATTTCATACCTGTCCAGGCTCGCTCTGCTGAGTTTTGGCCCTCGTAGCTGCCATTGAGATAGATTCATTACCATAGACACGAATTGAAGGGCAATCATGATTCAATCTTGGTACGGCGAACTCAGTGCGATGTGCCACCCACCGGATAATTTAAGAAGATGATGCGCATCATAGGTCAATCCATCCCTGGCTGCTATGCCAAATCGTCCCTCCTGCTGCAAATATGACTTTGGTGCTGAGCTCCTAATATTTGATGGAGAATCACAAAGCCTCCATTCTCGCGTTCATAGAGAACATGTGCCAGTGCCGCCTTCAATATCAGAATCCGAGAAACTCAACAACAAATTGTCTTTTGTTCCGGAACACACAGCGGCTGTTCGAGACAAGGCCTGCAGTAGAAACGCATGAGAGTTCTTGTGGTGAGAGTATCTCGCCGTGTCCAGATTGATTGAACCAAGTAAACTTGTCAGTTTGTGTATCGATACTTGGAACACAAGCTATCATGACCCTCACTTGGTCTTCCATTAGACCAGCTTTCCTATGAGACCTCACCTGCCTGGCAGCACATATAGATCTGTAGTCACGAAGACAAGCCTGCCCATGACAGCCTTTTGACGCTTGATGTGCCTCATGATCTTGCTAAGAATGAACATTTGGGGATTCCACGAATTCTGGCGTGACTCTAAATCCACGTTCTTTCTCGAAATAACCTCATGAATGGGGGATGTTCCTACCATATAAGTACAACACACTCTATGGAATATCATCAACGTCCTCAAAGACATAGACAGCGGGGTCACATAGATGTACAGATGGGAGTGTGCAAATGACTGTGCAACTTCCAAAAGTATACTATACTAATACCATAATTAAGAATCATGTATATGCACTGCCTTGCAGCGAGCCAAAGCACAGTTGAGGGCAAGCTGAATGAATTATGAGGATTTATTTTTGCCGAGTGCGGATCAGCAGTAATTACTTGGAGCAGGCCGTGGATATGTAACTACTACCCATCAGGCGTGTTTATTGGCTTGTAGTTGTAGACGTGCAACCATACGCATGACAAGATATTCTCACCCCCCCCCCTCCCCTCTAGATTTGACGGCCAAAATTGGTGATTGCACAAGCAGGACGTGTTTCGTAGAATGTCTAGATTGCCTCGCCGGCCGCTGTGCAACTGTCAAACACAGCTGAATCCACAAGTAGCTGCGCCTCTCTTGACAAGGCATATCGACGATCAAGGGGCTAGGATTTCAGCCCTGAGAAAGTACAGTACAACATAAAGTATTCGAACACGTGAAGCAGTTTCGCTACATAAGCCACGGTCATCCTGTTTTCCTGTCTTCGAGGTCAATGATTTGGCTGAATCAAGTTACCTCGCGATATCCTCTACGCCGTGTGGCTCATATGGAAATAGTTGGCTACCTCTTTTATCGTTCTTTCGAGCCTGCCAGACGAGAACATGGACAGGGACTCCACAAATGATCAATCACAGCACACGTCTTGCCTCCCAAGCGAAATTCAAGAGCAAAAGCTTGGTCCTGGGCAAGACGCAGGCAAGCAAGCTCCGTCGTCCCCTGCCGAACACGTTCGGCATGAGGCTGCTGGTACAGATCGTTGTGATACAAATCGTTGTGATACAGATCATTGCGATACAGATCCTGCTCACACAGAAGCAGTCCCTTCCAGCCAGTATGACACCCAGCTTTTAGAAGAGTGTCATGCACAGGAATCTGACGGCAACATTTATGGGCCGGTACCGTGGTCCCTCGACGATTCTCAGCACGTCGCCACTAGTGAACAGGCATACCAAGCTCCTTCACCTACGCCGTCATCGAACGCACACACAGATCATAACGACATCTCGGCTGATGTTACACCGTTGTCTTCAAATGCAGACATTGTCTCGTCCAATGCAGCCCCGCAATACCGACCTCTGCTTCGAGTTTCGGGGTCTTTAGGGCTCGAAGGATGCGTTGGCATCATCGGAGGCTTCGCTGGCCTTCTACTAGTAGGGGTCTTCGGGTTTCTTGCATTCCTCTGGTTCGGCGGTGAGTAAATGTTGTCCTCCTTCTGGGTCTATCATTCTTCCTTTACTAAGTAGTATCCTCAAGCTGGCTCTATCCCAGAAGCTGCAGACGCCACGTGGGTCTGGCGGCAGCTGGCGATGCGCAACTGGATGCCTCGCGCCGTCACACTGACTTCGATAATCCTACGGTTCATCATTGGGACACAAGCAACAATCTGCACGTCGATGATCGCGGCGTTGCTCCTTGAACGCCTCGGTATCCCTCGCTCGCAGGTAGCCCGCGCCTCCGTCATGCGAGGTATCAATGACGGTCCATTAAAGTTGGTTATGATTATACTTTCCTCCAAGGGTAATGTGTCATCTATCCTTTGGCATCTCGAAGCATGGCTAATCCTGTTGGTGGCTTTGCTCACTCTGGCTCTCCAGTTCACATCCACCATCTTGCTCTGGGACATGCATTCTTTTGTCATGATCGGGGACCTGAACTCCACCACAGTCAACAGCCTCCTCACCTTTCATGAGACAGTTGAATTTTACTTGTGCTGGGACATTTTCATGGCCATCACACCTGTGTATCCTGTGTTTGGAGAGGTCTCCACGACTCACGACTCAAGTCCCAACAGTCGTGGCTTCAGTGACACGGGTCTTAAGCAACGGGGCCTACTGCCGATGTTGGGCAGAGACATTCGGTCCTCAGTTCGCGAGTATGACGGGATGGGATTCGTGATGAACTCGAGGGTCGCTTGTATGCGGCCCATAATTACAAATGCGTCAATAGATGGAATCTCCTGGGAGCTGCAAGGTGTCCTGGACTATGGTCAGAGCCTGCAAGAAGCACGTCCTGGTACAGGATCATTATGCAGTCATTCCGAGAAATGCGAGAAACTGGCGTTCCGTTGTGCCATTCCAGCGGCATTTAACTCTGACTCAAGAGAACCATGGGCGGCCTCGGGCTGTGCCACCGACAGCGTGGGAGGACACACCGGGAGTTACCACCCAACGTGGGATCCGGCTGGTGGGCCGTGGGCGGAGAACTCATCGGTATGGCTGGTGTACTCTACAAACATGGGAGAGGAAGAATGGAAGTCACTACCGCCAAGATCCTCCATTCCCTTGAGCCAGCCCTCGGGCGACAGCGAATGGACCATCTACGAGATAGTCCCGGGCCACTTCATCAATATCTCAGCCTGCTTTTCGGCCTTCAACTTTGAATATCGAGACGTCCACATGACAGCCGCTGGAGCCATTACAGAGCGCTCCACGCCCTGGTCGCTGGTCCTGGTCGCCCGGGAGTATAACATGCAAGAGGTGGAGACATACCTCGGCCTCGACCCATCGCGCCAGGCAATTGCAGACAGAGGTATACTCGATCTGCAAGTCAAGCCCGACAGCAGCACTGACGGCGATACGACTTACCCACCTCCACCGCCCTTGGATGATCTACTCCGTCTACCCGCAGACGAGATCAGCCCTAGCGCTCTGATGATCGATTCTCTCGAGGGGGCAATGCACTTTCGGCTCGGCAACGGCCTCGATGGGAACGTGACCTTTCAGATGTGTATGGACTGCACCTCCAATGGGGTCACCGTGCATATGGACTACGCCTGTCTGTTCTCGAGCGTCCTCTTCGGGGAATCCTCCGGTGCTGGTCGGGCCGCGGATGCGCTGAGCGCTGTCATAAACTTGGCGGGCTTTAACGTTTACGACCAGTATCTGGCCAGTAAGATGGACTTCGCCGAACAGGTGCGGCTCGTCACGACCCTTGAGGTCATCGTTCCGGGATCCTGGCCGCCTTCGACAACCGAGTGCGCTGGTTTTATTGCTGTGGCAAGTCTCCTGGTGGCGCACCTGGCTGTAGTCACTGGTATCACGGTGCTGTATGTCCGTCATAGGCGTTATTCGCGGTACGGGAATGTTTGGCACGCTATATCTCAGCTTGTGGCATCTGAGGAGCTGGAAGAGACATTGGAGTTGGGCAATAATGCCAGCGACAAGGCTGTAGTGGCGAGTTTGCGGACGAAGAAGTCGAGTCAGGAGGATGTTTTGGTCAAGCTCGGAAAGACTGATGGGTGCGAGAACATTAAAGTTTGTAAATCTGGAACGTAGTGAGGCGAAGGCAACCTCGGTCTTGGAAACATCCTGGAGAACTGGAAAGATTGTTGCAGATAGAAGACACCAAACTTGCCGACAACATCTTAAGAAGAGCCAGGGCTTGCACCCGCCCCTTTTGTATTTCAAATAGTCATGATTTCTATTGCAAGGTATTAGTGAGGTCTAACCTCACTCACTGCCTTGTTCATAATTAACATCCGTTCCATCCTCGTGCTGGCAGATAGGAGAGCTGGGCATACTCGGCAACGTTGAATGCGAACCGCATCAACTCACCTCATGCCTTGGCGAAGTATTTCCTCCTGTGACGATGTACTGTATATCCAAATGTGCGAGGCGCGCGGTTGTATACGCATTTGCGACTGTTAGCCAGAAGCCAATTCCGAGCGGTCGTTTGGGCACCCGGACTAGTTGAAGCTTGCTCGGCGTGCGGAAGTCGGCACCTTACCCTTTCAAATCTAGGCTGAGGACGGCGCGAGATTAACTGCTCAGCCTTACTCATGCGCTGACGTTCCACGTTTATTGAAAGCGTTTCGTTCCAGAGGGTTGAGCCTTAATTTGTGGTGAGATCTGCGCGCGGTCATGCGAGTCATTCGGGTTCATACTCCACAATAAGGACCTCACGTGTCTTCATTGGCATTAGATACCTATAGGTATAAATGAGGAACGTCTTCGTCAAGAAGGGACTTGGAGCGTTGGTAATCGCATCTACTAGATCATCTTACCGACTAAACTTCATCGGTCATCATACAAAATACCACTTTGAACTATTTTCAAATACCCAAACACCCGCACAGGCCCTCAAAATGTATTTCTGCAACTTCCTCACCGCTGCATCCTTTATCGCTATGGTCGCCTCCGCAGCGCTGCCCGAGACCCAAGGCGCATACGTTCCTGGCTTTGAGAAGTCTTGTGTGGAGGGTTGTAAAGCGGATGGAACCGCAAATGTACGTTAAATGTCGTCCCTTCTTCTCAAACCCTGCGCTTGGACCCGCGGAACCACCCGCGGAACCGTGCACGAACAAAACGCTTGCTAACCTAGAATGGACAGGAGAACTGCTATGGATGGTGCCCTCAGTGCGACGCGAGTCTCAGTGATGACTGCCTCGCTGAGGATAAGATTTAGGTTGGTCACGCAGTGGGACATGGTTTGATCTCCAGGTTTCTCGGTGTAAATATATTTGCGTCTGTGGACATATCACGGGTGTCAGGGGCCGGCAGAAGATAACTAGGCCAATTGTGAGACGGACCTCAGACCTGTTGAGGCGTGGCAAAGGACCGTCGGCTGCTTTGACTCTGAACAAATGAGAACCGCACATTTAAGTAAGACCCGATCTACATTGCATCGTTCTAGAAGAGCCGGTTTCGCCACATAAAGCTTGGGTTTCTAATGCCCTCAACAAGCTTTTGGAGGAGTATCAGTGCGTCCCGGCCAATTAAGATCTACACTCATTGCTGTGACTATAATGCTAGCCAGGGTCCTCTCCAATGAAATAAACCAGAAATTATCGAAGCAAATAATCAGAATCATACCTACCCTGAGGTCCTGCCCCGGTGTATTGTATGAATTGCAATCCCTCTGAATCTGAGGCAAGAACTAAAGCCGAAAAGCTATAGATCATAACATGGAAATACCGTTACTTCCCTTCGGCTGGAATTCGTTACATAATTGGTTTTGTGTTCCGCGTGGCGAATGCCTTTTGCATCCCATATGGGGCCTGCTTCCCGTACACTTTGACAACAGCTGGTGGCTAGGATCACTGCTGAGCGTTAGCCAACACCTCTGACCGCCTCCTCCAGAGCCGAGTCACTCCATGACTTGAAACATGATCGAACTTTGTGGCCCAGACTTCGCATCAATTGAAACGCAGCTGGAAGAACTGATTGATCGGTGCATTTTTTTTTTCGAGGCTATCAACGTCGCCATCTTGCACCAGCATCGACGCCGCTAAAACAGAGGATGAAGGCGGCGAATGATACTGGGGCGTCACATTTCGGAGTTTACTGCAACTAGCAAGGTTACCAATTTTGTCCATGTTGCTGCGTATTGGTGTTACCCCTGCAGGAGCAAACAACTATCATATGATCATTAATTGTAGAGACCGCAGATATCCAAATGTTCTGGAAGAATGGTGACTGTTCTCCCATAATGTTATTACACAAGCAATTAAAGATGACCAAGGCCGGAGGAATAGTAGCTTGATCAATCGTGTGCCCTAGGACAGGGGCAAATCCGCGCACCTTGCAAACTATATTTCGCCATCTACGCACAGCCGAGAGCCGACGGCGAGGAGAGTGCAGAGCTGCAGGACGACATGTTTCGACTTTCCGAGTGTTTGGGCGTCGGTGGGGCGAATCGCGGACGGCTGGCCACCATCCAGAAGTACCAAGGGCCAACCTTAATGTTCGCATGAGATATGTGAAGATTGGCAATGGTATCGAGACAAAGTAATCGACATGGCTTGTTGTCTAAAGCAGCCACTCTGAAAATGCTTCACTGGCGATCTATGTCCTATGCTGTTGTCCTACTCTTGCCGCACTTGGGCGCAAGAATTCTCCCGACCCGGAAGCTAAGGTAAACAAACAGATCAACGTCGATGACCGAAAGGAGTGTGAAGCTGTGATAGTCTGACGGCGATGAGGTCTGCAAATTTGTATAAATAAGAATGAAGTTCTACACAAAGTCGTTCTAGATGCATCATCAACACAAGAACAGCATCCGACTCACAATCCTCATCATCGCCTATTATTTACCCACGTTCACATTTTACAGAATTAGCCATGTCTGTCCCTCAAAAGTCTACCGTACTTGTCATTGGCGGTGGCCCCGCAGGCTCATACGCAGCTTGTGTACTGGCTAGGGAGGGTGTTGACGTTGTGGTCCTCGAGGCCGACGTCTTCCCAAGGCACGTATCTGCGATCACGCCGAGAGCTGCAAGTCACTAACCTGCAAGGACTCAAGATACCATATTGGAGAGAGCATGCTTGCATCAATGCGCTATTTGTTACGCTTCATTGAGCTGGAGGAAGAGTTTGATAAGCATGGCTTTGAGAAGAAGGTCTGTCCTGACACCGTGTTCCTGCCTCGCGTGAACGAGAAGTCGCACATTTTACTGACCACCGACTGCCGTTCAGTTCGGGGCCACGTTCAAAATCACTGATAAAAAGCCCGCATGTAAGTGCTCAGACCGCGGTTCTAATGCAGAATTTCTCACCAGTCACGGACTTCTCTGTTTCCCTCGGCCAAGGTGGCTATTCATAGAATGTCATTCGCTCGGAGTCAGATGAAATGATATTTCGATATGCCGAGAAATGCGGCGCCAAAGTCTTTGATGGGACAAAGGTTGACGAAATCACATTCGAACCCTATGATCAAGAAGGCTTCGACAGGAAGATCCGCCTGGCCAACCCAGGTCGTCCCGTCTCCGCGAAATGGTCACGCAAGGACGGTACCAACGGCTCCATCAGCTTTGACTACATCATCGACGCCAGCGGCCGCAATGGAATAATCTCCACCAAGTACCTCAAGAACCGGAGGCTTAATGAGGCCTTGAAGAACATCGCAAACTGGACCTATTGGAAAGGCGCCAAGCGCTTCAACCCTGGCGAGAAGAACGAAAACTCACCATTCTTCGAGGCACTGTCAAACGGCAGCGGCTAGGTCTGGGCCATCCCGCTGCACAACGGAACGCTCTCGTGCGGTATTGTCGCGCGGCAAGACCTATTTTTCGCCAAGAAGGCCACCGGACTTAGTGGCTCTGCCTTTTACAAGGAGTACCTTAAGATGGCTCCTCAGATATACGACATGGTCCAGGATGCTGAGATGCTATCAGATGTCAAACAGGCCAGCGACTGGTCTTACAGTGCTGGGGCTTATGCAGGTCCCCATTTCCGTTTGGCCGGAGACGCAGGCTGCTTCATCGACCCCTACTTCTCATCCGGCGTCCACCTTGCCCTCACATCCGGACTTTCAGCAGCCGCTACCATCCAGGCTTCTATACGGGGCCAGTGCAGTGAGCTCACCGCGGCCAAGTGGCACACCACCAAGGTCAACGAGGGTTACACTCGTTTCTTGCTGGTCGTCATGACTGTCCTCAGGGAGCTGAGAGCCAAGGGAGCTGCGATTATCGCGGGATCTAAGGACCAAAATTACGACAAAGCATTCAGTTTCATCCAGCCTGGTGAGTGCCTAGGACTACAGAGCCACGCAGTACTGCCAGATTTCTAACGCCATGGCATTTAGTAATTCAAGGTACTGCTGACACAGATGTCGAGAACCAAAACATCCAAAAGAAAGCCGCAGAGGGCGTTGAATTCGCCCTCGGGACCATGAAGAATGACAGAAAGGCTGCGGAAAAGGCCATCCTCGACAAGGTTCAGGGAGCGCGAGACCGTGCCGAGGAGATGGAAAGCCTTACCGAGGAAGAGCTCGCGACCCTCAGCGCCATCGTCCACCGCAACATTCGGTTGACCAATAATGAGAGGAACCTTAATAACATCGCCAACGATGTCATTGATGGTCTCTCGCTTGAGCTGGTGCGCGGTAACTTGGGTCTCGTGGATAAGATTAGCGGCGAAATGAAGCCGAAGACTGGCGAGGCTTTGTTCATGACCTCCGAGCAGATGGATGCCTTGGAGCTCAATCACACTGTCACTGTGGAGGCATCCTAGTTTGGGCCGCACGGATTCAGGACACGTTAGAGATCAAAATCAGTCTTTACCATTAGTATAGTTTAAATCAGGAGTTCTGTTCTAGACGTGGAAATTCGCGGTACACTTCGTTTAATCGGTCTCGTTTGTAATCTATGTATACTAGATTAAATGGCTTTAAAGCTATTCCTCGGCTTCTTGAGTACTTATTAATCTCTTTCCTTATGGATAGTGCTTTATGTTAGCTGCTATATTCAAGATGAATATGGAGATTCGCAGGCTCGGCATGCGTATACGACTCTACAGATGCACTTCATGATGCTGCGGACTCGGTATCACCCACATGCCCTGCCTCATCTCTTCGATGCAGGGGTGCTGTGTTCGCAGCGTAAATACGATGGGCACCAAAGAGGTTAACAGGCCGCGTATCCCGCTAGCGTCGTGGCAAACGAAGATCCTTGTGGTAAGCTTGTAAGCATAAACACAATAGTCTAATGGATCCAGGTGAAATGGGAAACCGTCCCCGCCTTTCCGCCTCTGACATTTTCAGCACCTATTTTGCGGGGCCATGGTCATCACTTGTGCGCCTCGAGACGGATCACGATGGTACCATCATCCAGCGACTGCGTATGTATGGCCTGTCCAGGAGATCAGGTGGACCCGTTCTGATGCGCAATCACAGTGTCAAGCACTTTCGGCAATTTCAGCACTTGCCAATGTCTTCTACCCAAACTCAACACAGTACAGTACGACGCAGCAATCTTACTGGACGCTTCAAGAATCCTCCCTTCGTCCGTCCTGCATCGTCCAACCATCCACGGCAGTGCAAGTGGGTGATGCTGTGTCCTCTTTGGTCAGCCGAAACTGCTCCTTCGCAATCAAAGGACGCGGTCATGCTCCCAGTGCAGGCTTCGCCAACATTGACAATGGTGTCACGATCGACTTGACCAGCATGAAGAGCGTTGAGCTGCGGGGCGATGGCAGCGTTGCACGAGTTGGCGCAGGGGCAAGCTGGCTGGATGTGTATGCCTTCCTTGACCAGAGCAACAAGGTATGATTGTAGGGAAGCATTTCAGTTTTTCATCGTGTATATTCTGACCTCGATCAGACGGTGGCTGGCGGTCGCAACGGCGCAGTGGGTGTAGGCGGCCTGACAGTCGGCGGTGGCATCTCCTACTTCTCCCCACAAGTCGGCTTCACCTGCGACACGCTCGTCAATGTCGAGGTGGTGCTGGGAAATGGACAACTTGTCAACGCCAATGCCACCAACAATACCGACCTCTTCCGCGCGCTCAAAGGCGGGCTGAATAATTTTGGCATCGTGACGCGTTACGACTTTTCCACGATCGAATACGACGGCATCCTCGGTGGCACCGTGGGTAACGACATATCACAACGTGATGCCGTCTTCGATGCCTTCACCAACATCGCCGCAGCACCGGACTACGATGTCCACGCCTCCATCGTGGTAGGCTTGGTGTACGCGGCGGGCAAATGGTCTCTTTCCTCGACGCCAATTTACACGCAGCCCGTCCTGCGCCCATCCGTCTATGACGAGCTCTTCTCCGTGCCGAATATCTCCGACAGCACGGCGATCCAACGTCTGGGCACGTTCGCAAACGAGACGGGCCTGCCGCCACTGAACGGCCTGTTCTTGACGACCACGTTTGGCGCAGCTCCAGGCTTGCTGAGTTCCATATTTGACATCCTCAACCAGACGCTCTCTTCGTCCAGTACAGTTCCATCGTCGACGATATGGAGCTTCGCATTCGAGCCCCTCCCCACGGTCTTCGTCGAGCATGGTGCCGGCCGGAACGCACTCGGCACCAGCTCAGCAGACGGAAACAGCATTGTTCTCCTGCTGAGCGCGTTTTGGCCCGGTGCAGCAGACAGTGATGCTGTACAGGCGGTCGCAAATAGTGCATTTGCGGCATTGAACGAGGAGGCAGAAAAGCAGGGGCAGGCGAAGTGGTTTGTCTATGCAAATTATGCGGGTCAGAGCCAATCGCCGTTCCAAAATTATGGTGAGGCGAATGTCGATTTCTTGCGGAAGACGGCGGGCAAGTACGATCCACAGGGTGTGTTTCGGTATAATGTGCCTGGGGGATTTAAGCTGTGATTGTAGATAACTACTTTGTCTTCTGGGCCCCAGAGGTATTCTCTCCAGGTGCTGATGCGTTGGCCGGGGAGGCCGGGGGGGGGGGGCGGCAGTTCTGTGCCTTTGCCACGCCCCCCCCCCCCAACATTGTGTCTCCTCCGTCAGGGTCAGACACCATTCATATACTGCACTTAAATATAAGCCTAGAATCTCGTTGAGAACTTTTAGCACAGTTCAATAATTAAACAAACACTGATAACATCGAGTATCAAAAGCAAAAAGGTGTAATACCGGGTATTCGCTGATGATTTCTAACGTCACTAGCTGGCAATTGGGTCCAGAAAACTTTACGACCTTCTCAGTTGACTTTTCTAGCCACCCAAAACTGTGCCGAGTACGCGTTGCGGGTCAAAGCCCTCTCATTGAAACCATAAACCGCCTGTTTGCCCCTGATGCTCTTGCCCTCGAAAGTGGCCTTCCCGCAGGTGTCTGATGTATCCACAAACTCGAAACCGATGCTCTCGGCAACTGTAACAATTTCATCTAACGAAAGTTGCACGAACGGGGCAGTACCCCACAGCAGCGGTCCGAAGTTAACCCAGTACCCTCCCGGTTTGAGTGCTGCGTGAATGGTGTCGAAGTAGCTCACGACGTTCCTTGCCGTGTCGATGAAGAAGTGGGTGACGACGGCGTCGTATTCTCCCCTGCGTCCTTTAAACTCCGAGACAAAGTCGCCCTCGACGAGGAGCACAGAGCTGGCATTCACCCGCGCGTCAGGAAACGAGACACCGCGGAACATGTCGGCGTTGGTCGCGTGGTGAGACCAGCTGTCTATGAATGGGTGGACTGATTGGAGACCCGGTCTCGGGTGCGCCTCAAGGAATCGATAAGCGAGGTTCATGTACATTGACCACTCATTGACGGTGACTTCGAAGCCTCCCAGGGAGGCGACCTCGTGTCCCAAACGGCTGAGCCCTGAACCTGGAAGCAGCACCTTCACGTCGTTTCTAGATCCCTCGGGGAAAAGTGACTCCATAGTGCCTAGAATGCAAGGGAACGCGTCTCCGCGCTCTGCTTGGCCCGAGCCGGACCAGTCTCTCACAAAGTGCTTCAGTGCTTGAGAGACGCTGACTCTTTCTGCAGGCTGATTTGCCGCGTCCTTGGCGTTGCTGTGTGCGGCGAGCTCCTCGTGTGAGATGCCATAGTAATCGAGCGCGGTCTTGACAATCTCGTTACACAAGTTCTGGTTCGAGTCGTGTAAAATTTCAGCTGTCTCGAACTTTTTCGAGTAGCTGATCGCCTTCTCTAATACCTACTCCAGCCGACCAGTCAGTAACAGTCTTGGTGAATTGGCGAGAGTGAGGAGAGACATACCTTTTTCTGGGCCTTGGACACGTGGGTGTACAAGTCTTTCCATCGATCTAGTTCCGCCATCTGCCTGGCCTTATATCGACTGAATCCAAAGAGGGCCTCCATGAGACGGTGACGGGGGTGATTCGTATCCCACTTTCCGTGCGATTTGCTCAATCGCTTCAGGAGGTTTTTCTTCTCATGTTCATGACGAGGGCTTGGCTTGTCCGGGATGTCTTCGAGGGTGACCAGGACCTCGTGAACCTCGACTAGCGAGTCGATAGGTATCTATCATGACGTCAATCTTTCTTGTCGGTTTCGTGGTCTCGCGGCCCCCACTCTGAGGCACACCGAGAGATTGTGACGGAAGACTCACCGAGGCCAAGTCGCCTGCCTGTACGACATTGCCTCCGACCACATCTTCTACCTTATCAATCACACCGCTTCCGAACTGGGTCTCGCCATCTGAACAGACAACTCCACAAGCTAAACCCGTGAGGAGCCCTGAAACCAAGTGACACGTTTTCATGATCGCTTGGGGAGACGGTAGTGGACCTGGGTTGGTGAGTGAGATAGTCTAAAGCTCTTGAGAAGCTGCGGCTACAGAACTGAAGTAGTTAGGTTCTTCACCGTCGACAATATGATGATGTGAAAGCAAGGAGGTATTGAAAGGGATTGAATCTTGAAGAAATTGAATTGCGTGCATTATGACCGAGAACCTTGATGGTCGCCAAGACCACCCACGCAAAAGAAGGATCGTAAGACATCCCATGGACTCAAACGGACTCCACTGGACATCCATGAGTGCTGCACAGTGTAAAGTGCTGCCCTCCTGGCCCATTATTTCTTCATACTTGCCGAGGTGTGTGTCACAGAGCATGAAAACAAATGTACAAAGTTCAAGTTACTGTCATGTTGAAGAATCGCACTTAAGACCGCAAAGCTGGGGAAGTGGAATGATTGATGTGGGTAACTACTGGGAAAAAATGAATGAACTATTGTGCTTCTTACAAGGCGTTGCGTTCCAATACGTCCCAATACAAACTATGTAAATGGCTAATTTTGATTGACACCGTCAGGAATACTGTTATGATGGTCTCGGAGAATGGTTTCAGGTTTTCATTCAGAATATGCTAGACCTGCGGACTCTTGAAAAGTTCCCCCTCCAAGTTACTTCCGGTACCAAATCCGAGTGGTCCTCGTCTTTCGAATCTTGCGCTTCAGCTGCAGCATCGCATACATCAACGCCTCCGCCGTCGGTGGGCAACCAGGCACGTACACATCGGCGGGCATGATGCGGTCGCAGCCACGAACGACGCTGTAGCTGTAGTGGTAGTACCCGCCGCCGTTCGCGCAGCTGCCCATGCTGATGACCCAGCGCGGCTCGGGCATCTGGTCGTAGATCTGCCGCAGCGCGGGCGCCATCTTGTTGGTCACCGTGCCGGCGACGATCAAGACGTCGGATTGGTGGGGCAAGGCCCGGAAGAAAGTCCCCAGCCTGTCCTGGTCGTAACGCGGGGCGGATAGGTGCATCATTTGGATGGAGCAGCAGGCGAGGCCAAAGGTCATGGGCCATAGGGAGCTCTCGCGCGACCAGTTTGCAATCTGATCTAGAGTCGTTCTGTGTGCCGTAATTTTGTGAGCCTTCGACCATTCTAGCTCATCCTTTGAGGATTGGCACACATACAGCACATAAGACACCAAACCGGTGTGCCCTTCCTGGCTCGGTAGAGCCACCTCTTTGCGGACGATGCTCGATTCCCGTGTCGCCCTGGCCTCTGTTAGGCCTTGAACAACTGGACGACGCTCATTCGTGGGCTTGCTCCAATCCGCCGATTGAATTTGACTGGCGTGGAATGGTCGAATAGTTCTGTTGCGAAGTACAGAGACGCCTTGGGATGAGCGCAAGACTCTAGACCCGATAAGCAGCATGTTTAAGAATATCGATAGAATAAAACCGGGACAAAAATACCCCATAAAAAGGAAGAGTAAAGAGAATGAAATGCTTCACCGAAACCTCGGGGCGACTTGAGGTCTCGGGCCGTCCCAAATCATGTATGCGAATTATCCTCGGATTCGCTCCTCGCTTAAGCTAGTTCATCGTATTTCGCATTGTTCCGCTACAAGTACAGATCAAACCCCGCACATCTGTTGATACGCGTGCAGAGACATCCTTCATCCCGTCCAGACTGCACAATAATTTGAGACGAAGGTGGTGTTTCTTGAACGTGTCTTGAGGTTATGGTCACCCTAAAATGTGCCTGCGCGGCTAATCTAAGAGGTCTCTGCACGGTTTCTGCACCTCAATCTGATCGTTGATGTCCTTTAACAGCTCTCGACCCCATCCCCTGAGAAACCAGTCAACTTTATCCAGGGCATGTACGAATACAGCGTAATATGCCAATATCAGTAGAGCCTGAAGCTTGTGGTCCTTTATGTCACTGACAACGCTCTCGGGAAGGAAAAAGGCCAATAGCAGTATTGCCCCAACCTCTACATCGACCCCGGCGTGAGCTATCTGCACAACCGTGACTTCGAGGATCGTGACTGCCTTTTCGTAGTCGCCTTTATTTTTGAGGGAGACGTGTTCAATGAGGAACTGACGGAGATGAGATAGTGCGCCGTATACGTCCTTTGGAAGCAGAGAATATTCCAAGGACGATTTCCTGGATAAAAGTTTAGCGTAGGTATTTTGTCGGATTTCGGGGGAAACACCCACGGACCTGGTTGAGGATCAACTGGGGTCAGCCAGACACTGGTCACAAGCGGTGCTCTCGACCATGCCGGGCGAGTTGGTCCACTCGCCCTCGCTTGTCTTGTCCGGGCGCGTGAGCAGAGGCAGTAGCGAGGGTGGCAGAACCAGCACAGCGCCGCTTGGCACACACGGCATGGGCAGCGCGAATGGTCGGTCTAGTGCCTTGCTGAAATCTTGATAACCCTTGCTTGCAAGCTGTTGCGTTGAAAACATGGAGTTCCTAATGGGAATACGGAACGAAGCCTGGTTCCCGCGCGTGACACCGACCATGTCGACTTTGGCCCATATTCCAGTTAAGCGGCGCGTTCTGACCCATCGTGAAGAAAGACAAAGGGTTACGATAAGGCCGATGTTGGCTATCGTCAGCCAGAAGACGATTTGCATCCAGGAGACCATGATGTGGGCAATACTCTGAGTAGTGAAGCAGAGATTTTTGCGATCAATCTGATCAAAACACAGTGACGAACGCGTAGCGTCTGGTTGGTCGTCAGCATTGCAAAAAAACGAAACGAGCTAGGATCAATACATACATTGTGCTCAAATTGGAAGGACGGCCCTGTCAGACGCGACTAGGCGTGGTATGGATGTCGACCGTGGTGGGGCGTCAGCTTCACTAAAGTAATAAAGCGGTCACACCACTTTCAATAAAGCCATGCATCAACCTACAGGTACAACTTGAGTCTAGCCTTCCTCGCTTCTATTTCGGGAGCGGGATAAGGAGACCTAAACTTGCTATTTGTAGCGACGTGGCTCGTACTTGCGTGTCACCCAAGAAGTTTTGTACGCCGATGTTGCTTGCAACTCACGCACTCACTGTTCCTTTCCGCCAAATGTTCCCATTAAATATTGCGAGTCAACTTTTACGACAGAGATCGCCTGCGCTTCCGAATGCACCCAGAACGCCTCATACAGTTCCTAGCTACTGTCGGCTGTTGGGAAAGTGGGCTGGTGTGTGCCGAAGCGCCGGGCTCGCGGGCACCGATTGCTACGCCCTTTGAGCTGGGACTGGAGTTGTAAGGAGACGAGGGAAATGCATCGAGACTGCACTAGAATGATTAGGGTCTTCTGTCGAAGGCGTGGGACCGAATCGCTCAAGATTCCCAGCACCGGAGTGCTCTTGGCTATAATTTAACTCGAGACATCTTACCATTGTGACGGTGCGGCTCTTAATATTCTGCTGGAATACCCAATGGGCAGATTGGTTATTATGGTCTTTTGGCCGGGAGGTGGAATTCGCTAGCAGTAATTCTATTAACCCTCTCAACCATGCTTACTGCTTTTAATTCCTGAGAAGTAAATCCAGGGCGTTGTAAGACCTGTCCATCGACTACAGACTATGCGCGGAAATATCAACCATGTAGATAACCCGGCGGTCTTCTCATTATAATGTCCCTAACCCTGATTCGCCCCAGCCCCTGAATTGCGACGCGAGGTTCGCGTCTATACCTACCCTATAAGGAAAACTTAATTTTTCCATGACAGGCTTTTTCTTGAATACATTACTTTTCGTATAACTCAATTAAATTATTATTAAGCAGTATTTAGAAAAAGATATGTATCACGCCTTTATGGCAATGGCTGGTGGTATAGTTTAGTGGCTTGTTATAAGCATGAGAAACATTCAAGCCTTATATGACGAGAAATGCTTGTAAAAATTCTTAAATTATACAGCCAAGATGAAGTTGAATTAAAAATATCCTTACGACAAAACCAGAAGTTGAAAAGCCAGATTTAGGCCAGCAGGAAGTTAGAGGAAGAAGGTCCAGGTCGACCCAAATGCAGCTTTTGCCAATATTGAAGCTGTTCGGAAGGCACAAATCGAAGCCGGCGAGGCGTCCCCTGACGACTACGAGGTCTCAAAAGCATCCTAAACACCAAAGGAAGAGGGTTCGTGTATCGTGGTGGGCGGGAATTGAGTTGGGAATAGTGGCATGGTGTTGCCGTTGGGGGGCCGAATGTGGGTCAGGGACGTTAGCGCTCTTTTGGCGCCTACTGTGCCAGCAATGGGTGAAGCAAAGCTGTACCACCTACAGGTAGGTGAGGCCTCCTAATGCGCAGTGCATTATCTCGCATGTGATTGCTGCCTAATCCAACATGGGGGTAATGCTACTGAAAACAAGCACCACAAATACAGTGGAGCAGAGTTCTGCTAGAAGCCTCAGCAATACGCTTGAGGGCACTCTAACGCGAAGAGGAATAAAAGAGGGCCATAGTGCTTAGGGGCAAAGCAAATAGTCACAGAATTTGCAAATTATAGCTTTAAAAATAATAGAGGGGAGTTGATTGTTCTGATCAGAATGAATCTAAAGCAACGAAAGGAAGCCGAAGCTATTATGATAGCCTTCGGAGAAAAGAATAGCCGAAATGCCTGCAATGCATTCCCTGCACCCGACAACACTACTCTACCCTGTGCTGTCATAGGACGCGAAACAGCCCCTTTTCTAGACGCCGGCTGGGGATTCTTCATCTACCCCCTTCCTACAGAGTTATACGACCTGCCTGCAAATCGCACCAACTCGCTTTGTCCTAAATTGAAATATCATGGAACAAAACAACAATGACGGGCCAGTGGCCACATGCAATACATCGGATGTTGTGTCATCGGAAGCCTCCAACGTCATCACTTTAAACCAGCCAGATGATACTGCAGGTGGATCCAATGAGGAGTTGATCAATGTCTACGAGGAGCCGGACACCACAACCATAACAAAGCTGGATGCCCGCAAGAGCCAGACAGAAAAGAAATACAACCTTGACATCCACTGCGACAAGGACCTTGAGCGCCTTAGCATCAGCCTCCACGAAGAAGTCGACGACGACCAACGCATTATCGCTGAGGCCGCTACTAGAGAACAGGACAAGACCCATGCACGCTACAAACTTCATTTCTTCAAAAAAGTTGGGAGCCTCTTTATCCCGATAGAATGCTGGACGAAGAGTGGTTTATTAATGACCCGGAAGTCATCCCCGAGGATGATCCTGGATATCTCTGTGATATGTGCCGGCACCTGGACTTCAAGGTGCTGTTCACCAAACGTGGGATTCCTGGTAATAACACTCCCTACCTGCCCGCCCAGCTGGAAATTGACGGTATGTGGAGGATAATGCAAGACGACAACAACTGTGCTGTGTGCGGACTGCTGCGTCGAAAGATCAACGAGAGCGGAAGCTTATCACAGATATCAGATGGTGATATCGCAGGTGGCCGCTTCAACATAAACGTGCTAGACAATGGCCCGGAGTATGCTCTCAGTTTGGAGATTGATATTCGAGTCAGTTCAAAGACGGTTGCGAGATTTGTATTGCAGAGACTTGAAGAACAACCGGAGCAGCCCCTAGCGGGAAGATTTGTGCAGCAGGATCGAGCTGACATGGATGGCTTGAGGCAATGGCTCCACATCTGCGAAAGCAATCATCCGTCTTCTGGGAAAGGACTCGAGCTCGATATGGCCTCATTTCGGGTCATTGATACCAAGGAACTCTGCATCGTCGAAGTGGAAACGCCATGTCGGTACGCCTGCTTGTCTTACGTGTGGGGGGAAGGCAGTCAGACGCAATACAATACCACCACGAAAGACAGCCTAGAGGCAGCAAACAGGCTTCAGGTAGTTGAACTACCTCAGACGATGAGGGACGCAATCAAGGTCACCCAGGAAGTGGGCTTGCGGTACCTGTGGGTTGATGCTTTGTGCATCCTCCAAGACGACTCCGAGGATAAGGCAAGACTCATCCCGAAGATGGGTCCAATATACGGCAACGCTACGTTAACCATCATCGCCTCGGCAAATACCAATCCGCAAGATGGCCTTCCCGGAATGGGCAATGTGCATCGCCATGTCGCACAGGATACAATAAGGATCCAAGGCATCACTGTGGCCGTGGCGCTCCACGACCCGCGTCAACCGATCCACGACATCGATGACTCGGTGTGGAACTCACGGGCGTGGGCGTTCCAGGAGCAGGCGCTCTCAGAGAGGCGTATCTACTTTACCCATTCGCAACTGATATTCAAATGCGCCCACAGTGACGTGATGCTTGAAGAGGCCGTCCCGGTTCCCGAGATGGCGTTTCGGCACCCTTTTATCGACGACCATGCAAGCGCAGATGTGATGCACTTGGTATGGACAGATCCATCACTGAGCCAATTTACTCGCAAAGGCATCTTCATCCGGCACAAGGAGGCAGTAATCCTGAGTTCCGAGGAATCGGACACGGAGAAGAGCATGAGCCAGGAGGAGAAGGACAAGGCAACACCTATGTTCAAACATGCGGTAGATGCACCACGCGACTTTTTGAGCTCGCTAGGTGATACTGACGATACGCCTTGGGACTCGTACCGCCGTGCAGTCGAGGACTATGCGAAGCGCAATCTTACCTGGGAGGTCGACGTCCTGGACGCCTTTGCTGGTGTGGAACATATTGTCCGCCGTGGCATCAATACCAAGTTCTGGTTCGGAATTCCGTCGTTTGCTTTTGAACAAGCATTGCTTTGGCAGGCTAGAGAGCCCCTGAAACGAAGATCCAGGCCCCGTTTGCCAAGTTGGTCATGGGCTGCTTGGCGAGGTCAGGTATCCTATCAGGGGAGAGGTTGGAAAAACTGTGTGGTGTATGACCCCATGCCCGTAGCACGTTGGTATGTCCTGGTGAGCCCGCAGACGCTCATTGAAAACTTCAAAGCCGAAGAGGAGAGGACGGAGGAGGAGGTACGAGCTTACACAGAGAGAGTGACCAGCTGTCAGCACCTACATGAGCTCAATTTCCACGCCCTGCGACACCTGGGCAACGAGGGCAAAGATGGCTGGGTTGTCGAGCACAACGAAGTGTACAACCGGCACATTTACTCTCATGATGCCTATCCTGGGGTCAAATTCACCTACCCTGTCGACCTCCCGGGTGAGACCATCCGCGACCGCCCAGAGGCAGGGCCGAACGGCATTATCTTTTTCAAAGCCCATGTGGTTCCGGTTGTCCCATACGACATGGAGGAACACAGTTTCAAGATGAAGGTCGAAGACCGATTCCTACAGATCGGGTTCAACGACGAATCCCGCTCATCTGACTCCCGCCCCGCGTGGCAACGGATCGTCTACCACCAGGGATACCGCGCCGGGTTCATCACGCTAAACAACAAAGACTACGTCGACTTTTGTGAAGCTGACTTCTGTGAATTTCGCCTGGCTGCCATCTCGCGCGGGAGCCTGCCCCGCCTGCTTCCGTCAATAAAGGGAAAGGACTGGTACTGGTGTAATGAGCCGCGCGAGATGCAATCCGAACTGCTTCGCGAGGAGTGGACCTCCAACCGCAGCTTTGTCAGAGCGCCTGACGAGGACGTGGAGCCGTCTACGCGCCCCCAGAGAGAGAACGGCGATCCGCACTGGGACACGGGTCGGCTCGGGGGGGTTGGCATTTGTGACGTCTATGATGTGTTGCTTCTGATGACGATGGATGGAATTTCCTGGAGGTTGGGGGTGGGTAAGGTTAATACCCACGCTTTCTTGGCGGCGCAGCCCGAGGAGATGCTTGTTAAGCTTGCTTAGTCTGAGGTGTGTAACATGAGGCTCTCCACCTGCCAGTGGTAGGATCGGCGAAGATCCATCGTCTCGAAAAGACAATGTTTGGCTTATCGCTCGGATACTCCTACAAATAGGCGGAGGGAGATCCGAACGTGCAGCTGACGGGTCTATATAAATCACGCTCGACAGTTTGCCCGAGATGACAACATCACCACGGACGACGACCGCAGGCGAGGTCTCGAGCCCAAGCCAATTCCGGCAACTCACACGCCGAAACGACGCACCTTGTTCCCGCGTTCCCACAGAAGACTATGCGGGGAAGTTACATTCATCATGGGTACTGGGCAGGCCTCTGGGGAAATTAGGACCGAGGAGGCCCTTTCCATAAGTCGTGGCAAGATCTACCATGCTAACAGTCTTTAGCCTAAAGTGAAGCCATGCCAAGCACTTCGCTGCTGGAGGTCCCAATAATTCTTTCTCCAAATACACCCCGCAATGAGGAGAAGAGCTGTATATAATTTCGCCTGCCAGCTCGCATCATGAACTTGGAGACTCGTTGGCAGGTCGAACCAGCACGACAAGATGCGCACGCTACTTTGGCTTGTCTCTTTTGGCTTCGCTGCCGCTGAGAACGGGATCGACGGCTGGTTGCGGTATGCTGCGCTGCCAACCGAAGTCCGCGGTGACAATGCCGCACCAAATTCTATCGTCGCCCTGAACAACACCAAGACCAGTCCCGTGTACGTGGCTGGACAGGAATTGCAAAAGGGCATACTTGGAATTCTAGGTCAGAGCGTCAATATATCCTCGGGAGCAGTTGGGAACAAGTCGACGATCACCGTCGGAACCGTTGAGTCATTCGCCTCGACCGGCAATAACATCCCTGAGCTCGAAAACGATGGGTTCTGGCTCGACACCAAAGACGGCAGCGTCCAGATAGTCGGACAAAACGAACGAGGCGCCCTGTACGGTGCATTTGAGTACCTGTCGATGCTCGCGCAGGGAAATTTCTCGGAAGTGGCATATGCCAGTAATCCGAGCGCGCCCATCCGCTGGGTCAACGAATGGGACGACTTGAATGGCCATATCGAACGAGGCTATGGAGGCCCATCCATATTCTTCACGCCCTCCTGGGCCATTGCCGATGATCTTAGCCGCGTGTCTCAGTATGCTCGACTGCTTGCATCGATCCGCGTGAACGGGATCATTGTCAACAACGTCAACGCCAATGCGACCCTTTTGAACGCAGCAAATCTCGCGGGCCTCAGCCGTATCGCGGACGCAATGAGACCATACGGCGTCCGAATTGGCATCTCGCTCAACTTCGACTCCCCAAAGACACTTGGCGGCTTAAATACTTCAGACCCGCTGAATCCTACGGTGATACAATGGTGGGATGAAAAAGTAGGTCAACTACACGAGCAGGTGCCGGACTTGGCCGGGTTCCTCGTAAAGGCCAATTCGGAGGACCAACCTGGCCCGCTGACGTACAACCGCACACTTGCGGACGGTGCAAACCTCTTCGCCAAGGCTTTGAAGCCTCACGGCGATGGCGTCGTAATGTTCAGGGCCTTCGTGTACGACCATCATATCAACGAGTCGAACTGGAAGAACGATCGGGCCAATGCTGCATTGGACTTCTTCAAGGACCTGGACGGCCAGTTCGATGATAACGTTGTCATTCAGATCAAGTACGGCCCAATCGACTTCCAGGTCCGCGAGCCGCCGTCGCCATTGCTCGCAAATCTGCCTAACACCGCCATGGCCATTGAGCTTCAAGTCACCCAAGAATATCTGGGCGAGCAGGACCACCTTGTGTACCTCCCTCCGCTCTGGAAGACTATCCTCGATTACGACCTCAGAGTTGATGGCGAGCCATCGGTCATTCGCGACATTCTTTCTGGGCAGCGCTTCGACAAGTCTCTGAGCGGTTATGCGGCTGTCGTCAATGTCGGGACGAATACGACATGGCTGGGAAGTCATTTGGCAATGTCAAATCTGTATGCCTATGGTCGCTTGGCATGGAATCCTCGAGATGACGAGGTGGCTGTGCTGGAGGACTGGACGCGGCTCACTTTTGGACTTGATGACACCGTCATTGACACCATCACCAAGATGTCCCTAGAGTCATGGCCAGCCTATGAGAACTACACAGGCAATCTAGGGATCCAGACGCTGACGGACATCACTGGCCCGCACTACGGTCCAAACCCAGCCTCGCAGGATGACAACGGCTGGGGCCAGTGGACACGCGCGGACGCGGACTCGATCGGCATGGACCGAACAGTCAAGAACGGCACCGGCTTCTCCGGCCAGTACCCGCCGGAAATCGCAGCGATGTACGAAGAGATTGAGACTACCCCCGATGACTTACTGCTGTGGTTCCACCACGTCCCATACACCCAGAAGTTGAAATCGGGAAAGACCGTCATCCAGCACTTCTACGACGCGCACTACGCGGGCGCCGAGACGGCCCAGACGTTCCCGAAGCAGTGGGCGGCGCTGGAGGGCCTGATCGACGACGAGCGCTTCAGCGACGTCGCCTTCAAGCTCGAGTACCAGGCCGGCCACTCCATCGTCTGGCGCGACGCCATCAGCGAGTTCTACCTCAACAAGTCCGGCATCGCCGACGAGGCGGGGCGCGTCGGCAGCCACCCGTGGCGCATCGAGGCGGAGGACATGCAGCTCGACGGGTACAAGCCCATCTCCATCGTCCCGTTCGAGGCCGCGTCGGGCTACACGGCCGTCATGACGACGAGCAACACCACGGCCGGCACGGCGTCCGCCACGGTCGACTACCCCTCCGGCGCGTATGACATCGCGGTCAACTACTACGACGGCGTCGGCGGCCGGTCGACGTACGAGATCTTCCTGAACGACGAGTCGCTGGGCCGGTGGGCGGGCGACCTGGAGTGGAAGCTGGGCCACCAGCAGTGGCCGGCGTTTGCGCCCGACGGCCACTCGGCGGCGCGTGTCACGTTCCGGGACGTTCAGGTCGAGAAGGGCGACGTGCTCAGGATCGTTGGCCAGCCGGATGGCACGGAACCTGCGCCGCTCGACTATGTGGCGTTGTTGTCAGCGGGCGTCATTGATTAGATTACTGCGACGCCATCGCAAGGCTTGAGAATTGATGCAGAAATACAAATTTTTTTTTTTTTTTTTTTTTTTGGAAAACGGAGATTCGCACCCCCTAAATCAGAGGGTACACTCATAAATGCTATAGCTGGTGCACGGTTAACGCCCCACACCTAAATTAATATAGTGAAACATTAAGTCGCCCTTAGCAACGCTATAATTAACAAACTCATTAGCATTTCTCATCATTAATGTAGCTTTTTTACACTCTCTAAGGCGTAAATTACTTAATTACATGGTTTTTAGGTGCTTATTTAGTTTATATAAACCCTTCTCGCTATTATTATCGCTAATAAGGCCCTTAATAATCATATATAAGACGTTACTTAGGCTTTATGGCACAAAAGCTTAAAATATATACCAAATTGTGTGGATTTTAAGAGTAGGCTGGCTTAAGGAAGAAAAGAGAGGAAAGAAAGAAAGAGGGCTTTGGAGGGGCCCTTTGGGCTGCAGCTGTGGGGCAGGAGGGGCTTATCCAACCAAGCTGTAAATAATTTATACCTAGAAATTAAAGTAATTTAGGGCTTATATTATTGTTATAATATAAAAAACATGAAATTTAAGGGATTAAACATTATTTTTAATGGTAAATTAATTAATATTAATAAATAATTAATTAATTTAACTTAGCGTTAATATAAGGTGGTTACGTTAAGTTTAATGATAGTGGAGGCTGCATAGGGCACTAGTGGTTGCAAATCATGTGATTATGTATGGGTGTACCCTCTGATTTGGGTGGTGCGAATCTCCATTTTTTTTTAGAAAGGTTGCAATAGTTGTCACGCGTGAAAAGCATCGCTGTTATGGAGACTGATGAAAGTTGTCAGATCCTTAAAGATAATTTGAGCGGTATAGTGCGTTTATTAGTGGACAAGTATATCACAACATTCCCTCTCCGATTACTAACACACTAATTGAGCACAATTAAACATCATGCGCACTCCTCTAAAACATCTCTTTCCTGTCGTTAAGGCTCAGCTGTAGGTTACAGAATGAGTGTGATGGGGTCCATTTTGCCATGTTTGGTTATGCCACTAGTAGACACACACCATCAGATAGCCTGTTTCTTTATCACTAAGTTTGAGCTTGACGGCCATCGATGTTTGAATGCCTCTAAATCTCCTGCCCTGTCTCTGCCTGAATAGTTTCCCATCTCGCCCCTGTCATCGTTTTATACAAGTTCAATAATACCGACGCACCGCAACATGGTCATCGGACTCCTTCTCCTCTTGCAATCATATCATCAGACATCTCCTCGTGGACTCCCTTGAGGTAATTATCGAACTTCTCAGCAACCTTGATAACGTGTCGTAGGTGTCCCCATGTCATCGGCTTCTTTTTGAACTGCGCCAGCTGCCGAGCCGTGGTGATCGCGATGCGAATTTGTCGTCCATTCATCTCATACTCAGCCAATTCTTCGATATATGATTCGACAGTGTCGTAGTCGATGTTCTCCTCCCCGATCAGTCTGAGTCTGCTGAAGAAGTTCCTCCAGACCTTAGTACGCTCAGCCTTACCAAGGTTATCATAGCGCAAAGCTAACTGGATGCGAGACTTGAATGCTTCGTCGAACACCCCGACTCGGTTTGACGTAAGAACCATGATGCCTTCGTAATACTCGATTACGCGGAGGAAAACGCAGACCAAAGCGTTCCTCTTCAGGTCGTTCAGTGTCCTCTGCTCCAGGAAGACGTCGGCCTCATCCAGCAGAACGACACAGTCCCACCTTTTCCCGAGGCTCAGATTTGATTGGAGATGCTTCTCTACCGCCTCTGGCTTCGTCCCCATATCACCACAAGTGACTGCGTATAAAGGCTTTTGAGCAAGCTCGGCGACACTCTCTGCAGTGAATGTCTTGCCTGTGCCGGGTCCGCCGTGGAGAAGCATGATGAAACCGTTGCCTTTGGATCCAATCCAGTCTAGAGACGTCAATAAAACTAAACTTGCTGTCAAAATCACGATGCCAACAACCAGACTTACCAGTATTCTTACTCGATGCAATCCTATTGGTGATGAGTGCTTGGATGAGGTCTTTGGTGTCTTCATCTATCACAAGGTGATCAAACGCCTCCTGTCTCCATTGTACTTCTTGAATACAGTCTACATCCAAATCTCCTGGCTTTCGGTTCAGTTCTGGTTCGTGAAAATGTATTTGCAGTGTGGCCACTTACTCCAAAGTTTGCCGTGCATGTCAAAACCCTTGATCCTTGGAGGAAACAACATCAACTCGTCGCCTTTTGGACCACCATCGTCGCGTGTGAGATCGAAAACCTCAAAGTCGCCTGGCTTAATCTTCAAATATTCGTCATTGACTCCCGGCCTATTCGAGTGGAGCCCTCTATAGGCGGTGAAATCTACCATGTACCTTGCGTCAAGCTTGACTAATTTTAGCAACGTCTTTATAGTGATCCCAGGTACTGATTGACTCACCGTGCTGAGCTGCTCGTCTGTATCCTGGCTTTGGTAAGAAATCAATCGTTGACAGCGGTATTTCCAGTAAGTGTGGCCTCTCTCCTTGAGCTCTAGTCTTCTCTCTTCGGTCTCAAACCTCAGAGGCATTCCGGAAAGTGAATAAACAGATCTTTCCGCATCGTCCCTACTGTAAGGATCGCAGTGATTGAGTTCCTCTGAATAATTCCAAAATTTTCCGTCATAACGATATGTCCATGCATCGATGTGCCATTGATGGTCATCATCAGAATGATGTGGCCACGACTTTGCTTTGTACGCCCTGTCGTGGCTTTTCTCCTGAAAAATGAAAACTTCACCTGGCGCAATCAAGTACGGCATTGTAGAACTCGTCACGAGGCCTTTCTGAAATAGGCTCTCGGTCTCCGAATACTCCTCTTCGTAGTTTTCATCTATCCAATCTGTCAAGAGCTTCATTAGTTCCTTCTCGTTGGAAGGCAGTCCGTCAATAATCCCAGTTCGTCGACAATGAAACCAGAACGTATAAGGACTTCGGAGGCTCTCTTTCAAGTCCAGGTTCAAGTTTGGAAAGTCTCCGAAGTGGTGTCTGGCGGCTTCTTGAAACGTCATAAAAGCGTTCTTCATGTCGTCGCTGACCAAATTGACGTATGTCTCTATAGGCATGGGAGCCGGAAGATGAAAGCCAGCTTTATTAGCGTCTTGGACTGCCTTTAGGTTCGGCATGTTCATCACGTCAAACCACCTATCAACCAGAAAGGCTACATTGCCCCTGCGATGCAGCAACGCGTCTAGACTTCCCACTGTTTGATTGCACGCGAGTTTGAATGACTGGACAGCATCTTCGCGGATTGTAACCCAGCTTGGCCATCCCAGAAAAGAAGTCTCGACACCATCAATGCGATTCAAAATCTGGAATACCGGTGGTTGCCTTGTCATCGACTCCGTCTTCGAGTTTGAGGAGGACGCCTTTCTAAGGCCAGCAACCTCAGCCTCCAGTTGCTTAATTCACTCTTTAAGCTCCGCGATTATATGATCCATGCTTGATCCTGTCTGTTTGGAAGGTCGGTGGGCCCAGGCACACCTCCTGTTGGTGCGCTTGTGGATTCGTCCATAATATGTTTTGTCTGTGCCACTATGGGCAGCTGGATATGCTCGCGAACTGATACTCGGCCTTAAATCGACTGATCCAGAGCCGGCGATTGATTCGATGTGCCACAAGAAGGGGTTGGATGTCCAGAAGATGTTAGAACTCCAGTACGAATGGTGTTTGTGGCAACAATGAACCGGTAAGCCAGTTGGAGTCCAGTCTGACCTCGTGACTTCATCAGGTGCCTGAAATCTAATATGGATCTTGTCCAGGAGCCGTAAGCTACGCCTCGCTTTGTTCCTTCCCGTGGTGTTGCTCCTCTTTGCCGAAGGGCTGGGTGACTGGGTCACGTACCCACTGTTCGAGGTTGTAATGATTGCCAAATTCAGATCGAAGTGGTGCTTCCGTAAGCTGCTCATCAAATTTCAGGTGTTGTTGGCGCTGTCGTCTCTGGAATCGATGTGGGTGGTTGGGCGGTCGGTATGCTGCGCTGCGAAAGGCACAAAGCGCTCAGATTGTAAATCAAATGTGGATTTGATATCCTGATCGAGCTTGTCGGTAGATTCTAGGCTGCTCGTTATCCCAGGCGATTCTGAAGACCAACTGTTATGTCGCACGAGGTTCTCACTGTCTCCAGTCTGAAAGCTCGGGTCCCAATGTCCTTCATCAAGACCATAGCCCGCCTGGAAGGCATCAGATATTATAAGATGATGATCCAGTGTGATGAGACCTACAAGTATTGCTAGAAGTGGTGTGACGCAAAAGCGGACCCGCTACTGCTCTGCAATAGCGTAGCCCTTATTTTGTGACAAGCGGCGTACGACTGAAGTGTTAGATACCAGATTTTCACATCCAATACAGATGCAGCCTCATATCATTTTGGGAGAATGAGAAGATTTACACTGAGCGGGGGTCATGCCATTCATATCTTGGTTGGGGAATTCGGTGCTACCTAAGAACCTGTACTGAAGGTCAATGTGAGTTGCAAGCATTGGTGGGGGTCAATGGGGCTGCTTACTTGCAGCTGGAACGATAACTCAACGTCATTGTGCATGCGGTTTAATCCCCTCATTTGATTCTGCTGGATTTCGAAGCGAATTTCGAACGTCGAGGCATCTAGGATACTAAGCCATGGATGATTAAAAGCACCTCGAGATTTGGCACGGCAAAGTCGGGCACCATGCTGGCTACAGGTAAGAAATCCCAAAGACCAGAACAATTGGCGAGATAAAATTCTCGCAGGCCTATCTGTATTGACAGACTTTGAAAAGGTCATCAAGCATCATTCAGCAGGCGTACGAGGCTGCTGTTGACCGCTTCTGCACTGATCTTACACATGATGATCGGAAAAAACTCCTAGCTCGAGAGGCAAACAGTATCCATGATATCCATGCCGCTCTAGCAGTGTACCATGCTCGATACAATGCAAAGACATGTAATCAGGAGACGAGGAAATGGATCACGCGGCTTACCTCAAAAATTCAGCATTATGGCAATGTCCTAGACGTTTTCGTACAGCATCACCCCGAATACACATCCTTGGCCGGGCGGACTTTCAAGCTCTTACTCGTTGTAAGCGACCTTTCGGCTTTCACATAGTTACCAAGCCCTCTCCCCCAGTCCGCTCAAAACTCTGCAAAATACTCATGATATCTGAGGGGGACCAAAATCACGAAGCAACAGTGACACTGCTTGCAAAAGCCCTCTCACAAATTGCGGATGCTCTTCCTCGGATTGAATTTTCGACAATGCTATACCAAACCGACCGCATGAAGTCGGCGTTAGAGAATCTCTACGCCCAGCTCATCAAGTTTTTCATCAGGGCGATTCAATGGCTCCAAGAAAGTCCACTTCAACACATCTTGCATAGCATCACCAGGCCGCCCGACTTACGGTACAAGGACCTTCTCGAGGATATTGACTGCCACTCCCGCAGAATTGATCAGCTCGCTGTCTCAGGATCACAGGCTGAAGTAAGAGCCATTCATATGGAAGTTGTTGACGCACGTGCCACTGTCATGGACATAAAGAAAATGATGGCCGGTGCGTTCAGGATTGATCATATTGGTATCGTCTCTCCAATTGGCCGTGCTAACATTCCACAGAGTTTCAAGCAATCAATTCTAGTACGGCTATCGACACGAACCAACGATTAACTGATATTCAGTTCTCCAACATTACCTCCAGCATGGCAATTTCTCCACTAGGAGATCACATAAAGACACTCCAGCACCTTGTGCTCATGGCAAAGCGTGCTAGGATGCCGGAAAAGTAGTCCATCAGAGTCTATGTTCCTCTAGAACACTGATGGCTTGGTCGAGCTCGGTTGTACCTGAAACGGCGGCAATCAAGGGATCCTTCAGCATCCGACTTTCCGTGAGACATTTCTGTGTTGCCATAATTGAACAGTTGCAGCAGTCAAGCGTCACTGTACTCTGGGCGTTTAACAACATGACGAATGACGTCAGACCTTCCGATCGAAGCCATATCTCGTCGGTGGACATTCTGAAGCACTTGACAGTTCAGGCCTTGAAAGCAACAAAATCCTCCGCCCACGAGAAGGCCCTTTCGGTAACTTGCTCTCAATTTCAATCTTCTACGACGCCAGAGGAATGGTTCCAGATTTTCGAATGTGTGGTTACTCGACTCACTGGGCCTGTCTTCATCATCGATCATCATGTCCTGCACAACGTCAGCCTTGCCGTAGAAGGCTTCAACTGGTCAGCAGCCCTGGTAGCACTCATGAACTCGCTCTCACAACGCAGCACTCGGACTATCCTCAACTTTCTACTCGTCGGATATGGTCCAACCACCTCAGCTCAAATCAGCACTACACACCTTGGTAACAAGATCGTGAGCATCAAATCTCCACGAGCCGTAAAGTATCGCAATAATACAGGGAATCGAGGGGCAGCGGTGAAGCTGAGGCAATCCTGGGTTGACGGAGTGTGAACGATTTCCACGATGATTCACACCTGCAGTCGTCGTCGCATGTGTCAGTGGAGTGGGAATACCGCTCCACTTTAGGCCAGGTCCCAGGGGAAATCGCACGTGGACGGGGGATTTGGTATGGGCATCAGCTCCGCTTGAGCCCAGCGTTAGATCGAACGTAGACTCAGATTTTGCGGAAACATCATGCCCGGAAGTCATTCGAAATGCAACACTTTGGAACAGTTCAGGTGCAAAAAGGAAGAACATACAACACCGGGTATTCGCTGGTCGTCACCGACCCAACTACTAATCCAGCTGTTACCAGCTTGTCTATGGGAGAGCGGACGGGATCCCGAATTTTCTGGTACATATGGTCGTATGTGCTTGGTAGTGGGGTGGTGTTTATTATATACCAAAAGTTAATCTTTTCACTGCTGCCTGCTATGATTTTTGCGTATGTCCACCAGAGTTTCCACAACCGGGGTGAGGTGTGTTATGCTCTGCGTCATATAGCTCACAAACAATGGCTCCATGCTACCGAGAGGAGCTGCTCCGACTTTTTGGCCCTAATCGGCCACCAAGGGTGCCACCACGGCCCTGGTCTCCCCCAGAAGACCCTGACAGGCCCTCGCTGCCCTACCTGCCGGGATTCCAGACACACATTCAATCACATGTTGCCCCTGCGCCCTTTGGCAGCGAAAGACTATACGGCTCTTGGCCGCGGGAACAGGTGTCCAGCGACGAGCTGCAGACCTTGACGCAGAGCGCTCTTGTCGTGTCACCCGCCGATGGAGGCAACGATGGCATCTTCCGACACGGAGGTCCAGTCAGAGATGGCCCAGCTCACAATAGCCTCGCATATCGGGGTTGGTTGCGATGCTGGCGCCCAGGTCGTCGTCTGCACCGTCGCAAAGCACGGCGAGCCGCCTTTCGAGGTCGTCGCTAAGATATATGACGCGCTCTACTACCGCTTCAGCCACAGCATAGCTTCGCGGCCGCGAGACGTCACGGCTGAGGCGGACAAGGACTACGCCACGGAGGCTGCTGCATACAAGCAGCTAACCACCGCCGGTAAAGCAGGTCAAGCCACTCCGGCGTACTACGGATCATGGACATTCGACGTCAAGCGGGGGCGTACAGCAGACGAGGCCAGTCCCCCTTGTGCTTATAGAGCACGTGCAAGGGTCGAATATCCGGGGCTTGCGGATCCGGACCAGTGACCCTTTTTGGGATAGCCGGGACACCTTTCACCTTCCCGAGAAGTATCGTCTTGAGGTACTCGCGCGCGCCATGGATGCCTATGTGCGTGCATTGCATTGCGGCGTTGAGCAAAACGATTTCGCCGATCGTAACGTTATGATCAGTTCCAAGGATACGAGCATTACTACAGACATCACCGGTACCGGCATCCCTTGTGTTGTGGTCGTCGACTACAACACAGCGATTTCCTACAGCTGTACGCTCGGCGGGAGAAGTACAGAGGAGAGTTCAGCTTTGCCTGTGAGCCCTGTGCAGTGGTTTTGGAAACAAGCGGTAGGCGGAGATTTCCTTGGCTGGGTGCCGCCGGAGTGGGAGGCTGTTCGGAAGCCAATGCAGGAGTGGCTTGTGCAGAGATTTGGCAGTGAGGAACAGAGGGCGTTGTACGAACCAGTCGCCAAGGAACTTATGGTTGATGAATGGTAATAGTCCTATGAAAGATATCAGGACACGTTGGGAAGACCAGCAAAGGTCAAAGATTATGAACGTATAGAAGATCTTCAGCGTTTACTCAAGACGGAACCATAGCATCAAGGACGTTGACAACTTAATGGCCTGAACTTTCAAGAGCCCCCTTGTCGTTGTCATGACTTCCTTTGGTCTTGAAAGTTGAAAGGCCGTTTTTGATGAGATTGAATACGATGAACTAGTTATGTACCTAGGTAGCCTTTTCACCCAAGATCTGTACGCTCTGGAGAAGAGGTGTGGCGTTGGCCTGAGTGACACTGAATCGAATCTGCGTGGCCGGAACAGCTGTGCCCAACCTATCGATCCGTTTATACCCGAGTGAAGTGCCATTGACGGCCGTCTGATACGTTCCATCCACGGCAACCTCAATTGTATAACCACCAATGCGCTGACCTAGAGCAATGTGCTCCTGAACTATGAAAGCATCCACCGAGTACACGCCACCGAGGTCGATCTCCACCCACCCCGTGGTCTCGTTAGCATCGACGGCCCAGTACGTAGCGGTGTCATTGTTGATCACATTGACCGGTCCATACAGCGCCGCGTCCCCGTCTCGGATGCTGCTCACAGTCGTGTTGAGCCCAGGCGTCAGGATCTCCCGGTCAATGAAGGCGTCGCGCAGTCCCTTGAAAGCCACGAGCGAGTCAACATCCACCTGCTGGATGACGCCGTCCGTGTCAGGCGGCACATCAAGCAGCAGGTTGACGCTCCTGGCCACAGACTGCATGTACATATCCATCAGTGCCTGCGCCGTCTTGGGCGCCTCGCTGGCGTGCCAGAACCAGCCGTCGCGGATGCGCGCGTCGGCCTCGGCGGGCGTCCAGTACAGCCCGTCGCGGACGCCGCTCTGCAGCTCCTCCCCGCCGTAGCGCGCGTCGTCCTGCGTGCGGCTGATGGTGTGCCAGTTGGTGGCGACCGTGACGCCGTCCTCGTTGCCGACCCAGCGCGCGTCGACGCCCTGGTGGCCCCACATGACGGCGCCCGGCTGGTGCTCGCGGATGATGTCGCGGAACAGCGCCCAGTCGAACGTCTGCACCGTGTCCGAGCCGCTGGCGCCGTCGAGCTAGATCTCGAACAGCTCGACCGCGGAGCCGTCGCCGAGCGCCATCGTCACGAGCTCGGTCAGCTGCGCCGCGTACAGCGCGTTGTAGTCGCCGTCCGTCGCGTCGCCGAAGTTCTGCGGCTCGTCGTAGATGGTGCCCGCGAGGCCGGGCTTGGGCATCGCGGGGTCGCGGTGGATGTCCCATGGGGACAGGTACACGCCGAAGTTGATGCCGTACTTTTTCGCTGAGGCGGCGGCCAGACGGACCACGTTGGTCCCGATCCCCAGGGCGGTGCGGTTCTTGGCCCACGCGCCGTTGTCGATCTTGTACGTTGTCGTGGACGTGTTCCAGAGCGCCATTCCATCGTGGTGCTTTGGGGTTAGGATCATGCCAGTCATGCCTGCGTCGGCGAATGTCTTGGCCCATTGGTCTGTGTCCAGGACGACGGGGTTGAAGACATCTGGCGGGCTCTGGCTTCTTCCCCACTCCTCATCTGTGAAGGTATTAGGCCCAAAGTGGATGAAGGCATAATATTCTAGTTCATGCCAGGCGGCCTGTCGCTGTGTGGGCACACGGAGATATGCTGCTGGCGGGCCAGCTTGGGCATGAGCCCGAGAAGCGAACAAGGCCGATGAGCAGACCAAGGTGAGGAGAAAACGATGGCACCAGCCAGATGCCAAGCAATTCGATGATTCCACCATATTTGCAAAGAGGTTTCTTTACCCTGGTGATAACTAAATATCTACAACAATAGCTGAGTTTTGACGAATTGGGACCACTTGGTGTACTGGTTCGTTAGAACCGTGTTTCCATTGTTTGTGCAAAGAGTGAGGAGTCGGCACGTGCCAAACCGAGCTGTAATACAACGAACATTTGCGCAACGCGATATTTTCTCGTTTCCTCATGACGTATTACATCCTCCCTCCTACAATTTTCGGATGCGCTAGGCCTCATCAGCTGGCCTGGACAATGCAGAGACTGGGCGCGTGCGGAGGGGAGTGGTGTGGGCATAGAATGGGCAGGTCATGCAGGAGCTTGCCGCCCAGTGCCTTGATCCTTCATTACCTGCAAGCGGTCGCTCTCATTATTTGACCGTCAAGTGCATATCTTATCAATATGAGGAATCTCTTGGCTGCCGTTGCTTAATAGTGCACTTCGTAAAAAAAAATTTTCAATTTGCTTAAATAGGGCGAAGTCTAAAGAAGCCCGAGGTCACTGCATGCTATCGAAGTGGAAGTTTCTTGTCCCCGTGTTTTGCCGGCGTCTTGTTGTCAACCTTTTTCTCCGTCATATTCTTGCCATTCTGTTCCGGCACCCCTATGTCTGTTACCTTGCTGGGTGATCTAAAAACTGTCGGCTTCTGATCCTTACCATTTCGATTGAATAGTCTAAGCAGGTCCAGAAAAGTTGCGGTTGTAGTTGTCGGAACTTATAGACCTCTGGGCTTCGTTGCCGCGTTCTCTTCAACACCGGCATCAATCTTGCTCGAGATAGGGTGACTGGTATCGGCCATTCCATGAGTTTCATTTATTACCAAGCCTTGAAACGCTTTCAATGCCATCTTATTTTTATCTTGACGGGCGACGTCGCCAGAATTCACCCTTTTACTCGCAGACATAAAGGTGGCTGTTTTGTTCCGAGGCGGTTAAGCGACCTGCTTGACGGCGAGAGTGCTCTTAGGGTCTGAGGCCATATCTTATGATTAGGGATGGAGAGGTGGATTCAATGTATCTGATGGCTGTTCTTATGTAATTGGCGATGATGGAAGCAGTAGGTCAATGAGAGGCAAGGCAAAGATGCAATGAATATATGATGAAATTGGGTTTTGATGACTTGATTATATCGAAGCAAGTGTCACAGGGACCAGTAGGTTGTTGTGTGGTATTTATTTTCAAAGCTAGAGCGGAACCGGCGGCAGCAGAATTCGCCAGTTGTGGACTGATGCCAACATTGACCGCACGTAGAACGTTGCGACTTGAGGCTAGACCGAGGTTTTAAAAAAGGCCGACCTGCTGAACCAGCCACATGGGCCCACGAAAGGCCCAAAGCTGAGGCGCAGCATTTGATGTCTCTGTGGACAACAAGATACTGAACCAATTGGGGCCGACAAAATGAGTGCATTGCAATAAAGAGAAACGTGGTCGTACTTGTAGTGGGCTTTTGGCCCGGGCTAATTTTCTGCAGCCTTGTGGAGTGTGTAACCCCAAAATAGTTCTAGTCCTGTTGGTTCACTGATTTCCAAGGTTACCCATTCCAAGGCGCACTTCGATCTCCAAAACAAGAAACAAAATGTCGCGCGCCGTCAACCCATCGGCCACTTTTTACCAGGTCAATCCTAGGACATTTCAGTTCGGCAATCGATTCACTCTCTCTATTCAATACGGCGCTCAGCTACAATGCACTCCGACGATGATAATCTTCTGCAGCTGGTCCGAAAAATATGCCCCGAGCTGCCCGGGGCTACGGCCGGCCCACTGAGACTTTGGGCTCCGCTTCAAGACCCGGACAGACCCAGCCTGCCCTACATACCAGGCTTCACGGTGCAGATCGTGCCTCACGAAGCGCCTCTGCCTTTTGGTAATGAGAAAGAGTACGGTCCCTGGCCCCGCAGGGTGCCCTCCGCCGCTGAGCTGGAAACAATGACGCAAAGCGCCCTTGTTGTCTCTCACCGCCGTTGGAGGCAAATTCGACCACTTCAACTACGATCTCTACACCAGAATTATACCAGGGCCAGACCGCACAACTCACTGTTACTTCCTATATTCGTGTCGGCTGTGGCCATGGTGCCCAGATAGTGCGTTGTACCGTTGCACAACCAGGCAAGCCTTTATTCCAGGCCGTTGCAAAGATCTTCAATGCGTTATATTACCGCTTTACCCACGATCTAGCCAGAAGACCCCGCGATACCACAGCTCAAGCAGATATGGATTATACCAGGGAGGTTGCTGCTTATAGTCGCCTCATGTCCATCGGAGAGACAGGCAGAAGTATCCCAAAATTCTATGGATCGTGGACTTTCCAACTGCCTATCGCAAGCCAAGGAGTTGTATATCAGAGGCCAGTGCGAGTGCTCTTGATCGATCACCTTGAAGGGTTGGATTTGCAGAGCTCACGCATCCAGAATGACTACCTTGCGCACAACAGTCTAGATGCATTCCACCTGCCCGAGGACTACCGCCTAGAGGTACTGGCGCGGGTTTTAGATTCTCATGCGTGGTTTATGCACTGGGGAGTTAACCATGGGGATCTGGCTGGCCGTAATGTGATGCTCGTTACCGATACCAGCGCCAAACTCAGCACCGGCAACAACAGCATCATCAGTATCCCGCGCGTTGTACTAGTTGATTTCAACGTGTCTACTGTTTATAGCTGTACCCTTATGGGCAAGCACTCTTTTGAGAACCTGGCTCGCCCAGTGAGCCCCATGGAGTTGTTTTGGAAGTGGTCTCTGGCTGTTGACTTTGAAGGATGGGTCCCTCGAGAATGGGCAGACTCTGAAAGGCTACAGCAGCAGTGGCTGCTGCGGAGATTTGGTAGCGAAGAGCAGAAAGCCCTGTACGAACCTGTGACCAAGGAGCTTGAGTTTAGCATCGATTAGTTCTCATCCTTCAAACGTATGAGCATTTCACATCACATTGTTCAGTTGCCTCACGAGACCTGGTGTGGATCATAGCAGCGCTCTTGCAACCAAAAAGGCTGTTTTCGTATACTGTGCCGCAGGGAATGCAATCAGTCCCACTTGGAGAGCAACTTCCTGTCGCAGTGTTTACACTTTATCGGGTAACTTCCGGCCAGTCTATCTCCGTGGAAAGGCCCACCAGACCATTATGCAGCCAGAGGAAAATAGACAAGAACCAGATATTACATCCCTGGCAGGCCTGTTGGTCTCAATATTCTATTAATAACGACCTAATGCGGCGCTGGCTGTATCAGAGGTGTGGGCGGAAGGAATGGCCGCTATTCTGGTTGCACTCACTCCTAGGCCGAAAGCCAACTGAATTCGTTACAGGGTCCGTTAGCGATGAGCCAATCGATCGCGCGTGCATGGGTTGAATGGAAGATTAATTACCAGTTGGACAGGGAGCATGTATACCTGAAGGAGCATGCCACCCAATATTTCAACGAAAGCGACGTGGTGCGAACAGCGGCCATGTATCTCGTGCATCCAGTCGTGGTTGGCCTCAATTCCGATCTAGCCATGTACAGCATAATTGGACTCCAGTTTGAGGATGTCCACAACCAAGTTCGAAGCGATATTACCTTTTACCGTACGATGCAGAACCGTTCCCGCCCCATCGCTGTGCTGGAATTCAAGCGACGGGGTGTCATTAAACCGGCTCAACTCAATGATGCCATCATCCAGGGCGCCAACGTCGGAAATATTACTCAACAACAGCCAGGCCAACCAAATGGAACCACCAGGATGCAGTATGCCTTGAACAAAGCAAGCTCCTATACAAATAACTCTTTGTTCAACAACACCGATATGTATAGGTTGGTTTGCCAGGCAAGCGCTTATGCGGTTACCTTCCAAACTAGGCACATCGTGTTGTGTGACTGGAATTATTTGGTCCTCTGTCACTTTGTTGCCATGCGCTTCGCGACCGCCACTACGCCTACCGCCGATGTTGGAGACTTTATCGAGGTCCAGATTATCCCTATGGGCACCACTTCTGGGCGAGGCTTAGCGTTTCAAAACTCCATTGGTTCCAAGCAGTTTCAACCCGCACTGCTTGGCTTCCTAAAAGACGCCTATGATACAACTCCCTAGGTGTTACCAGACCCTCAAAATTGAGACGCTCGATCTAGATTTCAACCTCACCGACGCGAAATCTTCAGCGCGGTGGGTTATCGGAAGTAGGCCCACTACCTAGCAGCGCCAGTGCTCCATTTGGGAATACAAGTCCCATAAAGCCAACTTCCCCTTTAGAAAATAAAACATGAAGCACATTTAAGATGTCTATTTCCCAGTGTCAAAGTGCTGACGAGACAATCAACCAGCCAACCGGGTGATGTCAAACTATCCTACCGCTGACAACATTTGAAGAGAACCATGGAATGCTGCGTACCTGGCTACCGGCCCTCTCCATCTCGCCCTTCCGCAATCCGCTTGCCCAGAGCTGCTCGCCCAATTTGTCTGCCAATTAAACGCCTCCTAACCAGTAATCGCTCTTCCTATTAGGACTAGTAACATGTAGATACTAAGCAGCATCCCCACATCATGACCTGGTATAGCTTCAGAACTTGTCTCATCAGCCTTTCCCAATACTAGTCACCATACAGGTACAGCCACATATGGGCGCTACATACCAGTACCGCATCACATTATTCCAGATTAAGCATCAATTCAATAGCAGGAAGCAATCACACCTAGGCACCTAGTTTTCTCCATAGGATATCACACCAACTTCGAGTACACCATTGAACCCTTCTATGACAGCACAAACTAAATTAGGCATTTGAGATTCACGCATCTACCGCTAGCTATAGTTAGTTCAAGGGGCGCCGCAAGGCAAGCATGCAAGAAGGCAGCCAGCTCGCCATTACGGCGCAGCCCCCTTAGCCAGTGGCTACAGTATATAAACTACCTAATCACTATCTAGCAATTAGAAAAAGTACTGCATAGCTTGCCTACCAGGTACTTCTCAGGGTATACGACGCTGCCAGTACGGTGCGACTGACATGGCCAATCACGAAAGCGGCAGCGCGGACCGCGTCACAGTTATTACAAGAAATTGACACATTAATATTAAACACCTGCTGCAGCACCAGTGGTAACAATGTTACTACAATCAGCTTCCTTACCTAGGAGCCAACTGAAGCCCTTGATCTGATCCTCGCGAAACCTCTGACTCGCTTTGAGAGACGGGAAAAAGCCCCAATGACCGTGTGGCAGGCCAGGATAGACATCAAGTCTGGTATCAATTCCATACCCATTTCTTAGCTCATGTTCATAGATGAGTGCATCGTCTCTGAAGGGATCCATCCCACCAGCTTGTAGGAAAGCCGGGGGAAGACCCGCGTGACCTCTTGGGTGGTTGAACGAGGCAAACCAGACACCGTCATCTTGATCGGGCTTATAACCATCCATAAACATGTCCATCTGCGCAACGTTGACAACGAGAGCGTGCCTGTTTTGCTCATGCGATAGGGCAAACGGCTTGAATCTGGCCGGGACCCTCGAGTTGGGCAGGATCACTGGGGCTGCGAGGTACTGCCCCGTCAATGGAGGTGAAAGACCCTCGTCCCGGGCCAGATGGACGACGACCGACGCAAGATTTGCTCCTGCCGAGGAACCTCCGACAATGAAGCCGGCCGAGGGATCGGCACCCCACGAATTGGCGTTTGATGCGGCCCATCTGATACAGGCCCAGGCATCACGGGGCGCGCATGGAAACCGATGCTCGGGCGCCAGCCTGTAAGACGCCGAGATGCACGTGGCCCCAAAGGCCGCGACAAGGTTCCTGCATGTCTGCTCCTCACCCTCTGGTGATCCTATACAGAAGCCTCCTCCGTGAAATAAGACTATCAGTGGGCTGTTATTCTTTGAGGCGTCCTCTGGTTGGTAGAGTTTTGCCCGTAGCTTGATGCCTTCTTCGCTGGGGTACCAGAGTTCTCGTTGCGTGACGCCAGCAGGAGGTGGACCCAAAGCATTCATACCCTCCCTGTCGCGCTCCTCGGCCTGGCTCTTGAATGTCTCCAGGCTGTCAAAGTTTGGTGGCGGTAGGTTGGTGCTCTGCAAGAACTAGATATATCATGTCAGAAAACGCGACGAGTAATTACTGTTCAGACGCACTTACGGCTTCGAACTCTGGGTCAATTTGGCCCAGAGACAGTTGGTACTCCCTATCAAGCATGGTATTTGTCGAAGAACAGGATTATCTATCCTTCCCTTAAATAGTCCACTCAAGTTTCTGTCTACGGAAGCCGGCGGTTCAGATACGGTCTTTTTCTGCAGATTCTCGCTAGCAAGCCCTGGAATCTGCTGGGTTGGTTGTTTTGTTCCGTACAGTCTGTCGTTCGTCTTGGTTGAATAAACGCATTTGTGCCAAGTCACTTTGCCGCTTGCCAATCCTGTCCTTATATAAATTATCAACGTCAGACCAGGCCTGTTTCATTCTTGTTTTGTCTCCCCATTCTTCTTCCTGCAAAGCGCCGTTGGTGATGCCCAAAGGTGGGCACGGCGTTTGACGTTTCGGGACTAGCCGTCGGTGTCCAGTTCCGCCGCCTATGGCTTATTCCAGGATCAGCTTGTGATTTAGCAAACATTAACGTAAGGTAAGAGATGCAATGTTAAGCGGCTGTGGAGAAACCCGGGGCTTTGCGGGGTTCAAACCACCGCCAGTGCTGTAACGAGGTTCGGAGTAGTTAGCTCACGCCGGCTGTCCGACGTTCCGGCTGGTCCGGTTGACCTTCTTGCGGCTCACAAGCCTGCCGTCATTCTTGCTGAGCATGCCGTTACCGGCGCAGGTGTCCTTGAAGCTGACACGCGATACAGTCAGTTGCACCTACCGCGACCATGATTCTAGCATCAGATATCCCGTTCAACGTGGATTCACTCCAGCCTCGGCCTTCTCGCCAAGTGGGACCTCACAGAGCCTGTGAGGCCTGCAGACGGTACGTTGTCAGGCATGAGGGATGCATTCGATGACAAAAGCTAATCATGAATCTTTCTTGGTTAAGGAAAAAGACAAAATGTATGTTCTGTCGTGGCCATGCATCCCCGACACGTTCCATCACCTCTCCTTCTTGACCAACCTATTCAAAATCGCTGAGACGCCACTTCAGGTGACATGCAACGGCCAGTCTGTAACCTATGCGTCCGCGTAGGTAGCGAATGTGTCTTTCCCACCAAGAGAAGCTACACAAAGAGGAAGCAGCGGTCCAACCGTACGTCCGGGTCCCAAGGTAGTGCCATTGGTATGTTGATGTATCGCCTGTTGATAACCAAAGATCAACACTGATTAGTATTTTGATGAGCACTGTAGACTGCGTCTTGGATTTCTCCGATCAGGAGCCACTGCAGCTTCAGCGAGCAGAGCCCAATAACGCAGATTTCAGGATGGGTTCTGCGCGGTCCGACCGCGAGCTTCGAGACAGCATTGTTGTAAGCCAAACTAGGAATTATAACGGCGATTCCCCTGCCAGTGGCCTCGAAAGCCCCCTCGAATCCGAGTCCTCCATCAGCCTTCGGCCTGGTTCAGACGAGGAATCGATCCAAGACATCTTGTGCACTGATGTGTGGGGTTCCTTGCTTAATTTCGGTCCCTTTCTTGACATGGACAACTTGTTGAGTGAGCAACTCGGGCAGAACGATTTTCTCGACGACCCAAGCTTGTCAACTAGTCTTCAGCACGAGACAGGAGGCATGTCTTTGTTGCAAAATGAACGTGTCGGAGATCCTGGAGATGGCATGGTAGCGAGCGAATCTGCAGTAAATTCAAGCTCGACCTCAGATCCAGTGACAGGGCCCAATAGCTACGCCATCATGGTGTCACCGTCACTCTTGCGTGAATTGTGAGCAGAACTCTAGTACCTGAACGAAATCAGCTGCCTTCTAACTCCAAACAACAGGGTCGACGTCTTCTTTGATAAGGTGAGCGCCTCGCTACCCATATTCCATCGACAACGATTCTACCATCGTTACTTCCCCACACGGGAAGTCGACAAAGCAGCGCATCGAGAGGAACCTCTCGAGTCAGCTCTCTTGTTCAATGGAATCATGGCCCTATCTGCCCGTTTCTCACAGTCTCCACATTTTGCAAGCATCAACCCCTTGACAAGAGGCGAGCCGTTCGCCCGGGAAGCTCAGAAGATATACGCAGACGCAACCGCGGCACAGAGAGACGAGACGCCCACTCTGGAGCATCTTCAGGGCATCATCCTCATTGCTTATTACCACTATTCGAACAGTGCCACCTCGTTTGCGTGGACCTTGACAGGGGTTTGTGCTCGGCTCGCCTACGACCTCTCGATTGATAGCCTCGATCAGAGTCTGCGGATAGATCCTTCAGCCTGCCATTCGGAGGCTCCTGAAGAATGGATAGTTAAGGAAGAGTACCGTCGAGCGTGGTGGTCAGTCTGGGAGCTGGATGCGTTTGCGTCTATGGTCACGAGACGGCCACAGACGATCGATAACACCAGGATGCATGTTCTGCTCCCGGTCTCTGACCAAGCATGGCTTCAAGGAAAGCCTGTGGCCTCTGCCTTTATGGGCAACTCGCCAGAGACGGCCTGGAAGGCGCTCCGGTCCTGTCCCAATCAAGACGAGAGAGCTTGGCATCTAGTTGCCACTTGTCTCCTGGCATCAGCCTACGATCTGCGAGCTCGAGATAATGTCTCTGCTGCCGCCAAAGATGCCATGGAAACGACTCTCTTGTGCTTCAGCCTTGGCCTTCCCCAACACTTCACTACCATTTCCAGCAACGTCATCTTTGCCGACGAGACTTTCGCTGCGGGAAACTGGGCTGTCACCACGAACCTGCTGCTCCTCAGGTAGGCAAAACGTTACCAATCTCTGTCCCTCGTTTTGACCCGTTTCCAAGGAGGTTCCGCTAACCACTTTTTGGTACTCGCAGTGCTCGTACCCACGCTGCACTAACTGTTACGTCGTCGTCTGATCCTGAGCCAAGTTCACCGCTCTGTAACGTACCGACGGAGGCATCAAGGACACGCGAGTTGTCGGCTAAATGCCTCCAGTTAGCTCATGACGCAGCTCGAGTTGTCAAAGCCTGGTCCCCGGATTACGCTGTGTATGCCTCGCCCTTTGTCGTGTGCTCTCTCGTCGGCCCAGCTGTGGCGCATCTGCTCTCCCACAATCCTTCTGTGCAATCCGTTACACCCAGTAGCCTTGACCGAAATCTCTTGCTCCTCTTCCTCGGACGTTTCGCGGAATATTGGGGACTTGGATCGCGTATGCAAGGTGAGTCTGTACTTGCTTGATCAAGTAGATCAATTAACTAATGCTAACATGGTAATATTAGACTTATGCAAAGTCCTGACCAATTTGGCCAAGGCCTCGACAACAACACTGACAGTGGGTGAACTTGAAACTGTCTCACGATACCCAATGGTTGCGCCGGCTTTGAGAACCACAGTGTCGTTGACACGTCCCAAGAATAGGACTGTCATCGGTTGCCACGAGAGGCTGGCAAGGACAAGCTAGGCATGGCTGAGCAGGCGAACATCTATCGGTAGGACGGTCATGAACTATACAAGTCGGGTATCAGTGGATTGAGGTTGGGCAGGTGACTAAACACTTGATGTTGAACATGTAGTCTTTGTTGCTAAAGTTTAAAAGAAACATCACATCACAGCCTATATCTCAAACATGACCGTTTGCCTTTGGACGAAACTCCTTGGCAGCTTCCCTCATGTTAGTCCTCCAGCTCACAGAGTACGCCTTCTGGAACTCCATTGCTTCATCCATCGTCATTCCTCTTGCAAGCATGCGTAGAAACCAATCCTGCTGCACTGCCGCTTCTGCGGGCTGCGACTGAAGACGCAGCTTGTTTTCTGTCGTGACCGGGTTCACAAAGTACTGGAATACCTTTCGGCGCTCATCCGAGTACAGGTCTAGGATATCATCTGGATACCCTTCGTTCAAGACCATGACGAGCGCCTCACCGAGAGCATCGGCGTCCAACATGCCTGTTGAGAGTCCCATAGCCCCGATGGGCTGCGAACAGTCAGCGTAGGCTTGTGATTTGAACCAAGTCTTGGCTGCTTAGAATCTACTCACATTGTTCGCATGGCCGGCATCTCCTGCCAGCACACAGTTTCCCTTCCTGAGGGTTGAAGCAAGTCGCTGGTGAATTCGATAGACGGCGCGATTCTTGATTTGTACCTGGAGAGGTCTAGGACCAGCTATATTTGACTCGTAGTGTCGCAGGATGTTTTCGTCTGCCAGAAGCTCATCGTCTGGGCGTTCATCGCTGGGGCTGCAAGCAACTGAGTGTCTCCAGAGCGAGAATCCACCTGCTACAGGGGCCTCAAGGGGAGTTGTGACTGCGTAGTGAACGGGGGCCATGGTGAAATGAGTCTCCCAGGGTGAGAGCTCATGATTCTTCAACAGCACGTCCGTGGCGATGAGTCTTTCAGGCCACGTATGGCCAACCCATGGCAAACCAAGAGCTCGGCGTACACCTGACCGCGCCCCATCGGCGGCCACGAGGTAGTCTCCTTGGAATTGCTTCTCGGCTCCGTTTCGCGAGTCGTGTGCATTGATGATGACTCCTTCGGGGCCATTACAGACCATGGACGAGAACTCGGTGCTGTAATGAATTTTGACGCGTTCCGTCTCGAGAGCCTCTTGAAGAAACAGATTGTTGAGCTCAGCTTGCGGCAAATTCAGGCACCCCGCTCCAACCGGGATAGCCTCATCGTCGGGCGCGCATAGAGGTAGTGCAGCGACGAGTGGTCCAAGCTGTTTCCCGCCTCTGCCATCGTCTTGGGGCTTGCCTCTCCAGCAGATGCCTCGGCTCATGTGGCCTCGCTCCGTGGCCTTTTGGTACAACCCAAGCTCGTTTAGGACATCGAGGGGGCCGCCATACGTGCCACAGGCCCGCGGAATAGTGCTGAGACCAAATTCTCTTTCAATGATATCGACATAAATGCCTGCCCGTCCCAGCTTCAAGGCAGTCAGACAGCCAACCGGGCCACCGCCAACAACAACGACGCGCTTAGAGGTCTTGGTCGACAAAGGTGTTTCCTGAGACATTGTACATAAACTGATAAATATGCTCTTTTCTTCTGCGTTGCCGATTCCCTGCGTTAGATTTTTAAAGAATGTCCGTCACACTACCCAGTGTAGGACATCGCCAGCAGATGTAGGCAGAGGTGACTATTAAACTTTCGCATTTGTCTGTTGACCCCGCAGCAATAGCGAAAACTGACTAATCTTTAGTCAGACGGCACGGCAATTTCGGACCCAAATAGGACATTTAGACCACCTCGAAATCGCGGACAAACTCGAGACTAACACGGTGAGAATTTACGCATGCTCGGCGGAATCGTCACAAGTCTCTTAAGGTCACGGAGAAAACACGGCAAGCAAAGTGGCCCGAGGTACTTTTCTAAAGCCGATTCAGCAAGGTTCATTTTGAAAGGTCACACTGAATGTTGTCGCTAGTCTTCGTTTTGCACGGCCCATTCCACTGCAGCTACGCAAGAAGATTCTTTAATTTCGTTTTACCAGCCCCATAGCTTTACATTTGCAAACCTAGAGCTGATGAAAATGAAAGGGGCGTGGATAGAGAGGTACATCACGTGCTGTTCATGGAAGACAAGTTGTCAAGAGACTGTCACACAACTTGGTTCTCGAGCAAAGACCACAAGATGAATCACTAGAAAACGGAATCAGCATAATTGGAAGAACCTTGAGCTTGAGAGAGCAGGAAAGCAGCAAAGATGGTGCCCAGTTTGGGGTTGATACAGAGCTGGAGAGCCACTACATCCCAAGATGCCTTCCCCAGCTATCCCGACATTCAAGTGCTAGTATTAAATACAGGCGGATCTCTTGGTCCAATCTCTTCCCTCTTCTTCAACACTGCATCCGGTACGCCGTTTTTGACTTTGACAATGAGCTCTTCTGGGTCGAAGTCTGTTCCAATGGGATTGTTGATGAAATACGACGACTTCATGAAAGCATCCGCCTCCTCAGCCGTGGGATAATTGTCGACCTGGGTCTCGACCCTGTTTCCATCAGGGTCCAGGTAGTAAATGCTCGTAGAGGGGCCGTGGTTGACACACCACATGGGGAGCATCCCCTTGGCCTTGCGCTGACGATACGACAGTAGCAGGTCGGCCAAAGTTGGGAAGGTGAAGGCGATGTGCTCAAGTCCGGAGCTCGAAGAGATTTTGGGGCCGGTACCTGGTCTTCCAATAAGAGCGATGCGGTGGTGTTCATAGTCGTAGGTGATGAAGCTGAACAGCGAGGTGGAGTGGACAACTCTTCCGCCGAGGAAGTCAACATAAAATTTCTCCATCTCTTTCAGCTTTGCGGTGCGCAGGACGACGTGAGCCAGGGCCGAGGGGCTGAGTGCTTTGTCGCCATAGGCCTCAAAGTCGACGTCCGAAGACTTGCCATTGGTTTCTTCGGGTTTGTTCATGATGGGTGGGTCGAGGCTAGCTAGATTTGGAGGTAGTAAGATAAGAGACTGGTTTGCCGTGCGTTGAATCTTTTAGTAGTCGTGATACAAACTTCAGTGATGTAGTTGCGGTCTTCTTATGAAGTAATAGTTCTCGGCATGAATCACCCGGAATTTGGTCCATGCTCTTGCGTCGAAATCGCCATTCGCCAGCGGCCTTGAACTCAGGCTTTACTCAAATCGGTAATTGCCGTCCCCACTTTTCTTCGTGCCTGATTGGGCGAATCTCTGCCGAACCAGAACTTCGTGACAGGACAGAAGCCCTTTGTTTCTTAATCATAGACAGCCACAAGAGTTCTCTGATTGTCACTCGAGATAATGCGGTCGTACCGCTAAGGGTTTGCGTCTTTCAATGCATTCCATTAGATGACTCGGCTTCTTTCGTAAGCACAGTCTCCAGGCAGATTGATATCAGCACTGCAAGGAGATCATGAGGTCGGTACCCGGGTTTTGTACCTAGGTATGAGACAGTGCCGTGTCATGGCAATCTGTGAGCAAGAAGCGCGTTTGAATGTCATACTATGCAAGGTGAACATCCCAAGTACGAATTGGTGTTGACCCAAGTATACCAGCTATTAGAATTCAGGCGCCCTGACGAAAGGCCGATGTAATCTCCACGACAACACAGTAGTAGCAAATATATTCAGAAGCCTATCAATTTATTTGCCATTGTCCCAATCTTGGAGATCCTGATCTTCACAACGTCGCTCTTCTGTAGCCAAGGGGGTGGAGACAAGGAATTCGCAACGCCGCTGGGTGTCCCCGTCATGACGACGGTGCCCTTTCGCAAAGTCCTTCCCTGCGACAAGAATGAGGTGATTTGGAAGCAGTCGAAAATCATGTCAGAGGTCAATGAATGTTGACGCTGCGTCTCGTTGACCCAGAGCGTCAAGGAGAGCGAAGACGGATCGACTGAAGCAGCCGATCGAATTGTGGGCCCAATTGGCGCAAATCCGTCAAATCCTTTGGCGTAGCAGAATTGCCTACCCGAATATGGCAGGCGTTGCCAATGGCGGGCGCTGAGATCATTGCCAGCAGTGTAGCCAAGAATGTACTCGGGCGCCTCCTCTGGAGATACATCTTTGCAGTCTTTCCCTATGATCAGGCATAGTTCAGCCTAAGTAATGGTCAGCAAGTCCAAGATCAGGTGAATCTTTTGGTCAGGGACGGGCGGTCAACTAATTCACCTCCCAGTCAAGTTCCATAGCACAGGGTGAGACTTCAATGTTGTCAAATGGGCCAGCCAGACAGTCTACCAGGTTTTAGCCAAGTTTATGTCGCGGACAATTGGGAAGCGCATAAAATACCTTCTGGCTTGACGAAGACAACTGGGCATACGGGAACTTGATGCTAGATAGAGTACGTCAGTTCTTAATTTCTGTAAGGCCATTGAAACAAGAGGCACGGACTTACAGGAGTCTCTTTGACGTGCGCAAGATAGTTCATCCCAATACATGGAATGCTAGGACTCGACTCTAAAGGACACAGGACCTGTTGAACGTCAGTAACGAAAGGTTGTCTGAGGTGACTCTGTGTAGCGCTCACCTCCTTGATGGTGGCTTTTTGCCCAGTTCTCTCGACGCCGCCCTGGAAGGGGTCACCGGCTAGGACATGGACGACGCCTCCAACTAGGCTATCAAGGATATCTTCTGGTGCGTCACCGTAAAGGACTTGGCCATGCTCGTCCCTGAAGCGAACCAAGTTGGTGAAAGCCATATCTATTACCTTTAAGAGTGATTGGATTCAGGGCCAATGAGCGACTGGCTGCACGACGTTTACTTTCAGAGGAAGTATCAAGTGATTTCATTTATTTAAGGAGATACGATGGCATAATGTTGCTTGGCTCGAGAAGCCGATTGTTTGTTTAATCCAGAGCGTGCTCGGACTACCCAAGTGTGTGTCTGATCAGCTAGTCAACTTTCTGGGAGAGGGAGTGGGGACGGTGATTTCCCGAAGTGGACAAGGCAGGCAGATGATCCTGCGGCATCGTCGGTAAGCACCCGTGTATCAAGGTATTTGTTTCTTTGAGCTGAAGATTAAGCCTCAGGAGAGCAACTGTCGACCAGTAAATGTCGATCACGTCCGTCAATTCCAATTACAAACACAAGCAACCCACTAGGAGCATCTCGCAACAACTTAGCGTCGCAGCAAAGAGAGAGTCATGGCTGTCATCGAGCCGGCAGCGTATTGGCAGCGGCTCAGTGTTTCTCCTCCAGGCGCCCTTGCAGTGGTTGCAGCGCTGCTGGTACTTTACATCGCCTCGACGGTGATATACCGGATCTATTTCCATCCACTTGCCAGGTTTCCAGGCCCGTTTCTGGGCAAATGCTCGGAACTGCTCATCTGGAGGTCCATCCTAAAAGCAGACCGGAACCTCATGATCGACCGCCTCCTGAAGCAGTATGGAAGTCCGTTGCGCTTAGCTACCAACCAGCTGGTATTTGACGATGCGAGGTCATGGGTCGACATCTATGGCCAAAGTCCCAACCCTTGCCTGAAAGACCCAGCCCTCTGGGAGTCGTTCACGGCCGTAGGAACCGTCAATGTTCTCAACGCCGTCGATCGTCACTACCACGCGCGGGTGAGGCGCCTCCTGTCTCACAATTTCTCTCTCAAAGGCATTCTTCGGTTCGAGCGCTTGATAGCCGACAAGATTGAAGATTACATGAATCTGGTCTTCTCGCCTGCAGCAGACAGTGGAGAAACAATGAATGTGTATCTCCGTGTCCAGGAGCACTATCTTGACATCATCAGCCACCTTAGTTTTGGCACCTCATTCAACTGCATCAAAGGGGAAAATCCGAATACACTGCACGACGTAGATCACTTCCTGACCGTTGTTCCTGCAACCTCACTGTTTCCTGGTATCAGATATATCCCCCTTCCCACTCTCAGGGAAGGTTTTCGAGCGGTTGAAAGGCTCAAGACCTTTGGTCGAACTCACGTGTCGAATTTCATCGACAGGCTCGAAAAGACCACAGCAGACGACGCCATAGCCGGTGGCACATCCGAAAATTCTTTCCTCGGCAACCTCGTGAAAAGCGAGGATGCTGAGACTGGTACCAGGCTCTCATTCGATGAGCTTGTAGACAACGCAATCATCTTTTTGGTCGCTGGCAGTGGGACATCGGCAATGACAACGACTTACTTTATCTGGGAATGCACAAGAAATATCAGTGTCAGGGACAAACTTGTCCAAGAGATACGAACCGCATTTCCAGATCGCAATGTCTTCCCAACTTATGAGAAAGCATCCAGGCTCGTGAGTTGAAAGCTTCCTTCTCATTTGTTTGCCACTTCCAAGCTACTGTTTTACTCACACATTTTCAGCCGCTTCTTGCTTCCATGATCCAGGAGACGCTAAGGTTATGGGGTCCCTTGAACATTGCCACTCAACGTCTGTCTCCAGGCCGTGTCTTGGGTGGTCACTTTGTGCCCAAGAACGTCGTCGTGTCTACGGCCGCGCACACTACAGCTCGTGATCCAAAAGTCTTCCCCCAGCCCGACGTCTTCATGCCCGAACGATGGATAGATGCAACGCCTTACATGAGAGTCATGTCGCGGCCGTTCCAAACGGGCCCCCGAAATTGTGTGGGGAGGCATCTTGCAGAGGTCGCCCTGACCATGACTCTGACGCGGCTCTTCCAGCTGTTTGATCTAGAAATCGATTCGGGAATGCCAGAAGAGGATATGCAGTTGCGGGATCGAGGTACTATGGGGCCAAAGGGAGAACGGCTGTTGGTCAAAGTAGCACGCGCACAGTCTTGCGACTAGTAGATTACTAAAGTTTTGGCAAAGTCAACAAGCTGCAAATATGAGTTAACCCGCCGATAAGCGGAACTAGTGGCCAAAGTCCGTGATAGACCGTGATAGACCGTGTCCCTCCACTCTATTCCCCACGGCAATCCGGACGTTACCCCAAGGGTACAACGGCCTTGGCAATAAAGCATCTCACACCCATATCAAGAGAAGTTTCCCATCCTAAAATAAGAACACAATCAGACCATCGTTCAAACAATTTGTTATCTCCCGTTCCAGTGGTTTGAGTGACCGAACATGATGCCACCAACCGAAATTGCAGCCATCACTGGCATCCTCGGCTCTGCCTTGCTTTCAGGTAGATCTTCCTCCCAAGTCGCCATCGACGCTCTGCATGCTTATCAAGGTTCCTGGCTTGAACAGGGTCCAGCGCCAGTCTATCTCTTATCACCGTCCCAGCAATAATTTCGGCTCCTTCTACTGCTACCACGACCTGGTTGGCAGTCTTTAATAATGGAGTAGTTATCATGCCGCGCCTGGCCATTACAGCAGCCGTCTCCCATACCTTCACTGCATACAAGATGCACCAGGAAGGAGGCCCTTGGAAGGGGTATTTGGCGGGTGCTCTTTTTACAGTTTCGAATGTACTATATACCAAGCTGTTCATGCAGGGCATTAATAACACTCTTTTGTCTATGGCGCACACTTCGGCGGAGGAAGATGCTGTAGAGCTCATCCAGCACTGGGGCGTGTTGAACCTTGGAAGGAGTCTGTTACCTCTCGCTGGCGCTATCATTGCTTCAATCACGCTACTTCGGGCAAATTAGTTCAAGTTTAGCACACTGACTTACTTGAGCGTCCAATTCTAATGATCAAGATTTGACCTCAGCTGCAAAATAGTGGTAGAAACCTCAAGTGTCACATGATTCTTTGAGCATTTGAATTTCCACGCATACTCGACACCGATGAGGTCTAGTTTAGCTCCCGCCGCGATCGGCACGACGAATTCCATCCTCCTCGGGCGGACGAAAACGATGGTTATGCCGACAAAGAAAAAGCGGCTCCACCTCAAAAATTTAACATCTTAGTTAAATTAAATTTACTTTCTTAGGCTGATAATCAAATCCGGCTAGGGCAAAGGGTTAAGCGCAGAAAGTAGCTAATAGCCTAATAGGCCTTGCTTAAGCATTACTACTTAAGGCCCAACTTAATACTTTTCATATTTCTTAAAATAAGTAAGATGCGTTTTCTAAAGTGATCTTAAAGTTAAGGAATGCCAAGATTTAAAGGTGGGTTCGCTAACTGTTTATGGCATAACCATCGTTTTCGTCCACCCAGGAAGGGTGGAATTCGTCATGCCGCGCCGCGATTCTCTAAAATGCCGTCTCCACTCCCCCCTCTTCCGTAATTGGAAACTCCGTCTCCACTCCCACACCTCGTCTCCTTGCAAGGATCGCTGCGAGACACTCAGGTCTACAAACATCACGCTTTCCGATCTGAAAAGAACTTGCCTTCTCTTGAGACTTTACCATATCTGCTAGCTGGCTCTCGAGTCCTCATCGGGTGGAAATTCTAGAATCAGTGCTACCATTTTAATGTCTTTGAAACTGTCATAGGACCCTTACCTACCCTAGACAAGACCTTCACGCTCTACGCAGTTAACCGTGCAAGGATTAAGCCCAATGTTTATCACGCCCCCGGTTGCCACAGTTGTGGTGCTTCTCAGCGCCTTGCTCTGGAGGATCTTGCAAAGTGGTAAAAGAGATCCACGAATGCCTCCGGGACCACCCACATTACCGCTGATCGGAAACGCGCATTTGATACCAAACAGAGGTTTCCACAAAAAGTATGATTAGACGTGAAATCCCAAGTTTCCTGTCTGTTTCTCACCTTTGTGCAGATTTCCAGCATGGGCCAAGAAGTATGGAAAAGTCTTCAGCCTCAAAATAGGATCCTCCAACATGATCGTCCTATGCGATCGTAAATCTGTTCACAAGCTGCTTGTGGAACGAGGACGCATTTATTCCGATCGACCACCAAACTGGGTCATGGGCTTCATATCAAGGAACCATCATCTCATTATCGAGAATCTCGACAGCGCTGGTCGGCTTAAGAGGAAAATAATTTCGCAGCACTTCTCGCCTAAAGAGATGGATTCGAGACACTACAAGACCCAGTCGGCCGAGTATGAGACCCTCCGTTCAGAGGTGCTGGCGTCCAAAACAAGCTAACGAAGCATAGATCTGCAGTTTTGGTACGGAACTTTTTGCACAACCCCGAAGGCTTCATGACCGAGATACGTCGGTATACCGTTTCTTCTATATCAGCCATCACATGGGGTCATCGTGCACCAGATGTCAAATCTCCTTGGTACTACGTGGGTAATGAAACTTCGCCTAAAGCTAGAGCAAGCTGACTCGTTGAAGCGTACAAACGATTTGCTTGAAAAGGTGCGTTCCATACATTAAGCCGTTCCATGCCACACCATCATCGCTGCAGATCCTGACTTTGCTTCGAAGTGGTTCGATGCTGTCGCGCCTGGGGCCAATCCACCCGTGGAGAATTTTCCTTTCCTGGAATGGATTCCGGCTTCCATGGCCGGCTGGAGGCGTCGAGCCATTGCAATTCGAGACCAGATGGATGAGACCTATGGCGATTGTCGCCGACAAGTCAACGAACGCCGCCAGCTCGGCGATAATCGGAGTTCGATAGCTGATATTCTTCTCGACGAATACGAGGTCAAGGGCTGGCCTCGAGAGCTTTCACAGCACGCTTTCAACAACTTGATGGGAGAGATTATTGAAGGGGGCGTGGATACTACTGTTGCGCAGCTCTCAAGTCTAGTCCTTGCACTGGCTCTCCATCCTGACGTACAGAAACGAGCTTGGACAGAGATAGATGCAGTTTGCGGGACACAGCGCAGTCCAGACTGGTCAGATTTCAATAAGCTTCCCTATGTCAACGCGGTGGTTAAGGAAGCTGCACGTTGGCGACCAAAGTGTGTTTCCCCCATTATGTTCATCAACTTCAAGACTTGAAACCACTGACTTCGATAAGCGCCGGCACCAGTCTTCCTCGCACAAACACACAAGGTGAGTCTTTTTTTCTTTTAATTTTGAAACACGTTCAAGCTTCTACGTCATTTTTCTCTAACTCTCCACAGACGACATCTACGATGGCATGTTGATCCCTAAAGGCTCAACCATCATTCAGACCATCTCAGCTATCCAAGAAGACCCAGACTTTTATGATAATGCTGAAAAGTTTGATCCGGACAGATACCTGAATCATCCCGGTTTAGCCAATGAGTATGCAGCGAGTTCTGACTGGGACCACCGAGACCACTACATCTACGGCACTGGAAGACGCATATGCCCTGGAATTCACTCTGCAGAGCGCAGCATGTGGCGTGTCACCGCCAAGCTGCTCTGGGCTTTTGAGATCTCAGAGCCAGTCGATCCCATCACTCAGGAGGTTCAGCATCTGGACCCCAACGCATACACCTCTGGAGTCGTTCTTTGTCCTCTCCCGTTCAACATCTCGCTCAAAGCGAGGAGCCAGGCACACCGTGAGACTATTGAGCGGGAGTTTCTCGAGGCAAGTGAAGAACTGAAGAAGTTTGAGTAGTTCTTCACGGATCAACTACCTAGATGTGTGTGGCCAATTCTTAGTGCTACGAGTTATGAAATTGGTAAATATCTGCTTTAATTCTTCTTCTCGGTCCGCAAGAATCTTGAATAGGAAACGAAATCGTTTTGACAAAGAAGATGTGTTGAACCTCCACCTTCCGCACTGCAGGCGATCACGGTAGTAGCAATTAGTCTGGAGCGTCTGGGACGAAATTACGAATCAACCCTCAAGGGGGCTCATCCTGTTCCACCCTTTGCGAACAGCACTCATGCTCCACGGCCACAGACGTTGAGACAAGACGCTCAAGTTTCGACTTCCTTGATTCTGTGAATCCAGCGGTTTTTGAGGTGAACACTTCCTGCTATTGGTCTCTCGCTATTCAACTTGTTGCCTCGAAAGACCCGTCCCTGGCCATAAAAGACAACAGACAGACAGTTAACCCTGTGGCACAGTTTCCACTGGCAAATTGAATAGGCTATAATAAGACTTCACTGCACCTGTGACCAATTCCCATTAACGAGTTTGCCTGCAGCCAAGCACTCCACTGCCCTACCTGACCTGTCAGCTGCCAGGACGTGCTGCATGCAGCCGGATCTATTACAAGCCTCCCAAGGCCAACATAAGTGGTATTTGTGGTTATGGTTCAGAACATTCAATATCCGTGGATCAAATTCATAAAGATTCCACATAGTGTTCGTCCAGTGTAAGTATCTAGGTAGTAACCCAAAGTCATACACTATATGTTCTACTAATTGCGAGGCAACATTCTGCTACTTGACTTTCGAGTGGCACGTTCCACTCTCAAATCCTGTATACACACAAAGATGTTGAGATAGTCGAACCTGATTACTCAAATACGGGAACAATTACTTGACAGGGTTCGGAAATACGTTTTGTTTCGCCCCTCTTTAATTGACGCAATTAAGTGGACCCTGGTTAACTTCTCAATCTGTTCGCTCACAAAAGTCATTTGCTGACTTATCATAGTCTATGAGGTGACACGAAGTCCTCAATAACACTGTTGAACAAATCAGGGTTCTCCCAGAACACAAAGTGGCTTCCTTGCTCCTCACTTGTAAAGGTACGGCTCTTGGCCCCAGGAATTTGCGTAGCTGCCCATGCAATACCCGAGGCGTTGTTCACACTGTCATCTCCTGATATGACCAGGCAGGGAATGTCGATGCGGGGTAGCACGTCACGCCAGTCGGCAAATGCGTGGTCGATGAGCAGCGTCGCGGCGTGCTCATGGCTGATCTTGTTGTTCTCGGCGAGCACCCACTGGTAGTCTGCCTCAGTGATATTGGAGGTAAACATCTTCCTCACAAAGGGAGGAGTCTCGAGGGCTACATTCTTGGCAAAGGTGTATGTCTGGGCCGGTGTGAAGAGGGCAGCAGAGCATGTCTCGGCCTCTTCCTTGGTCCAGGTGGGATCGGCGACGAGAACGGAGGATTGGTCGACAATGGCGAAGTGGGTGATACGCTTGCGCTCGTCGGGATACTGGTCCCAGAATGCCCAGGTCACGGAGGAGCCCATCGAGTGTGCTATAACGCTCAAGTTCCGGAGATTGAGGGTAGTCAAAACATCGTAGAGGTCGGCGCCGAAGCGGCTCAATCGGTAGCCAAAGTCGGGCTTCTCAGACTCGCCGTGGCCGCGCATGTCGTACGCGGTGACTCGATATCCGGCCTCGGAGAAGTACTTGACCTGCTTCTTCCACTCTACTGCCGTTTGTCGCCATCCTGGTATGAACAGCAGGTTCTGGCCATCGTTGGGTCCTGCTTGCGTGTAGTGTAGGTGTACGCCGTCCTGAGTCTTGACCATACCGGTATCCACAGTGGGTATCCCAGTTACGCTGTCCATGCTGGCTGAGACGTCGATTCCGGATACCCATGGGGTGTTGGAGAGTCTTATCGGTGGCTCACTTTGACACCTGACCACCAGAATTGAAGCGTTACATGCAGTAAGCAGATCCTTTCCGCAGTTGGTGGTAGCCAAGTTTGATATTTGGCTACCAAGCGTGAAATTCACGTAGCGAACACAGCTATGCACTTAATCGCCATCTTCAAACAGCCGATATCGAGATATCATGTACTACTTGCCTTTGATAAAAGCAAAATGATTAAACATTTGAATATGGGTCTTTTGCTGATCGCCAACCTGAATTGGCACGTATCCAACAAGCTACTCTTTGGCACCTCTTCCCCAACAGTTAACTCATCCGCCAGGCACCTTCAAAAATGGCGTGGCTAATCATATTATCCACTGCCAGCGTCTTGCTGTGCACCTGTTTCGCATACGCGGTTCATGCAGTCTTCAACCATCGTCGCAAGATCAATGAGCTTCGAATACAGGGGGTGGTGAGTAGTCGAAAGCCGCCCGTCGCAGGCGACCTCCAAGTGCCATGCTGACACGACTAGCAGCCCATGCCCAAAGGGTGGAATTGGATCACAGGCCACCTCCTCGTGCTGCAGAAGTACCTAGATGGAGTCCCTCCGGACGCAGCCGTCGCTTTCGCGGTGCGAGACCTTTGTTGGGAGTTCGCCGACACTGAGCTCTTTCTCATTGACTTCTGGCCAATGTACCCTCCTCTGTTCACAACCTTTGGCCCTGAAGCCATCAGTCAGGTTTGCAACAAGTACAACCTGCCCAAGCCTCTTGTCGCCGCGACATCTATGCGACCCGTAGCTGGTGGCCCGGACATGGTCTCCATGAATGGAGATGAGTGGAAGTACTGGAGGTCACTGTTCAACCCCGGCTTCAGCACTGGGGCCGTGTTGAACCATGTTCCTCATATTGTCGACTCGGTTCTGGTATTTCGTGAAAAGTTGATTCAGATGGCTGGAAAAGGGATGTTCTCTTTGGACGAGTTGACCACAAAACTCACCCAGGAGGTGATTCTGAAAGTTACATTGTAAGTATCATCCTGGCACACCTGGCTCTCATTTGCTTACGAGCCAAGGGATGACGATTCGCATCACCAAGAGTCGCCTAATGTTCTTGCAACCGCACTTGGCCACATCCTAGACTGGCACTCTTTTTGGGACCCTCGCAAACTAATGCATCCACTCCGTCCCCTGGTTCAATGGTATCATGGACGTATCATGGACAACTATATCCGCCAGATGCTGGAGAAGCGATTCCAGGATATCAAAGCGGCACGTGCAGTCGGTGCGAACGGGAAAGGAGAGAAGCCCAATTCTATCAAATCTGTCACCACTCTCGCACTCGAAGCTTACTTGGCTGAGAACCCAGAGGTAGATACTATCCACAAAGAGAAACTGGACGAGAGGTTTGCACACTACGCGGGAAGCCAAATTCGACTTTTTCTTTTTGCAGGCACTGATACGACAGCCTCGATGATGGTCTACGCCTACCACATGCTTTCCAAGCATCCCGAATGGCTTAAGAAACTGAGGAATGAGCACGATGAGATTTTGGGGAACGAACCCAACGATGCAGCCAGAGTTCTGAAGGAGAACCCCAGCCTACTGAACAACTGCAAGCTCACGGTGGCATTTATAAAGGAGACGCTCCGCAAATATGCACCTGCTGGGACGGTGCGCTCCGGAAGTCCGGGAGTCACCATCACCGACCTCCAAGGCAACGAGCAACCCATGGATTACGTCGGCGCGAATATACTTCACCAGGCGCTACACGTAAACCCGCGGGTATGGCCAAGGCCCAATGACTTTCTGCCGGAGAGATTTCTCGTTGGCCCTGAACACGAGCTGCACCCGGATCCGGCTGCCTTCCGACCTTTCGAACAAGGTCCTCGAAACTGCATCGGGCAGACTTTGGTGTGGAACGAGCTTCGCGTGGCTGTCATCCTTACCTGCAGGGATCTCGAGATACGCGATGCCTACGATGATTTCGATGCCGAGAGGGAGAGCGAGCTGGGCCTCGTTGAGAAGATGAGGAGGACGCTCTTCGGGCAGCCCGTCAAAACTGTACACGGGGAACGGGCATATCAGACGGACTCAGGGGGGCTGCATCCCGCGAACGGGTATCCATGATATGTTAAGTGGGCAGGAAGTGTTTGAAAGAGGTTTGCAGCAGAACAAGAAATCAAATGAGCGACTCTGGGACGAGAAAGTAGCCATGTACCCAACCCATACCTAACGTACACCCTCCTCCTCTACTAGCTGATCCTACGTCCTGCCTCCATGGAGTTAGTCAAGATATCTGTCAAAACGCCCGGCCACATCTATGACATCCTTCAGGTGCGTGTAAGTCAATGTAACATTCTTCCACTTGGCGTACTGCCTCGCTGTCGTAACTGCATTTCGGATCTGTCGTCCGTTCATTTCCTCGACTTGTAGTTCTTTCAGATGATCACGAAGATCCGGTACGTCGATCGAGGGATTCTTGAGCTTCTCCAGTCTCTCCAAGAAGTTCTCCCAGATTCGCAACCGCTCGTAAGCTCCTCTAATACATCTTGCTCCCGTCTTGCCATCATGAGTCTTTTCTTCCCTTTTTGTTCATCTAAAAGCGCTTGAATTTGTTGATCAACTATGCTGTTTCTTTCAGTCGGCGTGTCTCTGGCGCCTTGTAGAGCAAGAAATTGTCTTTCTTCAAGTTTGGAGATGTGGCTGAGATCGTCCGAGATAGTGATAGATCCGACCTGTCGCAAATCCACAGCACTTTCCAACTGATTAGCGTTGTGGGCTTCAGTTCCCTATGAAGTAAGAGTACTTGCCCGATGGCCTTGGAAGCAGCTGTCCCCCCATCGATGCCAGCAGAATTATGCAAGTCTCTGTCCATGAATCCAGTAGTATTGGAGATGACTCTTCCTCGTATCTGTGGGAGGTGGGATGGGTTATTTCTACCCTGAAGGCACCCAGTGAGCCTGAATCATTCAGGGTATCTCTTTCTCTGCCACCGTCCTGTTTCTCTGCCACCGTCCTGGTCATTAATCAGTATCGAAATGTTCACTTAGGTCGCCGGCATGGAACTTTCGGGTCTACCGTCGCAATCCTCTCCACCGCGAATATTGTTCATACAAGTACCACTCAATACAAATGTCATGGATAGTTCGGACACGCAAATAGATAAAGATACCCCAGTAAACACACAAGGCTGGATAAACCGTGCTTACGCCGGCGATGTGTTCGATGCAGAGTGAGCCAGGCGTGGAGTTGTCATCGGATTGCAGTCATTATGTTAAGTCTTGGCGCTGACATGGTCCATCAGGAATCCATTCAAACCAGCTCAAGAAGCATTTCACTACGCTCTTGAGGTCTTCAAGAAGACCTTGACCAAATATCCTGCAAAAAAACCAGTGGCGGATGAGCTTTTCGCGACATCCACGTTGGAAGACGTGTTGAACCTTGTTCTGGATGCCAAGAAACGTTACCATGATGCGGCTTCGCAATCAAGGATTCAAGATGGACTTAATGCGTTCTCCCAGCGCTTACTGTATTACGGGAATGTCATGGATGTTCTGGTACAACATCACCCAGAGTACGTGTCTCTCGTTTGGGGGGCCATGAAGTTCATATTCGGTGTGAGTACATATGCAAAGAAACCACCACGCAGCCTGTACTATAGACATACTCACAGAAAGACAGGCCGTTGTTGAACATGAACGTACGAGCACCACAGTGGTGATGGCGCTTTGCGAGATTTCCGAATCTCTCCCTTCGGTGGAACTCGTGCTTGCACTATACCCCACTGCTATTATAAAAAACGCAGCATCTATGCTCTACGCACACATCCTGCGATTCCTCATTCGAGCCCTGAAGTATTACGAGGAAAGCAGACTCATGCGTGCGGTCCACACAATCACGAGACCGGCGGCCCTGAGATACCAAGACCTTGTCAGCCTCATCTGCCGTGACGCGGAAACGGTCAGAAAGCACGCCGCCACGAGCAGTCAAGCCGAGATACGAGCTATTCACGACCGCGTGGCTGCGTTCAGCGTCCAGCTGGAGAGCGAGACAAACAAGGCTCAAGCCGAGCGACTGGACATAAACCTCAAGTTGAACACCCTCGAGAACTTGGTGACTCAGGTTCGACACACCTTAGAAGTCCAACACGCGGTCCAGGCGAGCAACCAAATACAAATTCGCAACGCTGTATCGGACGTGCAACTAAGGCAGGCTCTGAGCATGGTCGCATCACAGTGTAGCGTTGACCACAAGTCCTTGTTTCAGTCAGCCCTGCAGGTGGTCGATACCAGAGCTGCTTTCCGCCAGAAATCCAAGCACAACGTCGCGGCCTTTTGGACCTCTCCGAAGCTGCAGCACTGGAGTAAAGCGGCCACATCGTCTACCATTCTGGTCAGTTCAACATATCGTCAGAGCCTTGAGATTCGAAGATGCTGCACGGAAATCGTCAAGTAGTTGCTCAAAGATGGAGTCGCGGTGTTCTGGGTCTTCATGAGCAGTGACCGGAAGTACCCGCTCCTGGAGACACTGAGAAGCCTTGTCTATCAAGCACTCAGTCTCGACTACTCGCAGCACACGGAACAGAGCATGTCGTTCCAGCTGAGCAAATACCTAGACGCCAATTTCGAGGACGACTACCTGAACATGCTCGGTGACTTGCTACAGCATCTAAAGCACGTCTACATCATAGTCAACAGCGAAGCCATGGCTCCAGACACCGCGACTCAGTGCCGAGCATGTCTTCAGAGACTATCACAACTGCTTTTGGGCCGCGGCTGCCAGACTATCCTCAAGGTCATCATGACCTCTTGCGGTTCGGAAATACGAAATCAGGACATGACTGGCAACATTGTGTTGGATAGTTATTACGAGGACGGTCGGTCGAGCGAATCAGAGAAGGGCGAGGAAAGAAGCCAAAAGGCAGCGAGGTGTAAACTTTTCTCATCATCGTGTCTAGCACAGCTATTGGAAGCATGACTAGTCTGAATCACATTGTCAGATCCTTAATGCCACCAGTTACTCCTTCATCCGGCCTCGCAGCATCTTCCGCCTCCATCTCCTCAAAATGCGATTGCGTTGAAGGTAATTGCAGTAAGAGGTTGAGGTGAGTTCTAAGCATGTTGAACTGCAAAAGGCGCGCAACATTGAAAACATAATCGCGTATTCGACACACAGTACTTGTTATTAAAACACAATTCACTGGACTTCGGTCATGTACGGGACCAGGATTCAAATGATAAATCTCCGGCTGAAGATGCCCGCATTGCTCCGGCTAGACTTGCGTCACGCCCGGAGCGACGATCATATGTGGCCGGCAATGGGATGAGAGGACGAGTGAGCTTTCACGTGAAAGAGAAGCCCATACCCACGATCTGTTCTAGAATGGTGTGGCGCGCATGGGTGCCCCGGGTGATGCGACGCCGCATGAAATTGCCCAAGTGGCCGGCCTCACAGGATGAGCACGCAGTCGCTTGCTTGCTCGCATCATTCTACCTCGAAAATTGCAATGCCATTGGGCATCCAAGTCCCGGTGTTATGTTCAGGCATCGCAACTCTGCAATTGCAGACCCTGGCAGACCGGTGAGGGTGCAGAACATCGGCACTTGAAGAAAGCAGTGTTGACACCTGGGCGTCTCTGCAACAGATATACGAATTCGAGACTCGGCACCTAGTGCCGCCTCGGGGCTTTCACTCCTCCCCAGTGATAGCCCCAAGACCCTAGTGCCAGTCATGCAAAAAGAAAGAAAAAAGAAACGTGCGAGCTAGCTAGTGCGAGGTGACAGAAAAAATGACAGAATGCTTGATCGCAATTCAGAAGTGTGGCAAGGCTCCAGGATGGGACAATGACTAGATAGCCATCCTTGCCGCGCGCGGGATTGGACCACCCCAAGAAAAAATGTGGTTGCGCTTGGGGGTAGGGGAGGTGTGGCCGGTTCCACTTTTAATCGTCAGACCATCGTACGATTTCTTGAACCTTGATTAGGCGGAGACTGCACGCACCCCTGCGAGGCGGATTTTATAAAGGCAAGAGCAAATCCTCTCTGCGCTTCCAGATGTGTTCTCCTTTCCTTCTCCCTCTCACCCGTGGAATGATGTTCTCATGATCTTGCGCCAGACATCGTTGACAGGTGGCCGCTCGACAGTCTGACCTGCCCGTGGTCGCTCCATGGGCAGTCTCAGCTTTGGGTTCTCACTGTCACGCGACATCTCTGGATCATTATGAGCACTCTATTATGGTATTATTCTTCGAACACATTCGGCCCCAGACTCGCAAGTATCACACAACACGCCGCACCTTCACATTCGTCTTGCCAACGAACACTCTCGCGTCCAGACCAGTCTGCCCGGAACAACAAAACTCTTGCGGCTCTGCATGGTTGGCGAGAGATGGCCGAAGAGTGCCTCACCGCGAAAGAAGCGCGGTGAGAACTCGGTGTGCGCGTAGGCCGTAACAGGCAGTGTCAAGGGTCGTTGAAATGCCCGTCATGCCGTGACTTCTCCCGCGAGTGCGTCTCGCCGTAGCTTCCCGTAGTCGTCGTAGGGGAATGGCCGCAGCCGGCGTCTACTCTCCGCCGTTGGCGACAATAGCCGTGACCTATCGTCAGGTTAACATTAGAGACCCCTTCATGCGGTGGTGCTGTTGCGTTCTATGAAGAAAAGAAGACAGATGAGGTGTCCTTAAAGACGCGTTGGTTGTCGTGGACAAAACCAAACAAACAGAAAAGACAGCAGCATTATCATATTAAAAGGCACGCGACTTGAGTTCTACCTTTTTCGCAAACCTCTTCAGGCACCCCTCCGTCCCGTCCGCGTCCTCGATGCTGTGCCAGTGGCCGACACCGAACAGCACCTCGAGCTCCGTCTTAGAGGGCGCGCCCCATCTGCAGGGACCAAAATTAGCACGCTGCTTGTCTGCTATATGTTGCATGGGCATGGCATGGCATGCATGCATCGCATGTTCAAGTGCCGGCATGTGGGGAAAGGGAATAAGCGCAACGGTGGGGAATGGTGTGTGTGGGTGGAGGGTCATGACATACTCGTCTCCTATCAGTGCCAAGTCCTCGAGCTGTGCGACCTGGTCCTCTTGGCCGGCCACGCAGAGCAGCGGCACCTTGATCTTGTTGTACTCGGGCACGGGGGCGTCGGCGATGGCCTGGGCCAGGGACATGTAGGCCTCCGGGTTGGAGGACTGGATCAGCGAGCGCACGAACGCCTCGGCTGTCTTGGTGGCCTTGGAGCCGGTTGCGCGGGTGGGGATGTCGACCGAGTTGACGATCCCCTCGAGGCCATCTGTTGCGCAGGAGACGATCTGGTCAGCGACTGCTTGCTCCATTCCATCATTTACCACGCCAGGCCAGCTCGTGGCTGCCATTGGGATTGTGGTGTGTTCATCATACCCTTCTTGATAACCGCCACTCGGTGCTCGAACGCCTCTTTCGTGTCGGGCCCAGGGCAGATGGGGCCGACGCTCACGACGCCTGCAACCGTGTGTCGCACGGCGATCTCGCAGCAGACGATGCCAGCCATTGACGCCCCAATTATTATGGTCCGGTCGAGCGACTTGCCCAGGCTCTCGAGGAGGGCGATGCAGTCTTCGGAGATCTCGTGCAGGTCGTGGGGCTTGCCATGGTACGGCGATTGTCCGAAACCTACACGCGCGGGCGTCACCTGTTAGCGGGCTGGCGCATCCCTGGAGCTGTGCTATGCAGTGCAGTGCACTGCTGTGCGCTCTCGATCGTGGAGCAGGGCTAGACAAACCGGGCACATCGATGGCGAGGCACGAGAATCCAGCCTCGACCAGGCCTGGGATGATGGGAGACCAGAACGAGTGCGCGCCTCCCAGACCGTGGATGAAGTAGAGGGTCAGGCCGGCGCGGCTCGCTGGCTTCCACGAGTAGAAGATCTTCTTGCCGTTGATCTCCGTGAAAGGCATCTTGGCTGCTTGATGAGGAAGGATTGGGATGGGAAGGTACTGTTGTGGAGTGGTACCTGGGATGACGACGGCAGCTGCGACCAAGATCCGAGATGCAAGATCGAGGGTTTATCTGGCGCGAATTGACAGGTCACGCAGCACACACGATGGGGTTTTGTGACAGATCAACCGATGATAATCAACAACAAATCGAGAACACCAAGATCAAGACCAAGATCACAAGCTTCTGGGGCACGCGAGATTGCACCTGTCCCCAGCACACCAGCACGGGGCCGTTGCTTTTGTAACAATGAAGTACATGCATCGGACCAAGCCTGCTTCTTGGCCCGCCATCGCAGCGCTCAGGGACCATGACTAGGACCAGGTCTCCATCAGGGGCGCCCGGGGAGGGGCCATTGCCCAGCCAATCGACCATTCGGTGCTACTTGTCCTTGTATTTTTTTCTGGCCCCCTAACGGTCAACCCATTGCACGGACGGGACCTCCCTTGTCATCTCGCCCAAAAAGAGTCAAAGCCACCTGCCACCCAAATCTACTTCTAGCAGTCCTGTGGTACCTGGGAAGTCTGTTAGAGGGCGGGCACAGAAGATCTTCCCCGCCCTTCGCCCCCTTTCCCTTCGGTGCCGATACAAGCTCCCGATGTCAGTTCCTCGCCCGCTACCAGCAGCTGGTCTGGCTGATCTGGCTCGTGCCCCTCGCTCCTTCCTCCCCTGTGGTCCCTGCCCTGCACAGCACGCCAGCAACAGGCAAGCACGCAAACAACCTTGGAAGGCAGGATTATCATTGAGCGTGCCTTCCTGTTCCAAGAAGTGACAGCCGCAGTAGTCGTGCCCGCCAGCAAAAGAGCCCACATTAAACACGCCACCCCCCACCCACACACGCGCCAAGGGTACGCTCGGTTGCATGCTAGGCCTCGTCTTCCGGTGGGCCCCCGCATCGCCATCCCAGCATGTGGCCTGGCCTGCACCAGGGACCGTCCAGGGACCGTCAGCAACGTCTGAACGTCCAGGACCGTCCTGCCCACTGACAGGTGGGAAACTCCCCCTTGAGACCACCTTGGGAGTTCCCTGGCGGGCAGTGAGGGCTCCTGCACGGATTGCGCATGGCGGCGAGGCTATTTAGATTAGGCCGCATTCTTTGCACCCCGCCCCGCGAATTGCAGCGAATTACAATACGTGTGCCTGGGCAATTCCTTCGTCAATGGTGCCGTTGCTCTTGCTACGTTGCGATCTGTTGGCCGTTATTGTCCCAACGGCCAAGAGACCTCGGCTCTAGGTCTCTGGGCCGGGAGGGAAGAAAGAAAGGTGTTTATGAGCCCAGCTTCCTTGTTCTCTGCCCGTCTGTGCGACTGATTACTCTCCTTCCTACCCTCAGCCTCCCTCCCTGCTCTGCTTGATACCTAGTATTGAAATGGCAGGCAAGCCCGGGGCCGGATCGACAATGGCTGATTACCGGAAGGAATGCCAGTGTGTTCCTGCGAGCAGTGCGCACGGATGCAGGCCCTTCCCGGCCAGCTGCAGGTCCGGAAGCTGTCTCTGTCACCCGCGGTGAGGGTGTCGTCTCTGTTACCCCACGTACAACGAGACCCCGGCACTGCCATTGGCGAATGCGACCTATGTATGTGCTGCAGCTGTCACATGTATGGCTGGTTACAGAGACGTCCTGTTGGATGCGACCCGGGGAAAGACATCCTGCTGTTGGCACTTCATCGATCATGCACCATGATCGGGGAAGTCTGAAGAGATCGCTTCTCGAGTGTCCACTCGGATCACATACCTCTGACAGTGAGCCCAGTTCAAGCAGTGTTTTAGACAGCTTCCGAGCAGGGCTGCAATGCTGGAGATGCGAACTGAGCATGAACGCCCGATACACAGTGAAGCCAGCCATTCTTGATAGAAGTAGAGCCATTACGCGGCGCCCCAGCCCCATGTCGGCCAGATCACTGACAAAGGTGGGCTATAGTAGACCCGGATATAACATAACGAACACAACAACTTCCGATGCCAAACCAAGCATGTGCTGGTAGGAACTTCGGGGGAAAAAAAGCACTGGGCAATCTCGAAGTCATCAGCCGAACATCAGACGATTTTAACCTCCGTCGGGATCACCCCTGTCAACCCCGTAGATCAATCAAAGCGCCTCGATGCAATCGCATCTCTCGGCACGGCCGCGATGTCGGGTTGATGCACGCGGGGGCGGCCAGACATGCACTTCTCCTCAGCACCTCAGCACCTCAGCACAGCGCATCACACAGCAACAGCACGGCACTGTCGTTCCCGTGGGAAGGACCAGCCGGACGTTGCTCCGTGCCCTATCACGCCCGGCGCCGCGATCATCACCGACGCTGCAACATAGCCCCCATCGCACACATGGGCACAAGCCTCCGGAACATACTTCCTGACAGGACCGGTCAGGGTTGGACGTAGGGCCGGACCGCATCAAGAGGAGGATGCAGTAGAGGCGCTCGAGAGGCGATGGGGGTTTGCAAGGAAACTTTGCCTTTTGCAGCGGTCATGACAACGTCTGTATAAGTGGATGGTCACTCGGACGAGAACCTTCGCTCGGCGAGGATCATTGACGTGTGGTTTTACTACACGGATTTACCTTTAAGAAAATGTTTTAGATCAAAATAGTATATCGACTGAACGTTGTTTGCTACACTACAAATCAGCCCGTACTTTTAGACCCGGCCTATAGTAGTATTGTGGTGGCATATGCACGCATGGAAACGTTGCACCTTTACTGGAGACATATTTCATAACATCAATCTCGACGTGGGAAACAATTCGCAACTGACTGGTCACTGTCCGGCTAGTTGATTGATCAGAGAGCCACAACACAAGCTGCTCCCAATCGACTTGCCACTGGAAGTTGATAGTGCAAAGCCAAGATTTAATTACCTGAAACCCAAGCAGTGCCACCTCGCCAAGAAGTGCCAACAGCGTTGTAGATTCAGTATTGGCCAAAATTGCACGACGCAGCTTGCGAGCGAAGCTGTCAGGAGCCATGTACATCTGTGGATTGCGAGACTCGGGCAGGCGCAAGCCCATTGAGAACCGATATTCCAGCTTGATCTCAAAAGGTAAGTCTCTGCCCATGGAACATGTCAACCACCTTCCGAAACCAACTGGAGGCTTTTCCTCACACAGTTGTTGAAGCCATCTGTGAGCAATGCGACAAAGCCGTCCGTATCAAGATAGATAGCTGCCACGAGATGGTCGCCCCCAATGTAGCCGGCCTCATCGCACGGGACACGCGCCAGCCCTTCCGCGCAAGTTACCCACGTGCCATCGGGGGCGGATTGTGAACGGAAAACTCAATGCTTGAGAGCGAGAGGATCACCTGTGATGGTGGGTTGCCTGAAATTACAAGACTGGAGGAACATCTCGTGATCCCAGTATAGACGTAGATAAGGTGGCCACGTGAAGTCATGTCCTGAGGCCGAAACGCAACCGGAGTCGAAAAGGACGAGTAAATGTGCTAAGCGGGACTTTCGGAGATGTATCTACATCCCACAAGACAACCAGTCACCTTGTGTCCCGAAGCCGTTGACTACGATTAATGAGCACTTTTTATTTCTTGCGATCAATCTATTCCAATTTACTGCTTTCCGTCTTCTTTACTGGGAAAGTAGCTCGGAATTCTGTGAGAAAGACGTATGATCACAGCAAAAGAGGGAAGAAAAGAATGGCCCCGATCCCCTCAAACTAAGCGTCATGGCCGGGCACAAAGACCCTTTAATTATGTACCCAGCTCAGCTGCACAGAAAGCTCGACATCGGTCCACTTTTCTCGTCACCACTATGAACGCTTGCGTACCTAGATAAACTAGCAACGCATCGTATCTGGTCCACAACTGTTGAGCTCCATTACTCCTGCACAACAATAAACTCTGACCAAAAATCCATTACACATGCTCTGCTGCAATATGACTGTCACTGCTGTCTCAGAAAGTTCATCCTAGGCAATCTCCACGATGCTGCGAAAACGATGCACGCCATCGAGTGCCTAACTATACTCTCTCACTGGTGTCTTCCGCCGTGTCATCAGCTGTAAGGGATTGCTTCCTTTCGTCCAGCCCATACCCGGTCTCCAACTCCTTTCTAAGCCCCAAGCCTTTTTCTAAACCAACAGCAAAGAAGCTAAAGATACTAACACCAAGGCATACCCACCATATCGTCCTGAGGGCCCTCGTGTAAACCTAATCGACTTGCCCAAGCACACCGGCGGCCAAGTCACCTCGCTGCTTCAGTCCGTGCATCTGGCAACGCTAGACCACGGGCGAACAGTGATCATCCCACGCCAGCAGATCAAGAAGGTGTACAGTCTCCCCGAGAAATTGTTGGATGCCCACAATGTGCAGAACAAGAGCATGCTCATGGAATGGACCTTCCCACTTCCGCTCCTCAGCTCCCAGCCTCTGCACATCACCTACCAGGGGGAAGGGGGGTTTCTGACTGGGTCATGCAGTATAATCATAATTTAACATTTAATCAAAATTTAGACATTACAGCGAGATGCTAATAAAAAGCTATCAAAATGCTATCAGGAATGAAATATATTAAAGAATAGATATTATATGACATCATATTAAGATTAATCTCATGTCAACACATATCCAAACCACTGGTTTAAACCTTAATAACTTTAAATCTATTTTTTTTTAAAAAAAATATTTCTGTAATTCCATAGATCCTTCCATAGTAAATAGTTAAGCTAGTAAAGAGTAAATAAATAGTTAGGTTGGGGATAAAAAAAAAGGGATTTTTTTAAGGGGGCTATGTCAAATGCTAATATCATATCACATCATATCACATTATATCAAGACCAAAAGTATGTCAGGAATAAGTACATATCAGTAACGTGTAAATAATGCAAGGCACACAAAAAAACATACTATCAAAACCTTGATAGCATGTCACTATCGTGTCACTATTCCATTGACTTGCTTGCAGCACCCAAACGAAAACCCCCCCTCCCCCTGGTAGGCAATGTGATTCGCAGCCAGCTGACACAAAACATCCCGCGCGTCACGCCACTGGTCGCCGCGGAGATTGAGTACAGATTCGACCGTGCTTGGGGCCAAGACTCTGAATGGAAAGAAGTCAAAGTATGGGACTCTGCCATTCGCATTATCTCAGGCGCTGCCAATGGTGCCTTCTGTGGCTCACCGCTTTGTAAGTTGGGTTTGCGACTTGGATCTGATCTCGGCCGGTCCATTTACACTGGCATTATTTTCTCTAACAAGGATAAATGTCTGCAGGTCGTGGTCTTGATTTCCTCGATCGGGTGGCAGACCCACGCGCTGTTCCTCTTTGGCGGTGCAATTGGCGTCGGCCTGCTTCCTGTTACATTGCAAAACTGGGTCGGGGGACCAATACTGTCAATGTTTTCACAAGCCATGGCGAACAGGGTATTCAAGAAAAGCCGCCCGATTGTGAAAGAGCGGCTGGAGAAAACAGATAAATTAAAGGCTGACCCTGACTATGACTGGACGCCACCGGTACGACCACCTGCGCCCAACATCACGATTGTTACTACTGTTGCTGACCACGTATGCTACAGGAAGATGCGTTGCAATGGCTCATCGACGAATGCTACGCGAGCCCGAATCCCGAGGAACAACTGGTCCTCAAACGTGTTTGCTGTTACTCTAATCCCTTGCGGCCCAGTTTGTGGGAATGTCTTTCAAAGGCGACATGCTGGTTTACGATTCACTCCTGGTATTTCTGTGACAGAGAGAGCTGACTATGTGACTTCCAAAGATCGTTTACTTATCTTGAACGACGTATCGTTATTGATCACCGCGTATACTTGCCAAAATCTTCTTCTCGATCTTTTCAGCACGGATCCTCGTCTCGGCTACGTCGAAGCACTTCGCGATGAGTGTGCCAGGGCACTGGCGGAGTCGGGCGGCACATGGGACCATACGGCCGTCAAGAAGCTCCGGCTTGTGGATTCCGCCATTCGCGAGTCGATGAGATTGAATCCATTCGGATCAGTGCTACTTCCGAGGAGAGTAAGTACAAAATTCCAAATGAACATCATGTTGTCTCCTCGTCACTCGCTCGCATTTCACTTTCCCACTTCTCGTTTGAAACCGCAATTTTGCTAAACAGCCTGCGTGACCTAGGTCGTCCATCCACAGGGCATCGAAGCCCTGCGCGGCGGCGGCAACAACCTCGGGGTGGTGACGCGCTTCGACCTGCGGGCCTTCCCGCAGGGCCCCTTCTGGGGCGGCGCGGTGCTGTACTTCCCGCCCAGCTTCTCGGGCCAGGCGGAGGCCCTCGTGAGCGAGCTCAACAAGCCGGGTGCTACCGACGAGACGCACCTCGTGCTCAGCATCGGGTACAGCGCCTCCTACATGCAGCTGGGCGGGACGTTGTGCATGAACCATGTTTACCACACAGGCGAAGGTGTGACGGCTCCGGAAGTGCTGGACCCGTTCGTCAAGGTCAGCCCGCAGGTGGACCAGCTCAACTCGATGCGTTCCCTGACGCTGAAGGATTCGGCGGGCGAGCAGGCTAGCCAGTCTGCGGACGGCGTGCGGTGCGCCTACATGAACACGACGGTCAAGGCCGACGCGGCCACGCTGAATGCGGCCTCTGAGGCGTACCTGGCTGCGCTTGAGCCGCTGAAAGGGTGCGAGGGCATCCCATGCTCTCTTACGCTGCAGCCGTACTCTGCCTCACTACTGCGGAAGAGCGAGGCGCTGGGCGGGAATGGACTTGGGCTCAGCGCTGAGGACGGCCCGCACGTGTCTATCTTGGCTCTGACCTGGTGGAAAGACAAGGGGGATGATGAGAAGATTGTTGGGACATTCAGGAAGGTCGTTGAGTCGATTGACCAAGACGCGAGGTCGAGGGGGACGGCTGTGCCTTTCAAGTATATGAATTACGCCTGGGACTTTCAGGACCCTATCAGTTCATCTGGAGAGAAGAATAAGGCCTTGTTGCAGGAGGTCAGCAGGAAGTATGATCCTGATTTAGTGTTCCAGAAGTGCGTGCCTGGAGGGTTCAAGCTGCTCTGATGGTATGGATGTTCTGCATGACTTGAGGGTCTAGATAATTTCAAAAGGCATCTGGTCTGAACAGAGTCCGAGGGAACACTGAAATTTGAATTGTCAAGTATCAAAACACCGAGACATCATGTTTGCAGTCAGAGATGTTCGAGAGTCCCGCTTTACGGATTTCGTACGCTGCAGGATTCGTTGCTGCAGCACTCCAGTGCTACGAGATCAAATTTACTCTTGCACCACGGCCCATGGCCGAGGAATCACTTTTATCCTACTCCCTGAGGTTGTTACTGGTCATTCTTCGCTTTCCTCCTTGCTCACCTCTCCAATATGTGCAGGTATCCTGGTGACCCGAAACCGACAGAGGGCCCACCGGCCCATTCTTTTGCAGTCGAACGTTCATAATTAGCTGGCATGACAGAAGAGGCCAACAACGGCCGACAGAGGTCAAATGACCAAAGCCAAGCCCACTGTGCCACCATAATCATTGTGAGCTGCCAATCGTCAAGTCCACGCATCCTCCCAAGTTGCCTTGTTTCCAGCCGTGCCATACCCGTGGACACTAATCTTCTAGACGGTAGTCTTAATATCCTCGAGCGTGTACTCAACGCCGTCCATGATGCTTGCAAGGGTTTTCTGGATACTCTTGACACTGTCCTCATCCGCGATGGTAGTCTCGCTGAGTGTCTGGCTGGAACTCTCAGTGGGTTGCACGATGGTGTCCTCATCCATGATGTCGATGGGATTCTCGACATTGACGGCGCAGGGGGTTATGATACCGTCGTGCTGGGCCCGCAGGTCCTCGTACAGCTGCTTCCAGCGGGGCTCCCTTGTGTCCTTGATTGCTTTGTAGAACTTCTCCTGCGCGGCCTTCTGGTTCTTGCTCGGGAAGTGGTCCTGGTGAGACATTGTAAGTAACTATCCGGGAGGCACCCTGTCATACCTTCCCAATCCCTTCTGTGTTTGGCCTCCCGCGTGCAGATTCGAGGGATGATTTTTCAGGAGGCAGGGGGAAAAGGAATGCTAGCAGATGAGTCAAGCCTTACCGCAATGTCCCGAAACCCGATCCTCTCCGACCGCAGCTTGATGAGCAGCTTGATCTCGCCCTCCGTCCACTTCTCGTGATCGCTAGGGATCGCGCTGACATCAGTGCGGGCGGACGAAGAAACCACCGAGGGCGCCCGAGCCGCCCGGGATGTTCGAGCCCTCGTGGGGGTCACAGGGGCCAGGCGGGGGGCCGCATGGGACTTGCAAGGCCGCTGGTAATGGCTCCCCCCAGCCTTGACCTCGGCGCAGCCGTCGGTGGTGATCCGGTGGGGCAGGGCGGCGGCGTCCTCGCGGGTGATGAAGATGCCACGGATCATGAGGTCGAGCTTGATGGGGTCGAGGACGCCGTAGCGGTCGTAGGCCTGCTGGGCGATCGCGGAGAGGGGCTGGGCCTTCTGGTCGTCGCTGTTGTCGCTCGTGCGACCATCGGCGGTCGGACTAGTGGTCGGACTGCTGGGGGGTGAGTTGTGAGTATCGCTGATATGCAACAGCGCATTGGGTCGTGATGGCATACCTCGATCGCATGATGGCTGGCTGTCTGCTGCTGTTCACCTGGGCAGGTATCGAGCAAAACTATCGCTTGGGAACAAGGAAGACTCGAGTGAAAGACAAAACGGCAGGCTGGCCTCTCAATGTTGAGTGGGTGTTACGCCAGCAAGAAAAGCAGGTGTTGTATGGTGATGCTGATACGTCTGTTGTGACAGCAGAAACAGAGGCGGTACAGGGTAGTGAAAGACCTAAACGTAGGTTCCGAGTGACGGTGTTGAGGAATCTGGACTTTGCCTGCGTGACTTTTCCTTCTGATGGTGCTTTCCTCGAAAAGAGGTAGACGTGTGAAGGAAAATACGGCAGCAGGGGCTAGGCTGTTGTGCAAAAGCTGAAACCGCCCGAGGAGAAGCATCACCTGGGGTGTAGGGCTGGACCACCAGAGATGAGGGAAGAAAGTCTGGCAGGAGCTTCCAAAGCTAGACCGATTCACTCTGAGCAAGCAGTCTCCACCAGGGTTTCTGCCAAAGCTGCACCGGCATTGGCAGACTGGTGGACGCGATGAAGGTGTACATGGAAGGCAAAGGAGGGGTATCAAAGTCACCAGAAACAAATTGCAGCCGTTCCTACATAGTTGGAACACATCATTCAGGCCCAAGGCATTGTCAGCTACAAGACGTAACAATCAAACTGTTTCTCACTGGAACCTTGACAACGGGCAAGTTGATGCAACAAGACTATGCTGGCGTGAGCGTCGTCGGGAGCTTCACCAAACATTCCAAACACCGTGACCACAATCCTCAGTTCTCGACCTTTTATTGCCTTCAGTGTCTCTAGCGCTCCGATGCACCTCAGAACCAACCCAAGGATCGAAGCAGTCTCCAAATCCACCGTGGGATAATTCCAGCGTGATAAAACAGTGGGGAAAGAGATAACCAAACTGTGGTTACACTTTGTCACCCCTGAGTCACCCAGCTATAATTTCAAGTGAGTGCTAATTGCTCGCTTTGTAATTTATCTACAGAAATGAAGTATGTACAGCTATCATGAAGCAAATGCCATTTTTCAACGCCGCAGTGACCATGCAAATGCCGAGGGCGCCTACGAGAAATCAATCTGCTAATTATGCAACGGCCCGCACGGTGGCGTCCAGCGCCCTCGCAAAGTACTCGACGTTCCCGTCATTCAGCCCGGCTATCGATATGCGCGAGGTGCTGGCCATGTAGACATGGTGTTCCGCTGAAATAGTAGGTTAGCCAAATATCATCACAATACTAAGGTATAACTGAAGAATAGCGGAGGAGGGAAGGTGTGGAAAGCGACCCACTCTCGAGGTGAGCAACCTGCGCCGGCGTCAGCCCCAGGAAGCCAAACATGCCCGACTGCTTGACGACATGGCTCCAGTCCCCCGGCGCCCCGAGCTTGACGAGCTCCTCAAACAGCCTCCTGCGCATGGCCAGGATCCGCCCGCTCATAGTGACCAAATCCTGCGCCCACTGCGCCCTGATCTCCGGGGTGGTCAGCACCGCCTCGGCGATGCGGGCGCCGTAGAGGGGCGGGGTGCTGATGGTGGCGCGCTGCGCGTTCTCGAGGATGCTCTGGACGGTGGCGGCGGCCTCGCGCGAGGCGGAGACAAAGGTCACCGTGCCGACGCGCTCGCCGTACAGGCCCATGTTCTTGGAGAAGGAGGTGCACACGGCGGCCTCGAGGCGCAGCTCGTCGACAAAGTACCGGATGGCCCACGCGTCCTCGTCGACGCTGCCCGAGTTGAAGCCCAGGTAGGCCGAGTCGAAGACGGGGAAGATGGAGCGGGCGCGCACGGCGTCGGCGATGGCGCGCCAGCCGTCGCGCGAGGGGTCGCAGCCCGTGGGGTTGTGTGCGCAGGCGTGGAAGATGACGGCGGACCCGGGCTCGGCGGCGTGCAGGCCCGCGACGAAGGCGTCCTGGTCGAAGGCGCGGGTCTTGGTGTTGTAGTAGGGCAGCCACCGGACGGCGAAGCCCATGGTCTCGAAGAGCAGCTCGTGGTTGGGCCAGGTGGGCGTCGTCAGGTAGACGGTCTTGATGCCCGCGTTTGCCTTGCGCAGGGCCATGCCGGCCAGGAGGAGCGCGCCCGTCCCCGAGAGGGATTGCACGCCGGCGACCTGTTGGCGGGACTCAGCGCCCCGTGTCCGTGTGCACTCAATTGGGTCGGTCTGAGGGGTTGTTGGTGACTCACCCGTCCTTCTGCCAGGGCGCTCGTGCCGTGCAGCAGCAGCTCGTAGCAGGCGTCCCTGAACGGCCGGAAGCCCATCATTGGCGAGTACTCGTGGTCGGAGCCGGCGATCTTCTTCTTGGCCATCTGTACCGAGGGCAGGAACCACGGCTTGCCCTCGCCATCGCGGTATGCGCCGGCCGAGACGTTGACTTTCTCGGGGGATGGATCTGCTGCGTACCGCCGCAGGACGTCGAAAATTCCGTCAGGCTCGACGTACTCGGCGGCGTCAAAGACGGAGTAATTGCTGGCCGACCCCATAGCGGAAAGAATGACCGGTATCGTGTGTGAGAGTGAAGTGTATGGGTAAGTCGCTGGATACTTCGGAAGACCGATAGCTAGTTTCGGAGTGAGGATGACTGTGCCGGGAGACGGAGGTCTTCTTGTTATCGTGGAGGATTTGGCGGGTAGCAGCGGCAAAAATCTGCTTACCGCACGGGTGGACCCAGTCACCGGGAGAAAGAAGTTCTCAAAGGCGCGAGGCAAGACCGAGCCGTCGTCACCTCACGAGACGTCATCGTGACCAGACGGCCGAGTTCGGCTTCAATCGTCGTGGTTTGATCGTGAGAGGAAGGTGTAATACGCAATTGGTCGACCAACTCAAGCATTTAGCCAATTGACCCCGTGCCCAGGTGCATGCGGCCAGCCGATTGAGGGAAGCTCCAGGAGTCAGCCGTTTGGGTGAGGTGGGGGGGAGGGGCAGCTTTCATTCAGAAGAGGGTTAGGGATTAGGCACGGAATACCTCTGGTGATGGTCAAACGGTGCTCAAACATTTTCTCGAGATTGAGCTTTGAGACAGACAGAAAATCATGGTGAGTTTCTCAATGTCTAGCCCTATGAGGCTGACCTGGAACCGACTCATTCTAGGTTCGTGCTAACCAAGTGCCCAGCAAGATGATCCCGTACTACCGAGTAGCAGCTGACCTGGCTTGCGTTTTCGATTTGTCCTTCGTTGCCAACGGTTTCGTCTAGAAAATTCTTCAGATCCTTCCTCCGACCTCCTGACATCGTACTGTGTAAAAACACATTGTCAACAGCAGCATCTATCCTGACATGAGCCATCATCGGTGGCTATATCTCCTGATGATCGTGACCCTTCGGCCCACGGCCCACACCCTCGGGACAAGCTCCACGGCGGCGGCGGGCGCGGAACTTCTTCCGCCCAGGGCACCTCTCAACAAAGCCGAGCGTTTCTTCTTTTCCCCACCATAACAGGGCTGGCCCCTGGGCCGATCCCACGTGCTCGGTAATGCCCATACTCTAGTCAACCCGGACGAACTTTCCGTTCCGCCCCTCCAACATCCCAAGGTGGGAGGTGTGACCGGGTCGGTTCTGTCCAGTTGGATTCAGCCCCGTCTCCCCCTCCTCTTCTACCAAGATTCGAGTCTAGCCGAAGCTAGGACAGTCCGCCTGGTTAACGGCGGCCATGGTAGTATTCCACGCCGTTGTTCCGTCCAGCGACTGCTCGCCCGACCCGTGTGGCGGTGAGACACTCACCCCTCCCTCAGAGCCTTGGTACACAGCATGAGCTCCTCACATCCATACGGGTTACACCGGGTACATGAACGTGCCGCTGGATGAGTAACATTGTCCAATCTAGTTGAGGAATAATCCGGGGATGCAACGTACTGGGCTTTCTACTAACTAGGCTTTGAGCTCATAGCTGGCAAAGCCGACTCACCCAGCTGTGCAGATGCCAACTGGTCTTCTCGTCAGCATTTTAATGATTGACCAGGCAGCATTACACACAATATGTATTCAAAAAGAAAGTGAATGCGAGGTGATACAAATTCAAAGCTCAGCACAATCGGCCTCGAGAGTTGAGCCTCATCTCACTTCAGCCCCGCAGTCCTACATGTAGCAATGTCAAAAAAAGACGTTCTCATCCTGAACAAATAGGAAAAAGTTTAATCCTGGGGTTTTTGCCTTCTCGAATTTTCGTATAAAACCGTACATGTGGTACCATCGGTTGTTATTAAAGCCAGGGTCCGGTAGAAAAGACCTGAAGACTACAAATTGACCAAAATAAACAACTTTGTAAAATGAGAGGGCTTTTCTGATGCCTTCCTCAGACACTTTATTCCAGGATGCCTATCTGAAGCGGTCACTAGACTGAGTTTCGAAAGGCCCGGGTGTCTTATCCTCGACATACCTGGGTATCTTAGGAGAACCCGTATGTAGGATTGTGATCATCCAGCTGTGACAAACGCGTGATTGTTGATTCGGTTAGCTCCAGCTGTTGACAAGTGACCGTTGACCCAGGGAGATGGCACTCCAGGCAGCCAGCCATCCTGTTGACAGTTTTGTTAATTTCTGAAACTGTGAGACAGCTAACCATGTAACCCAGGACCACAAACATTGCCGCCGTAAAACCACGGCCACGGAGTGGAAGCATCCAAGGCACCAAAATAGCCGTTGCAAATGCGCGGACTTATAAACATGGCGACGCTGCTCAGCAATTCCGGGATCTGCCTATTGGGGCACTCAATCACGCTCTGGATTTCCATATCACAAACCATCTTCACAATCCCTTCGCTGTGTCACCTTCATCGACATCATGGTGATCTACGGGTTTCCCCCCTCGCTACCGAATGATCTGCCTTCGACCGCCCAAGGTGCTTCACCAGGGAGCCAACTGGTCTGGAAGAAGGCGAATGGCCAATTCCGCACATCGGACAAAAAGTATACTCCATGAGTCTCGTTCAAACTTCCGCAGACTGACGCTCTTTGGCCAGTCTCCTCGACTCCGGCTACATGTCCGACTGCACAGTCATCTGTGGGAATTCCAATTGGGCCACCCATAAGACGATCTTATGCAGCCGAAACAACTGGTTCCGTGTTGCCCTCGCCGGGGGTTTCAAGGTAAAGCTGACTCCCGGCATGACCGCTCTATCGAAGACTTGTTAACATGTGCGCTACACTTTTGCAGGAAGCCTTGACCGGAGTTGTCACGATCGAAGACACTCGTCCGGATGTAGTGCAGATCGTTCTTGACATAATCTACACTGGAGGTGAGTATCAGCTTGTAATCATGATCTATGATCAGCATTGAACCTGTCAAACACTATTCTGGTCCTGATACCACATGGGAAATTCCGTTGGCGACTACGCTGACACGAAGCCTTCGACAGTAATCGACTGTTATTGCTCCACCCCCACCGACCTTGTCGAGCTCTGGAAAGCCGGTGACTTCTTCGGAATCCAAGACCTTTGCTCGGAGGCCGAGAATGCCATGTTCAGGCGACTGGAGGCTTCTGTTGAGTTCCTCGAATTCAACCCGAAACACAAAGCCAGTCCTCCTGCGAATAAGGACTGTCATACCTCTATGGTCGTCAACGAGCTCTGCGGCCACTTCATACGAGAGACCCGAGTTTGCCCGGTCTCTAGTTCGCAAGGGAACGATGTCTTCCGCGTGTGCGAGCCAGACGTGCTCGATCATCGGCCCAGCCTGTGCGATCTCTGCGGGAGCGTACGCGACCTCTGCGAGATAAGTACGAGATATGACGAAGTGTTGGACAACGTTCTCAACCAGATGAGAGATGCCGCCGACCAGCGCTCGAGGCGTTATGAGCCGCGCCCAATACCTGCTCGCCCCAAGGACGAGACCCGAGAGTCAGTCCAGAGTGAGATTCAACATCTCTGTGAGGCTTTGAATATCGCCCTCGCTGATACTCCAAAAGAGTCTCGCATACACACAATGCTCCTCTACCACATGTGCAAGACCATTGTGGAGCCGTGGGGAGGGATTGAGGTGTGCAGGTTCCTGGAGAGGCAGTACCCGGTAGCATAGCGTCTTCTCTGCCGACGGCCAAGCAATGAAGACTATCGGCTCTCGGAGTCTAGTGGAAAAGTCGATCGGGCATCAGTTCTGAGCAGTGAGGCCTCTCGTCATTTGAAAACAATTTGTACTCATTCGACACAACAGTCTTGAAAGTGCGTTTGCCAGATGTACCTCAGTTTGTAGAATAATCTAGTCTCCTCAAGGTGTCATCTGAGATTCACATAAGACATGTTCTAGGTCATTACACACCAGTATTAGAGGACTTTCTGAAGTGTTCTATTTAACGGATCCTCCTAGGGGAAAATTCTACATTACTACTCAACAATACGAGTGGCAATTCCACGAGAAAGTGTACGGCACTGGAAATGAACAGGTTTTCTGGCGTAATCAGTCGACGCTCGTGTCTACTCTGCTTCGAGAGACAAGTGTCTGGACCATTCTGCTGCCACCTGCACGTTCTCACCGCCCGCAGGAAGCTTGATGAAGCCCAAGCACGCAATCACACAGCATGCCCTTGCAGTCCTCGGTCAGCCCATCTTACCGATGATTGGAACGAGATCAAAAGCATCTCAACCTCAACATCGCAGGTCAAATCAGCAGCCGAGGTCTTGCCGGTCTCTCGCCACAAAGACGTGCTTCGACGTCGCAGTGCCAGCAAATGAAAGTGGTTTAAATGGTTTGGAGCGGCCCCCACTGGCAGATGTGTCAAGAAATGCTCCTGCGGCATACCTAGCACATAGCAAAACCTAACCGACTTGCCCTCTCTGGCCTTCCTATCGCCTTTCCCGTGCAGCCATTCGCCCGTGGTGGCCACATGTTCCTGCCAAGAGAAAAGCGACTGCGGGAGGTACCCACTTGGCCGATTTCGCCATCGTGCGTGAAAATGAGCGATTCGGAGGTAATGCAACGTCGTGCAAATTTTCCTTGGTTACGTTCTCGCGCTTGCCGTTATGCGTAAATACTTAATCCTTAAATCTGGATGGCGATTGTATAGATAGTGCATGGTGGTTTCTACTGCTTTGTCTTTCTCACCCTCAGACAATCCTACTACGCCCCCCCCCCTGGTTCTCAAGATGGCGGACGTCGAGCGTGCCTCTGGCTCTGTCAGAGTGACAGGTCGCACCTGGTACCACACTACGCTCTTCAATGCCTTCATTATCGGAGGTGTTGGCTTCATGGCCCCTGGCCTATGGAATGCCATGAGCGCTCTCGTATGTATTTTCTACGTCCAACATCGTTTTTATATCATACATGAGGTTAGCTGACGGAATAATGAACAGGGTGCCGGAGGAGCCCAGTCCCCCTATCTGGTGAATGCAGCAAATGCCCTGGTCTTCGGCCTAATGGGAATCCTCTGTCTGATCGGCGGTCCCATCGCCAACCGCATCGGCCTTTCCTGGACTCTCCTGCTTGGTGCCGTCGGATACCCAGTTTACTCCGCCGGCCTGTACACGAACAACAGGTACGGGAACGAGTGGTTCGTCCTTGTCGGCGCCGTGGCCTGCGGCATCTCCGCCGGTCTGTTCTGGGCAAGCGAGGGCGCCATCGCGCTGGGCTACCCGGAGCCAGGAAAGCGAGGCAGGTACATGAACATCTGGCTGTGGTTCCGCACAGGCGGGCCCCTCCTCGGCGGCGCCATCGTGCTGGCGCTCAACAACAACGCGGCGGCCAAGAAGAAGGGGAAAGTCGGCCACCAGGTGTACATCATCTTCATCGCGCTGCAGTGCCTGTCCGTACCCCTGGCCTACTTCCTCTCCCCGCCGGAGAAGGTGCAGCGCGCCGACGGCAGCAAGGTCATCATCCGCGGCGAGAAGTCGTTCAGGGCCGAGTTCCGCGCGCTGTGGCAGGCCAGCAAGAGGAGAGACATCATCCTGCTGCTGCCCATCTTCTGGGCCGCCTACTTCAACCAGTACTCGGGCAACTTCCAGACGTACTACTTTGGCGTGCGGGCGCGCGCGCTCATCGGGTTTGTTAGCAACTTCGGCACCCTGCTGTCGTCGCAGCTCATCAGCACGCTGCTCGACTACAAGGGGTTTCCGGTCAAGAAGCGCATCACGGTCGGGTTCTACTACATCATCGCGCTGCACATCATCGCATGGGTTTATGGCTGGGTCATCCAGGAGAAGTACACGGCCAACCCGCCCGCGTTTGACTGGGCCGATGCCGGATTCACCGAGGGCTTCTTCGTCCTTCTTCTGTGGGACTTCGCCCGGCAGGCTCTGCAGAACTGGCTTTACTACCTGCTTGCTACCAAGACGGACAACATCTCGGAGCTGAGCCGCTTCTCGGGCATCCTCAGGGGCCAGGAGAGTTTCTCGCAGGCGGTCGCGTTCGGTCTGAACACCCGGAACTGGCACGGCGGCCGTGTGCCGCTGATCGTCAATACCGTGCTGCTTGGTAAGTCTACCCGAGTTGTGTTTATTATATGAACATATCCGCTAATCATACTGTAGTGCTCGCCATCTGCCCAACTTACATTGTCATGCGAGACCATGTCCCCGTCGAAGCGGGTGCCAAACAGCCGGTGGAGGAGGCCAACACCGAAGAAGCCAGCATCGATGAGTCTGCAGTTGGAGGGAAGTCCGAAGTTACTGTCCAGACAGCGCAGGCAGACAAGAACTTGCCACGTACAAGTGTTGCGAGGGATAGGCCGATGTAAAGAAACATGATACCTACAGTGGGCTGGACCAACTGGAACGATGATGATCAACACACTACAGGCACGATGATTCTTAGTCTTTCTCATCGATATAATGATATCAATAATCAGACTGGTCTAGCCAAGTATGGATCTCCTTCGTGCAGGCTGTTGTCTCACTAGCAGTGCCAAGCTAGCTGCATGGACTTGTGGAAAGTCCGTGGAAAGAGGAAAAAAGAAGCATATGGAAACGCCGTCATTGACTGCGAAGTTTTCAAAGTATATCACACTTGCAATACATTTGAAGCGAAAGCAACACCCACCTCACACAAGATCCTCCCTCAAGTTACTTTGTCGAGGGAAAGTGCCCAACAAGTCATGAAGCTCAATTTGAACGGATGAGTCGTCCGGGAGAGTACATCTTGCAGAAACGGATTCCTTGAGTGAAGGCCAGCAGGCCGACATCAAAGAAACCGTTAATTTGTACTACGAAGACCCTGAAAGTGTTGCAGCTGATACGTTGGGGCAGTTGTCTGGCATACGCGATGACTTGCACTTATCCACCGTATTGAGAGACAAGCGTATAGCCATAGAGAAGCTATGTGTTCGCAAAGCCTGAATTTATCTCAACACACTCTTCATCACAACCTTAACTTTGTACATGAGGACAGGAAGCATCGGGTGAATTTATTCAATGTTGATCAAGAATTTGCAGTACAAAAACGCCCGACCCCATCAGCTCTTGTTGAAGCGCATCGTATGAAAACTCGGAGTCGAAGAATTGAGAATATAATGCGCATACACTTGCCGCCCACTAATGCAAGAGTCCGAGGTCTCGCTTTCCTAGTGAGATCCTTCGTCTCATTACCAGGTACGTGCGCCTGAGTAAAAAGTTCCAGCTGAAGATTTAGTGGTAAGCGATTGGCCCATTGCTTTTCGTCAAGGTCCCTAGCCAGACGGTCAGCTTATTAGGCTCCATGCCCCGGCCAGGCAGATGCCAAGACAGCCAATTGACCGCGAGACAGTGTCACGGAATTCCACAACTTGCAGGCATGAGCCCCAGCCAGGGGTTCGTGGTCATGGTCCAGGGTGTGTGTGTGTTTGCAGAAAAAGGAAACAGGAGGAATCACCCACTAGGACAAAACTTCAGCCGCGGGAAGTCCACTTGTGATCATCATCCCACTTTCTATTTCCTTCTCCTTCCCTTCCAAATTGTACTCTTGGTTTCTGCATGAAGCTGCTCGATTTCAGCAGTGGGCGGGCATCATGGCCAAACCGGAAGCCCAAGGTCTGTTCGGCAGCAGCACTGAACCCTCTGAACAGGCATACACGATATCAACAGGACCGCCGCAACATGTCCAGGAGACCCCACACAAAGCTGCTTCCGGCTCCCACGCATACGAGGTAATAGGTGCTGACCCGATTGACTCGGGTCTCAGGCCCTCGCAATCACGACGGCCACCTAGTGTCTGGAGCCAATGGTGGGGGGAAATCCTGAACTGCATCCTAATGATAGGGACACTCTGCGCCATCATCGGCATCCTCTACCCCAACCAGACAAAGCCATTACCGGACTGGCCATTCGACGTGTCGATCAACACGGCCGTCTCCATCCTGAGCACAGGCCTGAAGACCTGCGCGGTGCTGATCCTGACCGAGGGCATCAGCCACCTGAAATGGAGGTGGTTCCAGAAGACCAGGCCCCTGCACGACCTGGTCGTGTTCGACAGCGCGAGCCGGGGGCCCTGGGGCTGCCTGCGGCTGCTGTTCCTCCCGCGGGGCGCCCATTTCGTCGCGTCGCTCGGCGCGGGCCTGGTCCTCCTGACGCTGGCGGTGGACCCGTTCACGCAGCAGCTGGTCCGCTACTACGACTGCCAGCGGCCGAGCGACAGGTCGGTCGCCACGCTCCCGCGCTCGGCGCTGTACAGCGAGGCTGGGGCGCACACCAGCGCGGGCGTCTGGCCGCCCGCGACGGCCGTGCTGGGCTACATCGACCAGGGGCTTTACAACCCTGCGGACATCAAGACGCCGTTCACGTGTGACAGTGGCAACTGCACCTTCGACGGTCTGTATTCGACGCTCGGCTTCTGTTCGACCTGCGAGGACATGAGCAGCCAGCTCAGGATTGTGAACGTGTCGGTCCCGTATAGCTTTCTCAACAGTAGCAGCAACGAGACGGAAACTATTGAGAGCATATGGGTAAACACGACGCTTCCATCTGGCTCATATGCCGCGACCGGCTCCACGTCCAGCAGCGAATCATGGCTCTCCTTGAACCAGTCGGCAGACGGGTGGATCGACATCATCCAGGCGTCAAAGGCATTCCCCGGGGCGCCGGAGGACTGGTACTGGGACCATTACTACGCAACCACGATGCGGCCGACCACGAGCATGAACGATAATGGGTGTACAACGGCATACGAAAATAACACGTGGGCATGCAGCGGTTTCGGCGGCGCAGGGGCGGCCCGCTGCAAGATCGACCCGTGCGTCAAGACCTACCGGGCGACCGTGGAGCAGGGACAGCTGAAGGAGACGCTGGTGAGGAGCCAGAAGGACATGTTTGTGTCGACCTCGTCGAATTATCCGCACTGGCTCGCTGCGGATGTGACGTGTGCCGGGCCTGAAGCGGTCTCCAAGCTGCGAACCGCCGGGTTCAACATCAGCGATGACGATGTGATCATACCCTGGAATGTGATGGTCAACACAAGGTAAGTTGTGCGGTTGCAGTTCCCTCGGTAGCAGATATGTGACTAACAACACCAATTGGCAGCACCGGAACAGCCTCGTTATGGGCGCCCGACAGCGAACCCCTCTACAGCAACGCCACAGTACCTGGCCCCTTGCTTAACCAAACTAGCCTGCCTCTAGATATTATTCCCGCAGAGTGTGTCTACGACATGGATTACCCCTCGGTGTCGTCCATCACAGACTACCTCGAGACCTACCTCAGCGGCACCATCAACCCCGGGGCCAACGGGGCCTCGACCGACGGGCCGCCCCAAATACGCACCATCTTCAACGACACATTCGCAAGCTTCGACAGCATCAACTACACCTTCACCAGCATGGCGGAGGCATCACCCTCCGAATCCGCAAGTACGAGCAGCCCTTGGCCCTGCCTGTCGCCCGGCCAGTGCAAGGGGTGGTGCACGAGGAGAAGACGTGCGTGGACGTGCGGTGGCCGTTCCTGGCCTTCCCAGCCGCCGTCGTGATATTCACTACCTTCTTCCTCATCATCGTTGTTGGCCAGTCAGCGTTAGGCACGAATACGGTTTCGGCTGGTTGGAAGTCTTCACTTTTGCCGATAGCTTTTGGGGGGTTGACGGCGGACACGTCTGGGCATGCACGTCTTGACGGGGAGGCTGAAGGTGGGAGTAATTTGAAGGAGATGGAGACCGTTTCGAAGAGGACGACGGTCAACCTGAATCAATAGATCTGGGAAGCCTTGCATGTGTACATGGCTATGAGCACAACAGTGGGAATTAAAGCCGATCAACAGCGGCTGACGGACCAATCGACTGCTGATGAAGGATTTGTCATCGTCTCCTCATCAGCCGGTCTTAATTGATTATCCAAAACTGAAATAGACTGTCGATTTAATTCATTAATGAGGGAGTACGCCTTCGGTTCGAATTAGAAACTGTGTCGTCAGAAATATTGTCCAGTGGAACGATGGGCGTTGGCTTAGATAAGGTATGACGCCATGGGCTTTCTGTCCGGGGATTAATTGACCCTGCCCAACAGGCGAATACACTGGTCGATTGAGTGATCTACTAGGCCGTATTATCAGATGTAAGCACCTACTGTGGTGAATCCGGGCGGGGATAAGTTGGAGGATCCGCCTAGGCAAAATACGCGGCGGCGCGGGATAACTCCAACGAGTGGCCTGGGACGCAGGCGTGTGTAAGCAACCAAGTCCCTTTCTGGGGGTTAGTCCGCTTTCAAGCATTGTTGGACATGATAAGGGAAAACCACGTTGGGATGAGTTTGTCCCTGCGAGAAAAATCGATACCCTTGCATCAAGTTGCAGCATGAGGGGCAGGATGACATATCAGTTCGCTTCAAAAGCATTTTCACGCCCTACTGTCGTCTGACCATGTGAAATGGTCGCCGACTTGGGTGATGGCTTGGAGGCATATAAGATGACGACCTTGGAACTACGAGATGGCCGTCAGCACTTGTCACAAGCTGTGGAAGACGCCAGTCTCGGGACTCCAGAACATTGAAACATCCATAGACACCAGGCAAAAATAAACACCAACATGGCATCAACAACAGACTGGCGGGCCCTCGCCCAGCAAAAAAGAGAAGCCATCCTCGCAGCAATCCCCAAGGAATGGCGCATCCCCCAGTCCACCATCGACAACGCCCCCGCCGACCTAACAGGCCCCTTCATCCACCAGTTCCTCACCCCGTCCGAGATCCAGATCACCGAGACGCCCGCCCCGGGGATCCTCGAAAAGACATCCACAGGCCAGTGGACCGCCCTCAGCGTGGCAGAGGCCTTCAGCCACCGCGCGGCCCTCGCCCACCAGCTGACATCCTGCCTGGCCGAGGCCCTCTTCGAGCCCGCCCTCGCCGACGCCCGCCGGCTCGACGCCCACTTCGCAACCCATAAGAAGCCCGTCGGGGCCCTGCACGGCCTCCCCATCAGCCTCAAGGACTCGGTCGACGTCGCGGGCGCGGGGACGGCCCTGGGCCTCACGATCTGGGCAGACGGCCCGCCCGCCACCCAGGACGCGGTCATCGCGGCGGGGCTGCGCCGCCAGGGCGCCGTGTTCCACGCCAAGACGGCCGTCCCGCAGGCTTCCTTTGCCGGCGAGACGTTCGGGGCCGTGGGCGGGTATGTCGTGAACCGCTGCGGCGAAATGTCCTCTCGGCGGGAGGGTCGTCGGGCGGCGAGGCGGCGCTGCTGGCGCTGCGCGGAAGCGTGCTTGGGCTGGGGACTGATATTGGTAAGCTCTTTCTGCTACAATTCGATTCTTTCCAGAGACAAGGAGTCACTGCCATGTTCGTGGGGCTGTCACTTCCCTCGAAATGCTGCAGCTTTCCAAATCACCCATCGCCAGAAGCTGCCCTCCTCCCCATCCCCCTTCTCTTCCCCCTTTTCTCTCCGAAACAGCTTCGTTTTATCGTCCCAGATGCTAATCACCCAAAATAAAAGGCGGCTCCATCCGCTGGCCAGCATCAGGCGTAGGCGCCTACGGCCTCCGCCCCTCCACAGGCCGCCTCCCCTACGCGGGGATAGCAAGCGTCGTCGGCGGCCTCGAGGCCCTGACCGACGTGCGCTTCGCCGTGGGGCCCATGGCCGTCGGCGACGTGACCGCCCTGCGCACCCTCGTGCAGGCCGTCCTCGCCGACGAGCCGTGGCTGCGCGACCCGCTCGTCGCCGAGATCCCCTGGCGCGAGGGCTCGTACGAGGCGACCAGGGCGGCTGCGCAGGCCGGCGGCGGTGAAGGGAAGCAGCAGCTCGTCGTCGGCATCGCGCCGTCCGACGGCCTCGTCACCCCCCAGCCGCCCGTCCTCCGCGCCGTCGAGACGGTGGCAAAGGCCCTCCGGGACGCGGGCCACGTCGTGATCCCCTTCTCCCACGGCCCAGACACCGGGGAGGCAATCGACCTCTGGAGCAGCGCGGCCTACGCGGACCTCACCTTCGCGCACGCGCAGTTCCGCGCCTCGGGCGAGCCGGTCGACCGCCTGATGCCGCCCGCCTTCGACCCGGACAAGCCCGAGTCCGCTCCCTTGGGGACGGGCGCGGTCCAAGACCTCAACGTGCGCGTCAGGAAGTACAGGGAGGCGTACCTGCGGCGGTGGGGGGAGACGGCGGGACACCCCGGGAACACGGCGGGGAGGCCCGTTGACGTGGTCATCACGCCTATTGCGCCGTATAGCGCGGCGCGGATCGGAAAGATTCGGTACATCGGTGAGCGATGCTTGCCCGGCTGGGAATTCATCTGGCTGTTTGTTGGACCTCGACGCTCACATGTTCTTCTCCGTCCTAGGCTATCCCCTCCCCGTCGTCCTCAACGACCAGTCCGCCGCGGTGCTCCCCGTCATCACCACGGACAAGGACATCGATGTCGTGCGCCCGCTCGAGGTCCCTGAGGGGATCAGGGAGGAGTACGTCACGGCCAACAAGAAGGTTCACCAGGACTGTAAGTCTGCCCCACCCAAGATCTGCTTTTGTCTCGGTTCAAGCAGTGGACTGGCGATGGTTTTATTCGCGCGAGATGGAGTGGCGCTGACTATCCCATCCTGTCCACAGACGACCCAAACCTTTACCACGGCCTCCCGGTGAACGTGCAGGTGATTGGGCGGCGGTTCCAGGAGGAGAAGGTGCTGGCTATCACCGAATACATCGATGGCCTGCTCAAGGGAGGCGGGGTGGAGCTCGGCGCTGCGCATAAGCTTTGAGACGTGGGCCCATCGCCAACCAGTCACTCTTAGCACCACAGATCAAGGATACTTCAAGGAGGACGAGCCAGTTCAGGACGGAGGGACGACAGTGGAGATGACCCAAGATCAAGTCTTGATAATCATAACTCTGATTGTTTCTCTCTATCCGGCTGTCTTTCTATCTCTATGGCATGGCTTGCTCCCTCGGCCGGTTCGTACGAATAAACTCTAACCATGGTTATCCTGCACAACAAAACCCAGCAAGACTGAAGGAAGTAAGAAGTCGAAAAACAAAGACACAAAAGCTTGCCCATGCTGTTCACCAACAAAAAGTGCCCTCCGTGTTCTTCCACGCTTGATGCCGTAAACCACACACCAATGCCCAAACTTGCCCACCCGTAGAACTCCTCAAAAACCAATACATATTCCCAAGCATCTTCTCTTTGGGTGGCACGAGCGGTATCGTCTATTCCATGCGGGGAACGTGTCCCTCGACGGTACTCAGCGCCGCCAGGTTGACCTCTCCCATGCTCAGCGTGCCACCCTCTGCGCCTGCACCGTGTGCCCCGACACCGGCGAGCAGTGCAACGCAGTCGACGACGTCCTCGGGCTCCAGGAGGTGCCAGCGCGCCAGGGTGACCTTTGTGCTTGCACCGACGGTGACGGTGTACACGTTCTCCGCCTTGACCTTGGCCTCCTCGCCCTTGTCTGTGGGCGGCGCACTCAGGCCGTTGAGGGCGCGGAACATGTCCTCGTCCGTGAAGTCATCACCCAGGCACAGCACGAACTCGACCTTATCACTGCCGGGCTTGCCGGTAGAGACGGCGCTGCCGGGGACGTGGCTCATGTCGTTGTTGTACTGTAGCACAAGGCGCTTGGAGATCTCGCCCTTGTTGATAAATGTAGGGCGGACCTCGATGTTGGCCTTGCCCGGCATCACATCCACGTCCCACCTACGCGCGACTGTCGCCTCGAGCTCCTTTTGGCACTCGTGCGCCAGGTGCGGGCCTTGTTCGGGGTCCGCGAGCCGGTAGTGCCAGGTGAGTGCACACCGCTTGCGCTCAATAAAGGAGCCTATCAGGGTTTCGTTAGTTTCGGTCCGATTCTCGGCGCGTGAGTAGATGGGCATGGACTCACCAGGGCACTTGTCAGTATATGTCTGGAACACATCCATCACCTCAGACTGCCAGCCCATGTCGAATTTCTCGGCCAGGTTCTCCCATTCCTTGGAGCCAGGGTGTCGCATGAAGCTTCCATGCTCGGCGCTAAAGCCAAGCTCTTCGATGTGTCCCAGGTGCTGGGTCAAGAAGGCCTGATCTCTACCCGAAATGATCCATACGGCATTGCGGTGATCCGATGCCAGTGTCCTCAGTGTGTTGATAACACGGAGACTGGGGATGGCGGCGGATGGCTCTTTCACAATGGGGGTGAGTGTGCCGTCGTAGTCGAACATGAAGAGGCGCTTGCCGGCATCCCTGTACGACTGAAGCATCAGGGCCCGGTCCAGAAGCGGGGTAGAGACGGTGTTCTTGGAGCTGCCGAGGACATCGACCAGTCTGTCCAGGAACGCGCCTATCCAGCTCTGCACGTTCTTGGTAGTGACGTGTTGGTACAGAGATTTCTGCATGGCTTGTCGCTTTTCGTCGCTCATCGTGAGTGCGTTGTTGATTTCGTCAGCAACACCGGAAAGGTCCCAAGGGTTGATGTGAATCGCATCCTTGAGGCTGCCTGCGGTACCACTGAATTCGGACAGGATCAGGGGTCCGTTGTTCTCGCGCTGGGCGACAATGTACTCCAGGGAGGTTGTGTTCATGCCATCTCGAACCGAGGTTATCAATCCGATGTCCGCAGCACGCAGCAGCGCAAAGTATTCGTCCTGGCTCAGGTACTGGGGGAAGTGCTGCACAGGCTCATACCCGAGGTGACCATATGTGCCAGAGATGCTGCTGACCAACTCGTTCACTCGGCTGGCAATCTTGTTCTCGTCTCCTTCTACGTTCTCCTCGATCGAGGTCGGGCTGGTGACCTGAATAAGCACCACCTTCTCGTGCCAATCGGGGTACAGCTCGAGGAACCGCTCGAAAGCCATTAGCTTCTGTGCCACGCCCCTAACGCTGTCCAACCGGTCTCGGCCAACGATTATCTTCTTCCCCGCATACATCTTCTTGAGCGCCTTGACCTTGTCGTTGACCTCGGGGGCAAACGCTAAGGACTGGACCTTGGTAGCATCAATACCGATCGGGAAGACTCCAACCTCGACCCGGGAGCCATATGTCTCGACGCCGCCTATATCCGAAGGGTATGACAAAATCCGGGTACAGCAGGAGCTGAAGTGTCGGCTGTAGCTGTAGCTCTGGAAGCCAACCAGGTTCGAGCCGAGCATGCCCTCCAAGATGTCCTTACGTCTTGGCAGGCAGCGCAGGAACTCGCTGGATGGGAAAGGGCAGTGCAGGAAGAAGCTGATGTACATGTGCGGCACCCGCTGCCTCAGCATGCTAGGCAGAAGCATGAGGTAGTAGTCGTGGATCACCACGACGTCGCCAGGCTTGTAAAGCTCGAGGATCTTGTTGGCGAACTTCTGGTTCATGCGGTAGTAGTCGGCCCAGTGGATGCGCTCCTTCCGCCCGTCTGACGGCATCTGGGTCTTGTAGTGGAAGAGCGTGTAGAGATCATGCTCTGCGTAGCGCCTCCATCTTGACTGGTCCTTAAGCAGGATGCCATCCTCTTGCCCATCCGTGTCGTCGGCGAGCCACAGAGGCACGGTCTTGATCTTCTTGTCATGCGACAGCTGGTACTCGAGCCGCTCCATGTCTTCCTTGGGGATCCAAAGCCCATCTTTTGAGGGCGGAGCGGGCGCTGACTTTTCGGCGCCGACATCGACGGGGACCGGGGCGGAGAGCTTGTTCAGACTTGGCAGGTTCGTGGTTGTCATGGGAGGGGTGTCGGGAGGAGAAGGGATATCGGACGGTGCCTCGATCTCGCCTGTCCAGGCGACGCAGGTGTGGTTCCATGAGGAATCGTTGGACGAAAGGTGCGCAAAAGCATCGAAGAGGGCAGATTGACCCCGGCGGGTTTTCAGTTCCTGCAAGGCCGCAAAATTAGCACGGATGACACTTCTCCTCAGGTGCGGCGACACTGTGCCGCAGCCGGTCTCGCGGCGCACTTACCCAGTCGTTTCCTTTGCGATACCTCAACGAGTGCGGCATGTTGAAGGTGGCAGATATGACGTTGCCGCTCAGCGACAGGGCAGGGTAGGCGGACTTGATCTCGCTCAGGGTCTGCCGCCTGCCGCGACTGGCCTTGCTCATGCGGCGGAGGATGTCATGGCCGGACATGGGGTCCGAGGGCTGGGCGGCCATGGTGTCGTCGATGGCGTTGGGGGAGGCGAAGGCCTCTTCGGGAGCTCGAACAGGTTTGGAGGAAAAATAGTTGCTGCCAGCGGATTCGGTGGAGTCGGCGCTGGTGCCGGAGTCGTAGGTCTCGACGCCGATTCCTGGGGTGACTGGAATGTTGACGTTTGCTTCTTGATGGTGAGCAAGGAGGTCGGAATGGGTGACAGCTCGGTCGACGGCTGGTCTGTGGGAGGATGGGGTTCTTGAGTCGTCGGGCCTCGTTGGTAGAGTGGAGAATTTGACGGTGCGCCCCGTATCGGCCGCGCCGTCTCCTTTCCCCGGACCTCTTTGGTCTGCCATTGTGACCTCGTGTTAATTGGGACCAATTTCGACAAGAGCCAGCAAGTGAGTGAATGCCACTAATTCCACCAAGTCATGTGACGCAGAACAGCAAACAGAGCAATAAAGTGAAGCAACCGAGCGAAAGCTGTAAAAAGACAGGGACTAGGGAGAACGGGCACAGTAGGAGTCGAGTCGGCAAATAGTCAAGCTGAGTCGGCCGTGGAGCTTATCAGGTGTCTGAATAGTCGCGAGACCGGGAGGAGGAGGAGCAGCAGCAGCCGGAACGAGAAGCTGAAGAATAATGGGCAGGCCGAGGAGGGTATAGCCGAGGGATCGAAGGCCTTGGAAGGAGGTGCGAGTCCTTCGGTTGCAGTCTCGCGTCTATGTAGAGACTGTTCCAGGCCGTGGTGGGGTGTTGGACTGTAGTATGATGTGCCCGTGGGGCTGGACTTGGACTGGCTGAGAGGACGTTTTGCTCCTTGTCAGACTCGTCGATCCTGCTTGTATCTCCTGGCCCCTGTCGAAGCCCACAGTTGCTGTGCCTGTACCCGTGCTCGTGTGGGCTCTGCCCTCTTGAATGCTGGACCAACGGCAAATCGGCTGACTGGATGGCACACCTGACAGCGTGTTGGCAACGTCCTATGCAGTGTGCCCCTGAAAAGCGGACAGTCTTGTTTATGCACGGCCTTTGCTTGACTTGTAGGCCTGAAGGGAGGAGACACGATGAAGAGGCGGTGGAGGACGGAGGCGTCGTGAGAGACGACGTCCAGTCAATGCAGGTCCGAGTCGACGAGAGGAAGACAACGGCGGTAGGGCCAGTAGGGACGAATCCGGATCCAAAACGATGGTCACGCTATGCAATGCAGCACACACTAGGTATGAAAATCCCAGCAGCGAGCAATAGAGCGGACAGGATGTTGGCCGCCCAGGTCCTTGCTTGCAGTCAGGCCAGCAGGCGCAGTACCATGCAGCTGGCAGTCTGGTGGCAGACTACGCAGCGTACCGTGTAGGGTGGCCTGTCCTATCCCGGGATTGAGGCTGGGCGGATGCAGCTGAGTGGATGCCAGTCGCGATGACATACAGGTGAACGCAGCAGCGAGTAATGGCGGGGGTGATTCCCAACGAGCCGGTTCTATTGGCGAGGCGAGGGCCAGGCGAGGGGCAGGCGCTGATGCAGGCCTGGCAGGATGCAAAATGCACGCAAGACAGAATATGCAGTGTATGTACAGTGCGGCAAAACAATACATGTACAACGATACAATTCACTGCAATACAGCACAGTACAGGACGAGATAAAAGCAGCAGATGCAGAAAAGCCACAGTCGCACAGTAGAAGCAGTACCAGGCACAGGAACTCGTCGCACAAGGTGGGCCAATGACGTACCGGGTTGGTCAGGAAAAGGCAGGACGGCGATCCTGTACAATGTTATGCTGGGGATGCGAGATAGTCGATCCTGTGCGAACGAGCGAGGAAGAGGAGGAGGAAGACTCGGACACGCAGAGCAAAGCAGGAAGGTGAAGCTGTCGCAAGCACAAAAACCACGGTATCTGCAAGCAACGGGGAAAGAGAGGAAACGGGAGAAGCTCCAACCCCATCCGCTCTTCCCCTTTTCCCCCTCTGCTCGCTCAGCTAATAGCAACCCTGCCAAGAAAATTAAAGGAAACCGCGAGGGGCATTCAGAGGCTCGTTCCGTCGCTCGGGCCAGCAGGCGGCTCTGACGTAACGGACACCACCGTCACAAGCTTCCACAGCATTCCACCTTCCTTCCATCTTTGTCGGGGTCCGGAGGTCTGGAGAAACAAGCTGGAGAGGGTCCAACCCAAATCGGGGTGAAAGTGGCTCCCACCCAATCTGCCAGCCCAACCCAACCACTGCAACTCTAAATCCGTCCGAATGTCACCTTCACTTCCGTTCCATCCATCCCACTCGCCTGTCAAGTTCGGCGCCGCTGTCAATCACTGCCGTCCAATGTCCCCACGTGTTCCTTACTGCGCCACACCTCAGGGGCAGATGCACTTTTATTAGATGGCGTGCCGACACAGTTGCATTTTAGCCTAACCTGGGCCCCCGTCGGCGACCTCGACACCACCGCCGGGAACAAGGGGACGCAATTCCGGGAATCACGCTCCCAACCAAACCAGGCAAGACCACGATGAATGCACGCAGCATCGAGCATGACATGAGCCTCGCTCCTACCCCTGAACAGCCCTCCACGATCGCGAAGTCTTTCTCCCCAGATGCCGACTCAGCTTGGGAGCGGGCACGCACCAGCCGCGACTCAAGCTGCGTAGGGCTGCGTCCGTGTTAACCTTCCACGCTGTCGGTATACTCCTTCACGAAGCAGCCTCGAACTTAAATACTTGTGCAGTTGACTCGGTTCGACCGCGAGGGCGACAGGCGTCAGGGTCATGGTTCGGCCCGACCTGGCTCGCATCGGAGGCACTATGCACACGGCCGGGTGGCCACCAAAGAGGCTACACCAGATAGATGCTTGAGCGAGGTCACACGTTGGAAGCACTGGTTTAGCATCAAAGTAGGTCTTACTTGTACCTGGCACATTCTTGTTCATTAAAAACTGTCTGGATACCTAGGTAGTCTATGAGACAGTGCCTCTGTCCCCGTTGTCCTCGCAGTCTATATCTCTGCTTGCATGGCGTCAATTGCCAATATTGTGCACCACGGGACACCACAGTCTTCCACCCTGCAGTCCGAAGGATACCCAAGCGACATGGAATCGTTTCCTTCTTCCTTCCCGGGCGTTGAACTGTCCAAATTTCCAAACCATTGTGCACTCATTGCAATACATTTATGCGCCTTCGACTGCGCTCTCGTTCCCGCCAAGTCAATTTCCAAGCTTGTATCCGCACATCATCACCAGAATATTATACCCTCAGTCCGTTCCCCTAAACACAAACCTAGGGGGCCGAAACCCGCGAAATCGTTAAGTTCATTCCATTGAACGGACACCTTGACTTCACCACTACTGGAAAAAATCCGTTCCATCCTGTTGCGCATTCCGCAGAGGCACCGCCCTCGCATTCGACGCAATCAAACGCCATGGGTTCACCCTCCTGAAGGAGAAAGGCGCTCTTGGGTACTCATCACGCGGCCACCTGGCATTCGGATCCCTCATCCTGTGGGCCAGCGCAAGCCTCAATCCCTCCGGGCCATAGTGAGCTGTTACAAATCTCGTAAACCAGACCAGCTCAAACAGGCCTGATTGTGCGAAATGCATACACAGGTCGAGCATCACAGGCCTGAAGTTGAAGGAAGACTGGGGCCTTCGGCCAAGCATTGCCAACTCTTCCAGGACAGAGGCCTCTCTTTCAGGTACGCCTGTCTTGTAAAACATGCTGCTCTCCCATGCCAGAAGGGCATTCTCATCCTGAGCAATCCCGCCGGGATAGGGATATCCGTCATGTGCAATGAGCACGTCCATATAGTCAAGGCCAGAATACCAGATCTGATATCCAAATGTTCTCCACACAGCCTGGCAAAACTCGTACGCAACGCGATTCTCCGGCCAGGCGAATGGCTCATTTACGCCTTCTGCGGTTTCAGGAGTGAGGGCCCCGCGGCGAATCAAGATGGATCGCCGGATTCCCCTGCTCAAATATTCCCGGAGTGCTGCCTCGGCCCGCCTCTTCAGTCCTTCCAGGCCGAAGAAGTCAGCCGCGTCCCACAGCTCGAGCAGTCCCCAGGTGATGGACCGCGGCTGCGTCCCGTGCCACCTCGGCCGCACCTCCTCGTTGGCCAGAATGAAGAAACCTGGGACTCGGCCCGTGTACATGTACTCCAGGACCCAGGCCACATGCCACCACCTGACGTGGTCGGGCGTTTGGACCGGCACGTCGGGGCCGCTCCGCCTCGCTACCTCGCGACTCAGCCACGGGCTCTGGTGCAGCACCACGGGGCTGTGCAGGGTGGCCACGTGCCCGCTGTCGCCGCAGTGGATGGGGAACGTCTCGAGGTGGTCGTAGGGGTCATTCTCACGGCTCGCTTCGCGGGGGGGCTTGATTCTCGGGTAGAGACGCTGCATCCGCTCGCCGTCGGTGTCGGTGTTGTCTTCGAGGTGCCGGACCCAGCTGGAGGGTCTTGGCCTGGGGCCAGGGGCCAGGGGCCTGGGTGCCTGGCGTGCGGCAGATGTTGAGAGACTGCCCAAGGGCTGTCTTTCTGGTAGTCCCGACATCTTGCTGACTTGGTATGTGCGATTTGTTTGTTGGGTTTGCGGTGGGGTTGTGGTTGTTTGGGTGGACAGTTGTGTTGGTTGGGTTGTGTCTTCCGAAATGTCCTTTGCTTGTTGTTTGTTTGTGGTCAGGAAGTTTGTGGTCAGGAACAGGTGTGGGGGAGAATATATTTTTGAGTTGAGTTGTGGTGGCCGGAGTTGTGTTGGCCGGTTGATGGTCAATTCTCTCTTGATCTTTTGGTGTTGTGACACAGCAGGAGAGTTGAGGGAACTGAGGGATAGTGAATCTGGTAGAGCTCCACAGATGCGCTTATATGGGAACGAATCTCTCATTTCTCCCAATTTTAACTTTATGATCAGCCCAGCCAAATATTTATTGCACGAAATAGAATCCTATCCATTTTCTCTGACTGTGACTAGTGTTAGCTCAGTGCGGAACTATGCTAGACTCGTTCTCCAAGGGACCTTGCTGGACATGCTGTGTCATCTCACATGGAAAGGGGTTCTAAGTATTGGCTACAATTTAAGCAACAAGTACTCTTTCAAACATATCACGAAATGTCACTCTTGTCGTGATGTAGCAAGCTCCCACCTAGAAGGGGGGCTCAGGGTTGAGGTTAGGATTGGAGTTAGCTTCAGAAAAGACATGGATCCTTTTCTAAAGGCCAATATATAAGGTCTCTTCACACTAAACCTCAACCTGTGTCTGAATGGGGCGCGTGGGTGCCCGCAGCAGTCTACGTCGTCTATCTTGACCAACGGCTACCTGGCCTTGTTCGCCTTTGTTCTTCAGCATTGGACTGGCTACCATGGAGGTGAGCGCTTGGGAAGGGCCCCTGCAAGATATTCGCCACGCCGAGCTTCGTTCGAACACGTGTATTCGCCTGGTCCAGATTCACGCCGAACTCTTCCGCGGCGACATATCCTGCACGCTGCAACAATACGAGAGCGACATCCAGACCTGTCCGGACTATGCCGCATTGTCGTATGTATGGGGTGACTCTACCCCTACGCAAACCGTCTACATCAATGGCCTGGTATACAGAGTCCACCAGAGTCTTTGGGAATTCCTGTGCCACACCCGGAAGAAGGAAGGTACCAGGCGCGCATGGTTGTGGACCGACTTGCTCTGCATTGATCTGGGCCACCACAGCGAGAAGAATGAGCAGATCTCACGCATGGGAGATATATACGCGCAGGCTGCTTACGTTACTTCTTGGCTGGGAAACCATGGGGAAATGGTGGAGGCCCTCAGGGTTTTGGTCGAGATCTCCGAGGAGTTTGACACACGATGCGCACCTAAATATGCGTGGAATTCATCCGAGTCTGAACAGATCCACAAATCTTGTGATCAGCTGGGCTTCCGAGAGCCTTACTGGGGGAGGGTCTGGATATTGCAGGAGGTAGCATGTGAAAGAAATTGTATCGTGGCAGGCGGCGATACTTGCGTCAATTTCAATGACCTTTTGCACAAGATGGAGATCGCTATGAAGAGATCTGTCCGTTTCGACGCCTCCGCCGACCGTGATCGAAAAATGAAGCGTATCGAAGCGCTCGCGGACCTCAAGACCAGCATCCAGCAAGGAAAACCCATTAAGATCCTGGAATTGATAGAGAAGACGTCGTTTTGCCAAGGTACAAGAGGCCAAGATAGGATCTATGGCTTGCTAGGATTGGCGAGACGGCTTGATTCTGGATTCGACTCCCGCGCTCTCGAAGTCTCTCAACACAAAACTCTGGATGACGTGTGTTGGGACTTAATATTCATGATCTCAGATGGAGAGTCAAACATCAGCATTAAGAGTGATATGGCGGCTTTGCAGATCCTGGTCAAAAGGCTGACTCCTCCTCGCAAACCCTGGGAGCTTGAGATGGGATCGAGCGTTCGAAGGGCCCACGCCGAGACAGCCTCTCACGTCTCCGAGGCTGCTTATTCCAGTTCGGTCCAGGCGTTTCTGGGTTTGCTTTACTCACACAGAGAGCATGATGCAAGACTTAGATCTCGACAAGAGTTACAAAAAGCGTGGGATATGGTGACAACCCATGTTTACGACCAAGATCACGATGTGTCTGGCCTGCAAACAACCCTCGGTTGGCCCACATACGCAGGCTTACGGTTTACCTCATGGCATTATATCGAGAACAAATTTCCAGAGACACTCGCGAGCTCTCTTCCTTCTGGGTGGCTGTGTGCTGCTCACTTGCAAGATCCTCTGAGCAAAACTACCGCGAAACATCGCATCATGCATTCCCTCTCGCTCAAAGCTCCACCTGAAGACCGTTCGCATCCATCTTATTGCTCCAGAGCAGAACATGGCGAGGTCCATTGCGACTTGTCTTTAGTTCTGCTGAACATAGAACGACTGGGCATCACATGCCTCGTTCGGTCGGCAGACGCAGTCCAGATCGACTTTTACAGCGACTGCTGTGATCCAAGCACCGCGTCCGTCGAACCGCCGCACGACGCGCCGTGGTTGTCACGATCCTCGTCTCCAGCATCCAGATTCATTTCTGTTCTTGAAACTGAAGAACGTGAGAACCGTGAAGAACGTGAAGAACGTCTCAAACGAATCACAGCGGGTGTTCATGAGATGCGCGAGCGTCGCGAGCTACGGCGGACCGGTCGTCACAAGAAGCGGCATGCATTCGAGTTACTCTCGGCATCTGAAAGTGAGAGCGATGAAGAGTATTGGACAGCGCCCTCGTCACCGAAAGAGCATCCGGACCTCTGAGGAAGTATTTGCGGGTTTGCAGCGTGATGCGAGGGTGAGACTTTGATGAGGACTTCAGGACACTAATAGTACTCTTCTCAGCCTCTTTTTAAACAAAAATTTCACTTTATCTGACTTCTTAGGCAGCAATAAAAAGGACACAGAAGATTCTTGAAGCAGAACAATTCAATTGTGTCCGGGAAAACTCTGAAAATTTGTCCATTCGACGGCGTTAACACTGCGGGAGCACATGCCATGATTATCGGCATCGCTTGGTCAGGGGCCCAGTGTCCTGACCGCCTCAGACAGAGTGTTAGGAAACGCCTGTTGGGCTTCTATCAGGAGCCAATGGTTGGTAGGGTTTGAAGGAGGCCTGGCTTGACTGCTAAAATGAGGGCAGCAGAGATCAGGACATGGACTGAGACCTCGTAGTCGTCCAACTGGCTTGAAGTCGTGTAGCTCGTACGGACCGCCATGTGCAATCACAGTGACAGACTTTGCCGTTGCGTTTCTGCACCACGTGCAATTATTGGGCATAGGCTGCCGTTACAAGTGTTCATGTAGCACATTCATAGTGTCTTCCCAAATGGCATGCCTGTTTTCATTCAATGGCTTTTCTGATCACATCTACCTGTTCCGTCTCAAAGTTCGGACGGCATTGTGTGATGTTCAAGGCAGTCAGGCTCTAAATCCCCTCAAACTGCCTCCCACAAAGCCCAGGGACACCCGCGCATTGTCCATGCTCATAAACAAACTGCCCATGAAAAGCCCCCCCCAGCCACATGCATCTCTTGTCCACCTTGCCACTGAAAGCCTAGCCCAAGGCTCCATAGGTATTCCTGCAACGGAATTCCCAAAGCAGTTCCAGATTGGCATGGCACAAAAGAGCCTCGACAGAACTCAATAGCCCTGCCTCACCCCCACCATTCACTCAGACCTCACCCGCCTCCATCTCACCAGCACCCGCGTTGGGCTCCTCCTTCGTCATGACAGCGCCCGCGGACTTGACGCGCTTCGCAGCCTTCTTGGGCCTCTCGCCTCCCTCAGCCTCGTCCTTGTCCCCGTCGCCACCGTCGCCGCCATCAGCCTCCTTCATGGTCCGCTTGCGGCCGGCGACCTTGCCAGCAGAAGCAGCAGCCTTTTTGTTCTTGGACGCAAGAAGGGACGGGGAAGTAGGGTCAGCCGCAGAGGTGCCGCCGTCGGGGGTGGCAGGAGTAGCGGGGGTGGCAGGGGTGCCGGGGCCAGCACTGTCGGAAGGCATAGTCGCGGCGACGATCTTGGCTCTGACCGTACGCCAGGTGCGGCCGGCCGAGTCGGGAAGGGGGATGTTTGCGAGCTTGGCTAGCTTTGCGTTGTTGATCTGTTTGGGGTGGGACGTGAGGCTGCTGTCAGTGACTTTGCATCTCTTTCGAGGCGCGTCGTGATGATCCTCCCCTCGTTCGGTGGATGGGACGTGTTCTTGTTTGTGCATGTGTGTGTGTTGTGATTTGGGGGTGGACGGGGTGGTTTCGCCGCTTGCCTTGATGTCATTGATGTCCGTGTCGAGGCACTTCCACGCGAGGGCCGCGATCTCGACCTCTCGCGCGCTGAGGCCGCAGGGGGTGGGGTTGGGGGTCGCCTTGGGCTTCTTGGCAGAAGTCATTGTGGATGATGACGAGAAATGTGAGTTGAGTTTGGTTTGATGGTCAAGTGGAAGGTGTCAAATGTTGTTGACGCGATGGGGTTGCAGTTGCAGGCCGGTGTTTTGTTGCCTGAAGGTGCAAGAGCCCAGGTTGGTGGGGTTGGGTCGAGGCAAGTCGGTGTTGTCACCGCAACAACTGCACCTGGGAAACACTTGCCAAAGCTTGCCAGCTTACGAGCAATTACAGTCAGAGCCTGGACGAAATGACTGAGTTGAGTTGAGATGAGAATGTTCAACATTCCAAGAGAGTGCAGCCTTAACTCACCCAGGTGCCGCATAAGCTCTGCATCACCTCAAGCTTCATCTTTCCAATGTTCGCAATGTCTCCATCGTACACACATCTCATATCACACGATTAGGCAGCCCCTCTGGCCACCTCAAATACACTCTCAAAAAGTCAGAGATGCTATTCTGGCCAGCCTTCTGGCAGCTGATGACAGACATCATCCAAAGAAAAGGCTCTACCCAAAACTGTTGATGACTATGTTACACACACACGGAAACTGTACAAATCGTTGCGAAGCACATCTGCCGTTGGAAGCGCGTATTTTGAGCCCCACGCATCGCTCAATGATTATCAGCTAGAAGTGACAGATCATCCAGCTTTGTGAATGATGTACTTTTCGAGTCCATGTCCGTTTCTCCTGACTGACTTGGTCTCGGTCCCTCTTTCTAGGCAGCCAACTTTGGCTTGACGCAGCGGGCTAACAATGACCTTCTGCGGCGCTGAAAGTACTGAAGGGAGAGGACCTTGGGATTGGGGAATCTCGCGCCCTCAGTCTCCTCGCCAGCAGCCGTCACAAAGAACCGCTGACCAAGTGTCCAAGGCTCACCGCGTAGTCGGCAGGTGCCTGAAGAGAGCGCCCAGGTCCTCAAGACGGTGCAGAGCACTTGCTTGCTTGTCCTGCTTCTCCGGCATTATCATACTCACTGCCTGCTGTCAGCACGCCCCAGATCCACTGGGGCCATCCCAGACGCGGAAGTATGCTACTACTGCAAGCACCACCATACGTCGTGCATCGAGACGCTTCCTCAGTATGCCAACTCACCTGCTCTCGGCAATGCCTGCCTGCGGAGTCGATCACCGCAACGAGCACATGATTGCGTCGCCATCCCCACACACCGAGAGGTTGGCCGTGGCAAAAGCAGTGTGTAGCTTTTCTTCCTTCCATCTGCAGCCGCCGCCACTGAGGCTTATCGTGGTGTCTTGAACACGCCACAGCAAGGGCCGCCTTCTGCCCGTCCGCGCATCAGCGGCCAGGGGGCTCGCCCCGTTATTCCATGCTACCGCGCGATTCTTGTCATGGTACATAAAAGACTTCGCACTGGGCAAACCGAGGCTTCTATTGGAGCTTGCATACATTTCAGGCTCGGTGAGTGAAAGTGCCAGAAAATACCTAGAAAGTCGCTAAAAAGCCCCTGAGAGTCAGGCGATCTCAGTTGAAGGCGATGATACAGAATGCCTTATAGGCAGGTACCCTTGCCGTAACCCAAAAGGCCAAATTCGTGGTGTCTCCATAGCGTTGGGGAGTATCGTGGAATTCTTCCCTGTGTCTCGCTTCCAGTCATCGTAGACCAACCCTTACTAGTGCTGGATGAAGAGATGTCGGCATCTGAGATAAGCAAGCCGTAAGCTCGAGGCTGTTGGGTTTGGTTGGTTCCCGCTTGTATTTATGCTAAGCCCATAGGATAAAGATGAATCTTGGTCGACAATTATTTCATCACGAGATGGCGGAGCGAATTCGTGATACACGCAGAGCACAGGGTGCAAGAAGGCAAAAGATAAGAAACATATCCGGAGAGGTTATTGGCGATCTTCATAGCTAAGCTTTTTTCTAAAAATAGGAGAAGAGACTCGACTGTAGACTTTGAAAATCTCCAGGAATTTTGAACCTACTTCATTTCATCCCATGTCTTATTTCATACCTTGTCCAATGCGTGTAGACCCTTTGTCAGCCGTTTCTCCCAGCAGCGCTGGGTCCCCGTCCGAGATGCGGGCGAGACCCAGTAGGATCCGTGGAGGAGCACATTCACCAGCTAAGAATACGCACGGCCACCAGTCGGCCGGCCCCCAAAAGTGCAGCGTTGGACGAACGCACCGTCCCGAGACCCTGCAGCAGGGCTAAGCTGAGCCAACCAGGTGCGATATAATGCGCGCCTCCCTCATGTCGGCCGGCACCCACTTTGAGCACATTAACTGCGCCGTGATTGGCCAGCCGCCGCGGCGCGATACCTTCGTAAGCAGGTCCTCGCCGTTGACCCTGCCTTAGCCGCATCCGTGGCCCCGTGCCGGTGAGGGAAAACTTGCTCAAACTATCTCACCTCTCAATCCTCGTGGGTGCCTCTTCCCTTTTCGCTTTCGCCTTTGGGCACCGTTGTGGCGGAGGACTCGAAACACTGACTCTGTGTCTGAGAGGCGTATTATTGGGGCGGGGAAAGCAACGTATTTATTACTTGACAGGGCCCTGGACAATGTTTCAACCCGGAGCTCGTACCGGCAGGGGTAGCTCCAAGGTCACGACCCGCGCTCTCCTCCGTAGAGTTTCCAGGGAAAGTTACCTTTTCCTGCTCCCACAGGTACTGCGAGAAGTTCTGTGGCGAGCTACTGGGAAAGCCCGTCTGGCTGCTCTGAGACAGAACGGTCTGGACGTAGCGTTTATTACCCTGATGGCCGGGAGGAGTGCACATCCTCGGCCACCCAAGGCCGTGTTGGCTCCTTGGGTGCTTCCGCATCAGATCATGAGCACGTTTAAGAAGCCACTTGGATTCTACCGGAGATGGGGGCCCAGCCTCAACCCGCGGGAGCTTGTTCGCCAGTGGGGTAATCAAATGTGTAGCTTCAGCGGGCCGTGTCCCAATGTGGGACGGCGGACTTGTATCGTTGCTTATTACTTGCTCGTGTGATAAACAAGAAACCCGGGAGCCGGGAGCACAGAGGGTAGCACTTACCCACTCGCATGGGCCCAACTTGGCACCACCCGACTTTAACTGTGGATGATCGCTCAACACTAAGGTCTCTTACCCGGCCTCTTTTTTCCTGAGGATTCCACTTCCACATCGCTCGCCCCTGCCTCCGCTCTGCCTTGCCTTGCAGATTCTGAACCCGATGCTACGGTAGCAGAAAGTTCCAAGATCCCAGAGTTCTGCTCCGGTAGCATCTCACACATGATTCTTCTTTCTAAGCTCAGAATCTCGTCCGTCCCCCAAGCTGCGCATCGATCATCCGCGACCCAACGCCCATGATGGGTCTCACCTCCGCCATTCTCGTTGTCTGGTCACTTTTCAGCCTCATTCACCATACTGAGGCAGCCAAAGATGGCGTCGTGGGCTTCGGCATCTCACTGTACCAGGACCTCTGCTGCCAGGCATGTCACGATTCGCTCTCCACCCTCTTCCTGAACTGCACGACGTTCATGTCCAGCGACGACATGGCCGGTATGGACATGGGAATGAAGAAGAGGGATATGGAATCAGACATGCCCATGGGCATGACCAGCGACGAGTGCTACGCCTCCAACACCCCGTGGCTCCAGACGATGGCGTACTGCATCCAGCAGAACTGCAATGCCGATGGATATCCTGCCGATAAACAGGCCCAGTGCTTCAGCAACCAGGCGGTTGCTGGGGCGTCGTCGCCAACTTTCCAGGACAGCCTGCCCGCCACGGCTCCTACCGTTGAGCTCGAGGCTGACGCCATGTGGCTTAATGTCACCAGCCTCGTGAACCGAGAACTCTACTATTCCACCCACGGGACTCTTAAAGAGTTCGCCAGGTCTGAATACCTCCACACGAGATATTCGTAAGTTCCATCCGGGTGTAATATTCCGTATAATATGCAAGCATTGTGCTCACAGGCGATCTCTCAGGTTGATCATCTACCTTGTCGTCATCGGCATTTGCCTCGTGTGTGGCACCCTGACCCAGATCACAACTCTCTCTCCCGGACTCCAGAAACGACTCCAAAACTCCGGTATCGTGATGAAACTCCGATCAGCCGTCTTCATGCCTGCGCTGTTCGGGTCTCGGCGGTTGGAACCACTCCCAGGGCGGGCAGGCTACCTCCCAGGAAGGACACTCAGCATCTTCATCGCCATCTATGTCATCCTCAACATCGTCTTCTCCGCTGTCAACTTCAAAAGCTTCCAGCCGAACATCTACTGGTTCTCCAAGGGCTTCGAACTCTGCGAGTATGTCGGCAACCGGACGGGGACCCTCAGCTTCGTCAACATGAGCATCGCCATATTGTTTGCCGGCCGGAACAACCCTCTGATCCCCTTCACCGGGTGGAGCCAGACCACGTTCCTCACGTTGCATCGCTGGGCTGCGAGGATCGCCACCCTGCAGGCCATTGTGCATTCCATCGTGTACACGATGGCGTATTGGCAGCCGGGGTATGAGGGGGCGTCAGCGTATGCGGAGAAAGCGGCGGAACCGTTCTTCGTAAGTTTTCGTGTTTACAGTCCTTGCATGGGATCTCGTTCGATAGAAAACTAACATACTCCTCTTCAAAGTACTGGGGAATCATCGCAACAATAGCGATGAGCCTGGCAACGGGTTTCGCATTCCTACCGCTGCGCATCATGCTCTACGAGACCTTCCTGATACTGCACATAATCCTCATCGTCATCACCCTGGCGGGATGTTGGTACCACATCATCCCCCACTACGGATACGACTGGGGCTACCAGGTCTGGCTATACATCGCCTTCGCCTTCTGGGCCGCCGAGCGAGTCGCGAGGGTAGCCCGAATTGTCTACCTCAACCGCCTAGGCGATTCAAAGGCAGTCGTCGAGGCAATCCCCAACAGCAACATCATACAAGTCACCATCTTCCCGAGGGTCGGTTGGAACTTCGGCCCGGGTCAGCACTGCTTCCTCTACTTCCCCGGGCTGGAGAAGCTCTGGGAGAACCACCCCTTTAGTGTAGCAGGATGGAGGAGGAAAGGACAGACGCTGCCCGTCGCGTCAGCCCGCCCCAGCATCAACGGGAGCGACGTCAAGGAGGCCTCCGACGTCAAGACAGTCGCCCACGAGCCCGAGGTCCAGGACTGCGTGGCCGTCCGCTTCCTCGTCCGCGTCCACTCCGGGGCGACGGCCGAGCTCCAGCGGCGTCTCTCGTCCTGCTCGCCGGGTATCATGGAGATGAGCGTCTACACCGAGGGCCCCTACGCGGGCCACACGTCGACACTCCAGCCGCTGCTTGCTACGGACACGGTGCTGTGTCTTGTCGGTGGTATCGGGATCACAAATGCCCTCGGATTTGTCCAGGAGTACGCAAGCGCAAACCCGCGGACGGGTGAAACCGCAGGAGGGAAGAGCCGGGGGGTCATGAGGCAGACGAGGCGGTTTATCCTCGCGTGGTCTGCTCGGGAAATGGCACTGATCGACCATGTCAAGAGGAATTTCCTCATCGGTGTTGAGGGGGTTGAGTTCTCTTTCTGGTGTACTGGGGATGTGCCCACTGGTCAGAAGGAAGTCCCAGCGCAGGACGCGGAAAGCCTGAGGACGACTGCAGAAGCACCACCGACAATGGGGAGGATGGATATCGGGAGTGTGATAAGATCCTCCTTGGAACCTGGGCACCACACGACTGTTCTGGTCTGTGGCCCTGGTGCCATGGCAGATGAGGCTGCGAAGGAGGTGGTTAAGTGTGTGAAGAGCGGATCGCATGTGGATATTGTTGAGGAAGCGTATGCTTGGTAAATCTCTAGATTGTGCCCATGTTTGGGTTTGGGAGTAAATAATTGTTCTATTCTACGAATCAAGATAATTTGTCTAAGAAGCCTACGAGACGTCTTCTGTGGATTCTGAGAGTTTAACTTCTGAACGCAAATCTTCGAGAAGAGCGTGCGAGAAATTTCGATGCCCAATGAAATAAGAAGAAGCAGTGGCGCACAGAATCAGACGAACCTTGCCATGTGCTGTAACCACCCCTGCAGGCAAAGTCAAGATGGGCGATCCCCATGCAGCGGTCCCAGCTGTTTGGTTTCACCATGTGCCCCAATGAGACCTGGCACGCCACATCCGGCAGGATCTTCCCTGGCCTCAGGAGCTCGACTCCTGGATTCAGAGCACGTTTACGAGAGAAGAGGGATTGCGTCGAGAGACTATTTGGTCTTCGCCGTATCACTGATTGCCCGGCTATTAGTCTTGGGCTGCTTGTGTCGACGGCTCTAGTCTATGGCGCCGCCAGAAGCGGTTCTTGCTAGACTCGTCTGTGTAGCTGTCGAAAGGCTGTCACTATTTTCTGGGCCACAAGCCATAATCGTGCTCAAAACCGGCATTGTATTTTTTCTACCACGAGGGGTCTAAGCGTTTACTACTGTATGAAGGGACTGGATGCATACTGCTTAAGAAGCATATGTGTGCAGATTAAAAACGAGACTACCCCACCTTACGAGAGAAACTTGGCCACCGTTCCCCCAAGTGACAGTCGGACTGGAATCCCAAGCCCAGCTCGCATGCAGGAGGGTCAGCGGTGGGGCGCGCTCGGCCCAGGTTTACTGGTACGTACAGTACGGGAGACTGAGGGAATTGGTATTATTCCATTTTTTTTTTGGCGGAGGAGCGGGGGTTGATGGCTGAGGGGGGTGGTCAAAACTACGGAAACTTGCTCAGGTGTAGATCTATAACCCCGGGGGTGTGCCCGTTGCAACGTCCGTCTCGCGGACCTTCCCCTGTTTCTGAGCACAATCCTGGGGTTCACCTTGCCCCGGTATTATCGAAGTCTGGAGTATCAGACCCAGAGGAGCTTTCTTGCTCAGAACTCGACATATATTCGCGCTCCCAAACGCACAGCGATAAGCAGTCGTCCGAGAAATCAGTTCATAGTCACACCTGTCGTCCCCCTTGTCGCACACACTCTCACAGATCATATCGTTACATCAACGCAACCAACACAACCAACTGCAGCACAGCCAAATGGACTTGCAGCTTCCTGTGTCGATCCTTGGCGCAGGGCCGGCTGGGTTCGCCCTCGCCGCCGATCTCCAAAATCACGGGAGGAGCGTGCTGGTCTACTCGCATCCGGAGCACACGCGGCATGCCGACGCCGTGAGGGAAAAAGGATGTTTAAGGGTGACTGGTGTGATGCAGGGCTCGACAAAAGTAGAAATCACGACAGACATAAGTGAGGTCGTTGCCTTCTCAAGAGTCCTGATCCTGACGGTCCCGTCCACCGGACAAGAGACACTCCTCGAGGAGCTCAAGGGGTTCGACCTGCGGCTGCACACCATCATCGCCATCCCGGGCAACCTCTTCTCCCTCGTGGCGGGCGCCGAGATCGAGGTGGAAAACATCCTCGAGACAAACATATCGCCCTACTCGTGCCGGATGGAGGACGGGACCCTGCGCGTGATGGGCCGCAAGGGCCTCGTCTCCATCGCGGCGCTGCGCAACGACCTCGGCCCGGAGTTCTACGCGGGCATCCAGGGCATTTTTCCAATGGAGCTGAGGTGGTGCAGCAGCGTCGTCGAGGTCAGCCTGTCCAACATCAACGGCGTCTTCCACCCGCTCATGATGCTCATGAACGTCGGGCGCATCGAGAGCACCGCCGGCGAGTTCCTCATCTACCGCGACGGGCTCACGCGGTCCGTCGCCAACGCCATGATCGCCGTGGACCGCGTGCGCATCGAAGTCGGCGCGAAATTCGGCCTGCGCCTCAAGAGCACCATCGAGGTCTCCAACGAGTGCTACGGCCAGGGCTTCACCGACCTCGTCGACCTCGCGCAGAACTCGCCGCCGCATAACAAGCTCAAGGCCCCGGCTGATGTCGACAACCGGAACTTCTCGGAGGACGTCCCTGACCTGCTCGTGGCGTGGCACGCGCTCGCTGAGAAGCTCGGGATAGATGCGTCGCCCATCACGGCTGTTATCATTCTCGTCGAGATGGCCACCGGCATCAAGTACATGAGGCTGGGCCGGAACCTGCGGAAACTTCACCTGGAGGATGTCCCGCGGGGTGAGCTCATTGAGAGGTTCAGCCCATGGGTAATCCCGCAAAATGAGGTTCGGTTGTAAATATTGTTTCTTGTATGGTGTACGGATCATAGCAGCAGCGTTGACTCATTGGACAATAAAAAGCATACCCATTTGGTGACAGTCATTGAAAATTATGTGCTCTCGTAAATTTATACAATGCGAATTCTTCTATGTGATGTGCTTCTTTACTGGCATTTAAGGATTCCGAGGCGGAGCCAAAATGCTTACAGCTGGATTTGGTTGATCCGTGAGTTGCGGAATCTGGCTCCATAAAAGCCAATAACCAAAGGCACAGGAGCAAATGCCAGCGTGAGAAATCCCAACAAGCTGTTCCCCCAACCCCATCCAAGGGCCTCGTACAATTGCAGACCACTCAGTGGGAGAAGTGCTCCAGCAGTGCCTCTAAGAACCGCATTGGCGCCAACCACGCTGGCTGCGTATCCCTCAAACGCATCGATGAGGTATGTCTGGATGCCAACAAAGATGAGGATGGATCCAAACCCCGTGATCGCCGTCCCGATCTGAGGGACGATCCAGTGGACTTGATACTCGACGGTCCAGCCATATAGAAACAAGCCCATCGGAAACGTCAAAGCCCCTGGTAGCGTGATAATCAGAGGAAGGCGGTCCTCGGGCGTGACCGTCTTCCCGGCGGCCGCGCGTTTCTTCAAGTTCCTGTCGCTGAACTTTGCGATGTACAAAAGTCCAGACAGTGTCCCGATGCCGCCTGCGAGAAAGACGAGGCCGGCTGCGAATGTCGAGTACCCGTACACTTCCTTGAATACAAAGGAATACGTGGCAAAGAGGAGGTACAGTATGCCATAGAGGACGGCGACGTAGGTGCACATGACTGTGACGATGGGACAGCAGAGGAGCATCTTGGAGGGCCGCATGATGCTCCGTTTGAAGAGCTCCCGTGGTGTGATGTCGGGCGCGAGTTTCGACCGGTACAGTGGATTTCCCGACTCCTTTCTGAGCCTGGCTGCCTTCCTCTCCAGCAACACGACGGGGTACGTTTCCCTCAGAACCGCAAAGGCGAAGATGCTCACCACACCGACCTGAACGACAATTAACAATGATCGCTTCACTGCTTGTTTGATCCAGCTTCAAAACTCACCACAATCGAGATGACCCAAAACATCCATCTCCAGCCAAGGACCTCGGTCACATACCCACCAATAATGGGGCCAACCATCGGGCCCAAGATGGTCCCAACAGACCATATCGACACGGCCTTGCCTCTCTTCTCACGCGGCATGAGATCAGCGATGGTGCCCGAGCCGATCGTGATGGTAGCCACGCCCGCGAACCCGGACAGGAAGCGGAAGGCCAGGAGCATCGACTGGTTCTGCGACAGGGCGCAGCCGACGGTGAAGCACAGAAACAGCACGTTCGTGATGTTGTAGATGAGCACGCGGCCGTAGAGCTCGCTCAGCGGCGCGAGGATCAGCGGGCCGCAGGCGAACCCCAGCACGAAGATGGACACGACAAAGGTCGCGAAGGTCGTGGAGCTGGTGTCGAACTCCTGCATTACCAGCTGCACGGCTGGGGAGAGCATGGAGGATATGAGGGGCCTGGTCATGTTAGTTAGGTGTGCCGTCAAGATTATGTAGCGTTTGAACCGTGCAGTTCACTTACACTAGGAAGCTAATTACGGAGATAGTAATGATATTGAACCATTTCCTTCTCGACGACCAGTTCATGGGATTCTCTGGGTCTTGGTCTGCTGGCTCATTCCACCACACGACGAACTCAGAACTATCCCCAGGGTGCGCTGTCTCGCCGGTGGCTTCATTTTTAGGAGGCAGCAAAACCGAAGGGGTATTTGCACCGGATCCCCTGTCCTTCTCGTCAAGCTCTGAGCTGTCGCCAGCTTCCAGCTGTCGCGGTTCAGTCTCCGGCTGGGCCACATACGAGAGGTCTGGCGTATTTTTCGACGAGGACTGAAATGATATCGGCTGTTGCGGCATGGTGAAAACACACGGCGTGTGTTTGGATAGTGAGAGCCCAGCTGAACTCGACCACAGCTGACAGTATGCTGCAACGGGAAGAACCTTCTCGCGACCAAAAACAGTAACCGGGGTACGAAAGGGTCGAGGTCTGTGTGTCCAAGAAAACGGCCTCGGACTAGCGTCTGAAAGGAGCTGGCACGGGTGTGTCTGTTCTCGGGCAATGTTTCATTGGAGCAGGTAGCTTGAGCAGATTAACACAGCTACTGTGGGGGAGAAGATGCAGGTATCCATGCACCTCCATGGGGGAGGGGGGTGTGAGCAGATTAATCTCTCTGGTCTCACACCGATATTGCAGCCGCGTTATTGACTTACTCATGAAAACCTCTCGAGAACCCGTGGGGATTATTACCACTGTGAGGTCCACCTGGGTGATATTGCGCAACCATTTTGTGCTCAATAACTGCTCAAACCGCCCCATTGCACGTTGCATCGTCGGGCATACGCAACGCCGGCCTCTTGGCCACTACGATGTGGGGGTGGTAAGGTCCTGTTTATTCTTCCAGTCTAGTCCCGAAGTATGGGTCATTCTCTTATTGACACGGAGACCTTTCAACATGGGCCGCTATTTTCCATTTCTTTTCCCCATAAGGATACACGCGTTTGACGAGGTAAGGACGATTAGTCAACTGATATCTCTCTGCCAATAGAGGCCGATTTGCCGCAAAGATGTCCTGAGACGAGACCAATGTCACCGAACCATTTGAAACGTAAAAATGCACGAAGAACAGACCAGCGCTGAGCCAAATAATTCCTGGAATCTAGGTCTATTCGCAACCGTGCCCATAGCGCTCAGTCCTTGGCCGCCACAGTCACCAACAGCTCCATGTCCATGTGAATCCCGTCCTCCGTGGTGATCTTGTCCCACTCCACCTTCATCTCCTCCCGCGCCTTCGGCCGCAGGTCCAGCGGGATGCCGCCGTACGTCTTGCCCGACGAGCTCGTGTCGAGCCACTCGATCATCGCCTCCCCGTTCTTGGCCGACTTGACGATCTTGTTGATGACAATGTCCCTCTTGGAAAATTGGGAATTGTCGAGGAGACTCTCAAGATCCCGCTGCTTGATGAACTTGGGACCACTCTGCTCTGGGTAGTTCCGGTACGGCTCCCTCGACAGCACGTCGGCCTTGATCCTCTCGTGCGCGGCGACGAAGTCTCCGGATCCTCCTGATATTCCTAGACGACCTCCAGACTTGAGCACGCGGGAGAACTCCTTGACTGCGGCCGGCTGGTCCTCCACCCAGTGGAAGGTAGAGTTGACATATACGATATCAAAGCTGGCAGAAGCGAATTGAGACAGGTCTTCGGCCCTGCCGACGTGGAATGACAGGTTGGGCGTTTTGATTTTTTGCGCGAGGTCGATGCGCTCTTTGCTTGGGTCGATGCCGACCACGCTCCCTTTGTCGCCGACGATCCCGGCGATGTGGGCTGTGATATTACCGGGGCCGCAGCCGACGTCGAGGACGTGCAGCCCGGGAGTGACTCCGAGTCTGTTGAGGAGGAACAGCCCAGCGTCAAATTGGGTATTATTAACCGAAGTGTAACCCTTCGCTAGTTCCTCGGTGTCGGCCATGGTTGTTCCGGGGGGTTGTTTGGGAATCTCGATATTGACTGACCTCCCAGAGACAGTCACCAACCACAGACATTGCGCAGGTACCGTTCCGTCCTACATATGTGTGAGCGTGGCGGATCCAGTGAGTGGGTTCTTAGTGAAAGAGCCAGGACAAGGTCAAGACGCATGGGACACTTGTACCCCGCACGATTCATGGGGTGTCTGCAACATGTCACTAGACTGGCAGTGACTTGTGGTACTTTGAGCATGTTTTGAGCATATTTGGGACCATTATTACGGGTATCCTACGCCGTATCTAACCGTAGCGTAAGAATGCAGGTGGCCGAACCCTCGTCAACGCACAAGAGAGAGACCAGTTCCAGCTTACAAAGCTAATCGCCTGCTTCAAGCTTTCTTCCCAACTTTAACTAGATCCAGGAAAGCTTAGCACATTCCACGTTGTACCAAAGGAAACGCGCGTGGACAGTGGGAGTTCCTATCTTGCTTCTGAGAAGACACACGTTCGAAGCATGCACTTCACTCCACCTAAGCCATGATAAACAATTTCTTCTCCGTGACTTCAATAGTCGCGACACTTACAATCCTCGTAAGTTGATTGTTCCAGTCAGGCCCAGAGCCCGTACTAACCTCCAACTTCTACCAGCTCTTCGCGAGACTTGTATTTCAAACCTTGCATCGATGCCTATGGCATCCACTCCGCGCCGTACCAGGCCCGTGGGCCAACAGCGTATCAGAGCTGCCAGCTGCCTTGGCACTGGTCACGGGTAACCAGCATCTGTATTACAAGTCACTGCATGACAAGTACGGCCCGGTGGTACGGGTGTCTCCCAATGAGCTCAGTTTCGTCCGCCCCGAGGCTCGGGAAGAAATCTACGGCCTTCGAGTAGGTCCATTACTATGCCGGAAAGTATCAAAGCGGAGCTGACATTATCACCAGAAAGGCGGGCTGAACATGGAGAAGAGCCCGATTTTCCTCGGAGCTGTTGGGGGCGTAGACGGACAGACTGGCGTGAGTCTGGCTCTGAATGCAGAGCATGCCCGCCAACGGAGGGCATTGGGTTATTTGTTCACGAATAGCGCACTGCTACAATTTGAAAATCTCATGAAGATCCAGGTTGAAAAGTTTCTTGCCGTGCTTGGGCAAATGGCAGACGAGAAGCAACCCGCAGACCTGTCGAGCTGGTGTAGGCATTGATTCAACTCTGACCTTACTTGCAATCTTGACTGATGAGATTTATAGACACCTACCTTGCTTTCGATGTTATGGGAGATCTTTGCTTTGCCGAACCATTTGGATGTCTAGGTCAGGCATCCGCTACGGAGTGGTCCACGTCTGTCATCAATGTCTTCGTGGCAGCGGTACGTGCAGCTTCCCTATTCGACATCTCCTATTTTCGCAAGGGACATATCCTTTTCAGGCCCACCTACGGGCATCTAATATGCAGTAGACATGGACACAAGGCATACGACGACTCTCTGGTGTCGGAACATGGCTCGAATCAATAATGCTCAAGCTCTTCGTCCCCGCAAAGGCGGCTGATTGGGCAAAAGTACACCTTAGGAACTCACGTGAGAAAACACTCCGCCGCCTCGCAGACCCAGACCGAGATCACACAGACTTCATGTACCACATTCTTATCAACAACGAGTCGAAGAAGTCACTGTCTCAGACTGAGATCATCCTGAACATGGCGCTCTTCATCAGTGCCGGAACGGACACGACTGCAACTGCCCTTACCGGCTGGACCTACTTCGTATGCACACACCCGGAAGTATACAGCCGTCTCATAGACGAAGTTAGAGGCGCCTTGGTAACAGAGGAAGATGTCAGATGGGAGAAAGTAAAGGACCTTCGGTATCTTGAGGCAACCATTCATGAGGCCCTGCGTCTTTTCCCTCCTTCGCCAGCCAGTCAGCAACGCATAGTCCCTCCCGGAGGCGCCACGATCGATGGCTACTATGTTCCTGCAGGGATGACTGTCGCCGTCCCGCCATGGGTGTCAACACACTCCCCTCTGAACTTCCACAACCCTTATGAGTTCCGACCAGAGCGCTGGCTCGGAGAGGACAACGAGTTCTCAAATGATCGACTGAACGCGTCGCTGCCATTTGGAACCGGCCCGAGGGTCTGCATCGGCAGGAACCTGGCATATATGGAGATGCGGCTTATCTCGGCGAACCTTCTGTTTCACTTCGACTTGGAGCTAGACAGAGGGGAGTATGAGGCTAAGAATGATGTGTGGGGGCTGGACGGCAGGCTGAAGACCATGAAGATATTTCACTCGATGACGAAGCCGGAATTATGGGTGCGGCTGAAAAAGGCCCAGGCATGAGGCTGTTGGGGGCGAAGTCACTCTAATTACTAGAAAGGCTGTACTGCCCTCACCTACCTGGTACTGTTGAGAACGGATAGCTCAATGACTCTTCCTCAGAGCGCTACGTACGAGTAAGATGGCCACCACTTTCCCTGGGACTTGACAAGTTGCTTGGCTTGTTGGAGCCAGTGGCCGGTTACCTGCATAGATATCTGCGGGCCAGGGTTGCACCATTCGACCTTTTGGGAAGTGCCCAACCATTCGGCCGACATAAAATGGGCCACCTCAATCGGTTTCCCCGCCCCGGAAGACAAAATGTCGTCCCCTTCTCTTCTCCATGTATCTCATCCTTCCACATTCTCTGAATTCTCGTGCAAGATCTAGTCACTACCATGGAGCAGACCACTCCACCCGACAGCGGCCAGGCCGCTGTGCAGCAGATGTTTACAACTCTGCTCGGAGAGATCGCCTCTTTGCGAAAGCAGAACGACGACCAGCAACGCCAGCTCGAGCACCTGCGGCGCGACATGTCATTATGTCTCGAACGATCGGACAACTCCCCGCAACGCTCGCGGATGCCGCATTTCAAACGCCTCCCGTTAGAGGTCAGGGAGATGATATGGGAGCTCGCGATGCCGAGTCGGCTCCTTGGCTTCGAGGGCGTCACCCGGGAGCAGGGTGTTCCGTCGGCTCTGTCCGTTCCGGCTGTCGCCCAGGTCTGTCGGGAGTCCCGACGTGTTGTCATGTCGCGAAAGAGCCTCGTCGCCCTTAGCGGCAGGTCGACTCACTTAGAGGGCCCAAGTCAATTATGGCGGCTTGACTATACGGAATCGGGCCTTTGGACGTGGTTTACACCCCGCAAAGACGCCTTACTGATCAATCCGCGCAACTTCACGCCTTACGAGCGCTCTCAAAGGAACCACCTTATAGTTCAGTCGGCGGAGCACATCGTCATCGAGGATTGTTCGCTCTGGTACCGGCTCTTCGAGAACTGTATTGATGACGACGACTTCGTGACACTGAAACGCCTTAGCACTTGGGTGCATCAACTGGTGCCGGAACCTGAACTCATTCATTCGTCAGGCGATGCTGCTTACAACCTACGCACCGTCGACTTTGCCATGAGCACGGTGACGAAGGTGGACCGAAGCTACCCTCCGAACTTTGTGCGTCGTCTATTCGCCGAGGACGAGGTCAGGATCGTCGATCTGAGAGACGAAGAGGCTGTGCGTGGAATTGGAAGTATGCTGGAGCACGAGGTATCCCAGGTCATGGATTCAAACCTGCCTCTGGAATTCCCCACCGAATTGCAACACAGCTATAATAGCTTCAGAGCCGCCGCTGGTGATGTTTTCCTACACGTCAGGGCATCATTGCTGAGCGCCCTGGCCGGCTGCTACCACTACTCATCAAGTCTGGGTGGTCCAAAGCCTCTCGCAACTCTGCCATCGCCGTTCAGGGGCGACGAACTAGACATGGAAGTCGCCTGGGTGAAAGAGCTCGCCAAACGCATAATCGTTCGGCCGGTCCACGTTTTCGTCCGAGACGATGGCATGCCACGTCCAAGCGGCCCGGAGCCACCAGGTCGAAGCGCAGGACGTCGTGTGGGGTCTTTCAGGCCATGATTTTAACTGTTCTCGAGATACTCTCGCGCCAAGGGCATGGCTGGATCGTTATGTGACAACTCCGAAAGCAGCCCTCCATTTGTATTTCGTAGTGTGTCATTTCTCGCAATTAAGCGCTGTCGAGCTTCGTAATGGTCTTCCGAGCGCCTCCTCTCTCTGCTCCTATGTGCGTTGCTTTTCAGCTACAGTCTTGTAAGCCCTCGAATGCATGTTGTGCACCTGCCTCCTCTTTCTGGAGAGCCTGTGTCACGAGGCTACGTACTGGTCCCGGCCCGTCCGAGTGAATCCGTGGACTCTGCCCCCCGTTGAATTGATGACGCTCCGCGGGGTTGAAGGATGGGTTACGGTGCTTTAATGATTACCAGGGGTGCTGTGATGTACAGCGAATGGATACTCATCTGTTGGGAGCATAGACGTGCCTCCACTTACTGTTGGTTCTTGTTTGAGTTAGCTACATACCAAGCATCGCTCGGGTTGGCTCAGCGCAGACTCTTCTCTCGATGAAGTGCTTACATAGTTTTAACATGACACGTGAAGCTTGCCGCACATTAGGCAACTGCGCGTAACGATTCTCGTGATCAGCAGCTAGGCTGCCGCCCATACAATGCGCGACAAAACTCGAACGCTAAGACTCTCGACTGACTACCCAAACGTTTTCAATTCTGTTTTTCCTCAATTATTTTGAGCTGGCCAACCTCTATCCAGGTGCTTAATTGCTAATACGAAGTCGCCACAACCTATGGCTATCTGCGACTTGGTCCTCGTCTTGCCCTGAGCCTCATACTACCTTTATTCAACCTCTACGCTTTGGTTTCCAGAGCGCGAAATATAAATATGAAAAACGAGACCCGACACAAAGACAGAGGGTTGTTCATCGACAACATCGTCGAGAATCGCAATGAAGAGCTGACTGACGAGTGGTTCAAATTTGCAAACAGCTGGGACAACCAGGTCAAGCTGGTCGATTTCGTCCACACATACCGTCCTGGATTCTCCCTGCCCAGGAACTACACAATGGCATCCGTGGCAGCTACAACGTCAATTGGCGGTTGGAGTTCGAGGACGGCTTCTCCACGATGATTCACGTTCCCATCCCCCACGCCGTCGCCTTCCCCGATGAGAAAATCCGCGCCGAGGCCGCGGCCATGATGCTCATCCGCGACAACACAACCATCCCCGTGCCCGAGGTCTACGCCTGGTGCACCTCGGCCGATAACCCCACAGGCTACGGGCCGCTCATCGTTATGGAGTATATCGAGCACGCTCAGTCTCTGGAAAAGATCATCAGGGACCAGATAAAGGCGGCGGGGAGCAGTAGCCCAAAGAAGCCTCTTACGGACAGCAAGCTGCTTAAAGCCTACCGCCAGATGGCCAACATCATGCTTCAGCTGTCAACTATCGAGGGCTCAGCCATAGGTTTTCCATCTGTACATAAATTTGAATCAACCAAGCTGCCAGTTCCCTCATCATCATCGGCCCAGGTGAGCACTTCACCCCGTTCAACACACCAGCCGCAGTCCCTCGTCTGAAGGGTTCATCGTCGTCTTACATCTCAGAGTATCAGTGATCTGGTCATATCGGGAGGAATACCACCGAGAATCCTCCCGCATACCAACAAGACATAGTACAGCACGTCGGACGAGTATTACCAGGCTATGGCAGACATGCAACTCGCCCATCTGGCCCTGCAGCACAACAACGCGGTGACAAGTCCTCTAGACGGCCGCGAGAAGTCCGTTGCGCGGCAACTATTCCGGAAGCTGGCCAGGGAGGGACGGCTGGCCGCGGACGAGGAGGAGGACCACGGCAATACTACTGCGAGGCAGCAGAAGGAGGCTTTCAAGCTGTGGTGCGACGACATGCGGCCCGCGAGCGTGCTGCTCAACGACAACGACGACGTGGTTGGCGTCGTCGACTGGGAGATGTCTTATTTCGCTCCCGCATCCTTCCATAATAACCCGCCCTGGTGGCTCATCATAAACAAGCCAAAGTTCTTTAAAAAGGGCACAAGCGCCTAGGTCAAGGAGTTCAAGCGTCACCTGCCCTTATTCTTGGAGGCTTTGGAACTAAAGGAAGCGAAGCTAAGGGAAGCCAAAGAGGAGGCAAACGATAGGTTGGCCACTCTACACAGGGATCTGCAGCTCTTGGCCATCAACGAAGGAGCCGAGGACGGGCGTCCGTCAACATTAATATTCAAACGAATGAAGCGGAACTGGGAGAATGGAACATTCTTCGTGGATTATTATACACGGATAAACTATGGTTTCAATCCATTTTACTGGAAGTACGTGGACAAGAAGTTCTTTGAAAAGAACAAGAAGACTAACCTGCTGCTTAAGAAAGGCGGGTACAAGGGCAGACTTCACCTTCTTTCCGAAAAGGAGAGGGCGCAGATGGAGCCATTCATTGCATGGAAGCTGGAAGACCGCGAAGATGAGAAGGTGGTCGAGTGGGACGAGAAAGACGCCCAAGCCGTTCTGGAAGCGTGTTTGGCGGGGACGCTGGGAGAGATGGATATACCGAAACCACGCGTGATCCCGTGGACCATGACGGACCGTCCGGATTCCCCATAGAGTCAAACTTAAAGACAATATCCATAACCTTTGCTTCATCGGCCGTAGTTACCTTCAGGCCCAGATCACGGATTCCAAAACGCCGCCACATTCTAAAGCACACCGCGGCGTTATACTTAATTTGGAATTAAATTTTAACCATGGGGTGTATTCAATCTTTAAACGCAACTTAGGAAGTACATTAAAACCTATTATAATCTTTATTTATATTATAATCTTTTTAACAATAATTTATATTATTTTTCTTCTTTAAAATGATGAAATTATATAAAAGTATTATTGTTTAAAATACTTAATTAATAGCGTTTTATATAATACTAGCTAATATTTTAACTTTTTAAGGCTTTAAACTAGGTCCTTCCCCATAAGTAACTTTTTGGTAAGCTTTAATAGCGCCTTAACACGAAAGTTACTTTACAAGGGTGCTTTACAACACTAACTCAAAACCATAATCTAGCCCCCCCCCTAGTGACTTTGGATAAATGAGTGCCTCTTCACCGCTCATTTTTGTAGGTCATCTACCCGTCCCCTCGAAGCAACGAAATCCGTAATAATTGGCAACATTCTCATCGATTACTGAACACAAGGTTGTCCCTTTTTCGTAAGCGGTTTTGATCCATACACAGTACGGTGCGCTTTAACCACGACAATTCTTCGACCCAGAAGTTCAACAAAACAAAATTTCCCTACTTTATTTCATTTCTGCAAGCCACATTATCAGAATTTTTGTTAAATGAGCTTGGACACTTTGCATGGTCAAGCTGAACACATATTCTGGTGGAAAAGCACAATTTACCAATCAGCAGCCACGTGGGCACTGACAACGCGTCGTTGACAGCGGTCGTCTTCGGGCGCGGTCAGCCTGGCTCATCAGCAAATGAGCCCACGTGTGTAGGCCGGGTAATCTTTCTGGTGGTAGGGATCATCGGTGCTACTACTAGGTACGTTCGCATGCCCCCCTGGTCTCCCGTCGATGCAACGTCGAACGGTGTGCCTAGCGAGAAGTCTATGACCCCACAGATAAGCCGGAGTACCCGGTGTGGCGGTTGTGCTCGACTCGGCTCCAAGCCATATTTCTCCGCGCGCGTTGGGTTCTGAAAATAGTCGCTCACTCGGTTCCTGCATCTCTTGGATTCTTGGCTTTGCACGCAGTGTCGCTCTTTCATCCTCTTGGGTCGCGGACAGTGTGTGTTAGAGAGCCCGTGGAAGTGTGACAAAGAGCCCAGCGCCAAGATGAGACACCACACCATCCTTGCAGCCATCGCGGGCCTCGTCGCCGGCTGCCAAGCGTGCGGCAGCTGCTTTGGCCCCATCAACAAGGTTGAGCATGTCCGTCATGCGAAACGCATGCAGCCTGATGCCCACAATGCAACATACGGACCGACCCGCGGGCCGCTCGAATGGGGTCAGCTCAATTTCTTGCATACGGTAAGTTTGGGCTGTCTGCTGAGGGCCTTGATGGGCAGTCAGGCAAGGGTGCTGACATCAACGGCATACAGACAGACACGCACGGCTGGTTGGAGGGCCATCTCACGGAGACGAATTATGGTGCCGACTGGGGTGATGTCGTCTCGTTCACTGCCCGTATGAGGGCCAAGGCTAAGGAGCTTGGCGTTGACCTTCTTCTTGTGGACACTGGTATGTCTGGAAGAAGTGACGGCGAGAATGCAGGTGGTCACTGCTAACACTGAACAAGGCGATCTTCACGACGGTGCCGGCTTGAGTGATGCTACTGCTGTAGACGGTGAACTATCCAACGTTGTCTTCGAGAAGCTCGACTATGACCTGTTGACTATCGGAAATCACGAGCTGTACTACGCTGACATCGCATACCAAGACTACAACGAGTTCTCGAAGGCCTGGGGCGACAGATATCTCACCTCCAACGTCCAGATCCTGAACACCACCACCAATGACTACAAATACCTTGGCAACCAATACCGGTATTTCACCACTGAGAATGGCCTCAGAATCTTGGCATTCGGCATCCTCTTCGACTTCAAGGGCAACACCAACGTGACCAAGGTGATCCCCGCCTCTACCATGGTGAACGAGACCTGGTTCACAGACCTAGTCGCAACTCCTCCCGGACCCGTCGACCTGTTCCTGCTTATCGGCCACAACACCGCCGCCAAGCAGACGTCGACCGGCACATTCGGCTACGTCCACGACGCCCTCCGCAAAGCCTACCCATCCACACCTGTCCAGATCTTCGGCGGCCACAGCCACATCAGAGACTTCCAGGTCTACGATGACTCCGCCACGGCCCTCGAGTCCGGGCGGTACTGCGAGACCCTGGGGTGGCTCTCCATGAGCGGCTTCAGCGCCAACAACAGCGGCTTCACCGGCACCTCTGCGCCGGCGGGCGTGCCGAACCCCTCCAAGAAGGCGACGAACACCTCCACCGCCCCCTGGACCTACTCGCGACGGTACCTCGACTGGAACCGCCTCACCTTCGAGTATCACGCCTCAGGCTCGCAGGTCAACTACACCACGGATGATGCGGCATTCGACACACCGCTGGGACTCAACACGACGGACCTTGTCACCGACATCCGGCAGCAGCTTAACCTCAGCACGCTGCTTGGCTGCTCGCCCCAGCTGTGGTGCCAGTCTTGTGCAGAGTTCAACAGCTCCGGGAGCATCTACAGCCTGCTCTCAGAGGCTATGAGCGCCGTGGTCGTGAACGAGTCGCGAACGGACAAGGCGCGGGTAAGCATCATCAACACGGGCTCGGTCCGCTTCGACCTGCACAAGGGGCCGTTCCTCTACGATGACGCCTTCATCGTGTCCCCGTTCAACGACATCTTCGTCTACATCCCCGACGTGCCCTACTCCGTTGCCAGTGGGGCCTTGGACTAGTAAGCACTTGTGCCCAGCAGCAAGATTGCAGTGACCATTAGTACACGAAAGCAATTGCTAACCACAGCCACAGCATCAACAAAAACGGCGACGTCTGGAAGCGCTCCTCGACAGGGAGCACCGCCCCACTCGCGCCCCGAGACACCTGCGTGGACCCCTTCCTCTCACCCCTAGCCAACAGAGAAGTGCAAGACTACGCACACGAGCACGCAGGCCACACCCGCCGCCAGACCACCGCCGCCACGACCCAAGGCTACACCACAACCGACGCCTTCGGCACCGACGGCGACGACACAGCACACACCGCCATCCCGGGCTACGACTACCCGCACTTCTTCCAGGCGGTGGGCGGGTTCCCCGGCGACGGGAGCGGCACGCCGGACGTGGTGGACCTCATCTTCATCGACTACATCCAGCCCGACATCCTGGCGTACCTCGGCGACGCGTACTCGGCGGATGACGTGTCGTACTACATCGACGAGACCTTCTCCACGCGGACGTACCTGCCGCTCTATGTCCAGTCGTCGGAGGTGTTTCAGCAGGACTTGGATAACTGTACCATCTACTGATGAGGGTGGCTAGGATGGTGAAGGGTGTTGACGCTGATTGTGTTGAAGGAGGGACATCTGGGTTGATTTCTACCAAGTGTATATACTAGATCATGGGTTATTTTTATCAATTGCCATGAGACTCGGAGCTGATTCCACTGTCATGCGATGACTGGAAGGAGCACATAGCTTGCCGACGTATTAACTGACTGCCAGCACTTATGTGAACATTGAAGTCCGAATTCAATCTGCCAACGTACGTGGCCCTGGATCTTCTACACTGAAAATTTTTCACTTATGCTAAGGAAACTATCGCCTCCAAAAGACTGGTTCACAAAATTTTGTATCCGCCGGGGGCCCTGTCCACACCTAGGGGGAAGTTAATCTACAGTGTGCGACACCAAGCAACATTGCTTTACACGAGCTCCTCCCGCACCACTAGTTTCCCTCCACTAAGCACGGTGCTTTTACTGTATAACATTCTCGTACAATTATCTACCACGTCTCAATCTAGGCAGGAAAACTCCGATTAACAATGCAGTATCAAGCATTATCGTTCACCCTCCCATCCAATTCCTGTCCCTTCTTGACCAGCAAACCGTCCTCCCACTCGGAATCCCCACCGTTTCTGCCATCGCACAAAATCGAAATTTTCGGAGCGACCAATGTCTCACTCTCAACGGGAGGCTCTGCTACCACCAGCGCTGCTCGACTCTGCCCGAGACGCGTCCTGCTCATAAGCTCGTCTTTGGGCAGACTGTCGCTGAGCAGACTGTCGTTGAGCAGTATGTCGCTGAGCAGGATGATGCTGAGCATGATGCTGCTGCGCAGGACGTTGCTGAGTAGCTTGTTGCTGAGCAGGTTGTTGCTGAGCAGGTTGTTGCTGAGGCGCATCTCTCTGTTCATCTTGTTGGACCGCTTGCTGGATACGGTCCGCAGCTGCGAGGGCCGCCCGCCTCCTCTCCGCCAGATACATGCTGGGGTTGTTGTTGATAGCCAGCAAGTCATCGCGCCACTTCATCTCCATGGCCATTCGTTCATCCCACTCCTTCTTCATCCTCTCGCGGTTGCCCTCGTACCAGTCCACCTCCTCATGTAGGTTGGCAATTCGTCTCTCGTACTCTCGGATCTCATCACGCTGGGAGCTCACTTGGCCCTGAATCTCTTCAATTTGTGTCTTCGTAGCATCTTCAGCGAGGAGCTTTTCGGCAGACTGTTGTTGGAGCTGGTGCTTAAGCTCCTCAAGGCGCGTCTGGAGCCGACCGTTCTGCGCCATCATCTGGCTCTTCTCTTCCTCCATCTGGCTGCTCTGGTCCCTCACATCTGTGATCACTCCCTCCATCTGTGAGTTCTCCCCCTCCAGCTGTGTATTCTTCTCCCTAAGCTCTCTGTTCGCTGCTTGCAGTTTGGTGATTTCGGCTGCGGTGTACCTGTTGGACTCTTGATTCCGCCGAAGACCCATTACGGTGACCTCGAGGTTCAAACCGTGCGTAACCTGGTCGTCTAACAGCTTCTGTAGATCATCCACCTGATTTTGTCGCGCAATAAGGGACTGGTTTGCATCTTCCTTCTCTTGAGAGGCCTCGTCGCGCAGCTGGGTGATGGTTTCGCTGAGGCTAACTTTCTCTGACATGAGGAGCTTGATCTGTTCGTCCCGGGCCCCTAGCTCTTCCCTGAGCGTCGATAATTCCCTCTCTTTCGCCAGCTTGCTTTGATTAGTTCCTTTGGACAGAGCCCGAGACTCTCTCAGCTGCTTAGCAAGAGCCTGGTTCTCGGTTGCCTGCTGTTCAAGCTTGGCCTTCAATTCTTGTTTCTCGTTCTCCAACCACATGGTGGTCGCAGAGACTCTGTCCTTTCCAAGATCATCTGCGGAAGCATGGGCTTTCTTTGGACCCTCGGCGACGCCAGAGATACTTGGGGAGCTGATACTGCCAATGTTTCTCAAGAAACAGTCGTAAGTTAAGGGGACATCTGTACGGAGACGCTTCGAACCCTGATTGCTTTGACTGACTTCACTAATTCCAGTATCCGCGCGGTATTCTGAGCTGGCCCGGGAGACATGGCTAGTACGTGGGCCCTCTTGTGCCGTAGATGGGCGCAACTCTGCATGGGACCTTTGAGATGTGTTTGATCGAATACGAGCGTCGGGTGCGGTAGATGATGGTCGAGAAGGGATGTTCGACGGTGTCTGCTTCTTCCGCTGGTGTGCTGAGGGATTCGGCGTGCCACTGGTCGCCTTCCGCTGGCGGGCCGCGACCAAAGGCTCGTCGTCAGAGTCAGGGTCTTCATCGTTGTCACTACTAATAGAGATGACCTCGAATCTAGCGGAATTGTGTCGAGATTCTGGTTGGCCAGGATTCTCGTCTCCTTTGGACCGATCTCTATTGTACCGAACCGGCTGTTGACCGCGGTCTCGATTGCTGCTTGACGGGAAAGCATCCTCGTGGTTTCGTTTATGAGACTGTTCGTGGACAGAGTTGGAGGACGAAGATCGGCTCGTCGGAGGACGTATGCTTGGGAATGCTGGAGGCCGCTTCGCCTCAGGGCCTGCTCTTGTAGTCGGTGCTAGCCCCTTACTATGAGCGCCGGATACGGCAGCCTTCTTCTCCTGTACAGGTCTATCAGCTGGTGGCTTGCTTCTGTGCCCAGTAAACATGATGAAGGTGTGGATATTTGTTGGCTGAAGAGGCGGTGGAAGTGCTTGGGATGACGAAGAGATGAAGGCTAAGCAGCTGTGACTGGGTAGATTCTGCCACTCACGTGCAACAACAGTGCCGTCAAAGAAAAGGTCGGTCAATCGCTGCGTCAGAGTATGCAGGCTCAAACCAGGAGCGTGTACTCAGGATGGGTCTACCGCTTTGTCCTTGGCATGCGGCGCCGCCACCCGAACGTGTTCCAGCCTGCGCCAGCCCACAGGAAAGGAAGTATGGTCGGTGAGTTGAGGAGGAAAGGAGTCCATGTGTCTGATATGAGGAAGCAGATTCAACGTACAGGCATGCGTCTCGATGGAGGGTTGGCAGTTGTGCTACCAGAGGAAGAGGTCGTTCTGGTCTCGCTCTGCTCCGGGACGCCACGAGCCGCATTACCAACCTTGCCAGCGTCAGGCCTTGGAGACGCTGAAGGCAGCTCGTTCCTTGGGGGCATTGTGGAAGACCGGTCAGTGCAATCTGCAACGACGATACAGTCAAGGATGGGCTCGTCGTCCATAGTACTGATGGGTAGGGGAAGCCGAGGCGGGATGATGATGTTTGGAGGGTGTTCGTCAAGACACGTGGTTGTGGGTCTAGATCCCAAGGCCAAGAGCTTCTTGCAGAAGAGTGATCCCAGGTGACTGCCGCTTTGGCAGTGGAAGCTGCCTTTCGTACTGGCGAATGAGATGGAAGGTGCTTGGACCGAGCCTGCCTCCTTCGTGTGAGGAAGGAGATGAGGGTTGGTCCCACCCGGGTTCCGAGGATTCGATGTCTACCAGCTTTCCAGCTTGCCCGATTCCACTACTGCCAGGTTGCCAGTCGTTCGCTGAATTTGCCCGGGTAGTTTGGCAGTCACACTCATCTTTGAATCACAGCGGCTCATCCCATCTGAAATGATCATCCAGTTTATCACACTGCAATAGATGATCAAGTACTGGACTATTAAAGTCACCGTCGAGGTCTAAGCAACCATTAATGAGATGTAGACACAAACCAGAGCAGTGGATGATGCTATCACGGCAGTTCAAAGAGTACTGGACATGGTCCTGGTGCTTCCTTTACACAGAAGGCTAGACTGGCAAGGAGTAATGTTCAGGCACATTGCTGAAGAATTGGAACGGCAGGAATTGAGATGTGAGAGACAGGTAGAAGGCTCAGAGGAAGACTGACTTTCCTCTTGTTGGGCTTCCCAGCTGATGTTGGGTCGGATTAGGGAAGCACAAGAGCACAGGCTTCGCTCAATTACGAGGTGGGAGCGTTGGCCAAGATTTAGAATCACTGCTCGTTTTTGATCACAGTCCATTCATGTGGAGGTCCACAAACACAGTGAGCCATCATAACCCCTGACGCGGACAAATCCATGATTGCTAAAGCTCTGTGAGTCCCATTTCAGCATGGCTGTGTGCACAAAGACAGGTACTCAGCCTTCGCTTGTAAGCACTCGTTGTACATGTATTGGTTATGGATAAGACAGCACAATTTCATTAACTTTCTTTCTGCAGCGAAAACCCTCTTTGCCTCCAAAGTGTAGTCACCCCAGCTCAGGCTCTTTCCTCAAGCCGACTGCACTATCTCAACCGCTAAAGCGGATGCTTGGGTGGTTTGCTGCTATTTCGATCGAACCTCCTCTAATCGCTAGCCGATAGAGCACTTGAGTCCAGAAATATTCATCTCAGCTTTTCCTCCCTTCTCAAAGACAAGGAACTGATCAAAGCTGCCCCCAAGTCAACTTTCCGGGCAGGAAGACTGGAAGATATTCCTTTCTCTTCGGCATCATGCATCAAAGATTGATTAAGCTATATCAGTAAATACAGGCATCGGAAGAGGTGTAACCTGAGTACGCCGGACCAGAGGAGCAGCAAGACAGGTGGGGCAAAGATTGCAGCCCGGGTTGTCGATCGCCTCGGCAACAGCCGTACACGCGCCCGGCTCCGGGACGACGGTCGAGACCACGAACGGCGGCCGGGGCTCGGGCTGCGTGGACTCGCCGGCGGAGCAGGTCCTGGTCGGCCTCATGCAGACGATGCGGCGGCAGTTCAGATGCTGCACGATCTTGGTGGTAGTGGCCGTCGGGGCGGCGCAGGTCGTTTCAGGTGCTGTGGCGGAAGCGGAGGCACTGTGGGTTTGGGTTTGTTAATATGGACTCTGTGTGTGGTGGGCCCACTCAAAACTTTTGATTCTGGGGAAGTTTTAATGTCATGAGCGTGGAGGGAAGGCCATTGCTTGGTGGCTGTGCTTACGTCTGGGAGGCTGCCAGGGCAGCGGCAATAGTGGTGAAGAAGCGCATCTTGGAATTGTGTCCTAGGAGTAATTTCTTGATAGATTTGTGGTGATAGTCTGGATGAGACGCGGTTCTCGAGAAGAGATTGTGGTTGATGTGAGTGTACTGATGGTATTTGATGTCGTGTTAGGGAGATGGAATATATTGAGCGAGTTTTGGGTTTGACTGGATATAAATATATGTTCAGGCAGTTGAGCAGGCCAAGAACCGTCTATTATTGCCAATTACATAGATGTGCATAGTACTATTCAATAAGCTAGTACCGGTCTTTTGATTCTAGTCGCGCCTTGTTTCAACCGCCATACCCCTAGTACCAGCTACGCAGAACGCCGGTCCAAATTCCGGTCATGTGGCTATAGGCACGAAGCAGGCCACAGGCCAAACAGGTTCCCTAGTCAAGTCACAATCTCCTTTCGGCGGTCATCATGAAATAACCAAACAATTTGTTAAAGATTACATCGTCTCCTGATCAAAGACACTACTCATACTGGATGTCTACTAGACTACCTTGCCACAAGCACAGACAAGTCCGATACCTTTCAATACTGCCATCAATAATACCTCGCCGGTATTTACAGAAAGTCAGCGTAATCAACCAGCGTGCTGAGCTCCATATCGAGCAGATATTCTTCAAAAGTTAGTACTGCGCTCCTGGACGTAAAAGGCCGAGCTGTTTGCAATTGATATCTCTGAAAGAATATTAGCGAAATTCGACCGTACTTATCGTCTAAGCTTTATAGCATCGCAGTAGAGCAGCGGAATGTGAGTAATGAAGTCAATTGAATCTATCCAAGTCTAAGTAATTACATCATCTCTCAGCTGTACGCATGCGATCCGATGTCCCTTGTAGTCGGTGGATAGCGCGTTCCTGCATACACCACTTGAGCACTCTCGTACAACGTCACCTTGGGGAGAGAACCGTGAGGCCACCCCATGGCTCAATGACCTAAAAAGCTTCAAGATGTTTCGCCCTGCTGTTGGATGGACGAGCAGGGCAATCTGCCTGAGACAGATACCTTTCGCGTAGAAGACACGGCTTCGGCTTGAATACCGACTTGTCGTGGGTGAGGCGCGCCAATACCGATGGCCGAAAACCAATTGAGGCCGGGCGTCGTGATTGAAGTACTAGACTACATGACCAAGCCTGGCATGAAGCAGGACGAGATTGACGGTAGCTAGCCTATCACTGAACGCCCCTAGGTAGAAGCGCTCCTGCCTGCCCTTAATGCCGGGAATACCGCGCTAAAAGAACTTCCAGGCCATGAATCTCATCCATGACAATACGTAGGACAACAACAAACGCGTCAGACCGTCTCCAGGGTTGTGAGGAGGGCTGATCGCCGTCGGTTTCGCTCCCCTCGAAAAAGACGGCTCACGGTCAGCCGCGGTGTGAAGTCATCGGCTCGCGTTGGCGGTCATGCACATGCAGAAACACGGTGAGCGGCTGCAGGCCGGGGAAGCAGCGTCGCATAACAGAGCCCCCACGCGGAACGAGGGTGATGCAGCTAACAACGGGCCGTCGCAGCTGGTGGTTGCATCGCGTACCTCGGTGGGTGGGAGGCTTGATTGCATCCAGCTGCAACACAGCGACGAATACCATCCACATGTCAGGTGTTGCGAGGAGTGATCTTTGATGAGAGATTTTTCAAAACATCTTTCTACCATGTCTTCTATTCCTCTATTGCGGATTGACTGTAGGGTAAAAAGAGAACGCCCGAAACGATTCCCAGCAAAGCAGACTCTCTATCCCATCTATCGTCTCAAGATAACCCTTATCTGTGCAGCTATGACGTAACCCCCTGAACACCATGCATTCTCATCTATCCCGCCCATCTCTTCCGGAGACTGACTCTTCTCTCTTTTTGTATGGATTACAACATTGTAGTATGTCCCCAACCCACTCAATATAGTCCACTCGAATAGTCACTTACCCCCGAGCGCGGAGGAATCCGACTTGGCCCCCTGTCGGCTCGCTGGGGAACGGGTAGGGACCTCAGGGGTCGGTCTGGTGGATACGGTGGGCGGGCGACCGTGCCCACCCCCGTAATCTGACCACTCATTCCCCGGACCCAAATCCCCAGCAACGCCCAGCGGGGATTTACCCCCTAACCTTCGCTTTCGAGACAAGGTGCCCAGCTGGCCAGGTGGCGAAAAGGCGCAACGAGCGGACGAGCCGACAAGTGGACGCTGGGCCGACAGGGGAAGGGGACCAGCAGCTAGGCTAGACCGCTAATCATCCAACTGATCCGGGCCTGATCATCGGCGGGTCACACCCGCCAGAATCAGCGTAGGAGCCTTAGTCGACGTACTTGGCCAGGGTGGCCATGGCGCCCTCCTCGTGCAGGCTCTTGAGGGCGCGGCCGAGCTCCTCGACGAAGAGCTTGTCGCCGCGCAGATCGTCACCGAAGAGGTTCTTGATGCCGAGCAGCGGGGCCGGGTCGGTGCCGCCCTGCTTGGCGAGGGCCTTGAGCTGCTCGGCCATGGGGTCGTCGATGTTGTAGGGCCTGCCCTGCTCGTCGACGCCGTCGAGGTAGCGGAACCACGAGGCGACGGCGAGGGTGAGGCGGCGGAAGTTGTGCTCGCGGCTGTCCCAGATCTGCTCGGCGATGGAGGGCATGATGAACTGCGGGAGCTTTCCCGAGCCGTTGAGGGTGAGGCGGGTGATCTGGTCCATAATGGTCGGGTTGGAGAAACGGTGCATCAGCTGCTTGATGTAGTCGTCGATGTTGACCCCTGGGATCTCGGGCAGCAGGGGCCGCACCTCCTCGTGCATCATGTTGTAGAGGAACTTGTTGAAGAGCGGGTGCTCGATCACGTTGTGCACGTACTCGAACCCGGAGAGGAAGGCGATGTACGACATGGCCGTGTGGCTCGCGTTGAGCAGCCGCAGCTTGTGGCACTCGAACTTCTCGACCTCGTGCACGCTCTTGACCACCTGCACGCCCACCTTGTCGAAGGCCGGGCGGCCGTTCGCGAAGTGGTCCTCGACCACCCACTGCATGAACGGCTCCGTCACCACGGGCCACTCGTCCTGGATACCGAACTGCGACGCGAGGTCGACCTTGTCGGCCTCGGCCGTGCGCGGGGTGATGCGGTCCACCATGCTGTTGGGGAACCCGCCGTGCTCGGCGATCCAGTCGGCGACGGCCGGGTCGCGCAGCCGCGCGAACGACAGCAGCATGTTGCGCGTGATGGTGCCGTTCTTCTGCATGTTGTCGCACGATAGCACGGTGAATGGCTTCAGGCCGGCCTCCTTGCGGCGGGCGAGCGCGGCGAACAGGAAGCCATAGGTGGTCTTGGGCGAGGAGAGGTCGCTTCCCAGGTCCTCGACGATGTCCGGCTCGTGGGCCTGCAGCTCGTGCGTGTTCTCGTTGTAGTAGTAGCCGCTCTCGGTGATGGTCATGGACACGATCTTCGTGTCCGGGTGCGCCATCTTGGCGATGACGGCGTCCACGTTGTCGGGGGCGTACAGGAAGGAGTTGATACTGCCAATGACGCGCGCCCTGCTGCCGCTCGCCGAGCGCTCGATGGTTGTGTAGAGGCCGTCCTGGGGGACCAGGGCATCGCGCATGCCCGCGTCGAAGGGCTTGAGGCCCACGCCGCAGATGGCCCACTCGCGAGCGTCGCCCGCGTTGGCGCCCAGCAGGTTGTCGATGTACACGGCCAAGTGGGCGCGGTGGAAGCCGCCGACGCCAATGTGCACGATGCCCTCCTTCAGGCCCTCACGGCTGTAGGTCGGGATGACCGACGCCTGGTGGCCCTCGCCGTCACCGTATCCCGAGATCTGGGCGAGGTTCTTGTTGCTCAGCCTGAGCGGCTCTGGTGCAGCTTTGGAGGCCATGGTTGCGGTTGCAGCGGAGGCTTGTGATGATGAGTTGGTGGAGAAGGACTTGTGAGAGGATAACCGGCTGGAGGACAGCAGGCTCTGGGTTGTCCGGGAGGCATTGGGCCTGTAAATACTTGGGATCGTGGGCGCTGCGCAATGCACACCGCTGGAGCCCAGGGCGACAGCTCTGCTGCTGCTGGGTTGGATCAAGTTTTTATTATGGGCCCGGAGGCCAGCTCTGGCTAGGCGGTTCATTGACATTTTCTTCACCGGGCTGTTGATGTCACGCGGTGGTCAAATGGTAACAGGTGATGAGATGAGGTGAGAAGGGGAGATCGAGCCGGTGGGGGTGCTCGTCACTGGTGGAGGCGTCAAAAAAGTCAAAATGTCGCTTTGTTCTGCGCTGTTGCCGATGATGGATGAAAAGAGAAACAACTTGAACCAGCAACGTCAGGTCGGGTCCGGGACACGTACGTAGATAGGCACGGGTAGATATGCAGCGAGACAAGCTCGAGCTTCTTTCTTTAAAACGTTTTCGCGTGGCGTCGTGCTAGGTCATGATTAATTAATGATCGACGTGGGGGCTGCTTTTAACGGAGCATAGTGGCCCTGACAGGCGAGCCAAGGGGGTAGGGCCAGACGACCAAGAAGGTCCCTGCAGGGTGGCCGAAGTCCGGCTGCCCGGATGCCATCCGCCTATTGTAGCACCGGGAGAGACAGAGCTGAGCTGTTCTGGGCTGTCAGGGCTGTGTACCGTAGTAGTGGGTGTGTGTGTGTGTGTGTGGTGTGGATGGGTGGATGGGTGGACAAAGGTACGAGGTACGTACCGTAAAAGGGGCAGGCTGGGGCAGGTTTGGGCGGGAAGGAGAGAAAGAAGATGGAGGGGAGGGGGGAGGGACAGGGGCTCGAGCCTCAGACCTCCAGACCTCCAGACTGGATCCATCCAGACTTCAGACCTCAGGGTCTCTCAAACAACAGCTCTGGCCCTCAAGGTTCCGGCTCCCTGCCGTCCTGTCTTCTGGTCCAGTCCATCCAGCTTTTTGCCCTTTGCCCTTCTGGCCTCGCCCAGGAAAAGCTCTGCCAGAGCTTGATGTCCGAGTCACGCCACGTCATATTTCCGACGCTTTCCCCGGTTTTCAAGCTTACTCTGTTACGCACCCAGCCCAGCCCTCTTTCACCGTCTTCCGCCCTCGTAACGAGCACACACGCAGGCAGGCAAAGAGGCCACGGTCCCCCTTCCACCCCCCCAAAAAGCGTGAATCAAAGGGGTCAGGCCTCAGCACCCGGGGACCAGATACCGACGGACACGCCCTCTTGGCGAGCACGGCAATTTAAACCCCTATTCCCCGTCACAACATCTATTTTATTATTCTTCGTATTGACCTGCGCCCAACAAGTGTCACCCAACCTGTCCCTCACGTGTCTCGTTCAGGTGCTTAGGCACGCCATCGCTCACGCCGGTTTGTCGTGTTGCTCTCTCACGCTGATTCCGAGGCCAGCCTCTTCCTCCCCTTTCCCCGGATGGGAAAACACACACAGGGCCAGAACCACTGGGTGACGTGAGCAGCGTCATCCCTACGTGGGCGCAAGCCCGCTCTAGTACCCACACGGACCCTTCAAAACCTTGATGGCGGCCGCGACCGGGGGGGGGGGGGGGGGGGGCCGCCCAAAAGCTTCCAGAAGCATCGTGGAACTCGCGGGAGCTCTAAGAGCTGCATGACACCTCGGTTATCCCAAGCGAACTGCCGCCCGCCAAGCAGCCCATGATTAGATAGATCGTGAAGCTCTTAGCACCTGGCATATGCCAAACGCTAGGCTCTGCGGAGCTGGATGCCAACTGACGACTGGCATCCAATCGCACACAACAAAACCCTGCGTTGCCTGCGGTTGGAAGATTCAATTGCGAATGCACGCAACGCCCATGTACTTAGGTTTCATATCTCAAAAATAGTGCGTGAAGATCATGTCGCACGCGCGCAGCGACACGTTGGAGGCCGTCGATGGGGAATGCTACCCAATGTCTTGATGCATGAGGATCTTTCCTTCCTGACCGCAGGTGATGGGAGGCCGCGAATTATTCAGGCAAGTGCGGGAACGAGTAAGACTCACCCGAGAAATTTTCTCATCTTCTCCAGATCGCTGTTGGAATGCATGTCTCCCCCTACTCCCCATCATCGGATGAATGGAGAGGCAAGCCGTACTGCCCGGTGGCGTGCCAAAAGCTCGGCGTAAACTGTTCTCGCCAGCCTCTCCCAACGATGAAACCCAAATGACTGCCTTGTTGGACGAGGCCGGACGCAATGTCAGAACACAAACTGGCATGAGTCAATATGACGCTACACTGACAGACAGTGTTTGCTTCAGTTCCGCAATTCGACTTGCGTGTTTTCATTGACATCTGGAGCCTGGGAAGTCTGTAGTAAGGTGAATAGGTCCATTACCAGTGCTTCAGCGCTGAATGATTTCTCTTTGCAGCTATCCATTTTTGGGATGCATTGGGAAGATGTCACAGCATGTACGACTGGAAGAAGAGCTTTGTTTCGACGAGGCTCATGCTATAGAGAATGAAATCTATAAAAAACAAGATGAAGAAGCAAAAAGAGAAAAAGAGTGCGGTGCCGCTACCGAAACCCCCTCCCCAATTCCTCCATAGACGCTGAAAGTAATTATGAAAAAAGTCACAGCCCGACATCCCCAGGCAAAGGCTCAGGGCAGCTTCTTCTCCTTCTCACGAAGCCCCTCGTCCGTCTATTCGCTAGATTCCTTGGCCAACACAAACCACAGCGACTCAATCCGTTCTTTTCCTTCCCTCTCGCCGGTAGGGCGAGAAATCTCGAATATCACCTCGCGCTGGTCGTTGCAGAACCGGAGGCGGTCGGGGACCTGCCAGTTCAGCGCCTGGACTTCGGAAGGGTCGATGGTTTGCCGCCATGATGTGACCTGAAACGGCGAGTATCCGCCCCGGCCTTCCAAGTTGTCCGAGAGGTCTCGAGGAAGTAAGGGTCTTCATAGATGTCCTTCGCGGTCTGGGCGGGAGGCGAGGTGTTGTCGGCGTTGCTGAAGGCCTCGGGTGTGCCGCCGGTGGGGTCGTTCGGGCTTTGGTCGATGCTAAAGCTGGCTGGTAGCGGTTGTCTTGCAGCCTGCAGCTCGTCGTGGGATGGCTGCAAAGCCCCTCGTTTGTTCCGCTAGGTATCATCAGACGCCGTCCACATTCACGGCCTGTCGACGAGCGGTTCACATACCAAGCGCTCAACAACCAGCATGCGCCCCCATATTTGCATTCCGTCCAGCCTGGCCCAGGCCAGCACCGCAAGCTCCCGCGTCAGACACTCGACCTAGCAGTAACCGCGGTGGAAGCCTCTGGCCTCGTCCGGCCCGCGCATGTCCCAGTAGAGCCAGAAGTTGCCCGGTCTGATTCCCACATCTAGATCAACAAGGAGGTTTGCCACTGCGGTCCCTGGGACCTGCACCCTGATCTGCCCCAGGTAGAAAGAGCGAGATGCAGCTGCGTCATGGAATGTCGGCCGGTCGAAGTGGGTTTTCTGGACGAAATCTGCCATTGCGAACGAAAGTATCGTGGTGCCAGTGATATGATAACAGACGGTATGGACTGTGATGCGATGATTAAGGGTCTTGTTTGCGATGACTGTTCAATTGAGCAGGCTTTTGGGACTGGACAGACCAGAGTGTACGGGAAACAGTTTTGACATCACGAGACCGCAAGAAGGACGGGTCGAACTTGCTCGTCGCGCTGGTTGTGGTGACTGCCTAACTACCAAGGTAGGTGAAAAGGCTTGATAGATCAAGGAATATTGACTTTGATGTTTGATGAATGGCAGGGGACGCAAGGGAGTATGTCATTTTGGTCACAGTGGCTTGGTGTTTCGTTTTGCAATGTTTTTCTTCGTCAAGTGATAGCAGTTTGGAGTTTGCGCAAATTTTCAATGACTTTCCCCTGGGTGCTCAAGTGAACCAAACACTCAATTCTCCACCCATTCAAGCTCACCTAACCAGCTACCTAGGTACCTGGCTCTCTATCGGATTTGAGTTATAAAAGTCGGTCTACGCAGACCTCAAGCTGTGGGATCTCCCTGAGTTCTTGCCCTCAGGCTGCTCAAAGCATTACGAAAGGCGCATTTCATTTCACCGTCTGCGTTTCAGTCTGTTGGCTTGGAATATTTTGCAACAAAGTGTAGCCCTGTATTGATTGCCACTTCTTTGACACTACTGTAATACATCCCGAGATTCTCTAGGACACGAGCCGTTGGACATGGCTACACCCCTGAAGCCCCGTCGAGACGCGCCGGAGGGGAGCCCTCCACGGCCGTCTGCGACTCAAAGTGACCCTCCCGAGCCTGCTAATGAGCCCTCTCAACTTCCAAGAGAAGACCTACCGTCAGCCACAAAAGAATGCAGTCGATGTCACAACGTGATGTCCCTTCGTGGCTTTGTGCGCAGCGCCAAGGATCGCAGTACCAAAGGGTTCAGGCCCGAAGAGATGAAGGTGTGCAACCACTGCGGTTTTGTTCAGCACAATGCGCGCGCAGCAGGAGACCACAAGGACAGGGTGCCGAAGAGCGACAGGATGCTGAAACAGCTGAGCGAGGAAGAGTACATGGAGCTCTACGGGGCTGAGGCGATCATAAAAGGGTAAGTAAGAGAAATGCCTCGGGTTTCCCTGCATCAGGACATTGCTGATCCTTTGGAAGGACACCTGCAGGAGGGAAGAAGAAGAAGAAAGATGATGACGACGACGATGAAGTTGAGTACGTTCCGCCAGAAGCTTGATCGGGTGGACGAGTCGGACGGTGGTGAAGAGGAATCTTTCGGTAAAAGGCATGGAAACAAGGTTCATGTGAGAATTGATGTGCATTCCGCCTGGGACGGAGGCTGCAGCTCAGTTCGCTGGTCCTCGAGCAGTGATGGACGTATTATTACGGAGTTGAAGCCCGCATTCGCGAATGAAGGGGTCATTGAGCCTTTAAAGGATATTTGATGTGTTCATGGAGGAACTTGAGTCCTGTTTGCTTTGCTTTCCTCAGCGCTAGCATAAGTCTTCGCGGCCAAACCATCACTTTCGGTTCTGGGATTTTGCTACTATTTCCTCAAGTTAAGTGATACATCATGCTTTTGACGTGAAATGACAACATATCCGGTGGCACTAATCTACTTCTAGGAGGACAACATACTGCTGTATAACTAATCTACTGTGGGATCAATACTACTACTACTAGGTTAACCAACTGTTTCATAGTCTGGTACACGAAAACCTCCAGGGGGATCCACTAATCAAGGACAACTCGGGATGACGAAATGGCTGTGTCTACTCAAAGATGTTTATCTTTTCAGGACAGACTTCATGTTTTATGTACCACAATCCATCTTTCAGGGTCTGTAATGAAGCAATTAAGCAAACGATAGTAGTTTTGTTGGGTGTTAAGGAGAGAAATCTCCCCATTATTAAACGCTTAGAAGGAGCCTATTTATAAGCTAGCGCTAACGTATAGGCATATAACCCTCGCACTTTTTAATACACCCCCCATTATAAGTATTATCATCCTAATGATAATAAGAAATATTTTATTTTAATAGCTAAAAATATAGTTTAAATATTTCGCTATAATTTATATTAAAACCATTATATAAATATTGTTTAATATTTATATATTCCGCTTACATTATTTCTAATTAATTATTTAAACGCTCCCCCTAGTAATATAAACCCTGTACTTATCTTAGTTTTAATTTCTTATAAGCTTTTTTAAGGGCAGGGTAAGGTAATGCTTTTATGCAAATATTAGCAAGATTATTTTTAAATGCAATATAATAAACATTATATATCTTTTTAATTTCTTTATGAATAAAGTAATAGTAAATAATAATATATTTTAATTAAGCGTTAACTTTATAATTTTAAATAAGGTTTAATATTAATTAATTATTAATATATAAAATAGGCAAATATTTAATATGCTTAATGCTTAAATCTTTTAATGCTTAAATTATTTAATAAAGATATAATAATGCTAATAAATATATTATATATTTCGCCTTATAAGTAGATTTTATAATGGTAGATTAATGCTTTAATAATTAAGTAATTAGGTTGCCGTTAAGGAGTTGCATATATTTATTAAATGCTTTTAAATTATTTAAATTGGTATTATAGGAAGCATTAATATATATATTAAGTATAGTGAATTAAAATAATAATGTTTATTTTGGAAATTATAAAGTATAGTTTAGTATATGCTAAATGTATTAAAGCATTTTCTTTGCAATATTTAAATAATAAATTATAGGCTTTGCATTAAATATTAAAAGCATTGCATATAAAAACGCAAGATTAAGTCTTATTTTAATAATAAGAAAATTAATGGATTTAGTAAGTAATTAATATATTATTATATTTATTGTAATATTATTAGGTTCCTTTTATTGCGGAAATGAATTTAGATTTATAGGAATTTATTTTTAATTATAATTGGATATATTAAAGCGTTTTAAAATTTATTAAGTATATCTTTTTTAAGAAATATAAATCTTATTATTAATTTATATAATTTTTAATTTAAGCAGGTATTTGCAAAAATTAAGATCTTTGCATTTAAAATATTACGTAAGCTTGGTATAAAATTTATTAATTTAAAAGGGATTTTTAATAATAAAAATATTATTAATATAAATAACAATAATAATTTAGTTTTTAATAAAAACGCAAGGATTAAATATCATTTTTATTAAATATTTAATTAATTCCTTTTTAAGAGTATTAAACTATTTATAACTTAATTATTTAAGTTTATATAGGGCATTAAGAAGTTTTAAAATAATTTACTAATTATTAAATAATATTTAATATTCTTATAATAGTTATATATAAATATTATATTTTAAATAGTTATGCAAGTATGCTATTTTAATGTTAAATTATTAAAGCTATTAGCTTATTATAGCAGTAATAATAATAATTAGTCTTAAACTATTATAGCGCGCTATAGGGCTATAGGTATTATTATAATTTATACCATGGATTTATATATATTTATAAGTAATGAGTTAAACCTTATAATAAATAAGCTTATTAAAAGCATTAAACTTCTTTATATATACTTAGCAAGGATTAATAATATATTAGTTTATAATAGCAAGTACTTTAACTTATATATTTATATTTAAAAGTGATTTAAATTCTCTTTTAATAGCCTATTGCTAAGTATTCCTTTTATTGCTCTTTATAGCTTATGCATATATATTAAGAATATTATTAGCATTTATTATATTAATAAGCAATGCTTAAGCAAAGATTTAATTAAGGTAGTTAGCATTAATTAATATTAATTAAGTAAAATTTAATATAAAGTTTGCATTAATTAATACTAAGTTATTAAAATCTTTAAAATATTTTCTAATAATATTTATATTTTTTTTTGCTTTTTATAAAGGTTAAATTCATTATTCTTAAGAATTATATAATTATATAGGTTTTATAAGTTTAAGTAATTTATTAATAAGTTTTGTAAGTTTAAGCGATTTATTTATAAGTTTATTTATAAGTTTTGCATTATTAATAGGTTTTATTAGTTAAAATGCTAGTAATACCTTTATTTTAAGTAATATATTTTTATTTAATTAGCTAATTATTTATGCAATCTTTATTATTAAATTAAACTAAGTAATATAGCTTAATATTGCAATTATAATAACTTTTTAAAATAGCATAAATAAATAAAAGATAATTTTGCTTTTAACTTTAAATTTTATAAAGTATGCCTTTTTAACTTTATTTAATAATTTTATTCTTAATTTATAAGCCTTAATAAGGATATAAAAATATATAAGGTAAAAGTATAATTAGAAATATTTAATATTAAGCTTTTATTTATAAAGCGCTTTAAATAATGTTATTTAGCATAATAGGGCTGAATATAATTTCTAATTTTATAAGTATATTATATGGGAAATTGCTTTAAGCTATAAGAATAAGTAGTTTTTATTATAAATTATTATATAAGCGTTAATAATAATAATATGCATAAACCTTTTAAGCATATTATTTAACTTATAGTAATAAGGGAGTAATTTCTTATAAATAATTTTGCGTTTTTAAAATATTATAATAATTATCTTATTTATATATTTATCTTTATTATTTAAATTAAATATCTTAACTTTTACGCTAAATTAAGTTTTAACTATATTTAAGAATTCCTTAATAATATTTAAAATATTATTTTTTTAAGTAATGAAGTAAACTTAATAAAATTAAGTATAATTATTAATAAATGAAATAAAGTATTAAGAACTTTTTAATAATTTTATTAAGAATTTGCTTAATAAATTAAATTAAATATACTTAAATGGCTGCATAAATTATTATTTTAATAATAAACATAGGTGTTTCTTAATAAACTTTATAAGTTAGCATAGTTTGCAATGAAAATCCATTAATTTATTTAGCATAATGTTTTTATTTTTATATAAGTGTTAAATAATTAATTTTAATAAATTGCTATAGCTAAAAGCTTTGAAGAATTTATTATATATTGTAAATATTATAAAGTTATTTTTTATTATTTAAATTTTAAAATTTCTATATTAAAATTTTGCTTATAATATCTTATGAAATTTATTATTTTTTAATAATAAAAAGGTATTATTTCCTTATATATTTAGTTAAAACCTCTTTTAAATTATAATTTAGCTAAATAAATAAGTATTTCTTAGCGCATAATTATATAAAATATTAATAAAGATGCTTTTAGTAATTAATTTATTTAGCAGTTATAAAAAGATCTTTATAAAGCTAATATCTTTTATAATAAGTTAATTATTACTTATAATAATAATTATACTTAAATATAGTTATAAGGAGTTAAAGTTTTTTATATATTTTATTATATGCTTTAAAGCATTAAAATTAAAAATTTATAATATTAAAGTACTTGCAATTATTAATAGCTTTATTATATATATTAAAATATTAATATATAATGCTATTATATCTTTCTTATTATTATTAAAAATTTTAATAACTTTTTTATTTAACGTGGTTTACCAGTAAGTGGCGTATATCAGTAAGTAGCGCACTTTTGCAACTTTAGCTAACTTTAATTAACCCCAGCACCTACTTAGCGCAGATAATTTATTTAAATTTAGCATTAATTAATGCCAACTATAATTAAATTCTTATATTTAATTAATTTAGTTTATTTAAAGTAATATAAGTGGTTATAGCTTAAATAAAAGTAATTAAGTTTTAATAAGGGGATTATTTTTTAATGGGAATTGCGTTAATGCTTTTTACGTTAATTTCCTATTTATCCATCTATTTAAATATTCAATGCATTAAAGATTAATAACCATAATGCTAAAACCTTTTAAAGAAGATAAAATACTTTTAGCTATTTAGGTAATTAAAAACTTTTAAGAAAAACGCGTTAAGCCTTTTAAGTTACGTAAAGCTGCCCAAATCTTTAATATCCTTAAAACTATACTTTGCCGTAAGATAAATTAACAACGCTTCCATAAAGAATTATGCGTTAATAAATATAAACTTAACTTAATTAAAGAGCAAATGCTTATTTAATATATTATTAATTAAGATATTTAAGGATTCCCCCTATAACTTTTTAATATGGAAAATATAGCTAACCTCTTGTTAGCATTGCGAAATACTAAACCTATTAGTAAGTACTAAGCTTAACGCTTTATAAATTAATAATTTAGCCTTAAAACTAAGTTTAATTATCCTTATAATTATTAAAGGGCCCTTTATAAAGATTTAAAGATTATTAAAAATTAATTTAAATTACTTTGCAATATAATGGCTAAGTATTAAATTATTAATGATAACCTTTATAACTTTAATAAGACTGGCTTTATAATAAGCATAATTATTGCGTTAATAATTATTATATATATTAATAAACATAGAAAGGCTAAATTAATTTAGCTTAGTAACTAGGAATAAGTAATTATTATTAAATGCATTAATGTAAGTAAGTTATGGATTCCTTTGTTTATAATTATTTAAGGTGCTTATTACCTTGTTAGCTAGGCAATAAAATTAGGTTTTCTAAATGATTAAGTTATTAAGCCTACTTTTAATAAATAAATAAATAATGAAATTAATTTAAAATGAATTTAGCACTTTAATAAATATATTAAATTAAAAAGAAATGCTAATTACTAAATATTAATTATAAATGGTTATAAAAGCTATATATTAGCTAAATTTAATTAATATTGTAAGGATAATAAGATTATTATTATTAATATATCATTATATTCATTTTACTTACTTTAGCTACTAAATATCGCGTTATATTCGCCTTTAAAACGTATATATGGTAATTAAATTAACCTCTTTATTTAAGCCTTTATTAACTATATTATTAAGTTTAAGTTCTTTCTTATATTTAAAGCAGCCCATAATAAAACTTTTATAGTAAAAAACATTAAGTTTATATTTAAAAAAGCTGGAATTTCCCCTTAAGACCTTAATTCTATAATTTTCAAACTTAATATCTGCTTGCAAACTTTTATATAATCCATCCCTATTTTTCTTTAAAAATAAAAGTCTTAAATACTATTAAATGCTTAATAAACTATTTAATAATTAAATTTTATTAAAGGCAAAATCTCTACTTATTAAGGGAGCTCCCCTATATTAATTATAAAGGCTATTAACTAAATGGTAAAAAGAGTATAGGCTATAATGCATTTAATTACTTTTATAAGCAAGTAAATCCATATACTTTAGGAGGCTAATATAGCATTTATAAAATGCCAAAGGGCTAAAAGAACTTAGGTATAGCTTAAAGAAGTACTTATAATTAAGGAATCTTAAGCTCTTATTTAAAAGAAATAAAAGGGGAAGCAGCCAATTAATAAAATAAGTGGTAATGCTAAAAAGTTAGTTCGCAGCGAATTAATTAAAAGATAGTATAGTAATTATGGTAAGACTAGGCATAATGTAAAAACTTATAAGAAAGATAAAGCAGGGTTTATTTAATTAAATTTTAATTATATTATAGCAAATCCAGCTTAATTAGCACCAATTAATGCAAATATATATATATTAATGGTTTGCAATAAATCAACTTTTTAAGGGTGTAGTTGGTATTAAATGGTGCCAAATGCATATTTCCCACCAAAAGTCAACTAATTTAAATCAGCATTGCAATCACACCAACGCTTTTAAATTAGCTAAATTAATTAAAAATAAGCAATTTAAATTAATTAAACCTAATTAATATCAACTAATTCAAATTATTTAGCCCTGGGTGGGTATTAAGGTTAACTAAAGTTAGCTAAAGTTGCAAAAGTATGCCACTTACTAATATACGCCACTTACTAGTAAACCACGTTATAGCTTAATTTATAATAGCTTATTTCTTGCTCTTTTTTTATTTTTAATTAGCTTTATATTTAACAAGCTTTATATAATTAGTATATAAATAGTTAATAAATATAAAGTTTTATATATAATATTAAGTGCATTCTTTATTGCTTAATATAAAGTTAATACTTATTAATACGGACTTTATAGCTTTTTTTGCATTCTTTGGTGCTAACTTTTTTTAAATAAAGGTAAAATAAGCTTTAAATTATTTAATTTTTATATAGGAAATGATATTTATTATTTTAAGTTTAATTTTAAAAAATGTTATAAGGTTTTAATTATTTAAGTTATTAATAATATTATTTATAGTATTTAGCAATGTTATTAAGAAAAAGGAGCTTTTAACTTTATTACTTTTAAAAAGTAACTTTATTAATTTCTTAATTAATTATTTTACCGTTAAGGTTTTAATATAAAGTTTTATTTAAAGGTTTTAAAAGGTATTTAAATAGCTTTATAAGTTAAAGCTATTTTTATATTGTAAGTTTATTAATTAATAAAAGAGGTAAATAGTTAAGTTATTAATATTATAATTAAATTAATTAACTAGTATTTTTTAAGCATTAAAAGATTTTCTGTATAATATAATGAATATTATAAGGCTTAAATATATTAAGCTTAAAAGTATAATAAAGGCTTAATTATTAAGCTTTTCTTATTTTATAAAGGCTATACCTTTATTTAATTATTCCTTAATGCTTATAATATATTTATTAAAGTTAATAAATTAAAAGCTATAATTTTATATTACCCTTTAATTTAGGAAGTTCTTTCCTTTTAAGTTTAACTTTAAAAAAGATAATAAGTTAAGCTTAAAGTTAAGTATATTTAATATCTTTTAAATAATATTTATATATTTTTAAGTATATTTTAAATAATATTTATATGTTTTTATTTATTTATAATGGTTAGCATTAATTAATATAGGTAAATAAATAAAAAGAAGTAAGTAATTAAAATATTAAATAAGGTAAGAGTGCTAAATTATTATAAGTTATTATTAGCTATAGTAGCTATTATGGGGTATAATAATAATATATAGGTAAAGATTAATAATATTAAAATCTTAATAATTTAGGTATAAAAATAATTATAGAAATGGGGGTATTAATATTTCCTAACGTTTTAAGATATTTTAAGTAATGCTAGGCTTATAACTTAATAAAGCAATTAAGTAAATAATAGTAGTTTTATTGGGTGTTAAGGAAAGAAATCTCCCCGCTATTGAACGCTTAAAAGGAGCCTATTTATAGGCTAGCGCTAGCGTATGGGCATACGACCCTCGCACCTTCCAACAGTCTGTACTATGGTTTCCTCCGCGCCACAATTCCTCTCTGAGCCATTCCACTTCGCCATCATCCTCTTCCTCTTCCTCATCATTGGATTCGAGATCTGGATCACTCTTGCCAAGAACAATTGAATGGTCCATATACTCCGGGAGCGGTCCAATACCCATGGCATCCCTCGTGACACCAAGAAGGAAGGTGAGGCAGAGACTTGGCGCCTTGGGTGCCCCGAATAATGGCTCGCCGTCCGGGCTTTGTTTCCCTTCAGATGCCCAAAGAGTCGTAACCGGACCGGTCCCAATCCCGGATTCTGTAAGTCGGGTATGTGGGCACAGCCTATCCGGGTCAAAGCCCGGCATAGGCACGGAAAGATTCAGGGTGACCGATGTGGTTGCAATGCCTTCAGAATGGTCAATTTCCGCACTGAACTGGCCGATCTTTTGCTGCTCTCCGTTCGTGTTGAAAAAAATCCAGGAACTAAGGCCGTCAGGTGAATTGGATGCCGGTCTCTCGGGGTTCAGTCTAAGTTTCCGCAGGATCTTCCCACCCAGTCGACTCTGAAGTTGCGCAGACGAACCATACTGAGTCTTTTGCTTCAGATCAACCCTGTGCATGTCTACCATGCCAACGACATGGATCTGGCCCCTCCCATAGTAGACAGCCCGATCTCCGCGCAGGCTCTGATCAATGAGGACCTCTGGAGTGCAATCAAGCTCTTTGAGATCCGTACAGTTTGCGTCGGAAGGACTAGTCTTGCCAGTGAACTCAAACTCGTAGACCTTAAGATTTGACTTCAGCGACGACAAGCCAGAGGTGGTGAGCCGAGCCGCTAGTTGTGGACTGACCACGTAGCTGGGGGTCGGTCCAAAATGGAACAAGGTGGCTGGAGGAAGGGCGCGGGGAGCAACTGGTTCCGTGCGGGAGGCCAGCAGTCGCTGGCGGTATTGTTGACAAACAGCCTTGATCTTTGAATAGGGCAGGCCGTCTACCCTTTTGGAGTTAATCGGGACAGTCCAACCCCGAATCCATGCCAGACGGGACGTGGGACGCATTTTGCGTTGGTCTGTTGTAGCTTCGGGAAAGTCCGTTTAATGCCCAGGTGAGTATCCTGTGAGTTGTTTGTTCTGGAGTGAAAGACGGAAGAACCCAGAGGGAGTGGGAGACGGAAGAACCCCGAAAACGCGGAAGCTCATCAGACAAGGGATGGCAAAAGCAAGTCTGCATAGACTTCTACTCGGGTACTGCAGCCATACTATACATTCAAATAGTTCTCAGCTATTCCTAGGCGTCAATATTCAATGTTCTCTATTTGAGCAATCGTGATCATTTCGTGGTCATGCCTTTTCCATAAGACTTTCATTTTGCTGAAGTTGTCTTCGTTGAGTTGCGGCATTGGCCAGACACCCCATGAACTATGATGACTCTGGTTATATCTCCCTTCCCCGTCCTTGCCCAGAACTCGATGAACTGCAGCTCGTGCTTGGGAGACATTTGACACGGTTGCTGATCACGGTACGAATCTGGCAAAAACCCTATCCAGGCTTTGGGATTCGCCTCCTCACCGGACTTGTACCTAGGCACACAAGCGCTTACTATTTCTTGAACCCCTGCATCCGTGCCAAGAATGCTTACATTAGCACAATTCGGCGGTAAGCATGATGGGCTAATCGACCTGGACTTCACGCTTCCGAAAATAACGTGATCCGTTTCAACTTCAGGAAATTGATCCTGATTGAGGCTTGTATTGGCTCTGTCCCGGAAGCCAACCATCATTTATGAATTAGAGTTTTCTTCCGAAAAATGAAGTTCGGAAACATCTCAAATATAACAATGACTTCCCTGATGCCGGGTTTTCTCACATTTGGCCTCTTGCCCAGTTTTTTCTCTGCTGTTATGCCGTATGGACAGAGCCCCATGGCTGGCCAAAATACTGAGGCATTCGCAGAGCGGACATTCTTCTACGTGGGCGGACAATATGTCAATTACACATTTGTGAGTTTTGCTCCCAGTCAAATGTCCAGTCCGATATACTAAACAGCTCATCGCTGCCCGGGACGCAGCAGGACCAGTACATGGTGGGTCAGATGTACGTTGAGCGTCTCACTCCACCGACCATCCTCCACGAGCACCCTCTGGTGTTCATTCACGGCTCTGGACAGACCGCTACCGTAAGACCGCCTTTCAAGTCCTGCATCTTCCCATTCTCGTCAGGTTTGAGCCACTGACAGAGGACCAGAACTGGTTAAACACCCCAGACGGCCGCGAGGGATGGGCATCTTACTTCCTCCGCCAGGGCTACGTGGTCTACCTTTCTGATCAGCCCGAACGCGGGCGCTCGATCTACACGCCCGGGAGCGGCGAGCTGGCGGTTTTCTCCACAACAGCAACGTCCTCCATCTTCACAGCCCCAGAGAAAGTCCTCCCTCTCCCTTACCCGCAAGCCGCCCTGCACACCCAATGGCCGGGCACAGGGCTCCCAGGCGACCCAGCCTTCGACGCCTTCTTTGCCTCTCAGGTGCAGCTCCAGGCAAACAACACCATCACCGCGAAGCTGTCCAACAACTCGTACGTAGCGCTGGCGGACCGCATCGGCATGCCTCACATCCTCATCACGCACTCGCAGGCAGGCCCGTTCGGCTGGCAGCTAGCCAACGAAAGGCCCGACCTTCTCGCGGGGCTGGTGGCCATCGAACCCGGCGCGAGCCCCTTCGAGACCTGGACCGGTCCACCCTATGCGCCGGGGTATGCGGCAGCGTGGCCGCCGTTGACGTACGGGCTTACTGTCCTCCCGCTGGTGTATGACCCGCCGCTGCCGGATGATGACCCGGGTGCTTTGGCGAAGGAGACTGTCCCGCCTGCTGGCCCTGACCTGGCTCCTTGTATCTTGCAGGCAGAGCCGGCTAGGAGGCTTCCCAATCTGGCCAAGGTACCAGTGCTACAGATGGTCGGGGAGGCGAGCTTTCATGCTGTGTTTTCTGGCTGCGTGGCGAGTTACCTGGAGCAGGCGGGAGTAGACGTGGAATTTGTGAGGTTGGGGGAAAGAGGCCTGCGAGGGAATGGGCATCTCATGTTCATGGAGAAGAACAGTATCGAGATTGCGGAGAAGGTGGTGATACCATTTCTCGAAAAACTGGAGAAGCAATGATCCGTCACTACATATATTTTCGGAGCTACTGGTTCAGCCGAGTCCAAGTATGCCATCTAGTGACGGTGCTAATAAATAGAATCGTGTTTTGATTCCTAAGCTGCTCGGAGTTAGCCCCCGGCTCGGTTCGGCGCCAAGTACGAGATCGTCTTGCGGCTGCTCATGACATCCATGTCTCCACCTCAGGTACCACATCTTCGACAACAATCGGACTGTCTAGGTCGTTTTTGTCACCGGAATTGATTAAAATAAAGGGGTGCACAATGTCCTAGTCGTGGGCTTGCGTCACCCTCTTCGGGCGAGTCTTTAGTATGGGTCTCATGGCGCACGAAAGCAATGGGCTTCAAATATGACCGTTATGACATGACCCGTGTGTGCCAGTGAGGCTATGGAGGAATATAAAAGCGAACGGCGCAGTAAATGTGATGTAAGTCGGAATCGAATCTCCACGGAAAATCAAAATCTCTCAAGATGAAAGCATCTCTGTCGACTGTTTTCCTCGGCACCGCCTTGGCTCCCTTGGCTGCTGCACTGGCAGACGGTCTCGAGCTTGCATACTCCGTGGACCTACCCACCCAGGGAATGTTCATCCCGTCTGATGGCCGCAAGTTCCTCTCCCAGCGATACTCGACCACCCTCCCGCCCATCACAGTCGAGCTCCTCGCAGACAACACGACCGTGCTCTACCCCAGCGCCGAGTGCAACGGCTACAACGCCAGCGACCCGGACTCGGACCCGGCAACCACCTTCGTGAGCATCGAAGGCGCCCGCATCGGGCCCGATGGGCGTTACTGGCTCGTCGACGGGGGCTCCTTGGGCGTCAACAAGTCGACCAAGCTGGTGGGCGTGAACCTGACCACCGACGAGGTCGACAAGATCTACTACCTCGAGGACATCCGGGGCTCGAACGGCGGCATCGACGATGTTCGCTTCGGGCCCAGCGGCGACGTCGCGTACCTGAGCGACACAGCAGGGGCCATGCTTGTGCTGAACCTGAAGACCGGCGACGGCGTCCGCGTGCTGGCCGGTGATGATTCCGCCATGGCTTGGTTCCCGATGATGTACAACGGCACCCTTGGGCCCGGCTACGGTGGTTCTGGCGGCTTGTCTGTTGGCTTGGACCAGATGGAGGTCTCTCCGGATGGGGTCTACCTTTATTACCAGCCGTGCAACAGTGGTCTCTACCGCATCGAGACAGCCTACGTCGACGCGTCCTTGACCAATGCAACCTTGGCTGCCTCGCTTGGGGACTACGCCACCCCTTTTGCTCTGACGCCCAGCACCGGCGGCAGCACAATCGACGGGGATGGCAATATCTATGTCTCGGACACAAACTTGCTGGCCATATGGAAAGTCACACCTGAGGGGCGCACCACCATTCTCGTCCAGGACGATGCGCTGATCTGGACCGATCTGATGTGGGTTACCGCGGATAATAAGCTTTGGTTGCCAGCCTCCCAGATGCGCCCGGGTGCCGATGGGCTCATGGCTGATGGGACAAACAACATTTTCACTTACCCAATTGACGCTGGGCCTTCACTTATCGACCATGCTTAGGTCCTTGGGCTTGTGAAAGCCTTGAGAAACAGATTACAGTATATAGCACCCACGGTGATTTTATATCACTGAGAAATTTTATACATAACTCCTCATTGTTGGTGTGACCATACCTGTCGTGGTAGTAGGAACCTTGATTACCTACCCAAACCCAGCATTTGATCTCGAGTCTGCAATAACCATGTCATCCTGCTACAGCCCGTCCATACCACGTGGGTGTTAACTGGGCACCCTTCTCGTCAGCCCAAGAGACGGTAAAATATGAGAATAGGCACAAAAGACCGAGATACCAATAGTAAGGGGAATGGTGATGGCCCAGAAAATCCAAAACTTGTCTGAGATGAATCCGGAAGTTGCGTCAGAGTCGAAGTTGAAGAAGCTCATGCTGAATATCGACGACACGAACATTGCTGGAAGGGCGCTAAGCGTCACAAATGCTACAGTCCTCATGGCAGTGCTGTCCGACTGTGTGATTTCGATTGAAGTCTTGGAGTCGTATTGAGCAACAGTATGAAAAGCCAATTGTATCTCATTCAAGAGGCGCTGCTGGTTGGAACTGGAGCGAGACCGCAAGCTGTGGAGTATGTTTTCCATGAACTGAAGCCGCGAATGGATGGTCTTTCCCACGCGTGCCGACGTTCTGTCAGACCTGGCTTTGAGAAGGCCATCATGATTGCGGATCATTGATCCGACTGTCTCGAGCGAGACGTCGAGACTCTCAGAAACATGTATCGCATGCCTCGCCAAGTCGTGCATAGAGCGGTAGTTGGGGCTCGGTTTCCGGTCAGGTGGCATTTGGAGCATCTCGATGTTTCTCACCTCGTCGCGGACGGCCCAGACAGTTGTATCGAAGACGCCAACGACACTGTTAACCATCTTTTCAACTATCCAGAAAGGGTCCTCGAATTCGCTCCCGCTCATGGCATCAGATATCAAATCCGACAGTGTGGCGTTGAAGCCAGTGGGAGCTTCCATAATGAACAATCTTGTCTGCTTGGTAAGTGCCAGCCAGGAGACAATGAGGTTGAATCTGATCCAGTGGTATCCTCGGTTACTCGTTTGCAGTTGCTTTGCTTCAAACAAGGTGCTGGTGACTTGGCGTGGTCACAAAGTCAGCTCCAGAACGGCCCAAATACTGGGATTAACGCTGAACTGACCAACACCGCTGATAGCATCATTTGTATCCCATATGATCTCACAGTTAAAATATCCGTTCGAATCCTTGAGGTACGATGGCGAACATGTCCGAGTGATGCCAGCCAGTTCAGCCAGCAATGCCTCCCACACTGGGTAATTATAACTGTCCGCATTGCGAGCAGAGCTCAATTCAATGTTAACAGATGCGGTTTGATTGATGAAAAGAATAGTGTGGCAGTTACACAGCAAGAGCTAAAGAAATCTTACATTATGGACACCTGGCTCTGTGCAAGCGTGGATTTCAGAGACTCCATTCCCTGGCTTGGAATCACGCCCTGAGGAGTTGGAAGTGATTGATCCCGGAATCCTCCGTCTACCACCAGCGGCGGTCAACTATTGAAGGGGATATTTCAACTTGTTAAGAACCAAAACTCACCCGCATTCCAAGTCGTGACCCGTATACCACGTTGTAGTTCATGGCTGTTCCAAACCATTGTGTGTTGCCTCCAAAGCTTGGTGGAAAAGAGCGGGGCTTCCAATGCTTTTGTGAAGCGGCAAGAGAAGCCGAGGACTTTGGGATGGATCAAGGGCTTAAGTTCGAGGTGTTGACTTTCTCCGTCAAAATATTCCCCGTGATGGCAGCGCTTGCCGTAAATAACTAGCAGTCTCAACCAGAGCATTCATTCTACCTATGTATTGTCATCGAGATGTATTGCCAGACAGCTACAGTTGCTATGTGTGTGCCGCCATGAGGCAAACTGCAACTCGACACATCAATAAATAGCGCCAATGAAGCTGTGACACGTTACATAGCATGCAAGTGTGTGATTCGTTATTGAGCGCAGTGCCACCCAGTGTACAGATAGCTCCCCGGTAAGTCGAGGCCTGCCTTGGAGATCCGTTGCATGCCCAGCCACCACATTTATATACGTCTAGCCTGGTCTAATGAATTAAATTGAGCATTAAGGGGGTATACTGGTTCATAGTAGCTACTGGTGTGTTGGTTGAAAAACATGAGAAAGGATCTCGTTTCAGTCGAAATTTCTTTTCCCTACGTGTATCAGGGAAGGCATTGGTACGATGTATCACCCTGGTACGGCGTGAGTAGATGGCAACCACTGTATGTTAACCTAGTACTTATCTTGTGTCCCGTTCTACTCTGAAGTCACCCCAAGGCTCGGTCCTGCCAAGCTGTCGTGGGATGCGACGGGATGTGCTGGGCGTAAGGAATCTGCCTGACTCCCCGCCCCCTTCCCTCCTGCTGTACCCACGCTAGATCCTCACAGCCTGCATAAAAAGTGTCTTTGGCAGAATGTGCCTCAGCTGAGACCATGCAAGCCATAAGTGACATACGAGACATTCATCGCTTCTGCCTTCTCATGTTGCACAAGGCAACAAGGCTAGGGCCAGGAATTTACACATCTTAGAGGCCAATCTCGACGGATATTTCATTTCTCAAGGCGGAACGATGAACCCTGCAAACGCCCCACGGAAAAGCAGCTGGAGACATGGCCACACCTTTGCAGAACGCCACCAAAGTGGCTGCAGCCGGTCAACATCGCTTGCCCAGGTCATTAGCAACCACTCCAGCTGCTGTTTCCGAGGCAGCTATCGCTGACCCGAGGGTCGTTGCAGAAACGCCTGTCGAATCCCGAGGTAGAAAAACATCAATCAGACATGGGCGAATATGTCCATCGCTTTGCTGAGTGAAAATAAAACCCACGCAATCTTGTTGGCGAGCTGAGTGTTCATTTCTCCAAAGCTTCGGGTCATCTCTTGACATGTTATCTTGAACGTAGCCAGGCTTCAAGATGTCATACACCGGAACAGGACCTGAAGGCCGAACAGTCAGTTCTGTTACCACGGTTGAGCCACCAGATCAGCTGGCTGGTCAGGACAACTCGGAGGCCACGTCGTTAGTATTACACTATCTGTCCATACGATATGTTTTCTGCTCTGATGCAATACTGACGCCTCTCTAAGGAGCATTGAGCAGGCCGAGGGAAACGTCTCTCTTCGAAATCACGCGAACAATCCGAGTCATTTTCAGCAGATCGAAGGGCGCCTTGATATAGGCCAGGTCCAGGTTCTGATTATATGTGCAAAGGATCTAGAGGTAGACGCCGTCTTGGCCACGCTCGACAAACGGTACAAAAAGAAAACAATTGTCAAACACGTCTATTTATTCTCAGGTACCTTCAAAGACATCAATGTTGCCATCTTGCCACTGCTACAAAAAGGCATGGTCTCCAGTACCACCGACACCTCACAGGTGGCCTCGGACATGAGGCCGGACGCCTACATCATCTCGGCCGGTATTTGTGGCGGTACTGGTTACGACGATGACAAGAAGCAGCCTGTGCATCTGGGCGATGTTGTCATTAGCACGGATGTTGCTCGATATTTCGACCGTGTCCAAGGTAAAGAGCTGGTCCAAAAGATGGTGGACCAAAAGTTCGGGGGACATCAACGACTTCAAAGACAGATCAACATCCTGAAAATGGGAGACGACCTCTTTCAACTCCGCCGAGATGCCGATGAGAATCTCCGGGAAGTCAGAAGCAGGATCAGCTCTGGATTCTTCAGTGTCGGTTCCTTCCAAAGCCTGAGCGCGAGTCCACCAGATGGCCGCATACACCAAGATCGACTTTACAAAGAGAAACGTCCACACATGCACCAGGAACCAGGTGCCTGCACGTCTTGCAATCAGGACAAAGGAATGAGTTGCGTTCAGTCAGAGAGACTGTCCTGTGAGCAAACAGGATGCAACGACCTTCCTAGCAATTGGCTCGAGCGTGGCCCACCAACGGAACGTGGACCACTCCCGGTTCATTTTGGGATCTACGGGAGTGAAGATGTCGTTATGAGATCGGGCAATTACACTCGTACCTTACTGAAAGAGAGAGGAATCATGGCTGTCGATATGGAAAGTCGAGGTATCTGGCATGCGGCTGGAAGTCACATTCCTCGGGACGTTGTCATCATCAGGGGCGTGTCTGACTATGCCGATTCACACAAGAACGACGCCTGGCAGCCGTACGCTGCAATGGCTTCGGCGTGCACAATAAAGGCGTTCGTCGTCAACTTCTTTGAAAGTATGGAATAGGTACTGCCCTGTTTAGGAAGGGTGCTTTTCATAGGTCATCAATGCTGCGATTGAGTTGTCTAACATTCCATCAGGCAATTCGTGTGAGACCAGCATCCGCCAACCAACCCCTACTGTGCTCATACCGTCCCGCGCAGAACCCGTTCATGTGCAGTCCTCTGGCGAAACCAAGAAATACCTGACTCGGGACGACTATTCGATCGCATTACTCTGTTTCTCGGCAAGTCCAGCGATGATGGCCGCTATGTGTATGGTGGATGACGAGCATCTGAACCCACAAAACTGGTGCCGACTCCATTGTAAATTCGGTGCAATTAGAGTCAATGACGGAGATTCATGCCACAACATTGTCATTGCGTCGGTACAGCCAGGAGAGAACGGGTCCTCGGCCATGCAAGAAGCTGTAAGGGCATTGAAAACCTCGTTCCCGAAATTGGAGCTGTTTCTTTCCTTAGGCACTGGTGGAGGCGTGCCACGGCCAACTAGAGCAATTGATTCTGAGAGAGATATTCATCTGGGGGATGTTGTTGTCGGGGTACCAAGAGGTTCCCACCCAGCTCTCGTCCATTACCATTCACCCATATCCGCAGAGTCAGCGTACGCCCACCCAGCTTCTACAGTACGCCCACCCAGCTTCCAGCGTTGGCCCACCCAGTATAAGGAAATTGGCTGCACGCGCTATAAAAGATTAGTACTGTGGGGTTATTAATAAAGCATAGCTATAGCTATCCCAAAGGGGTCCTATAGCTACCCCTTTATTCGCAACTTAAAAGTTACTTCTACCCTTCTGCCCTCTGCCCCCTCGGCGCCCTCTGCCCCCTCAGCGCCCTCTGCCCCCTCAGCGCCCTCTGCCTCCCTCGGCGCCCTCTGCCACCCTCGACGCCCTTTGCAACCCTCGGCGCCCTCTGCGGCCCTCGGCGCCCTCTGCGGCCCTCGGCGCCCTGGGGGCCTCTAGGCGCTCTGGGGGCTCTGGGGGCTCTGGGGGCTCTAAGCTTTTTAGGCTTGTATTTCTAAAGTATCGCTTAAATTAGAAAATAGCTACCCTAGCTTCTTATATACGGGGTAAACTTAAAAAAGTACCTAGTCTTATTAATATAATATTAAGACAAGGAAGTACTGGGTGGGCCAATGCTAGAAGCTGGGTGGGCGTACTGTGGAAGCTGGGTGGGCGTACGCTGACTCATATCCGCACTATCCCAAGGCAATTACTTTCCGGACTCGTCTTCTCAGCGTCTGCCAGAGGTTCCAAGACAGGTCCTGGAAAGTCTCACAGCACTCCTTCAAGCAAGTCGAGGCAGAAAGCTGGATCTCAGCCGTACAATGAGGAGACTCGAACGTGGGAAGGGCTTTCAGCGACCGCGTCCTCATACTGACAAACTGCACAAGTCTGGTTTCGTGTGTGCACAAAGCCCGTTGAGCCCCCTTCCCTGCTCTTGTGCAGAGGAGGATCTTCAGAGCCGGCCTAGTAGGGGGACTTGCCAAGATGGTCTTGTGCCGGGTTTCCACAGAGGCCAGATAATATGCAGCACAAGCCCTTCAGTGGTACTGGATGATCTTGCCTCAGCAAACCCTGGAGCACTTTGTCTTGACATGCAAGCCGCCAACCTTCCACGGGACTGCAGGGCTTTGGTTATCAGGGGAATATCACATTACGCTGGTACTCAGCCGAAGAGCCAATGGGACGCATATGCTGTTGGAGCGGCGGCAGCATTCGCCCTAGAGTTTATTCGAAGATTGCCGGCGTCGGTGGAAAGCACTGGGGTGACACATGAGATTCGGAAGACTTACTTGTTTGGCAGCATTGGGATCCCAAGAAATGTCTATGATGCAAGAGAGTTCTACGAAGCAGGAAATCTCTATCTCGACAGGACGAAGCACACATGGGAACAGATGACTGTGAGTGGTATAGCGATCTATGAGCAGATATACGCAAACTGCGCTGACGCAGAGGGACATGTGGACCGTAAGTACCACCAGACCTTCAGAAGGGGCAAAGGGCCGAGGCTCGTTCACTGACCTACTTGTATGACAGTGAGCCAACTGAAGCATTATGTTCCCTTGGGGGATGCACAGGCTATATTGATTGAGAGCTGGGACGAAGTTGCCAAACATGCGCAACCATCACGTCTAGACCACAGTATGACACTTGCCGTGATTTACATGGTCCATCTTCGTGTTTGGGCCAAAGTGGGCAAGACCTCATTTGGAATCCCCCGGGAAGATCGCGAGCGGCGAGCTAGACTAAGAAACTTCGCCAAATGGGTGGGATGCAACTGTGGCGACGACTATTGCCCGTGTCTATGGAGCTTCGTGAACCGCGCTGGTCTGTGCCGGAACCCCTCTCCGACATGTCGAGCTCATCGATGGATGTGTCCAGATATGAGTCAGAAGGACGGCTATGACAAGAACAAATTCCAACTGCTCAAGCGAAAATGGGGCGGAAAACACGCAGATGCCGTTGGTCAAATAGCATGATTAAATTCTTGTTTCTTCTGATTAATGTATGAAACTTAGCAAGTCATGATTTGGAGAACAAGTTTTGCGTCAACACAAGTTGTTTCGCTTGCTATTTGACATATCCATTGTAACATTCTTGTCGGCCGGCCTCCCCTCCAGCACCCAAAAGCCCTGAACACCCCAACTCCGTAAGATTTGAAGAAGGTGTATTTATCCAGCTGTGACTGGTGCTCATGGCTGATTGACACTGTAGATTCCTGTTGTGTTGGGGCTTAGCATCAATCCAGAAGAGCAACCACTTCGGCCTGTAATCATATACGGCATTTCGGTCTGATGTAACCATTCCTGACGACTTTGTTGCTCGGCTGGCGCTCCTGATATTTTCGTCATCTCATATTGTCGATCGTGAGCGGGCGTCTCCTTGGCATAGGCTGGTGGCGGCTCCGGCGCGTTCTCCGAGTTAAGCTCTTGAGGTCGATTTGATGGCCGTAGAGCTTGTTGGGACAACGTTTGAGTGGTAGTGGTTGCAAGGCTCCTTCGTCTCCTTCGTCTCCTTCGTCTCCTTCGTCTCCTTCGTCTCCTTCGTCTCCTTCGTCTCCTTCGTCTCCTTCGTCTCAAAACTCGCCAAGCGATGAAAATCCCGAGAAGTGTGGCCGCCACTACTGCTCCAACAACAATTCCTGATATGGACCCAGCGCTGAGGCGGTCATGAGCTGGCGTTTTGAAGATGGATTCCAGTGCCGGATCATCCCAAACTGGAAAGCGTTGACTAAAAGTAGAATCAGCACGCATACTCCAATCTCGCGGGAAAAGGGGCTAAGAACCTTGAATTGTAAGAATCTCGAATCAAAGCCGATGCCTCGTATGGAGGAGCATTAGCATCGTACTTGTCTGCAAAGTCCAGCGCAGTCATGTCGAATACGTGGATGCCTTTCGTCCATGGATCTTGCGCCTCCCAATTTTGGGGATCAGGATAGCTTGCTGGGTCGGTGCTTGTGCCCCCGACAATTATCGCTTGGCGATTCTTTGTTGAGGTACAAGTCATCTCGGTTCGCCCAGGACTTGAAATAAGGCCTGTGGCATGCCACCTGAAGGATGGGAGTGATAGAACGTAAAAGGTATTATCACTTGCAAAATTGCCAAATAGAAAACTTGGCACCAAAATTGTTAGCCAGTCGTGAATACCATTTGCCAAAAATGAGCCAAACGTACATGTCGTAAGTCGAAAGACTGGAGTCATAAGCTCCAAAGCCGCAATAGAAACGGTTCCGGCGCATTTCCGGTATGTTGCCAGTGGCTCGTTGATAATGCCAAAGCCGCGTAGAGGGATCATAGATCGTGATGTTGTTGGCCCATTGCTTGGTTTGGCCGCCGTCGTCAGCCTCAAACCCGCCTACAATCACAAAGATCCCCTCAGTGCCGAAGAACGGGGCATAAGTCATCACACCGGCTGTGGCTAACGACGTGGTGTCCTCTGTCGAAATTTCTCCAAGTTTTGAAGCGAAATAAGAACCATCGTTTGTTGAGTTTTCCAGAGTCGCAGTGGCAAAGTCGAAGGTTATCAGCCCAGGAAGACTGTGTACTGTTGTGTTACCCGCCTTGTTTGAGCAAAACTTGGATGTCCGGGCCCCAATATAGTACGCCTGTCTGCCATCGCTTGCAGTGGCTCCAGATATTGAGCTTGAGATGTCGCTGGGAAATGGACCCTTTGTCCCTCGCGGACCTAGAGCCTCAGACCACTCACCGGAGGTATGATCCTCGTTGAACGTGAATTGCCAAATAGAATCCTCTAGAGGCGCGGTAGATCCTGAAGACTTAACTGTGCCGCCATCTCTGCCCAATTCACCACCAAAGGAGTATACAGATTCCGTCGTCGGGTCGTACCATAGACTCCCATACCTAAATCGCGGTTGTTCGCGAGATCGGTAGACCGACGCTGGCTGAACAGAGACATTTGTCCAACTTTTTGAGAGGTCTATAATCCAAGTCCTGTTGTCTGTAATAGCCGGGGCCATTAGTATATATAGTCTGGGGATAGCACGCATTTGTCTTCTAAGCAGAAGGCCTACCGTATGAAGGATACTTAGGGCTGTATGCAGCCTGGCCACCATCGATAAGTAGCTTGTCCCCAGCCAAGATAGCTGAGGAATATGTAGTCAGATAATGTCATGTAGTGGACTGGGCGAGGTCCATACCTGTGTGCCCACTCTTACAGACGTAGTCGTTCTGGCCATTGGCTACCTTCGCGATAAGGAGGGAAATCCACAGGTGAAACATGGCGTGCAACAAGGTAGGAAGACAAGATCGTCAGAGCGATGAAGGCTTTTCATGGATTGGTTTCGAAATTACACAAACATGCTGTATACCTAGGGGTAGGCAACTATATAGCTATTTGTCTTTCCTGGTCAATATAGTGTACCACCCACCCCCTGAGGACAAATGGAATTACACCACGCCCGAAATCACAGCCCCATCTCCGAGTAATATGAAATGTACTGACTCTATTCCAGGCGGAATCTGCAATCTCCGCGTGGGGCTTAGACTCTTTTTCTGTTAGTTGGGGGGCGTGGGGTTTCAAATCCTTAGGCGAGGCACACTTGGTTGCGGCGGTGATGCAGTAAGCTGCAGTAGTTAAGCAGCCATAGGTCTTATGCTTCCTTGGCAAAATTCCTGTTCTGCACTTCTTTACGAGGTCTCAGCTCCGGTGCCACCCTCCAGATTTTACCCTGAAACCTGAAGAAAGTGGCTTTACGGCTTCGATGGCAGACGAGGCTCGGGGCCCGATTGCCAAGTTCTTCGCCATAACAATTCTCGCAGCCAGTTCGGACATCTTGATGCAGCCCCGTGTACACACGCACTTCGACCTAGCCCTAAACGGCAGAGAGCCTTTCCAGACACATGGGCCCACAATGGGCTGGCTAATACGAGAATCGTCGGGCTAGGTGTCTCACCCTTGTACAGCTCATTCTGGGGCCAAAGCAACTGCAGTCCAGAGGTACCTCAGTCTTCCTATCGCACAAAGTTGGGTCATGGGATACAGTATATCTTGTATATAGACCAAGGGTAGGCTCATCTATCAAACTCTTTGAAACCGATTTGAGCTATAGGTACCAAGAACTTATTGTTCTACATCATTGCGGCAGACAGAAGAAATGATGGATTTCGGTCCAGAGCTCCGTCAATGGGGAGAGGAAATTCAAGGGTTGGAGATCATGTACTGGCGAGAGCGCCTCCGCCGGAATTACGCCAACGCGTGGCACATCGTGGATATAAAGCGAGCGAACGGCTGGAAGATTGAGTAAAAGCCGCCATAGACGGTAGTGCTGACTGTCGCCACTATTGGCAAGTACGACCCTCGCACTTGGAAGGCTACTTTAGTTATCCCCTTCGGGGCACGTAGCCTCTTAGAACTTAAACAGAACAATATTAATATATAATTGCTTCCCATATAATTATTATATATATAAGAAACCTATTAATACTAATTAATAGTTATAAGCATTATAAATTAATAAGGTAGAAAAGGCAACCCTATAAGGATTTCCTTAACTTAAAAAATTATATCCTCCTTATTAATAAGCATTATATAGCAATAATTACTTTTTTAAGCCTCCTTATATTATTAAACTCTTTAAGCAAATATTATAAAGATTAAATAAATTAAGTAGCATTCCCTGCAATATCCATATATATATTTATCGCTATTTAAGAAATATATATTTATTATGCATAAGACTTTATTAAAAATAAATCTATTTTTAAATTTTCTTTAAAACCTAATAAAACTTAATAAAGCTTTATTTTATTAATAGATAAAGCTTGCAATTATTATAATTATTAAATAAATAAAGCTTATAATTATCGTAACTATTAAATGGATAAAGCTTGCAATTATTATAATTGCTAAAGCTAATATAATGCTACGTTATAAGTAAGCATAAGTTATATACTATACTTTTAATTAATATAAAAGGACTTAATAATGGGAAAAAGCTTTAGCTTTTAAGGCCTAAAGAAATTAATAACTTTTTCCTTTTAATAATCATAACTTACTTATTATTAAACTATTATTATTAACTTACTCTTAAATATTACTTATTGTTATGGGCTCGGCCCCAGAGGGGCTGCAGGCTGGCTAGCGCCTTCTCCCATAAGCTGCAAAGCAGCAACCATTTGCGCCATTAAGCCAAAAGGTACGTAATAATCCAAGCTCCCTTGGATTACCTAGCCACACTATATAAGGCTTGGGCTTTCAGCCCAAGCCCATCACACTTATTTTATTAATATTTCTTTATTTTATTAATCTTACTCTTTATAATATTTATTATAAAAACCTATAGGCATGGCTAATAACATTAAGAAGCTATTAACTCTTATTAAAAGGTATATAATTAATAAAATGCTTACTTAAACTTTAATTAACTTAGTTTATTATAAATATATTAACTTAAAATTATAATTTACAGCCCTTATATAAAAAGCATTAATAAAATATTTAATTACTTATTTAATAAATACTTTAGCAAGCTATATGCAATAAAACCTTTATAATAATAATCTTTTCATTACTTACCATAAGGATTATATAATATGAATATAAGTAATATTTAAAGCATTGCTAAATCCTTATTAATAATGCTTAAAAGTTTTTTTTTAAATGCAAGGTATTTATATAAAATGCAATAATTAACTTATAGCATTATAATTAATTATTATAGCTTAAGTTAAGGAAAGATTAAAATAAATTAATAATAAGCTTTATAATGCCTTATTAGCCTTAAAATTAAACATAAATAAATATTGCATATAACTTTAAAAATAATAATTATAAATATAACCCTTATAAGCATTATAAGTAGGCTTTAAATAATAATAATTGCTAAGAGGGTAATCTTTAAAATAACTTTTATCACTACTATTAGCTTTAAATGCATAATTATAAAACTTAAACTTAATAAAATAATTTATTAAAAATTAATATAGCTAACAGGGTTTATTATTATTAATAAAGAAATAAAGATAAAGTTTATATTAAAAATATATATTACATTTAATATAACCTTAGGCTACCTTAAAAATGCCTTTATTAAATAAAAAATATAACTTATATAAAACTCTTTTTTTATAATATATTTTTAATAAGCGCTTAAATTTAATAAAGTTAATATAATTTATAAAAACCTTTAATAACTTTTATAAGTATATTAAGAATTTATATAACTTGCTAAATAATAAAATAAAGATATTTTTTAATATTTACTATTATATTAAAATTTAGCTAAATTAATTCCATATAGTTTTTCCTTAAATGCTTAAAGATTAAGCTAAGGCATATTACTTTTATTTTATAAATTAAATTAATATATTTATAATAGCATACCTTAAAATTAAAATGCATTTTAATATAAACCTTAATTATTAATATTATTATATAAATTAAATAATAATAATATTTATAAAGATAAAAGCATAAAATTTAAATAAAGATTTATATAAAGTTTTATATTTAATGCTTAATAAGCTATAACTTTGCTAATAAGCATTAAATTAAAATTATATTAAAAAGAATAACTTAAGAATAATAATAATTAAAGCTTATAAAAGAGTTTTTAAGTTAAAAATAGCTTTTTTTAAGCTAATTTAATTATATAAAGAGTTATTTTTAAACTTAAAATTTATAATAAAAATATAACTTAGCTATATAATTATAATTAATATTATAAATAAAGTTTTAAATTAATATTATATTAATTATAAATATAATAGCTAAAAGTTAAGAAAAAAATAATAATTATAATTTTAAGCATTTTAAAGAAATTAAAAGTTTAATTAATTAAACTTAAGCTATTTAAGCTTTAAATAGCTAAGATCTTATAGCATTAACTATAAAGCTTAAAATAATAATACTTATAAAGAAAGAGGAAAATAACCTTAAAAGAAAAGATATTATATTTATAAAAAAGAAGGATATTAATTAATTAAATATTTAGCTAATAAGCAATATTTAGCAAGAAAAAGCTACTTAATATAATGTAAATATAAAGGTTATAATAATAATTTTAATACTTTTTTAAGTAAATTTAAGGAATATAAGATAAATAATAAAAATAAATTTTATAAATATAAAAATAAATAATATTAAAATAATAATTATAATAATAATGCTTATATTATAAAGGTAGGACTTAATAAGAAGGTTTATTATATAAATATTAATTTCTTAGCTAATAAAGTATTTATGCATTAAATTATTAAAAATAATATCTTTTAAATAAAAATAATTATTATAGCTAATTAATTTATTTTAAAGAATAAATATAATTAAATTTATTTTTAAGGAATCTTATTAAATATAAAAGCATTATTAATATTTATAGCTAAATATAAGTAATTTCTTATATTATAATAAAAAAACTTAAAGTATTAAATTAATATAATTATTATAAGAAAAGCTAAAGTTAAATTTAATAATAAAATAATTATTAATTCACTTAGCATAATAAAAGTTTCTATCTTAATTAATTATATTAACTTTTATATTATTTAAGTATAAATCTTATTCTTGCTTTGCTTAATAAATATAAATAAGCTTTAAATATATTATAATAATATTATAAATAAAATAGTTTTCTTTAATAATGCAATTATTATATTAATATTTAAAAAATAAAGTTATTTATGATTTTTCTTAAATTAAATTATTAATATTATATATTTCCTTTTAAAGATAGAAATAAAGAAACTTTATTATTACTTTAAATACTTATTAATAAATTAATTATATTAAATGCTTAAAAAAGCCGGCAATTTAAATATTAATAAATAAGTAATGGCAAAGATTAAGAAGATATATTATTATTATTAAATAAACAAACTTGCATTTAAGCGTTTTAAGTTTCCGTTATGCAATAATTATAAATTTAACTATAAAATCTTAATTAATATAATATATTTAAGCAAACGCTTAATTTTTTATATTATAAATTAAGCTATGGCTTTTTAGGAAGTGAAATTCTTAAAATTTATATTTATAAAGACTATATAGTAAATATTATAAATGCTATAAATTAATATATATTAAGAATTACTAAATATTATTAAATATAACGTAGGAATAAACTTTGCATTTTTAAAATTCCATTTAAAGGCATAAATAATGGGAATTAAATGCAAATAAATCCCTATAAAGGCATATTAATTTATTAAGAAAGTTAAGAAATATTATTAAGCCCTTAAATAAATATATAAAATCTTATATACTAAATTATATAATAATATAAATAATAATGCTATTTTATAAATAATTATAAAAGCTATTAATAATATTGCTAAATTAAATAAATTAATCCCTATATTCTTAGTTTTTAATGCTTACTTATAAGTATTATATAAGTTACCATTATTATTATTAACATAAAAGCAAGCAAAAGCTATTTTAAAGGCTATAAAGATGCTATAAAAAATCATAGCTAAATAATAAATGCAAAATATATTAAATATTAAGATTAAACTTATCTTTAATATAAAATATTTATTATAATGCAAAGTTTATATATAAAGAGAAAGAAAGAAATAAAAGGGTTTATATAAGGTTATTATTATAAATAGCCATAATATAACCTTAAATATATTAAATAAAGCCGTAATGTTTAAGTTAATAATTATTTAATTATATTACTAAGATAATAATAAGGAAATACAACCCTTATAAGCAAAAAACTTAACTATAAAACCTTAAATATAACTTATTATGCAATTACCATTACTAAAGATAAAAGACTGTATTATTATATTATATATCTTAAAAAAAGAAAATAAAAACTATAACTTAATAATTAAACTAAGATAAAATGGAATTATTATAATATTAAGCTTATTATTTAAAAAATTTAATAAAATGAAAATTAACAACCTTATTATTAAAAATATTTTTTAAATTAAAAAATAATTAGCAAAATAATATAATAAATATTATTTCTTTAAATCCTGCATAATATAAAAGGTAAAAAGTAAAACCATAAAACCTTATAAAAAATCCTAATTTATTATTTAAAGTTATAATAATAATAAAAAGAAATTAATCTTAATATAAAGCCTAATTATTTAAAAAATAAGTTAATAAATAATCTTTATACTTACCCCCTTATTAATTTAAAAAAAAGGCATAATTTTTATACTTTAAGATATTACTTAAGCCTATTTTTAAGTAAAGTTAAAACTATATAAAATAATCCTTATAAAGCTATTAAAGAAATTAAAGAATAAATACCCTTTAAGCATAATTATTTATATTATTTAATCCCTATATAGCATAGCAAAATTCAGCATTTATTAGTTTAATATATATTAAAAACATTATTAATAAAAGCTTAAAATAAACTACTTTATATATAATCCTTGCTTAATAATTATAAAGCTTATATAACCCTTTAAAATAATAAGCATATAAATAAATAATATATTAATTTTATTTATATTAAAATTTTAAGATAAAAAAAAGATTAAAATAAAAGCTATGAAATTGCAAAGAAAACCAAAATAAGAGCTAATGCTTAAAAGCTTAATGAATTATAATAAGGCTTATATAATTATAAATATTATTAGCTTAATTATTACTTAATAAAAGGGATAGGCTAATAAACTTACTCTTATTAATGCAATAATTAAAGATACTCCTTAAAAATACCTTAAATAAAAAGCTTAAGGAATATATATAGCTTTAATTTATTAATTAAAAGCTTTATATAATCTTTTAATAACTATATAAATATAAAACTTAAAGGCAGGAAATTATAAAAGCTTAAATATACAATTATTATAATAAATAAATAACGCTATGCAAGGAATTAAGTATATAACCTTAAATCTTAAAATAACGAAACTTTTTATATTTATAAATGGATTATTTATAAATAACCGGGACTTAATATCTTAACTTAAATATATTATTATCCTTATAAATAAAACTTGTAAGGAAACTAAAGGATTTATAATAATAAATAATATTCTTTATTAATTATTAATAAAGTATAAATATATTACTTAAAGCATATTAATAAGTAAAATTTATAATATAATAAATAAAGTAAATATTAAAATTTCCTTAGCTATAATAATTAAAATAATTATAAAATAACTTTTATTATTAAATATACTTTTAATTATTTATATAAACTTATATAATTTATATAAATACCTTATAAAGCTAAGAATAATAAAGAAAAAGCGTTTTATAATTAATATTATATTATTATAAAAATTATATAAAATAAGAAAAATTGCTAAAGTAAGGTAAATAAATAAAAAAAATAACTTTATTAATATAATAATAAAATTAACTTTAAATATTATATTATAAAAGCTTATTAATAATAATAAGCTTTATATATAAATAAATAGGTTAGTTAAAAAACTTAAAGTAGCTCCTTTTTGCTAAAGAAGAAGCAACTTGCTATTAATACCTTTTCCTTTTAACTTTACTATTACTAGCTATAAAAACTTATACTTTTTAAATTTAAACCCTTAATATAAACTTTAACCTTTTATACTTTAATTAAGATCTTCTTAATACCTTATTATATATAAAAATAATCTTATAATTATTAATATTATTAATAATTATTATTTTAAAGTTAATCTTATTATTATTATTACCTTTTATTATTATTTATTAATAATAATATTAAAATTAACTTTTATTAAATTTATTTATAATTTATTAACTTTTCTTATAATTAAAGAATAAATTAATAATTATTATATAATAATTATAAAGTTTTGCATTATAAATATTTATTTTAATTACTAAATTCCTATAAAATCTTTTCCTTTTTATTATAATAAAAAATATTAATAACGATTTATAAAAATTATTTAATACTTTTATTAATATGCTTTATAAGGATAATAATGGCAAATAAAATTATTTAATAAATATTATATTTATTACTTATATTAAAAATATACTTAATATAATCATTATTATAACTACCGTTAATATAACTAATATTAAAGGTAAACCTGCTGCAACCCTTAACTAAAATTAAGATTCCCTTATAAATATCGCAATTATAACCCTAATTAATAAAATAAAAATCACAACTATAACCTTAATTAATAAAATAAACATTGCAATTATATTTTTATTAAGCAATAAGATAAAGATTAAAATTATTATTAAGGCTATAAAAAGGGCTAAAATCGCCTTAATTAATAAAGATAAAAATAAGCTTATTAATCTTATTAATTTCTATAATAAGGTTATTACTAATAATGCTTATTTAATAAATATTAATAAAGATATTAATAATAATAACTTTCATTTACTTACTTATTTAATAAATATTAATAAGAATATTAATAATAATAATTCTTATTTACTTAATATTAATAATAATTTAATTATTATTAATAATAAAGATAATTAAAACTAAGCTAACAAAACCTTAATAAAGATTATAAAAATTGCCTTTAACTTTATTTTTATATTAAACATTAAAAAGAATAAGCTATTTATTAAGATAAACTCTTAAGGAATTATTAAAATTAATAAGCTAAAGGCTATAACTATAGCTTAAATTAAAATACTTTTCTTAAATAATGCCATTATAATAACTATTATTTAAATTATTAATAACTTTTAATATTAAAATAAATAAATATTTTTTAATAATATAATTAAAAAGCTATATATTTATATTAAGAGTATTAAAACTCTTAATGCAAGATTATATAATATCTTTAATAATAAAAACTATTAAGGTAATTATTATCTTAAATGCTAAATTATTATAATTTCTATAATAAATAACTTAATAAGAATTTTAATCCTAAGTATTTTCTATATATATTAAATTAAAAAAATTTAGCTATTAAAGGATTAAATTATTATATTAACTTAGCTTTAAAACTTTTTATATTAAATTATTAATAAATATATGCAAGGCTTATATATAAAAGGACTTATTAAAAAATATGGATTACTGCTTAAGCAATTTAAGCAAAAGATAATTATTAAGGAAATTAAAAAAAATAATAAAAAATAAGAAAAGGAAATAATAAATAATTAAGCTGCTTATAATGCTTAATTTTAAAAAAATAAAAAGCAGCTAAAGGAAATTAATTTAAAGTAATATTAAGTATATTTTAATAATAAAAATAAAAATAGAAATAATAATATTTATATTATAAAGATATATAATAAAAATAAATATAAGCTAAAGAGTTTAGTATTAACTTTATAGGCATTAACTTTCCTTATAAAAAAAAAATTTAAAATTAAGGTTATTATATAAAAATTAATAATTTTTATAAAAAAGCAATTTTAAAAGCTAAGTATTAAAAATAATGAGTATAATATTTAAGGAATAATATAATAATAATAATTATAAGTTTAAAGGGTAATATAATAGTAAAGATTATAAGTTTAAAGGGTAATATAATAATAAAGATTATAAGTTTAAAGAATAATACAATAATAAAGATTACTAAGATTTACTTTAAAACTTATAAGTTATAATTTTAAGCCTTTTTAATAATACTTTTTTATAATAAAGATTATATATATTTAATATATAATAAATTATAATTTTAAAATTAATTATAATAAGGATTATTAATTATAATAAAAATTATATATACTTATTAAAAAAAGAGAAAAATTATAAGTATTAATAAGTATAACCCTTATATTTAAAAGGCTATTTTAGTTATCCCCTTTAGGGCACATAGCCTTTTAAAACTTAAACAGAATAATATTAATATATAATTGCTTCCCATATGATTATCGTACATACGAGAGACCTACCAACAGCCACCATCTTTAAGCCGCAACACTCGGCGGGACGACGTCTTGCCTCCCTAGATGACACTCGTCGTTTAACTTATGATCAAACTGCTATAGCTTGGTGCCTTCCAGATATATTCTACCAGTGCCTGACACGGTAGCTTCTATGTCGACAACATCACTCAAGGAGCCGCAGGGCGGGCACACCTTCGTCGTCGAGGCGACCCAGTCCATCCACTACTCCCCTCTTGAGACCCCGCAGACGATCCGGCTGATCCACGCTCGGCGTTTGGCCACAGGTGGGAGAATCATTATAAAGTTGAGGCATTTTTCTCTGGTTCAATCACAATGCCCACATTTTACGGCCATGTCGTACGTCTGGGGAGAGAAGAAACTACATCCGGACAAGGTCGTGATCAACGGACGCACCTGTCAGGTTCTGGAGAGCATACATCCCATTTTGATTCTTATTTCCGACGAACCGGGCGTGAAGAAGGACGTGTGGTTCTGGATCGACTATCTGTGTATCAACCAAGATGATGATCTCGAACGGGCTGCACAGGTGGCGCTTATGGGGACACTGTATCAACGGGCGTTCAGAACCTTGGTTTGGTTTTGCGAGGCTACGCCCGACGTGCGCGGCGCAGTAGATTTGTTGAAAATCTTTGCATCGGATTCTTCAAAGAGCAGGGACCAAACAATTTGGGCTAGCCATGACCTCGTTTCTCCTGAAAAGTGGCAGGCCCTGCGGCACTGGATGAGGAGACCCTGGTGAGTTAATTCCACAGCGCGAAGGTAATTTAACACCGAGACAAGTCACCGTTGAAAATAGCGGGGGGCCGGGGGGGGAGGGGCGTCGCTCCTCAGACGATTTCTTTATGTTTGAGCTGACAAGTTGAGTCTGGACTCTACAAGAGTTTCTGCTGCCGCAAAGTCTCAGTTTTTACTGCGGAAATCAGAGCATCGCGAGAAGCGACTGGAAAAGGGCCTTCACCAAATCTACAATTACTCTGCGATGTCACTAGTTTCTTTTTGGTCCATCGTCCATCATCGATGACAAAGGGTTTGGTAACCAGTGGGCTCGGAGCAGGCTGCTATCATACTACAAGCATTCAACCCCGGGTCTGGTTGCGCTGATGGCTTATATTGGACATCATCAAGCAACCGATGACAGGGACCGCGTCTATGCCGACCTCGGTATTTGCAACGACACCGACCGTGCTATCGTCGGAACACCAGACTACACTCTCTCAGTGAAGGAGCTGTACATCCGACTGGCGATGCTGGACGGATGCTGCTTCTCGGCCCGTGCCCTCTGTGGTAAGCGAGCCGAGCCGACCTCTTTGGCCCAGCACTTCCACCACCTCAGGACGGTGTGAGCATATTTCTCGCCTCGAACAGCGAGTTATGTGTCCCGAAGGCCAGCGTTTCCGAGCACCTTCGAATGGTCCGACCGCCGCCTCCTTGATCTGATACTTGTGGCAAATACTCTTTATGGGAAGCTTCTGAATGCACAGTGGGTGAGCGGCCGTGGGACTGTAGGCTCATCACTACGAATCAGGGACACCTCGGTATGGCACCTAGGCAAGCAGTGAAGGGCGGTACGGTCGCTGTGCTCGTTGGATGCAGTGTCCCTGTGATACTCAGGAGATCTGCAGGCACGGAGAAGTACGAGGTCGTTGGAGAGGCTTTCATGCCTGAATTCATGCAAGGGGAGGCAATTGTTGGTAATAAGACGCCAGGCGATATCACTCTCATATGAACTGTTCGGAGTTTTTGCAACCCACATACATGGAAGGCCTTGTGCGCATGATGGCGTGCCCCCAAGACGCTGATGAGTTATGGACCGCATTATACATTGGAACAATAGGTTGTTACATGGAATTAGATATGTGTCATGAGAGGGATTAGAGATACAGCACCTAGCCTTAAACATGTGGCGGTTATTGCAGCTGCAAAAAGCACCATGGGGGTAGTGAGGTGCGGTTGAGAGAGGGGCAAATGGTGGGGTGTGATTGGCTGCAGTGGGGTGTTGGCTGCTTAGTCACATGACAACCGGTGCGCAATCCTAGTTGTAATCTGCCGTAGGTGATCTGGGATGGATACGGCCTCATTTTTTGGCCACTGCACTGCATCACAAATGGGGATAGAATCAACTTCATTGGCCGTGGGAGCGCTTCCTGGGGCCCACGGCTGGCAGATCTGCTCGATAGATGGCCCAGCATGCAATGCATGCTGGCTGTGGCTGGGCACAATCCCAGAACCACCCTCCTATCTGAAAAGAGCAAGGGACCAGAGCTATTCTTGCTAAAAAAAAAAAGAAGAAGAAGAAAAAGAAAAAGAGAAAAAAAAAAAAAAAAAAAAAAAAAAAAAAAAAAAAAAAAAAAAAAAAAAAACCAAGATTCGAACAATCCAAACCAGATAAAATCTAGGTACGTTCGGAGTGGGCGTGTGAGTGATACAAACGCAGTGCCGTGGCCGGTCAGGTATGACAGACAGATGAAGATAGAGGGGAAAGGTCGGACAAGTGCAGGCGGGGGACGCACTGCTTTTTGTCCACCCGCTTCCGTGTACAGAGATACCGCCATCAACTTTTCAGCTCCTCCCATGCGTACCAGCTAAGCCCAAGCTTTGGAGGCTAGCTTTTAGACGGATTCTCCTACTTGCTCTTTAGGTGAGAAACAAGTCGCCCAATCAACATCGGACATGCGCAACCAGGCGGTGTCTCAGTTGTCCCTTTTAGCTTATCTATCAGGGCTTTCCAGGGTCAACTCTGACATGGACCATTTTGATCCGAATCCTACGTTGAAGGGAAAGTACTAGGACAAATATGGTGCACCGGTGCAACCACCCATGCAGATGTAAGACGCCAAGGCCTTTTCGGCCGCCTGGCCACAGGTTCTTGTGTATCCCTTTTCCCTTTGTCTCTCGAAGTTTGCTCGGTGTGACCTTTTCACCCCTCGACGTCTAGACAAACCGCATTATCAATCATGGGGCTCATTGATGGTGTCATGACAATGCTCGGCTGGGGCCCAACGCAGGTCGAACCCCAGCGCGTGCCCACCGACGAGGTGCTGCCCGTGCACCATTTCGATGACAACGCGATAAACCGCTCCATCATACTCGCATGGACTCTGCGCTTCAATGACGTTCTTGACGCTGACAAGCTCCACGATGGGTTGTCACGCTTGCTGGAGATTGGCGACTGGCGAAAGCTTGGAGGAAGAATTAGAAAAGGGGTAAGTCTATATTTACCTCTCTCTGCACCAACTTTACCAACATGTTGTAGCCCAACGACAAGCTCGAGATTCACGTCCCCTCAGAATTTACACCAGACAGGCCTGCAGTGAGGTTCACCAAGGAGAGCTTTGGTGTCTCATTCGCCGAGCATCCACTTGCCTCACAAATGCCCAATGCGACGAGTGGCATCCACATTCACGGCAGCCCTGAGCGATTCCGGGAGTTCATTGGATCCGCGGACACGACACCTGGCAGCATTGATGATTACTTGAACAGCGATAGCCCTCAGCTTGGCCTCCATGTAGTGACCTTCCTTGATGCCACCCTGGTCTCACTCAACTGGCCGCACACCATGACGGATGGCCTGGGCAGACTGGCGATCGTCAAGAACTGGTCCAAGGTCCTCGCCGGGAAGGAAGACGAAGTTGCTCCTCTGAAGGGCCCGCTCGATGATCCCATGGCGACCGTAGGGACCGGCCCGCTGCATGAGAAGGAGGAGCCGTATGCCTTCAAGGACAAGAATCTTAGCGGCATCGGCATGGCGAACTTTATGGCGCACGTCATCTGGGACAAGTTCTGGGTGCCCGAGCACGAGCTAAAGGTGGTCTTCATCCCGGCAAAGGCCATGGCGGTTCTAAGGAAGCAAGCAGCAGACGACCTGTCAACAACGAACGCCGACGGACAGGGCGCGATACGCTTCGCCCGCGAGCTCGGGAACAAGCCGGCCCTGCTGGTCCCGCCCACCAGCATCACGCTGGTCTGCAGCAATTGGTCCAAGGGCAAGTTCTTCGACGCCGTCGACTTTGCCCCTGCCGTCGTCAGGCCGGGCCCGAAGAGCGACGTCGCCCCCGTCCCTGGGAAGCCGGTGTACTTCCAAGCCATAAGCACCAAGCAGGACCCGCCCATGCTGAGGAACGTGTACAACGTGCTGGGCAAGGACTGCGGGGGGGATTACTGGGTCACGGCGAAGCTGCCTCCAGTGGTCTGGCAGAACATCGATAAGGAGATCGCAAAGGTCCAATTCTGAGCATTTTGGGTCCTCCTTCGGAGAGTAATGAGGGATCTGTCAGAGGGTATGCACGTACCCAGACAAGACAGTGGAAAGGTTGTGAGCACCGCGCGGGAACAAGAAATTTACAGAGACACAAATAAGACTTTTTGTAATTGCTTGCGCAGTGTGTTGTAATTTGGCTCAAATACCACACGGTCAGATCGGAGCAGGCCAGTTCATGCACTGTGAGAAGATGTACCTCATATTTGCATCAACGCTCAGCCAGATATTAATGATTAGCAGACTCGGCAAGACAGATGTACATCGATCATAATGGTGACCAAAAGTGAGTTACGGACGGAAGGCTGAATCCTAGGCCAGCTGTCGAGCGAGTCTGAGACAAATAATGAATACGAGAGTTCGAAATTGGCTGAGCACAACCCGTCACGAATGTTTGCCCTCCGAGTCTTCAAAGTAGTACGGTCAATTGGATCATTCAGCTTCCAGTTCCACACCCCTCTGAGCAATGTTTGTAGTGCAGATTATAGGCCGCTTGGCTTCTTGTTTTCTTCTTCTTTGGTCTGTCTGTCTATTTCTCACCGACTTTCCCTTCCCTTTTCCCTTAGGAACCGAAGCCACAGTAACTCGCTCACCACAAGCAGTTCAGATCTTGACTCCCACGGTCAACCTCGAACCTATATTATCCAGTGACTACGCACCTATTCCTCACTTCTGATAATCCGCAGGCCTCCCAACAACAATGAGGACCTTCTTTCTGCTTGGCTTCGCGCTGCTCGCTGCCGGCCTGGCAGGCGGCAGTCCACCCCCAGCAATCGCAGACGTCAAACACTTCGAGTTGCCATTCCATGTCACCAGTGGGACATCGACTGCCGAGATCTTGTCCGTCAACGGCGGACTTGACCTACCGAAGATGACACCGGGTGTGAATGTCAGCACTTTTGAATGGTAGGGCCCTCGAAGCTATTTTATTTGATGACGTTGCTAAATGATACGGTGTGTCCCAGGTGGCACTTTGATGTCATCGGGAGAACTATAGCATCGCTTACCGTCGTCTTTTACAACTTCGGAAAGTCCAGCCTCGACGTTCCGTACCCGGGCGGCCCGCTTCTTGTCCAAGTATCTGGCACGTGCGAGAACGGCACCTCGTTTCTCAAGTCTGCGGCTGCCACTCAGGGTGCGCTTTTTGACTCGTTCAGCGTCCGCGGCATCATCTCCGGCTGGTATGGAAAGAATTACAACTCCTACATCTTCGGCGGTGGTCCCTTCGCAAAGCCTGACATGCCGCTTCAACTTGACATCCTCGGCAATGACATTGATGTCTACGGCACAATTTGGCTAACACCGGTAGGAGCGAATCGTCAAAGGCCCAAAGAGGCGTCCCACCAGATTAAGTGCTGACTGATTGAAGAGATCGCCTCCCCATTATCCCTGCGACCTCGACAAGCCAGGGGTGTCGCAGGAGGTCATCCCCGACATTTACTGGTCCAACGCCGTGCCATTCGCCAACGCATCGGTTGATCTCAAGATAGATGGACAGACCTTCGCCTTCAATGGATCTGGATACCACGACAAGACCTGGGGGGCCAAACCACTAAGAGATTCAGTGTAGACGTGGTACCGTGGGCGCGGCCACATCCGCAACTACACCCTCGTCTGGTCCAGCGCCCTGGATAAAAACGGCAAGGAGCACCTCTCGTCCTGGATTGGCCATGTGGATGGTGAAGCTGTCTTCCAAAGCTGCCAGAATCAGTCCATAGTCATTCGGCCATGGGGGGAGAACAGCGCCTACCCGCCGACGCCTGGACTCCCAGCCCCGTCTGGCTACCATATCCGCTACTACCTAGGGGATGGAAAAACTTTCGTTGCGAATTTCACCACAGAGGCCGTTCAGCCATCTACCAACAACTACAAGAGGGTCACCGGGCTTATGGTTGGTGGATTTGAGGGCGAGAAACATCACAAGGGCTCGGCTGTGTGCGAGCAGTTCCAGCACCAGTTGTCATATGCTGGTTGCCTAATGCAAGGCTAGCATTGACACCGGAATCGAGGAAGGACTTTTTGGGAGACATTTTGAGCTGAGCATGTTGTCTTTCCTAGCTAAGAAACTTTCGGGCTCTTGCGCAGCTCAAGATTGGGTTCCAGTCACCAGAGGTCGGAACTACAATCGTCAAGGGTAACCTGGAAGGAAATAGCAAACTCCAGATAAAGTTTTTGGGAGCTATCTCCACATTACATCTTGCCTCATCTTCTATATGAGAACCGTGAATTGTGTGTGTGGCTGATGCGATCTCATGTGCCCTGTTTGATCGCAGCAGCAGGCCAATCATTATAATTCTCGTCGACTTTGTCGTGCGGCCCGTAGAAGACAGAAGAGCCCCGATCGTTGCGAGCGGAAGGAATCACGTGCTTGATACGGGTAATCAAGTCCTAAACCACAAGTCTCAGCCTATGCTTGCCTGGAATTTATAAGTTCTCAAACACGTACCGGGTTGTAAATAAAGGGTGGAGCAAAAGTGGTCAGGTCGAGCTTCTGCTGCTCCACCAGCTCGGCTGCTTCTTCGACCGTGTATTCATGATTGACCATGGATAGCCCGAAAAGAGCTGGTCTCGAAATTGAGGTTTTTCCTTCCGGGCGGCCTGGACGGGGTGCTGGGCATATTCGGCCATGGGATCACTGGTTGTGATGAATGTGCTGTCGGATCGGGGGATAAACACCTGGCCGCCGTCTGTCAAGCAGCTTTCTTCGTAACGACTATATCCACGTCAGATATGCTGGTGCTAACTGCGTCCGCTGATGCGTTGAGGAAATGGAAATGCATTGGGTGGCCGCATGCCCTGTTGCAGATTTTTGCTTTTATATTAATGGGTCTTCTTTTGTGGGCCATTCTCGTACTGATCTATGTTCTCAGTTTTGTCCTAGTGGTGCCCTGGTTTGCGTTCATATCAGTGGTATCAGATTTAGCAGACCAACTGAAAACGCTGGCAACCTGGCCAACTGATCTCGAGTGTCCGCTGCTCTGGTCGGATCCAAAAGCCAATTTCTTATGGCATCTCATGTAACAAGATTGATATTGTTAACAGGTGGTGATATATGGGCACATTTCATCCATGGCACAGCAGTACGTCTGGTCCGGTCATATGCACTGCTTTGGTGGTCAGAGAACAGGACTTTGGAGACGCAAAAGATACTCGGAGTCTTCCTACGAAAGGGTGATGGGACAACTATTTTCTCCGGCGCGGCTTCTTGGCTGGGCTTCGGTGGATTAGAATGTGCACACAGCAGCTTGATGGGGAATACCATGTTGATAGTCCTGGGAGGCTTCTCTGAAGGACTCTGTGCAGGCACTGAAAGCACAAGGCATTCCCTCACATTGAAACCTTCACTGCTGAGGATCCGGTTGAAGGCTGATGTAAGGCTCGTGATCATTTCAATTTACCAGCTCTCTCGAACATATTAAGCCATGGATAACGAAGTACTTGAAGAACCACATGGTGTGGTCTCGGACAACGAAAACGGGCAAAGGCTTTCAGCTATGGACAGATGAACTCGACAGGGTCTCTGTCCTTTACTTTTTTGCTTCGCACACCAATATTCCTGCTCGGAGTGCTAAGACATACTTATGACTCTGAATTCGCCCGTTGATGACAAGGTTGGGCTGTAGGTGGGTGTCCCACAGACAGCACTCGTCAGGTTTGAGAAGCTACCACAGCTTTTCCGTCTCCATGAGATCCCCCCGGAAGATCGCACACTTATTTCATGTCGTCTCCCGCCGCCTTTTCAATCGCCATGTCACAAGACCGGCGGTACCCTTGCCAACCAGCAAGGCACAGGCCGTAGATCAATTCTTCATGAACGAAGCCCCCTTCAGAGCATCAGCCTGCGTCTTCCAGACCTTCTGGCCCAGCTTCACCAGCGTAGGTCCAAACTCCTCCAGGACGCCCTCGATGCCCAGCTCTCCAAAGCCAGCCACAACGGAGTAGTCCTCCCGCCACTCCTCCTCAGTGCCCAGCGTGGCGACCTTCCACTCCAGCTTCCACTCCCGCACGGCCTGGACCGCCCCCTCGTCCGCGGACCGGATCGCCGACGCGACCATGTAGAAGGACGAGCGCTTGGCGTGGCCGCTCTTGGGCTTGAACAGCACGACGGTGGAAAACTTCTTGAAGTCGCGGATCAGACGGATGGTGTTGATCCGCTCGAGCTTGTGAAGGAGGACGATCATGGTGCCTCCGGGACGCAGGTGCTCGAGACCCAGGGTCAGCTGCGTGATGAGGAGGCGTCGCGCCTCGCGGTGGAAGCGGTATTTGGCTCGCTCGTGGGTGCGGCGGATGGCGCCGTCGCAGAGGACGAGGTCGAAGGTACGGCTTTCTTGGAGTACCGAGTGTGGAAGAAGCTGGCAGCATCGGGGTGCTCGGGTGGAATCTCGTCTGACTTGATGCCCATGTCCGCGGCGAGCATGGTGATGTCGAGGAGGTGGATCTTGACGGTCTCGGACTCGCTTACGATGGGGAAGAGGCCTCCCTGCGCCGGGGGAAGGGTGAAAGCCACGGCGTGGGCGGCGGGGTTGCGCTCGAGGGCTTTGGCGAGGTAAGTGCCCGGTGCCATGCAGAGGTCGAGGACGCGCTGGGGCTTCTCGCCTGATTGGATGGTGAAGGCTCGCGTGAAGCACTGCATCTCCTTCGCGATGTCTTCCATCAGGTCGTTAAGGCGCTGGACGGTCTGCTCGCTGTTCTCGTCGGCCTGGCGCTTCTGCTTCTCGAAGAATTGGTCGCCCTCTGGATTTTCCCATCCCTGGAGTAGATTATGGTCAGAAAAGGTCACCGAATGTTGATGGTACACGAGCATGATCAGCCTGGCATGGACCCCACGCACCTTTGCACGCAGCTGTTGGAGCTCTCGGTAAACAGGCGCGTTTTCCATCAGATACTGTCCGATGGACGTGATAGCGTGCAAGACGACACCGTCTTCCTCAGGGTCGTCCATGACGGCGTTGGATGTCGACACCTTCTCGCCTTGGTCCGTGTCGGTACCTTGCGCTGCCTGGACCGTCGAATCTGGGGAGTCGGTAGTTGGCAATGCCATTGTTATGGACTGATGCTGAAGATACCGACAGATGAGGAAGGGATAACTCAAAAGACGGGTGGAATTATGTGGATGTGTAGTAAAGGTTGACGGTTTCTGCCTACAGAGCAGCGCGCAGGAAAGTCAACAAGACATACGTGGTGGGTTGAGACGTTGGCTGCTTAACTGACGTGCTGCAGTGACAATAATGCAAGTTTTCCCGAGCAGCCCAGCAGCTTTTCGTCTCAATGTTTGCTTCTTAGTTCCAAAAGTGTAGACACAGAGGCCCATTCTCTACAAACGGCGTGCCCAGATTGTTAAGCATACACCAACTACTTTGGCCTGCCCTTAGAGATAATTTGCCAACACTTTGTTTCTGGCTCGGTTTTCAAGAACAATGGCTGCTGTCTGCAAACTTCGCCATGAAAGCAGTGCAGAATGTTGAAAGTGGGTCCAGGAGCCTCGTTATGTCTGCCTTGCAGCCTCGTCCAAACCAGGCATATTGCATCATCCCAGCACACAAGGACACACAGTGTAGCAGACATTTCAACATGTGGGGAGGTCTATCATGAAAATCCTTTTCCATTGCCCAGCCTGCTCTTTCCCTCGACATCAAGTTTGCTTCTACCTAACGTCGAGCACTTGGACCACAAAGCCAGGTACGTATCTGATCATTATCACATTGCACCTGTCATTGCATGTCGATTTATCAATCGATACAAATCCAGTTGCAAGTTCTCAGTTTTCCATTGCAAATTTGGTAATGACGGCTCGATGCGCACTGTTCGGGTGGTCGGGCTGTGTTGACCATCTTTCATTCTAACACCAGACTGGGTGCTTGCAGCCTTGGAATGTGGGCCAATCCTAACTGAGAGCAACCAACAACTTCATGTCCATACCCGCGAGTAATCCCTCGAGGCGTAATATGTCAACAGTCGGACTCAAAATGGGTACCACACCGCCGAGTGGCTTCCCTCGCATCGCATCCAAGAGACCCCGATATTCCGCATCCCTGGCTGGTTCTACATACGACTCGCGCAGACCGAGGTAACGCAAGATGATCTGCTCCTCAATTCCCCACGGCGGCTATGGGCCGGCTGAAAAGAGCCCTCATTAACAGTTTGAGTAATATAGGTGTGGACATGCCCGCCGGACAAGGCCTCTTCCCCGCACAACGAACCACGGTTCACGCCCCCGTCGTCGCGAACAAGGAGCGTAGCGCACACCACGTGCCACGGAGCGAACTAATTCTGAAAGCTTGCCCAACGGTCCTGTCACGACTCAGATATCGCTTGCCAGGAGTGCATGGTTTGCTTTGTAAGGTCTGCCTCAGCACGAGCCTATCCGGTGGTGTGGAGTGCCAAATTTACCCCCATTTGGCTCAAAGCGCGGGAGCTTGTCCGCCCAGGGCAGTGCGACCCGTCGAATGAGGTGTCCGCGCGTCAGATTGGGTTTGTATCTAGCGGAGGCCAACATCTCGGCAGAAAGCTAGATGGGATTGGGCCCCCCGAGCTCCCGCGCGGTGTAGCTGGTGTGTGGAAGCTTCGGCTCCAGGGCAAATTAATAGGATCCGATCTGGAGTGTGCTCTGTGGGCGCTTACCCCGCCAGTCCTCCCCCAAGGTTTGTATTAATACGACCCGATTTCCGTCTGAGCATTGGCCATTGATGTTGCGTTCGTGACGAGCACAACGGCCGAATGCTTCCACTCTGACAGAAGCGAGTCCAAAAGATACACTCAGCCTCACAACCTTGGAAGCTCAGCATGGCGACGACGCACGACAGGAATGGGCTCGTGGGGGATCCTGAAAAAGGGGAGCATGTAACGAGGTCGCAGACCGGTGTGACAATATCCCCCGAGCTTTTCGAAAAGCTGTACTTCTCGCCCAAAACTCCCCATGTCGGCGACTACAACAAGAGATTTGCCAACCCCACCGCTTTGGGATTTGTAGGGTAAGCACACGCCCGGTGGAAGGAGTGCAGACTTGCTTGAAGGCGCCTTCGCTGATGTCTAGAGCAACAACACAGCTTTGGGATATCCGCGTCCACGTTCGGCATGGTGCTGATGGGCTGGGGAGGAGCGTCCGGACTGTCGCCCGTCGCGTGAGTCTTCCGCCCCGAGAACACCCAAACCCGCTGCCATCACCGTACCCTGCCACTTACTTACACCTCTCTCGCACAGCGGGATATTCTTCTTCACCGGCCCCGTCCTCCTGACCTTCGCCATGATCTTCGAGTGGGTCATGGGCAACTTCTTCCCCATGATGGTCATGGGCCTCTTCGACGTCTTCTGGCTCTCCTTCGGCGTCCTCCAGCTGCCAACCCTCCAGCTCGGCGCCCCCTACGCCACCGACGCCGACCCGACGGGAGCCACCGCCCCGGCCTTCAACGCGGCAATCGCGCTGTACCTGATCGTGTGGGGCTTTGCGCTCCTCACCTTCTTCTTCTTCACACTCAAGATCAATCTCGTGTTCGCCAGCATCTTTGGGCTGGTCACGGTCGCGTCTTTTGTCCTGTCTGGCGCGTACTGGAAGGTCAGCCAGGGCGAATTCGATGATGCCCTGAAACTGCAGAAGGTGAGTAGCTGGAACCAAATCGTTCGAAACGGGTCATCACAGGCAGCAACTAATTGGTCGAAATATAGGCTGGCGGTGCGTTGATATTTGTGGTAGCTCTGCTCGGCTGGTACGCCTGTTTCATCATCATGGCCGCTGAGATGAGGGTGCCGATTAGTCTGCCAATGTTCGACCTCAGCCGCTTCTGGCCACGCACCGACGTCGAGCTCACCGCTGCTGGCCGAGATCATCACGATTAAGCAACGGGCCTACAAGCCTTTTGTGACCCAACAGCCGAGTTGGCTGCCTTTGGGGGCCGTGGGAAGTGAAGGAGTGGCGGTCCTTGCTCGGTTTCTCTAATGATAATGTTCTACGAGACAAGAGGTCCTCATGGTGATCTCTGGCGCAGAGCCGTTTGTGTTTGAGCACGAAGGGGTGTCTTAGTCTGTTCTTCTATACCCATTACATGTGGAATTCAGAGACTTCAGCTTGGTGCCGAGGACCATTTGTGCCAATGACCCGGACGAAGTAACCACTGCCTTCAACTCGTGCTTCAGCTCGCCACGGTGCCTCAACACTGCCCGAATTCAGCCGTATTGAGCCCGAGGAGCCGCTGCCGTCGTTGCAGGGCCCTCGACTGCCTGACCTGAGAGGTGAGCTTTGTACTGAAATGGGCTATGACTTCATCGACCTGGCTGGTTCCACCCTGAAAGAATCAGCCGTTGATTCTGAAAAGTAACTTTCCATTACAGAGTCACTGTCCCTACTTCTGGGCTCCGACCAAGTCTCTGCGAAGCGATGTGTCGGGACAGCGAAGCACAATGGTATGCTTGATCCACAGAGGCAAACCCAACCCAGCGCAGACAAGGCGCTCCGGCTGCCACTAGAGTTTCCTACAGACCACTTCCTCATGCGCCCAATGTTTGACAAGTATAATTACAGGGATGAGTGAGAACACTCTTCGAGGCATTGGTATACTGCGCATGGCCCACTCAGCACAAGAACAACAGCCACGAGCATTCCACTCATTTACTGTACAAACTCGGATTGCGCTACGACGACCATCCTCGTTCTAAACATGGAAGAATCACACTCAACAAAAACAGCACCAAGCGCCAACTGAGTACCAAGAAGAATCGCAAAATTAGTTTACATGCTTCTCATTGAGCCCAAAAAGTAATGCCATCAACCAACCTCGCCTTACGGGCAGCCGCCCAGTGCATATTGTCGTGACTCCTCGCAACCACCACGGCCTCAACGCTAGACCGTAAAGACCTGTTTCTTGACACGCCGCACAAACTCGCCAGAACGCTTGCAATGCCTCAGCATGTATCCCAGGGGGCCCTGGGCATATTTATCGTGGTCTTCAAGCTTATCCTCCATGTCCTTGTGCATGAGGATGAACTCGGCCTGTCTCGCCCGCGACAATGCAACGCAGAGGCGGTTCGGGTCCTCTAGGTGCTTTGTGATCCTGATATCAAGAGATTGTTAACGTACGCAATCATTCAAGATCGACCGGCTAAAGACCCTCTTCTTACCAGTCACTGACAAAGTCGAGAATCACCGCGTCCGCCTCGTGGCCCTGTGCGGTGTCAGTTGTCCTAGCCTCCACGACGCAGCCGTTCAGACCTGAGGGAGTTCGCCTCAGGTCATTGATCATCTTCCTGTACTCGATGCTGCCCTCTTGTACGGGGAGATGATTAGGATGGTCCCGCGGCCCTTGCCATTAGTCTGCAGGAAGAGATTATCCTTGATCAGCCTCGCCACCAGTCTCTCAACCCAGTCCTGGTGAGATTGGTTGAACAGGCTGCCCTGGACCCTGCTTTCCTCGCGGTCGAAATGGGCGCATTGTAGAACTGTGAGGAGGCGTGAGACCTGCCGGCCATTTTCTCCCTTCATTGGCATGATGTAAGTCTTCCGGAGATGCTCGGTGCTGGGTGGGATGGCGCCAGAGCTTCCTGCTTCGATTGCCGGGATCATCTTGCCGCCGTAGAACATGCTCGAGGCAGGCTCGTGTAGGTTGCCTCTGGCACGGTGGTTGATTAGTAGCGATGGCATGTTCGGATTGGCCTTAAAAGCCCGCTCCATTGTTGACGTTCTGAGCTGCAAGGCGTGTTTGTTGACGTTACGATGAGATCCGTAAGACCCAACGTATGGCTTGGTCTGAGACAAATCTTAGCAACTAGTTACAATACTTTTTGTGGATTACTTTTGCATCTTCGCGAGACCGAATCACAGCTACGAGATCGGGTTTCAGCCGGAACAGCGGCTTGGTGCCACTCATAGTAGCTTACCTGGCGGTGGTCTCCCGTGAAGATCCAGGCTTCGGGGCTGAAGTTTGCGATAGGTATCATAATCGACAGTTCCCACGCATGCGGCGCCTCATCAAAGATGACTAGTTTAGGGTCAAACACTCTCAGAGAGGGCGCGAACTTGCTAGCCGTGACAGGTGTCGTGACGACGACATCGACGACTTTGAGGAAGTCCTTGTAGACCCTTTCGACCAGTTGGTTTCTCAGATCCTCCAAGCCCCTACTATTGACGGTTGACAGGTCTTGGAGCTCTGCGTACGTCGTATCCTTGTGCTCCTCGTAGAACGCCGCGACCGCCTCTTCGAGCGTTGGAGCCCTGCGGCTGTCCTTTTCATCCTTGTAATGCGATTTGGAACGGCATCCAGATGTGAAAAATGGTGGAGTGAATCTTCGAACTCGCGTCTTGTTGCTTTCATCTTTCTCGCTGTCATACTTGGACAATGGGCCATCTTTGTTTTGCTGTTCCTCGCCCTGGCCCTTCCGTGTCATGCGGTAGTAGAGCTCTTGCTTTTGTGTCTCAAGTAGATTCTCAGTAGCTGAGTTCATTTCATCGCTCCAGCAGTACATGCGAATGACATTGCGCTTTAGCCCTAACTTCTTGAATGTCTCCACCAGCTTGTTGGCGACGTCGGTTGCGCTGCGATTGATATCAACGAGGTAGAGAACTTGGTTCCGTGAGACACAAGGCGTCGAATCCTCTGCGCGGACCATCTCATGCTTACTCTGTAGCGAAGATATGAGGCATATATTCCAGTGCGTTTTACTGGTACCCAATTAATGCATGTACGTATGAAGAGAGGAATTACTCACCCTGCCCCAGGTCCGCCGGCCACGAAGCAAACTCTATCAGGGATCTTAGAAAGTCCGTCCTTATATGCTGCTTTCTGCTGAGGGTTCATTGCTCCGAGCATCTTCATGAGTTCTTTGGGGACCTTCCCTGGTCTTTGAAAGGGATCTGCCAAGTGAGGGAACACTCGGAACAGAGATAAATAGCTTTGTGGGTGGAACTGGAGTAGGAATCTGAATGCTGGCCTTCGATATGCCATTTCTGGTGACAGTTTTGATGGAGAAGTCCCCAGAGCCTCCTTGAATTTGTCCAGAGCGTTGAGTTCTGCACCACTGGTGGAGCAAGACAATCGGAGCTCGAACGCGACGTGTAGTTCAGAGCTTTTCGGTCGAGGAATTCTAGAGAAGCCTTTCTCCGCATCTTCTGGATTAATGATTGCCTTGAAGGGAAGGAGACGGTTGGATGGAATGGCGACTTCGAATGCCATTGTCCGTTCCCAGTAATCGTCCTTGATTCTCCACCGAGAACATGGATTTTCCACTCGACAGGCTTGCTTCGAAATGAACCTGGTCTCTGTATGAAACTTCTTGCCGTCCTTGCTCTCCTTTTCGTATCTGATGTCGGCCCATGGAAGCTTCATGATGCAGTTCTCGCCTTCTTTGGGTAGCATTGAGTCATCAGCTCCAGTCTGGACAAAGAAAAGCCAGTTGTCGTTGATGCCATCGTGACCAAGGATGATGATGGGCCAAGCATAGAAAACCCGCAGTTTTTTGTTAAAACTGTTGATCGCGACTCTCTCAAAATTAAACTCGGCGCGGGTACCATTGCCGTGTCTGTTCGCAAAACTGCTTGGATTGTCGAAAAGGTACACGGGATCATTGGGGTGAACCGCAGGAATGTCGTCCATGGAAACGTCAGAGTCCCAATCCGCCCCCCAGTGCTCATCGTCATTATTGACGAGCCACCTTGACTACGCACTGGTTAGCAAATCAGAGTAATTCCAGGAAGTTGCACACATACCATCTTGACGAGTCGAGGCTGGAAGCCGGGAACAGACGTGAAAAATGCAGTTGAGTGGTACCAGATCTGAGATATCAATTCGACTGTGAGAGGGTTTTTTGAAGTCAACCCGAGCCGATATTGCCTTGACATCGACTCAAGGAGAGCTAGAGTATGAAAGGCAAAAGCTGAGCTCCCGTTAACACAGAAGCGTGCAAGACTTTGTGAGGGGATTGGAGAAATGAAAACTTCACCAGATTGCCAAAGAGAGCCTAACTGGAGCGTCGATTTGTGGGTTCTCCAGATCGCAAAGGAAAGCAAAACTCCACCTTCAAACGTCAGGCAGGCAGGCAAGGCTCCAAACTCTGTAGAGTTATCAAGAAAATGTGGCTCAAAACGCCGTTTTCGGTGGTCGTAAAGTAGACTGGTCCAAGCGACTCATTGTTTGCTTGCTCCGTGGCGAGACTGTCGTGGTTGGTGGGCCGGACGGGGCCAAGGTTGGTAGTCAGAGCGGGAGAAAATGATTTAGACCCGAAGCTGTCAGCGGGTCAAGGTAAGAGAACGGAAAGAGAAGTGTCTTTAGGTAGCGCAATAAGTGATGATAAGATGTTTGCAGGCGTTTGGACAAACGGAGATGGCACTGAAAATATGCCACTGTTGACCAACGCACAACGTGGGGTCGAAGACATCAGATGAGGGAGCCGTTTGTCCAGAGCTCCAATAAGCCACTGAGTGATAGGAAGCACTTCTCAGTAGACCTCTTACCTGCAATGGGCGAGGACAAGCCTCTTCTTGCAATGGTCGTCGATGTGATAAGGACAGAGAAGTGGCTCGGATAGAAGTGTGCAATGAGGAGAAGAAGCGAAGTAAGAAGTGTTAGAAGCGGCTCGCCATAAGTTGTGCTGCAGTCCTACCGGAGATAGAGAGCGTGGGAACACCTGTCACATGAGGAAAGCAAAAGCATGTACAGCTAATACACGCAGTTTATTTTCAAGTCAGCTCCCAGCTACGGCGGGCTTATCTCGGCCAGTCCTCTAAACAGTCAAGTCTGCCGACCAAGTCCATAACTCTCAGAACAACTTGTGTATAACGGTCCATTCTGCCCACCCATGCTGCGAACCACGTCATCAGCCTCTACCATGAGGCTTGCAAAATTCGTGCAAAGTACTCTTCGCCCAATTCATCCCGCACGCATGAGCACCGGCCACCCACGCCTTGTCCAGATCCCCTTCTTAGCCCCGACCTTAGTCGTGTCCACGTCTGTCCGAAGACGAGCCCAAACCAAGCTCCATTGCCTTCTTTACCATCTCAAAGCCGAAGGTCTCACCAGATTAGAACATGATTTTGTCATCATCATCATCATGCGATCCGTCCGGTGGCTGCGAGTCTGATGCTGGAACAGCACGGCCATCTCCAACTTGTGCGTTGTCCTGTGGCAAGTTAAGTGACGTAGGCAGCGCTGGAACCTGGCGCGGCGCCTCGTCCGGGCCGTCTCCGGGTCTGGATCGAGTGTGCTGCAGGGCTTAATTCCGCTCGACCTGAAGCTGCTCCCTCATGTTCACCGTGACAACCTGTCCCTGACGATTGCAGTGATTGTAGAGGCCTTCGACGAACGACCCAGCCCAGCCATCCGAGTCCACCATGTGCCTGTGCATGACGATTACTTCTGCCTGTCTTGCACGGGTAAGCGACACCGCAAGGCGGTGCGGATCATCGATGTGTGGTGTGACCTTTGAGTGGACCAGGTCCAGGATGACAAGGTCAGCGGAGTGGCTTTGGACAGTGTCAGTGCTTCTCGCCTCAATCCGCATGTCACGGTGCAGACTCGGGCCACGAGTTTCGGCAAAACGGTGGTCCTCGTCCAGATCTTTGAGGAAGTCTTGGATCTCCTGCTTGTAGTTGATCAACTGGGCGCGGTAGGGAGTTACGACTGCAATGCTGCCCGCCTCTTTGCCATCAACTGAACGGAAGTGCGGGTCTTGAGAGAGCCATTGCATATCCGGTACAACATGCTGTGCTCTCTCCATCATCGGGGTCCTCAGCTGTCGCTTGCAAGGATTCCACAGCTTCCAGTTCCCGTGCGAGCCAATGTATGGCCTTGACAGCTCACACGTTCCCGTGAAGAGCCACGCTTCTGTTGATGGGAAGTTTGATATGGCGGCAAGCGTCGACAATTCCCTGGCCCGAGCTGCCTCGTCAAATATCACCAGCCTTGGCCGAAAGGCATGTCCACCAGCAGGGGCGATCTTTGCGGCGCCATTTACCGTCGTGACCATGATGTCGATACGAGGCAAAGCCTTTTGCAACAGCCTCTGCCATTGTGACCGGACGACCGAATTGATATCACGTTTTCTGTCGTCCTTCCACTTATCATTTACCGATGCTGCCAGGTCCGAGAAATCATCCGCACTACTGCGGAAGACTTGCCGAATGAGGTCGCGAACCGTGAATGCAGGGCACTCTCCTTTGACACCCGCGCGGATTTGAGGAAAGTGGTCCGCACGACGGGCTGGGAACCATTGTTCAAAAGCAGACCCGGCCGATTGGTCATCGTCCTCGGCACTAAGAATGTTGTATGCATTCTCATAATTCGAGTTGTAACCGCGCACAACGACCAAATCTTCACGGCCCAATTGCTTGCAAAGTTGGTGTATTCTGGTGGCGGCATCATTCACTAGACGATTTGCTTCCATGACGAACAGAACTGGGCCACCTCTCCTGATGCCGGTGGCCCTTGATGGTGGATGACCAGCCAGGACCAGTGCCGAAATGGTCATCATAAGCTGTGTCTTGCCTGTACCGGGCCCACCAGAAAGAATCCCAATCCGAGCGGGGAGCTTGGAGAGCACGTTCTTCCAGGCGGCCTTTTGGTCCAAGTCGAGATCGCGGTACAATGTCTTTAAGCTCTCAGGCAGCTGGCTCTTGGCATCGTCGGGCTCTTCCATGTAAGGGAAGGCTTCGAAGAGGCTGAACAGCGGGACTGAGTCTTTGAAGTCCCTAATGTATGAGAACGCTTGGCCGACACGCCCAAGATGGTCATCGCATACTGCTTGCTCCAAGGCCTTCAATTCAATGCTCTTGGTAGTATCCGAAACTTCCATCCACACGTGCGTCCAAAAAGATGTTTTGTCACAAAGAGCGATTGAACGGCTGCTGCCCCCTTACTCGTCCCTGTTCGATGTCGCTAGGATCAATCAGACAGGTTAAGTCCTCCAAGACCGAGCCCAAGGCCTTCTTTTCACTGTCTGAGTTCAAAGAGATCCTGAAAGTGGAATAGTGATTGCAGTCCAAACTGAACATGTTTGTTGGGTTGTCGATCCGGAAAGCTTTGTGGTATCGCGCCTTCGGGCTTTTGAGGCTGTGCTCGTCGAATTCCCGGCCTTTGTCAGCTCTGCCGGGGGAAACTCCGGCAATTTATTGCTGAAGATCAGTTGACATTGCTCTCCGACTTTGGGAAAACACTCATGCGTCCCTGGTGATTTGACGAGAACAACGAAATGTTGAGACTGGTCATCGCTGCAATGACTCGAGATTAGCCAAGCCCTGTAAATGCTCTCGGAGTTGAATTCGAGACAATCTTGCTTCTCAAATTCAAATTCCTTTTCTGTGCCGTACTGGAAAATGTCGTAATATTTTCGGGCATCCCCTAACTTCCATGCTGCGCCAGGGACATGTTTGCATTCGGCGAGGCGGCTGAGCTCAGATGTTGACTTCAAAAACAGGCGAAGATGAGCCCAGAGCTTTCCAGGCTCCCGCAGAACGGGCCTCGGTGATTTGCCATCGACACCATTCATCATTTCCACTGGCTTGAAAGGCGACTGCTTCCCATCCATCCATACCAGGGGTACCTGAACCTGGTATGTGGCGAACCGGTCATGATCAGCTTTTCTGAGTCGGATCGCAGCCCAGGGGTTTGGACACCGTATTGCCCGCCACCATTGGCCTTTGTGCAGACGAATGTGACACTGGGTCGAAACGCCAGGGTGAGCCTCTTCTGGGTTCTTGATGATAATCATCAACCAGTTGCAATGCTGACCCTCCTCGCCCAGGCTTCTCACTGGCCAGCACTCGAAGTGGACGCTTTTCGTCTCGTTCGCATGATTGAAATATTGGATCGTCTCGTACTGGACGAGATTCCAAAGAGGCTCTGGGGACCTCTCAGGAGGCCCATTGAAATCTGGCCCTGATAACATTTCGAGTCTGGGATGATGCGCAGGTTGCTGCGGTTTTGATCGAGGTGCGAATGTTGAGGGCTGAGGAAAACAATGATTAGCATCGAAGCTCATCGTCCTTGAATTGGCCGAGATCAAGCAAAGCCAGAGCGTCTCGCCATGAGGACATCACTCGGAGCTTGGCAATGTGCAAATTCGAGTTGTGAGAAAAGGGTGTTACCTTGGATCCGCTTCAAGAGCAGACTGGGTGAATGTGCGCCTGGCGCAGCGCGCGATTGTTGAGCTTGGCTGAAGACGTGCGAAGATGGTAGAGTTCGAGACGCGTGTACAAAGAAAGACAGGAATACCCAGAGAGAATGTGTGGAGGAAAGAAGCTCGCCTCAGGCATAGATGGCAGGCAAGAAAGGTCTGTGTGATTGAGCCGTTATGGAAGGCAACCAATCGTGGAGGGGGAGTTATAGCCCTGAAAGGAAGGAGGTGCCACTGGCCACTGGAAACGACTAAGCAGTGGAAGTTAGAAATAAGCCTGGATTTGGCCTCGGTGGGGTTAAGGGACACTGTACAGGTGACGGGATGCTGGAAGCAGAAGCATAGAGAAAGCTTCGAAGGCGTCCTCACCCCCAGTCTGCCGACCCAGGAAAGGCCGGAACCTAACTCGCACCTGCAGTAGAGCCTCAAGACTGGGAGCTTCTGCCTAAGCCTTTGTCTGCTTTCCTTCTGGACCAGACCTTCTACGCACGGAAATACAATGGGGGCAGGCTTCGGATTCCCACGATATAGAGGTCCCTGATGGTACATTCAACGTGCTTTGGCTTGTTATATGTCATTCGTCAGAGACGTCATATTCTGGACATGGGAGCTGATCACATCTCGTACGTCCGTCTAACAGGGGTAAGCACGCAAGCTGAGAAGTTAATTGTGAAGGATTTTGTTCTTCTTTTCTTGCAGCTAGAATCCGGCGATGAAGGTGCTCGGCGGCATTTTAACTTCCAGCGTTTCTCCGATTAATGTCGACTGCTGATGGCTTTGCTAAGCACACGACGAGCAGGTCTCTTTGAGCTTCAGGAGGCACCATCACCCACGAGGTCTCCAAAGCGAGCAAACATTGTGCCCTACCCCTTGGGTCCATGGGTATTTGAACGAGGCAAATGAGGCTACCAGTGCCTCATTCCACTACATCACGTTGGGCTGCAGCAGCTACGACGGCGACCTCAAGAACCACAGCCGAGTCTCAACATCGTTCGACCCGGGTCCTCTATGGCTGACTCGAGCCACAGGGACACACGGTAAAAGCACACTGCTTGGCTGAGCCAACCAGTCTAGAATGCTGCCCATCTCACAGGAGGTCACTCCTCAGGAGGCAACAGGTCTATGCCACAGGAGAATATCCCAATGGAGATTATCCCAATGGAGACTAGCTCATAGGAGGTGGTCCCACTGGCAGCTGTCTCATGGGAGTTTGTACTGTGTCTACACCCACCCGGACCTGATGGCCTTCCGTCTACATGCCGGAAAGACTCGTTCTCAGAGCTATCCGGTCACAACTGACAGGCACCCACATAAACACCGAAGTGTCATACGGCGCTGAAGAGCTTGAATGATCTCTCAAAAAACATGCACAACATTGAAAAGTCCCTCTACCTTGGTAACGATCGCCTTGACTCGATGCGGTTGAATCCGCCCAGAGCCGTCCTCTTTTGACAGTTCATCATTGTCGTTCCGGGAAGGCTGTGTTCTCCACGGGATTTGGGAGGCATGTAAGAAGCTGAAATCTGTGTACTCAAGCGGTGGTGGAGCCCCCTATGATCTAGAGCACCCTTGTCTACAGTATCAGAGTCTCAATACAGGCTATGACCATCATTCACCTGTACTTAACCCCCAGTGTCCAAGCACCAGGCCGACCCACCTCGGCTTCGCAATGAACACCCCTCTCGGACGTCGTTAGCATTTCCACCAACCTGTCACTATCCGCACTCATCGCATTTGAATGTTGGCCAATCCACTCAACACGATGTCCACACCAACTGAGCTTCTCGAGAAGAAGATCCGCCGCCGCGAGGCTGTCCTCCGCGCCCGTGAGGCCGAGACTGCAGCGCGCGAGGCGGAGCTCGAGGACCTGAAGGAGTCCCTCCAGAAGCTCCAGTCCGCGCGCAACGGCATCCGCGACGCGATCGAGGACGCCCTATCAAACAAACCCACCACCATTGCGCCGACCGACGTGCTGGAGATGGCCGTCGAGGGCAACACCGACACCGACCCCTTTGCGAACGGTGACATCACCGCCGAGGAGGCTATCAAGCTCGCCCTAATCAGCATGAGGAAGGACCTCGGCCGCAGGGGACTCGTCAAGATGATCATCCAGGCCGCCGTCCAGGCGAGCCAGCTGGACGCCGAGGGCGTCATCAAGGCGGCGCTCGAGACGGTGCGATCCTGTGACCTCGACACCAGCGACGTCGTCCGGGCTGCGCTCCAGGCGTCTCGGAACGTCAACCACATCTTCGTCTCTGACATAATTCCCCCTGCCGTCGGCACCGCCATGGAGAGGGGCATCGAGGCCCCCGTTGTCGTCAAGGAGGCGTTCGTCAGCGCCGTGAGGGGTGACCCGTCCATGGTGAGGACCTCGGTGCTGTCTGTGCTGGGATGTGCCATGGGAATGGGAATGAACTACCGGGACATCAAGAGTATCATCAAGGCTTTCTCCAAGGAGATCAAGCTTGGTGAGGCCACTGAGGTGCGCCAGAGCATTGCTGCTAACGCTGCTAGTACGTTCAACGCCTACAGAATACCTGATCCCTATGATATCCCCTCCATGATAGCATCTTTATCTTCCAATCCATACTTTGCCCTCGCGTGCGTCCCAGCTCACCCGAGTAGTCGCGTTTTTCTGTTTTCTTTTGTTTTTCTTCTTCTTTGTTGCGTGATTCCCTGCAACCCGAGTTTAATTTCTCGTCAATTCGATACTAACGCAGCTCGACATAGGCCCGAGCAAGGTTGTCCGATTCCAATCTCCTCCTCAGCCTCAGAATGCCAACCAAACGCCGTCCCAGGAGCCCCAGAAATCCCAGAACCCACAAGAGCCGGAGAAGCCCCAATCAAGCAACAAGAAGAGCGGCAACGGAGACAATGTCGACTCCTCAGTCGTCCAGGCCATGGTCGAGGCCGCTCTGGAGTCGATTGACAGCGGCGGCCCGGGGATGCGTGCCCTCGGAGACCCCTTCATGATGGTCGCCCAGTGGCCCGGAGAATACTCTGCAGCGTACGAGGCTGTCCAGGAGGTCCTGGCCGAGAGGACCCGCGCCAAGGGCAAATCATCCAAGCGAAGTGAAGCTTATTCCGACGACGATCAGCCGCAAGGCCCGGCCAGCAAGAAGGTCAAGCTCAACTACCGCGGTGAAGACCACCGCGACAAGGGTCAGTGATGGGGAGGGCGGTTCAGAGGTGGTGCTTCGGCAGTCTTCATTTGGGGGAGGCGCTTGGGTTCAGTGTCATCGGATCTCAGACTTTGGCCGCTACGGGTGTCTGGTGTACAAGATGGATGCAGGGAATGGTTGAGAAAGCGGATGTGCCCTCACCACAAGACATTTTTGCGGGCCAGGACAGTCCCTTTCCTGGTACAGATGTCGTTTTTCTTAGGTTGCTGCGCACTGAGTTGTCGGGAAGTGTTGATTGGAGAACAAGTCGGTCCATAGCTCGTTGAGTATGGTTTACCTCTGCGGTCGACATGCTGAATTATGGGCAAATTGGTAGGGAGCGACCTGGTAATGCAGTCAACACTTCTTCAGTTTTAGACTTGGTCTCTATTACCGCGACAACGTGTCTTTAATCTCATGAGGAAAGCACACACCTACATTTAGTCCGTGCAAAGTCCTTGCAAACACCCTCGGATCAGAAATAATGGATGATTGAGTGCAAACTCCCCCCGTGCGACTTGTCTAGTTCTGTTTTAGCTTCCAAATCCAATCGACCCTTCGTCTGATTTCCGCCTTGGTTGATAGGTTCTGTGAAGGTAGGTACTTGGAAGTTCTATCACCTTCCGCCGTCATTGAGCCAGCTGCATCCTGTGGAATGAGTTCAGGATGGCCTTCTCGCCCATAGGTGCCTGAAAAGCTCTGCTTGACGAAAAGCCCAAGCTTCAGCCAACCTTGAGCCCTAACTACTGAAGCTGCCAAATCCATCAACGGTGCACATGCACCCTCCGCCCAACTTCAACCTTGCCACTCCACTCAACACCGTGAACCCCTACCTGACCTCATCCTTGACACGCAGAGCTTCTGCTTTCTAAATCAAATCACCAGCACGTCCTTAAGATGTCATCTCAGTTTACGAGGCTGAAGGAGGAGCTCGATGCCAAGCAGCACGAGGTTCAAGAGCAGCAAGGCACGCTCGACTCAATCGAAAAACTCACAAAGGAGCTCGAAGCCCAGAAGCAAGCACTCGAGACACAGGCGGCGGAGGTCATCAATCGCCAGAAAGAAGTCAGAATCATACAGAAACGCCTCGACGCGCTGGCTGCCGTCGAGTCCGCCATCGACACCGCCATCCATACCAAGTCCAGCACCGTGGATGCAGTCAAGCACGTCGTGGAGACAGCAATACGATCAGATCAAATGACAGCCAGCGAGGTCGTGCATACAACACTCAGAACAGCCATGCACGTCAACGGTCGTTCTCGCAGCGACAACCTCCAAGATTTCTTCATCGACCTGGTCGACGACGAGAAATCCCTCGAGGTCGCTATCGAAACGGCCATGGACAACTTTGCGGACGTCAACGACGTGGTGGTGAGCACTCTGGCAGTCGCGTTGTCGAGAGGCTGGGCCATTCCGGCTCTCCGGGCGAGTATCCTCAGGGTAGTGAACGCAATGCTGCCCCCAAAGACAGCCAATGTTGGGTCCGGTAAGAAGAAAGACGGTGGGTAGCATCATCATCTCTCGAACCACAATGCGCGTTCTCATGTTCATTACCCGAAATCACAGCAGCACCGAAGGGCAACACGCCCTCTGCGCGTCAGTCTCAGACGCCTTCCGTCAACAAAAACGGTCTCAGGGGACAGGCAGCGAGTCTCAATTTCCTCAGCGACCCTCATCAAATTTACGACTCTGGAGGCCGGCAGGCTCCGGCTCAGCCCGACTGGGGAGATGGACCCAGTCTCCGTGGCACGAACGGAGGCTGGTAATTTTGTGAGTCTGAGATTCGCAGCTACAACCACCACAAACCAAGACTGATCCAAGATTTCCAGGATCCAGAGTTGGCAAGTCTGTGGCGGCTCCGGCTCCACGAGCACGATCGCCCTTCTGACACAGGCCATGCGAACATCGCTCCTAGAAAGGACGCGACAACAATGTTCTGAGCTATTGGGGAAGAAGTTTCTGGATCAAGATTGGAGTTGTTAGGTTAAGGAAAAGGAGTTGCCACAACGTGTGGTTCAGGTCAACAGGAGTTTACACAAGGCACAGAGTCCGGCTAGGCGTACCACTTAATCAAAAGTTGTCACCAGAATCAAAATTTCAGCAGATAAACTACTTGAAAATTCTCTCAACTCACGTAGGCGGCGTGTCGTCGGTAGCCGCTTCAGACAAACACCCTATCCGCAGTGTGGCGGTCTGAAATACTGCAGTTCATTTGTGTGCCGTGAGCTGACTGACACGGACAGGGACCGGTGACGGGATGATGAATCGTTAGAGCCTCTTTCGTAAGTGGCATACGCACGATAAGCCTGTGGCGCATGTAGATTTTGGATGCGAGATGTGCGCTGCCGTTGATAGCTCTTACCCGCCGTTTGAGTTTCTTTGAAGAAGAATTTCAAGTTGACTTGATGACTCAGTTGACTCCTGAGTACCTGGACTCAGGAGTGAGCTTGGGCAGCACTCTGGAACGAACTATATAGATCTTGTTCCTCTTCTCCTCCTTGACGTCTTTCTACAATTGATGGACATTCCCATCTCGGTTTATCGCCCAACCATACTCACAACGACAATTCTCCGCCCCAGTCACGCCATGGATATCTTCAACAACACGCAGGACGCGCCATACGTTCCAGGCAAGACACCTTTCAAAGCTGCCAGGATCAGAGTCCCGCAATGAACCCACAGCTTTGAACTTTCTTTGTACCGTTTGCCCAAAGCCAGGACACCTGATATGCACGGGCTGTCGTGGCACACGTTACTGCTCAGCCGAGTGCCAGAAGGTGGTCCGACCCACGCATAAAACCTTCTGCAACTCCCTTGCCTCCTTCTCAGCCGACAAACGCCCTTCCGCATTCCATATCCGGGCTATTCTCTTTCCAGAGGATAAGAAGAAGCCTGATTGGACGTGGGCTCTGATCAGGGAGGATCGCACTGCCGTTGCTCTCTCACACCTGTACGTGACCCTGCCAACCGACGGCTTGACCAAGCAGACTCCAGTGACGTACATCAGCTACCTGACGAGCCGCGTGCCACAACGATGGCTCACAAGCCTCGCTCTCTGCCAGCAGAGCAGGGGCGAGCACGTCTCGTCCATCAACAGGAGCGTGCTGAACCTCGGTCCCCCGGGCCACCTGCAGACGTACTGGGGACCCCTTCTCGCCGTCGCAGGCAAGCTGGAACCGGTCACTCCAGCCGACGGCTACGGCATGGCAGTCCGGACTGAAGACGTGGAGATGGAAGATGTCTGGCATTTCATCGAATGCAAGGCATTATTTATGGCGATCGCGACCACCCATGCGTCGTCAACATCCACCGCTACCCCCGCAAGTCCCTCGCCGCCTTCAAGATCAACTGCCACGGCGACCGCCACCGCTTCCACCCAAACCAAAACTGCGAAAGCAACGCTGCCATCTACGAGCAAGTCCGCGTGCCGAACAACGAGCCCCTCTCCCCGCCGAGGCAGATACCCTCCATCATGGCCTTCCTGCTCGGCCTCCCCTGGCTCTGCCGCCTCGTCAGGTCCTCGATGGACCTCTGGGACGGCCACAGCGACGAGCCCGACCACGGCCTCTTCAGGAACGACGAGCTCGGCGACCTGCACGCGATCCTCTGCGAGCACGGCTCCGACCTGCTCGGCCTCCCCGCCCCGCGCGCCCTGCCCACGCAGCCGGCCAACATCCAGCAGACCGCCACCCCGGGCACGCAGGTTCTGGTGCACGTCTTTGGCGAGCCCATCCGCGCGGAGCATGCCAAGATGGTGAATTCTTTTCGTGGCGGCGACGAATGTTGTGAATGCGTGGTATATACCTGGTGTTGGGTACAAGACGTACAACCGGGATGTGTTCCAGAAGTTCTGGGAGGACAAGAAGAGGAAGAACGACGTGCCCGGTGTGGATCTGAGTGACGTGCCTTCTCCCTATGCGTGGATGGACAAGCCGCGCGAGGCGGACAAGTTCGTCAAGAACTTTGCCGATTATGAGAGCTTGCTTGAGGAGGCGGTGACCGTTGTTTTCTTCGACCACGTTTTCCTTGGGGGCAGGACTATCCCTTTGGCAGGACGAACTAGTTGGGTAGAGGACTTTTTTGATCCATTGGCTTAATGGACAAGTGAATCACCCTTGGAGGGCCGATTCCTGGACGGTGGCTGACATGATTGTGGCGAACATAAGAGTTTTGGTGTTGTTGGATCTCATCTATTGGTTTGGAACTTCGTAGAGACTGGAGATGAAGAAATCAGTGGAAATACCTTGCACGTCTCGCTGGCTAGACCTCATGATGCCCCGACTCACTCGGGGTAATGCGAGTCCTGGAGTGGTTGTCCCACCAGTCTGCTCACCCCGATGACCTCCTCTGAGTCTCGGAACCCAACATCAATTGACATTGTGGTATCCTGTAAATTTGATTATTTATTCTGCCTTGACCTACACAGACTTTAAGTGTCCGGGGCGGCTTGAAAGAAGCACCGCGACCCGTCGGGTACTCATTCGCCCATGTCTCCGAGACGAGCCTTGGCAGCAGCATCAGATCATTTGGTTTAGATCGCCAAGATTGGTTTTGTTCGAAAAAGGATTCACAGGGATCCTTCTCAAAGCATTTGCTGACGTGTTGGCCGCTGTTACTTAGATAACACACCCACCTTGTGCCGCCCAACACGCAACGAATCGTAAAACCTCTGTTTCCAACGTCCACAATTCACTCAAAGCAAACCTTTCTAATCGCTGTAGCTGGTACCACCTTGCACACTTCGTCGTCTTGACACCAGGTTGACCCTTTTGAGCAAACGCCAAGTGTGACCATCGAACACCATGGTGCTTCTCGACCTTCCCTTCCAGCGCATCAAAGGCCGCTTCGTCCCAGAGCCTCTGCCGCCCGCAGGCACTTTCAAAGGACAGACGGTCCTTATCACCGGAGGAACAGCAGGTCTGGGTCTAGCAGCGGCGCTGCATTTCGCCCAGCTCGGCGCCGACGTGATCATCACATGCCGTGCGAAGAGTCGGGGCGAGGCCGCCAGGAAAAGCATCCAGAAGACCGCACCAGAGGCCAATGTACGCGTTATGGAGCTCGACATAGCGCGTTACGACTCTTGTGTCACCTTTATCGCCGGGCTGAAGAAGATTCGTGAAGGGGAGGGCGGGATCGACATTGCCGTGCTCAACGCGGGGATGCTGACACCTCGTTTTGTTCGCAGCCCCGAAGGCTGGTGAGTTTCTGAAGTCGAGTTCGTCCTTTTGAGCCTTTTCCCATTGACGGCGCAATTTGGCACTACACAGGGAAATGACACTCCAAGTCAACACACTGAGTACAACCCTCCTTGGAATGCTGCTCCTGGACATGATGAAGTCCGAACGTGCAAGCCGAGCCTCACCGGCCCACATCGTCTTTGTCACCTCACGAGATCACCTGTATTCGGACATAACCCACTGGAAAGAATGGTCAGATAATGAAGGGCTCTTGGCCCGTCTCAGTGACGAGAAGTACTGGCCCGCGGCATGGAAGCTCGAGGAGCCCAACTACGCCAACAGCAAGCTCCTGGTCATGTACGCAATCGAGGAGATCTCCGAGCGCGCCTTGGGACCGGACGGCGAGTAAGTGGCGGTCGAATCTGTCCTCGTGGATTATCCAGTCACGCCGATGCTGATCGAAACAGGCCGCAGGTCATTGTCAATAGCGTGTGCCCTGGCATGGTGAAAACTGACATCGGACGCAACGTGGGGGATCAGGGGTGGTTCATGAAAGCTCTGGTCTGGGTGTACCTGAGCATCAGCGGGAAGCCCCCCGACTATGGTGCCCGGCATTATGTCAAGGCCGCCCTTCGACCCAAAGAAAAACATGTAAGTAGAGAAGGTCTCTTTTATAATGTTTGAGGAGCTGCAGCGTGGTCAGGCTAACCCGAACATCAGGGGCAATTCTCGATCGCATGGCTAAGCCACGACCAATACCTAAAGTATGCTATGGTCTCCTGCCCTTAGAAAAGGTCCGCAGTGCTAATCAAGTTTAATTTTAGGAAAGCAAGAGTCAACGTCACAAGTGAGGAGGCAAGAAAGGTTCAAGCACTGGCCTGGAAGGAAATAATCGGGGAGCTAAATGCCAAAGTCCCAGGCCTTGAGAGTCATTGGCTTGAAAGTTTGTGACCTGGGTCTCACCAGACGCAAAAGCTATGTACACACAGTACAATATGTTCAATGCGAGCCATTAGCACCATTCTGCCCGTTAACAGCCCCATTCGCAAGTTCCTTCTGCCACGGAAGCGGCTCAGTAGCGATCTTGACAGGCCCAACATCCCCGCCAGCCTCCCTCCTCCTCTGCCACGCCTCGATATCCCGGTGGTCGACAAAGTTGCCATGCAGGCCCAGCTTCAGCTTCAGCGGCAGGTGAATCACGGCCAGCGGGCCCTGCGATAGATTCTGCGCGTCGAAAATAGCAACATCGTTCCTCAGCTCGTCGAGCCGGTTCACGAGCGCGATCAGGTACCCCTCGCCCTCGGCGGCGTCATCGCTCTTGGGGATGAAGCTCGGCTCCTGGACCGTCGACGTCGGCCCGAAGAAGTACGTGTCCTCCTCGCCGCTCGCGAGCTCGTTGTCCGGGTCCCAGGTGTAGTGCCCGAGGCTGTTGAACAAACCGCCCGCGGGAGGGCCACACTTCTGGAAGTCGTACGGTTTCGACGGGTCGACTTTTGCTTGCCAGAAGTGTCGATAGCGCCGGGTAACCCACCTATCGTCGATTCGGCTGAACTCGCCGTTTATATTCCACACAAAGGCGGGCGTGATGCGTGTGTTGGTCTTCGCCTTTGGGTCGAGGATCCAGCGCGTCGTCTGGCTGTTGAGCTGGTCCCGCTTGGAAACCTTGCCTGGCTGCGTGGGCGTTATATTCTCATCAGGAGGCCACCAAAAGAACACCTGAAAGCATTCAGAGTTAATATAAATCTAGGCGGTTTTTTCCCTTTTTTTAGGGGGGCGGGGTGGGGGGTTGGCCATATGATGGCCAATCGAGATCTGCAGCCTGATGGAACCTTGGAGGAGAAGCAGGCTACAGATTAGAAGAGTTGCTTACGTTTCCGTCGGCGACGGTCAAATCCACCACGACGTGGCCGTCTTCGTTCTCGTAGCAGCCTGCGATGTGGCCCTGGAAAGCATTATCGGCTCTAAACCAAATGGCGTCTTCGAGCTTTCCATTTCGCCTAGGCACAAGACCATACCATTGGTCCTCGTTCGGGTCCCCTGCTACCTGTTAATCACCTGCTGCGGATCCCGAAGTGATACATTCTGGAACATTCCAAAACATGACAGACGGAGATCCGTGAAAGGACAAGAAATACGAACACGAGAACTTCTCGCCTCCTCTCTTCATCCTGTCCATATTGACCTTGAGAGGCGTCAACGGCAATACCACATAATTCGGGCTGCATCCTATGTCATGGATCATGCCGGCAAACGGCGCCTTGTAATACGCTTCCTCGGTCTTCTTGCCATCCGCATCGATCGTCCACATGATGATATCGAGAGAGCCATCATTTCCGTTCCCTCCTGCTTCATAAGCATAACAAATCATCTCGCCCGTGTCGGGGTCGAACTTTGGGTGCGCGGTGAACGTCGGCGCCTTGATCTGGCCCTCAAAGTCATACCGGCCCAGGGTCTCGAGAGTCACGGGGTCCATAGCAAATGGTGGGCCATCCTCCTTAGTTGCGAGCAGCATTCCCCGCCAGAAGGTAATGTTGGTGTTGCTGGCTGTGCGGATGACCCCCTTGACGCTCTCGTTATCTGTAAACGGGTTCCTGTACCGGCCAAAGAGGCTCCGCCGAGCCGCCGTCTCGGCCTTGTACCGGTCCGTCTGCACGTACCTCTGCTTGAAGTCCGCATGGCCGTTGGCGATGCGGATCGCCGTGACGGAGCCGTCCCCGTTGAAGTGCACGTCGTCCTCGAACAGCGGCGGGAACCGGTGGTCCGGCTGGATGCGATAGAAGGTCGCATTTATCTCCTTGGGGATCGTCCCCGTGACCTCGAGGTCGAAGACGTCGCCCTCGAAGCGGGACGGCTTGTTGAAGCCGCTGAAGACCTGGGTTTCTGGGAACGTGGTTGCCTCTCCTGGTTTGGTCAGGCGGCCGTTGGTGTAGCCCTTGACGGTGGGCGCGATGGCGAATATGTGTGCCATGATGAATGTCGTCGAACTTAATGTGCGCGACTATGGTATCTCGGCCAGGTTTGGCGGGACACTGTCTCTGCTTATAACAGGTCACAGCGCGAGAGACTCAAGATTCAAAGGTCCAGAACACGCGCACTCGCACTTGAAGTCGCAATCTCTCCGGGCCATTGAGAAAGCCCGCAGCTGAGACGTCGGAACCAACTCCCCGTGACATCGGCATCACTCCCGAGCGATACGCACCCAAGGGCCTAAAGTACTACGTTTCTGGACGCCGGGTAATCTATCCCATCTGTCAGGTATTGATCATCCCGGAATGCGGGGTCCCTCTTTGAAGACATACGGCAGTTGGAGACAAATGGAGCTCACATCCCTGAGCTATGACCCTGGAGAGATCCAACTAGGCGTGGAGTGCTTGAGTATCCCCACACTGATTCTCAATGCGTAGCGTCTAACTGGACTGAAGCTCTAGTGATATCCCCGCAAATCCGCGTGTCCCACTGGTGAAACGGTGGGAAGAATGGGCACCTCTCAATAGTGTATTTGAGACTGCTGGTGTGAACACTGCGCTCAGTGGAGATAGTTATCTACCCCCGTCAGGACTATATTTCATAATGAAATCTTCTGTACCGTCTATGCTAAGAAGATGGAACAGAATGTAGAGACAATAGCTGTAAGCTTTGAGAATCAAGCACCGTTAATCTGCTTGTTCTGAACCAGCTCAGGCAGGATCTTGGTCCCCGGCTTCGACTCGGTCACCCCCTCCTCTGCGCCCTCACGCTTCTGTCCCTCAGGCAACTTCAGAGTCAGAGGCTTGTCTGAGGTTCCCACGTCCTGGCCCCAATTTGGCGCCCTGAGGTCGTCCTCGTTGATCTTGCGCCCAGTCACAGGATGAGGATAGTGGAAGGGAATGACCCTCGTGTCCGGCCAGAGCATCTTTTGCTCGAGGATCTCGTCAGGGCCGAGGGGGTCCTCTGGGTACGTCTTCGTTGGCCATGGGATGTAGTTTTTCTGCAGCATCAGGAGTCAGGAGATTTCGGTTCTTCAGAGGGTAATAAATGAATCCAGAAGCTGCTTACCTTGGTATGGCTCCAGCCGCTCTCGAACTCGGCGTGCCAGAACGGAAAGTACCTGTACCGGAACAGTTTCCACACACCGTTCTCCTAATATGTGTTAGTCACCTGCTGCGGAGCCTGCATTGATGCGTTCTGGAACCTGGACTATTCGAAAACACAACAAAAGAGACCGGAAGGAGGAGAAGTTGAGCTGACCTTCAGATACTCATTCTCGTAGAGCCCGCCCTCCCACCACTGGACGTGCCCGCGCGGGTGCGTCTCGTTGACAGAGTCGTGCGTCCCGGCCGACATGAGCGCCCGCATCCGCACCCACGCGTGCGTGCCGGTGGAATCCACGTCCACGATGTCCTGCATCATGATGTGGTCGAGGAGGAACCCGTGCACGGGGCCGTTGCGGCCCTTGACGAAGGTGTTCTGGAAGCGGCCCTGGTACAGCCTCTTGACGCCCTCCTTGCCGCGGTAGCGCGACCCCAGGAACTCGACGTACGTGTCCGGGTGGTCGGCGAACATGTCGACTACCTCGTTGTAGAGGCACTTGTCGAGGTAGTAGCCGTACTTGAAGTGGATCTTGCGTACTTCTGCCTCGTCTGGGTAGGGGGTGTCAGCACATTTTCACACTCTGCGTGAGTGAGCTTGTCAACCCCTGGGAAATACTGACCTGCCACTCGTGATACCTCTTTTTGCAGGGCAGCAACTTGCGCCTTCAATTCGGCAATGTCATTCTCCATCTTGTCAATGGATGGATAGTTGAAGGTTTGAGTTAAATGTGATTTTCCCCAGGGGTTTGCTTGATCTGGAAAGAGAATTCTCGAATTCTCCTTGCAATTTGTTTACTGCGTCGTCGGAAGAGAGCGGGGAGTTTGACCTCCTCTTTGAACTTATATGAGCCGTACCATTCAACCAGATCCACCCCGTTGGCATGGGTGTGGAGTGGTGGGGCAACTGGCTCCTAGTTCCCGTCCGGGGTAAAGATCCACCCTACAGGGCCTCTCCACGGGGTGAGCAACTCGGCCGGCTGCTGTTCAATGCGGGGATGGGGACGAGTGAACCAGCCAAGATGGCTGGCAATGCGTGATAGCTCCTCGGTACGTTGCACTGGACCTCGACTGGCATTTCTTTCCGGGGTCACGTTTTTCCAGGTGATAATCCACAGCCATTGTCGCATCTATTCTGACTGTATTCACCTACCTGTTCAGGGGTGTTTCCGTTGAATGCCGTGTTCGACTCTTATCACAAGGACTCTTTGACATTATGGAGTTCGCTACAGGAAGACTAGGATAAGGAATGGTAACCCGGTAAAGAAATACATGACTTGCAAGATGTACATGAGAATGGACGAGCTTCAAACTCGAGGGGAGTCTCGAGCTCAGTTTGTGCCTAATAATAGCATGACGGCATCCCCTGGTCTACTTGCATCAGCCGGCTCCTGTTTCTTATTTCCGTGGCTTCACACACAAGGCCTTCTGGAAGAAACCCCAAATAGATTTCGGTACGAAAGGTCCAGCATGTAACAAGTCGACATCATTCAGACGCCAGGTCTGTGGTCCCACCAGTGCGCCTCCACCAGCTGGTTGCGGTGGCGGAGGGAGGTCCTCTTTTTTGACGCTGAGTTCTACTGGCAGGGGAACATCCTCCATGAGGATGTCCTCAAACGTCGGTCCATCAGATTGTGCAGGGCCGGAAATCTTCTGTTGGCGGCGGCCCTCGAACCATTCATGATCGAGGAGTTTGTTGGCAGAGACTCGATCCTCTGGGAACCACCTGAGCACTTGTCTCAGTAGGTCTACCGCTCCGGGTATTGCTGCGAGATCAAGCCTCCGCTTGATCGAGCCAGGCTCCGTACCCTCAATCTCTGGCACCACGGGCTTTTTGTACCTATCCGCGGATGAAAGCACTGCCTCGTCTATGGTCTTCGCCGGCTCCTTGAACTTATCGGGATGGAACTGAACCACCGCACGGCCGAGGGTCTGATGCAGCATATCCTCAATTCCATATTCCTCGAGTGTCTCTTTCTTCCGCCGTTCCAACATGTCGGCGTCCCAAAGCAAGTGAATGCTAGGGTCTGAAGTGTTGTGCAGGCGGTAAGATGTGTATCCACCCTTGCAATGCTCGACAAATTTGGCCCTGTGAGGCTCAGGCATCGGGCCTAGTTTACCCTCCAGCTCCTTAAAGCTGAAAACGCTTCCAAATTCGAAAGGGGTCACACCGCACAGTACTTCCGTGATCGTGCAGCCCAGGGCCCAGAGGTCACTACCGATACTAGGCTGTGTACCAATCTCGCGTTGGCACTCCGGGGAAGCGTATTTGTCCGGGATTGCCGACTGTTTGGTTGGCTTTTCGGCCTCGAAGGCAACTCCGAAGTCGATTATTGCGATCTCTTTGGTGATGCATTCATCCTCCAGGGTCAGATACAGTGGCTCAACGGCATATGCAGGAGCGTGAGGGCCACATCTGGGAATGTTGTCATATTCCCCGGCCAGTACTATCTCGTAGGTCCGTGGTTCCGGTAGGTATATTCCCATTTCGTCCTCCGTAAGATCTCCTAGGGTTGTCTTGAAGAGGATGTTGGAGGTTCGAAAGTCCCCGTGACACAGTCCGTGGCTGTGCATGAAATCCATGCCTCCCACAAGCTGGAAGCAAATGTCTTTCAGGACCGGGAGATTGTTCCAGTTGTAGGTCCGTGACTCAGTGATGGATGGGCCCAGCAAGGGCATGGTAATGCACAGATGCTCTCCATTTGGGCCACGCTGAGTGAAGGTGTCAAGAGGCATGACAATGTGATTGTCCCAGGCCTCTTCAGCGGAGACACCTCCAAGCAACTCCCCGAGTTTCAACTCTGGCAGCTTTTCCGCATGCTTGGAAAGGTCGTCTCGAAGGATCTTGACCGCGCAGAACTTTCCCATGGCTGAATCGCGGCAGAGCCAAACGATCCCATATGCTCCCTGGCCCATCTTGTGCCACACTTGGAATCGGTTGTCTTCTCCAAGGAAATCTCCGAGGACGACAGGATGGTGCCCACCTGGTCTGTACTGTTCAAAGTCTTCTAGAGTCCCACAATCGTCAAGATCATAGGTATGATATCTTTGTCCATTCCTAAGTGGGAGGTACGAGTCTTCATGGCCTCCTTCATCTTCGAAGTATTCATAGTCGATGAAGTCATCGACGTTCGCAAGATCTTCCTGTCTCTCAAAGTAGTCGGGGAACTTCGCCTCCACGGGCGAAAGTGGAGCCTGGTTCTCATCGGGTTGAAAATCTTGTCTTGTCGACATCGGAGTTGCTGGTCTTGAACCCTCGGGATACATGTTGAGTCACCAGTAAACAATGTGAAACGGGGCTTGTGTTGGTCGGCTCACAAGTCTCCCTTTGCTGCGGTATCTTGGCTGAAGTTGAGGATTCACGTTGGTATGGGAGGAGAGTGGGAAATGGCCATCAACGATGATGCCGCTCCGCAGAGCGTACAAACCAAGGAGCAACATGTGTAGACAATGAATGTTTTCAGATACGAAGAAAAGATTAGGAGTCTCAGCCGTGCTGCTTTGTTCGACGGTCAACGTCCCAAATTAGATGCTCTCGGCGTCAGCTGCAGTACAGGCTGAGATGAAAGCCGTCGTGGGTCCGGGCCGTATCGAGCTGTCACAAATCATACCCACGATTGAAGGTAGGCCGGGGCAATCTATTTATGAATTTGAAGTCTCCTTTGATCAGCTCAATATGACAATTGACAGGAGCCACTGGGGAGTTAAATACTGCCTATACGTCTCACTTCGATTTGAAAGTAACACAAATGAACCAGACTCATTGCTCCAGCGTTCAGAAACATTGTAACTTAAAAGACAATCCCAGAGAGCTAACCACTAGTATCGCACACTAGAAGTCCAACAATCACGCAATGCCTCGATTACATTCACCGTGGCATCCATATGCAGGGAGACATGTGGTAAAAAGAGATGGCAGGCAACATTACTATACTATAAACGACCCGTACTATGCACAGCGCAGGTCGCACGGTAAGGTATTGCACACACACTTAGGAAACTTGAAGTCTCAACAGAAGAGAAGTGTAGCCCCTTTCAGGAATGTTCGGCCCCGGGTTCCCATCGGGTCATGGAAGTACAGGCCAGGCATGAAGGTCGGCCGGGGCGTCCCCATGACCGTGTTGGAGACGAGGAAGCTAACAGAGGGCACGGGGGAGGGGTCATTTGATGACCCAAAAGTCCTATACAATACCGATATCGAGCACGTCTCGAGGGAGCTGATCCAGCAGTGCGAGACTATCGTCAAAGCCGAGGCGAGACGTCTGGGGATGACGTGTGTTATCATACGGTGAGTTGATATGCGCTGGCGTTCTCGCGAATCAATCTGCATGAGACAACTAACAATCGACAGTGGCGACCTCCACAACACCACGCGCACGATTGATGTGTGGACTAAGAAGGTGATCATGGTTGAAGATCCTCGGGACCCAAGCAAGCAGATGCCCCTGTTGGAGCCTCTCGATGATCACCTGACAGTTTCCTTTGGGACGGTGCTGGATGACCCGTCAACGTTTGGAACTGACAACATCCAGCTGCAAGGCCATGTTTTTGTCAACGTCGAGCGCCATTCTGATTCTACGAGTTGGACGGGCCGGCGGCACGAAAGTGGACTCATCTTGTCACAGCCGCTGTGGGAGATGTCTGATGAGTTTGTCAAGGGTCTTGCGAAAATCACAGGTAAGTTGCCTCCCTGGAAGCGGAGACATATTCAAGACGGCTATGAGGAGTGTAGCGAAGAGTATTGGGAGAAGGGAAGCTCTTTGAAAAGAAATCCATACAACTTTAGGTTGAGAAAATAGGACCAATTGCAAATCTCTTGCGTAGACTTCCCCTGTTGAAGGCATTCATGCATGATCATTAATGCTGTAACCCACTCATCCAAGTCAGAAGTTAGTGATCTCGTCTTCATTAACCCAACCCTCGAGCGAGAGCAGTCACATGGAACGCTGATGACCCGGGTCCGTAGTAAATTGCCACTCATCGGTGTCCAATGATTTAGCTGTCTTTGTCGTGAGTCGAGGCTTACCGCCCCCTCGCCTCAAAAGCTTATGTGCAGCCTCTGGACAAAGCACTTTCGAACGCCGTACGGACGCTTTGGGCGAACAAAGCAAACAGTCTTCGACTCGGTGACCATAGAGATTGAAGGTTCAGTTGAAGGCACGGGGTTGGAAAACAACCTGGTCGGGCTGTTTGTCCACAAGCCTCGCTCTGGGAACTTCTGTAGTCGGAGACAAAAGACAGCCCACGATCATCACCTACAAGCTACAGCACAGTATTCTCAATCGGGCCAAGAGTGAGACACAATGAGCTGGGTCAGAGAAGCCATCGACGAAATCAAAGCCAAGAGCTACGAAGAGCTGTATCCCACAGCTTCCGGCGGCTCGCCGAAAGCGCCAGACGTAAGCCTAGTCAGATCAGTGCCACTCCTCATACCATGCCGCTGACCGAGATCCTGTCCTATGACACAAACAGATTTTCTGGGCCCTCTCTCCCAACGACGTCCCACCGTCGGTGAAGGCGGCGGTGGAATCGGCCGTGCGGCAGCAGACCTTGGAGAGCTTGCTCACATGCGCCATCATCAGGTGCGCCACCGCCTCGAGGCCCCTACCTTCTACTGTAAAGCTCTGGGGCTAGCTGACACTCCCCTTCCTGCCCCACCACAGGCTCGAGACCCTGGGGGGGTACTATTCCACGGACACCTCAAGAACAGACCAGCCCATCGGTCACTTCGCGATATATCTAGGCACTAACCCAGCAAACACGGATCTGAAAGTCAGTCAAGCCCCCAAACCCAGTGATCACCCAGTTTCTACACCCCACCACGCACATGTCACACGCCCTACTCTGGAGCTCCGAAGCTGACAAGAGCTGTTCTCGTTACAGACCCACCTCTCCACCGACCAGGGAAGCCCGCCCAAGAGCCAGCCCAAGCCGCCACCGACCAGCGGCGCCGGCAAAGACAAGGTCCCGAGACACCACGTCTCAGGGACGGACGCGGATGAGCAGCTTGATGGCGCCCGAACCCCGTCGATGGGCGAGATCGAGGAGGAATACGGCCGGGTGGAAGAGCGGTCTAAGAATTCGGGCAGGAGGCTCTCGAGGATTACAGCCAGCCTCGACAACTGGAGGCGTTTGAAGTAGACCTGTGTCCGTCAGTGCAAAGCTTCAGGTTTCTGCATTGGTGTGATAATCAAGTTTGTACAATCACAAGAGGTGGAGGTTGCACAGTTGCAATGCAAGTAATACCTTGATTTTCATTGGGGCGAGTTCCGGGCAGTGTTAATTGACCATTTCCCCTATACTCCCTGCGAATCAGAAAACAACCCAAAAAGAAAGCAGTACGTAGACTAGGTAGAGACCCGGTGATAGTAGACCTCTCGACAGGTGCACCTCCAGTCTGTGTCTGTGTCTGTGCTTGTGTGTCCGGTGCCAATTCCATGCTACTGTCCCCTCGAAAGCATCCCGAGACCGTGTATCCCTCTCAACCGAAGGTATCAATCGTATGGTATCGTTGAATTGGGTGATGCCTCAGATCACGACGTCGTGGAGATGGTTTACAAGCTATGCGTGCGGGTGATGCCCACGTCGCTCAGGGTGAGACAGCTAGTAAGGCATGAATAGCGCATCAGTCAAGAACAGACCTCTCCATGAGTCCGCTTCTGGTATTCATCGATTGAGCAGATGCGGCCTAACGGCCAGACGTCCCCTCAGGGAACATCATGGACTTGATGCAGAAAGTCCCGACTACTGGCGTAACAAGGTACCAGAAGAAACTGCAACCGTTTATATCAAGACCCATAACGAGATCGCGGAAATCTGGGGACGACCTTGCGACTCATGATGGTGTTGAGCTTAGCAAGCATGGCTTCCAGTATCTGGTCCTGGCGAGCCTGAGACCAGTCATCCTCGACCCAACCGTTGGTGGTATGGCTGTAGTAGCCGTTCTTGAATTCATCTCGGTGGAACTTGAGCACTCTCAGAATAGACTCAGGGCCTTGTTGCTTGACCAGTGCCTTGAGAAACGGGTGGCAGTCCCTGTAGAGTTTCGAGGCAAGCTGCTGGCCGACTGCGACTTCTCTGGGTACGCCAGATCGGACGCTTCTCTTTGGGCGGACGGTACAGTCGAGGCGAAGGTTCTGAAGAAGTGGAGCGTCTCGCAGAAGAACAAAAGCCTGGAGACACCGATTGCTGATCCAAGCAAACCTCATAAGGGTAATGTTCCTCAGTCGGGAGATGGTCTCGGGACGTAGCATGAGGAGGAAATAGTGGAGGCCGATGACGTCGGCGAATATGAAGGGCTGCGTCCAAAGGAGTGACACTGCCTCGTCGTGGACAGTCTTGCATGATGCGAGAAGGTTGGGCGAGAGCTGGTATTTCTTCTTTGGCACAGCGTCAACATCGATCTGGGTCCATTGACCTCGCACGTAACAACTGCGCTTGAGGGTCGAGACATAACGATCCCTGACATCGTTGAGGCAGACGTGGACGGGAAAGCTCTCCCAGTCGTCCGAATAGGTCCGTATGTTGACTCCATGAGGGTCAACAAGAGCTTCCTCGTAGACTTTCAGGCGAAGCTCGGGGGGCAAGTCCCTGCAAGACAGTCAGTTGAGATCGGGCTGTGGCAGATTCATCCTTTTGGAGGCAGAGTTCGAGATCCGAGATGAGTCAAGAATAGCGTGGGAAAGACGAATACCTCAGAGAGGCGGGCAGAGGACTTACATCAGTCGGAACGGCTTGAACTTGGGAGGAGGCTTGGCCTTGGGTTGAGACTTGCCCTTGGGCCTCGCAACGACTTTGCGCTGTTCAACATCAGTAAATTGTGGGGATCAAATGGAAGAGAATAGCCAACCTTCTTGGTTCTGCGAGAGCCAAACGTCGCATCCTCAAACTCGCTGTCGTCCTCGACAGTGGTGACAGCGTTAGGCTGCTGCGGAGTGGTAGAACTGGCAGAAGCGGTGGAATCCTCGCCGAGCTCCTCAGAAAAGTATCCAGCGTCCTCAAGGTCGAGGTCTCCGTCGATGCTCAGGTCGATCTCGTAGTTGACTTCGGCTCGTTTGCGCTTGGGGTAGCGATCCTGGGTCACTTTGGGAGGCATGATGGCGTGTCGAGTCTCTGCGGTGTGTTTGTCAGAAGAGCTGCTGTACACAAACAATGGGTAAGCCAAGTTGACTTCACTGAGCTGGTGTGGACTGGCGGAAGATGGTCACCACACGGAGACCAAGGGTGCTGAATGTCTGCGGCACGAGGGTGACTTACGGATGAAAGGTGCGCAGAGTGCTGGAGATGATGCTGCTGCAAGATGCAGCTTTGCCAAACACTGAGTTGGCCGAGGGGAGATGCTGGCGAAGGCGAGGAGGAAGACAGGAAGGCTAAGCGCAGATGCACGCTCCGCCACGGATGGCAACTCAGAAGTTGACTCGAGGAAGGTGCGCGTGTGGTGTGTTGGGGGAAGCCTGGTGGATCGTGGAAGTGGGAGCGAAAATGGAAGCTGCGGCTCGAGGTAAGTGCCAGAAAGGCGGCTGCTAGTTGGGAACCAAGTGGGCCGGCCGGCGTCAGCTTCCAGTGACTCGTGGCGCGATGCTGTAATTAACTGGATTTGGGACCCGACGGCTTCAGTGACTCGATGCTGGTGGTTTGCTGGTGCTGAGCCTGCCTGAGAAGCGGGTGATGTGAGAAGGGAGGTCAACCAAGTTGAGACCAGGACTGCATGCGCACACATTGTGGTCCTCGTCGTGCCTGCCGGGTTCGCACCAAATCAACACGCAAGTCGCCCGCCCATGAAAACTTTCCACGCTCTTGAGATTCTCCTCCACTCCTGCTTCTGTCTTCCGTGGTTCATCTCAAAGCTCTGTTGGTGGTCAAATCGGGGCCTTGCAGGCAGTCACTGGGTCGTGTTGTAGGCTCTCATGATCCATAACATCCAGCAACGCCGTGCGATGAGCACGAAACGTTCTCGAGGTGGCCACTGCCACTCACTCGTCCTTTCGAAAAATCAGCTACGTGATTCGCGAGATCCATCAAGCTCCGTACGGCAGGCCTTCGTGGTCGCTATCGATCACCACGTTCCCCAGCATCTGAACCTCCTGCGCGTCCATCTCCAACGGACCCAGCGGCTCTTCGCTCAACAGCAAGCCCGTGCCCGCGGTGTCGTGCCTAGTCGCGTTGTGGGACAGTTTTGAAGCCCTCGTCGAGACCTGCGTCGACATGCCTGTCCGCTGCGTCCCCGCGCTTCCAGACTGAGTCGTCACCGACATGTTGTTGACGTCCAGGTCCACGGGCCACTTCCACCACCTGTCCGTATTATAAGGCAAGGGCGCCTTCTCATCGCTCATGTCCCCTTCGTTGGACGGAAGCCTGGGTTCTTTGTTCCGTTGGTCTGTCGAGTCCTTTTTTATCCTGGAGATTGTCTTTGTCACCGCCTGTCCGAAGCGTCGGAGCAATGGTCGCATGGCCATCAGGCTCACAACCATGACAGATATGCTCATTTCGACGGTGGTCCATACAGCTGAACGATGGTTAGCTTGCCCATTTCTTCCTTCCGCCTGGCATATTCTTACATAACGATATATCGTTGGTCAAGAAGATCATGAACATGAACCTGCCAGTGCTAACAAGTATGGTGAAGAAACCGAGAGCGAAGATCAAGCCGAGCCCGATCTTCTCCCTGAGCTGGGTGAACTTCAAGCTGTTGAGGATGGGGAAAGGAAAGACGAATACTGAAAATCACTGTCAGACACAAATGCTCGAAGATCTTATCACTGAAAACCGGCCAGCCGGACAATCGGTTCCGTTGCACTTACGCAAAAGCTCGCCGGTTATGTTCATTGTCCAGGTCACCTTCTGCAGGTGAGGATTTGAAAATGAGGAGCATTTGTGTGGATTCAGCCTGTCCCTGTCAACCCTCTACCTGCAGACTGTCATTATTACGACCACAGACTCACCAATTAATAGATACGTCTTTGCCACACCAAAACAAGTCGGAAAGGACGGCTGTCAGACACGCGAGGACAAGATACACTGCGATGCATCCCAGAAAAATGCGCATCCTCGGCTCGGTCACCGGTACCATCGTGGCATAGCTCATGAGCAGGCTGAACTTCGGGAAGTAGAGCCCAGCGTCGAAGAAGAATTTGGTGGCGAATCGAATCTGCCGGCGCTGGTGAGTCCATGATCATCAATTCGGTAGGCCCAGACAGCTTCTATATTCCGGTGCGAGCCCGTCACTGACCTTGCCCAAATACTGGGTAATATGCTTGTATTCCAGTAACCCATCGATCTTGTATATGAGAGTATCGCACATGATGTTTCCGACGGTGCAAACGAGCCCGATCACCAAGAGCACGTCAGAGATCCATGCCTGGTGCTGTCGAAGAGAGAGGCGAACCCAGAATCGTGCGAGGAGGAATGCAAAAGCCAATACGAAGAAAACCCATTCCATCGCCTGCCGAGGTGTCAACTGTCAAATCTGCCGCCGAGCAGGTTACCCTGGACTTACCACCGTCTCGGTTGGCGTGAGCATGGTGACGAACTAGAGGATCGGCGCCTCGGCCCAAGCTGGCTCCTGCTGTAGCTTAATGCACGGGTTTGCGATGCATGTCTGCTAAGAACACTTGCAAGTGAACTGGAAAGGAACATCAATGAAGAAGCATGTTCGTGCGAGGTAAAGGTGCAGAAGTCACTTCACCGGTGTAGGATCAGCCAATACGACAGCGAACTCGACAAATGTTGGCCTGACCAACCACCGCGAGTCTAAACCAGCACGGCTCGCTCTTCGATCCCAGAACCGGTCAGGGCCATGCACAGGGTTTCCGTCGCCCTCTTCTGTCGAGTCGGATGGCCGCATGGGTCGTTCCTTATCCGTCGGCCGTACGCCGGCAAGACCGCACACGCACACGCGCAAGTTCTGTTGTGCCTTCTCATGCCGAAAAGTGTTCCGTTGTAAGAAGGTTGCCCTCTCCTCCCCGCTCCACACCTGTTGTCACCTTGGCATGGGAGCACCCGTTTCCGACGGATATCGTCCATAGCATCCGGACTAATGAGGTCCCACAACCAGCGCTGCCCACCACGTCAACCTACTGCTGCGATGCCACCTCAGCTTCCTTCACTTTCATGCCAGCCACCGCCTGACATTGCTTGCATGCAGCCCAGGGCCTGAAACAAAACGCAGGCTGATCATGACCACGACTCGCTCCAAACATGCAAAAGATCGGCACCATCCGAGGTGGCGTTCTTTGCTTCTTCTCCTATCGCTCTCGATCCAGCCGGATGGACTCGGCTCCGCGTAATCGCCGTGGCCTTGTGCTGTACGTGACTCACCCTCAAACGAATCCCTCCAGCCCATGTCGGACTCATTCGGGGCTGGCCACCCGCGTCACTACATGCCTCAACCTTAAACTGACTCGAAGTTTCCCACGACGGCCGTTCGCACCAAACGACCGCCCGGAAGCACCTGCTGATGACTCGACGGCAGGCTGAGGGCCGCGCGGTGCGCTTGCTTCCCCTGGCCTGAGAAGGATTCGGGTTAATTTCCCTGAGCTGCACCCTTTGCAATTCTCTCGAATTAGCCCTGAGCGTCCTCCAGACTTCGCTCGGGGAAGGCGCAAGCGCTCCGGGCGCAAATTTTCTTGGGTTACTTCTAGGCTGTTTGTTTGTTTATCCATCGTTCGGCCTCGGGACTGAGCCCTACGTGAACGGTTCGTCAAGCGGGCAAGCAGCCAGAAGAACAAGAGGCTTATTAGGGTGTTGCCGCCTGGAGTCGACTGCAATTGGCTGCGCTAATCAGCAGCATTTGGGCCGAAGCGGTAAGTGCTACGCCGGCGACATTTAGGGAAAGGAGAACCTTGTCATCCATTGCGAGCACGGTACGCCGTTGGGCATGAAGATCGCCGGGTGCGGCGGCCAGGAATCTTGGGATGAATATGTCTGCCAACAAAACAGTGTAATTTTGGCAAGTACTTTGAATTCAAGGCTCAAGAAAGACGGTCTTCTTTTCGATGTTTGATGATTCGGGTATCTTGGTTTTGCCACTACTATATAATCAAGTATGAATCGCTCAAGTGGTTCGATATCAATAAACCTCCTGACACTACCCCTTCACTTCTGCCCAATGACCGTGCTGTGTGCGCCACTATCCTGCCCGGGGCCTTGCCCACTAACCATGTCCAGCCCTCGCTCCATATCTGACATCTCAACCACCCCGTCCACACTGACCGTCACTTCCCTCGAGCGCTCAAGGTCGCTCTGCCGCCCCGCGCCCTCAGAGTGAACCACGACCACAGCATCGCCCCCAGAAACCGCAGTTCCCGAAGCCGGCCGTTTGGTGTACTCCTCCTCCAACTGGCCCCGGGCCCCGGAGCGCCGCGACGTGCGGCCGGCCGTGCTGGACCACCATGACTCTGCGAGGCCAATCGCCCTTAGCTTCAGGCTCCAAAACCCGGGAGGATCGGCGGCCCCGCCGGGCACGGGGACCTCGTGGCCGGCAGTAATACCCTGGTCGGACCGCCGCAGGCCGGGGAAGAGCTTCCTCAGTCCGGTGCGGGCGCGGTCGTAGAGGGGGTGGAGGACTGGGATGCATGCCGCTACGATTGTGACGGTTGCTTCGGTGCTGCGCGTGTGTCCGTTAGTCTGGTCAAGCGGGCATGCGTGCTCCGTGGTGCTCTTACATCGTCCAGATGGTGAGCCGCGGCAGCGTCCCTTCGGAACATCAATCAGCGGTTGTCCTTTCCGTAGCAGTACGTAGCATCTGCATGCTTGGGTACCCACAAGTGAAGTCTTCATTTGAAAGGACGTGGAGGTACGAGATCTTGAGGCAGGCCACTGCGGTGGCCCCGATTCCAAGGCCGAGGACAAGACTTAAACTTATCTTCTTGATCATGCTGAACCCCATCTTCCTGAAGACGAGGGCCGGATAGATGGCCAGGTAACAGTCGACAGAGGCAGAGTAAGCTAGGCACGTAGACGTTAGCATCCGACGCCCTGAAGGAAGCAGCCCGCAAAGCCAAGTGGGGACCTACATGATGTGAAATAGCACAGGTCCAGATATGTCTTCACGCTGACACATTCAGCTGCTCGAACCCTCGGGTCCCATGAGGCCGCGAGCGGCTGGCACTGGAACGTCGACAGGGCGGATATCACGATGTAGTTCACGACGCCGACACAGACCACGGCCGACATGATGGTCTTGGTCCAGACGTGCGGGGTGAATATCCGGGTGATCAGCCCCGCGACGGCGACCTTGGGCACCGTGATGGCCAGCAGGGCAGGCCACACGGAGACGAGGTAGTAGAACCTGGCGTCGGCCCTCTGCCGCACCGTGAGGGTGTCGACGTGCTTCCCCATGCCGCTGTCGACGGCGAGGAGGGTGAGGATGCAGCCTGCCCACAGCAATATCTTGGCCAGACGAACGTCAGCTGTTATTGCCCGGGTGGGGACCTGTCAAGAGGGAGTGGATCTGGAGCATCTTGAAACATAACAAACACACTGTTTATTGCCTACCAATGAAAGCAGTATGATCACATCCTCACGCCGGGTGCGGTGCAACACGATAACGCTGCAGTAGACGCGGGCCGCGGTGAAGGCGGTTGCGCTGAGCAGGGCGGCCGCGACGCTGCCGCGCATAAGCGGGCCTTGGTCGTCGTCGTTCATGGTGGAGACAGCATGCTGATCTAATCGCGCGTCGGGCCGTTCGATAAGCGAGGCATGATATATCGGGCGGTGCTGATTTGTCTGTCTGAAAAAGGAGTACAGTACCGAGTTTCCCAAGTTTCCGCAGGCACGTGTGGAGACTGTGGCAGAAATTTGGTCGAGAATGCAGCCCTGCGGTTAGCGAGCCGACCATGAAGTACAGGGAGGTAGAGAAGGGCAGTCTGTGGTATCTGACACTTGCTTTCCAAATGTTCTTGCATGGAATGGTTCGCCTCCTCGGAAAGCCGTCGGATAACCTTCGGACGGGGACGTGCCATCTTGTTCTTGAGTCAGGCCTGATGATGGCTTGTGTATGCCCTACTCGACCCTACGTATCCGCGTTGATTGGAAATGTAGTCTATCATGGCTTGTGAAGCAACTGTCTGTTGCAGCTGGGCAACGGCGGATATTCTTCATCTTCCCCTGACGCAATGGAGTTGTTACAGCCATGGCATTAACACATGAAACCTGTGCTTTTCACGGCCAAACAGGTCGTGCCCCTCTCCAATTCTTTACAAATCACTGTGCTGACACGACTGTTACGATGCTTGTGCATGGTAAAAGCGACTTGGATCGGGTCGAAATCCCCCGGCATGGCAACCTTGGAAGAGCTCCGTGCGCAGGTTGATGGTTGCCAAGGCTGTTTATTATCATTTCATAAGCCTTGGAAGATCCTTGGTCATGGCCGGGATGCCCAGCCACCAAGGTCACAAAGGTAAGTCACACCATCAATGCTGAGACCAGAAACACTGATGTGGAAGATGTAGTCTTTGATAGAATTGTACAGTTTATTTGGCTTGCCATGGTTGCACTCCGGATGATTGTATCTATCCCGATGGCATCCGCCATCACTCCGTTGCCAACCTCTCTGAGATTACTCCTCGGTGCGGCCAAGGACAAATACCACGACTCCCAAAAGAAATCCGCCTTCTTCCGCCACATGGTGTGATTTTTCACGGCCAGTCCATCAGCATCTCCAAGTCGTCGAGGACCCCATCCCGAGTGTCCATCACGCCAGGCTTGGTGTGCAACGATCCTACCTGATTTCTAGTATTGCGGATTCGCTGCAAGTAGTAGACCAAGTCAACCTTCTTGGGGGGAAGTTGGGCCTGATCCGTCTGGAAGACGGTGTGTGTATCGAAGCCGTGACGGCTTTGGTAGTATGGGACACGAGCGTCCAGGTTCAGCAAGCACTCGACTCGACGGATCTTGGTGTTTAACTCATTGAGCTGCTTGGCCTCCTGCACGATGTGCAACTTCAGAGTTCCCTCCGTCTTCCTCTTCAGGTAATTGAACTCAGTTGTACGAATCTTCGCCGGAATGTCGATGCCGTGGGCCGTGCTCAGGTGATCGATGCGAAAGTCGGGTCGGGTGTTGTTGTTCAGCCGGTTGCAGCCTGGGACATCGCAGGGGAAGTATGTGATTTGTCCCCCGTGTTCTTCATTCAGCCACTCCGCTGGGTGCCATCTCAGCATGTGTCTTTTGAGGGCTGTTTTGCAATACAAGGTCTTGTCGCAGACTGTGCAGGGCCAGCGCTCGTTATTGGTGATGTTGCTGGACATGGTGAATGGGCTTTTGGTGTGCAGCAGGATGCAAGAGAGTGAGGAATCTGTTACGAGATTATCTGCTCGTGTGTGGTAGGACTAAGGCGCGTTGGTCTACTCGATGTTGTGGGAAGCAAGAAGCGCGCCTGGTTGCCCGCGTAGTTGTCAGCCCCGCGACTGGCGCGTTGGCCACCTGGACATCAACCGGAAGTGTTTGTTGACTACCTAAGTAATTCACTCTGCAGCGAACACCGAAACATTGGGTATAGGACAAACCCCTATGGGTAATCCTCCATAGAATAGTCCCCCATGGGATAACCTCCAGTAGGACAACCTCCTATGGGACAACCTCCTATGGGGTCACCACCTGTAGGATAACCTTCCATAGGGTAGCTTCCTGTAGGGTGTCCTCCTATGGGATAACTTCCCGTAGGATAATCTCCTATGGGATGGCTTCCATGGGGTAGCCTCCTGTGGGATAACTTCATATAAGATAGCCTTCCATAGGGTAGCCTCCGGTATGGTGTTCTCCTCCATGAGAATCTGCTTGAGGATATAACATGCATAGACTTAGCGTGTACCCTCAGCCGGGTGCGATGATGATAAAACTCCCTTCTCAGCCACCCAAACTTCACCATGCTGCCTGCTCCATTCACTGTCTGGTAGGTACTCCCCATGAAGTCGTTATTCTCTTTCAGAGCTGCTCAGTCGTTTTCCACCCCTGTGGGAAGATTTGGGCAGATGTGAATTTCCAACACAGTGCCGGGCCACAAGGGAGTCAGTCGGCTGTGCCTGATTCTCAGCTACTCGTATACCCCACGATGGCATTACTGTTGTGGGGCATGTTAAGTTCCACCTGTCATTGTCCGGATATCTTGCACTGCGCTTTTGCAAGTGTGCAATACCACATATGAGAAGCCTGACTCTTGCAACACCACCTAATGCAACAACTAGTTGTCCATTTGTTTGGTATGGGCTGCAATTGCTGTGGTCTTTCTCTCCAGACATCTTTTGTTATCCTACGCATCTCAATTGTCAGCTACCATTCTTCTCAATCCACCATACACACTCTCTCTCTCTCTATTTATATATATATATCAAAATTTGTGGCTCGAGTTGCTTTACTTTGCTGCTCAACAATTATATTTCAGCCTGACACTCGCTTTTTTTTGAACCCGTTTCTTCAAGGTCACTGCCGGTCAGACACAGAATCTCTGCCTCACTACATAATTCTCTCGAGCTTGGATGTGTACCAATTTTGAAGTCTGTCAGTCCTCTACTCCAACAGTGAGTAGAGCCATAGACTCCACATAATCAACACAATCTGCTCCCTCTTGAATCTGTTGTCAGCTAGGAAGTCGTCTCCTGTCCTGTCCCGACTAGACAAAAGCCAGGTGGCGCAGTGACGCCCACGCCGACACAAAACATCGAGATGGCCACGATCTCTCTGTCGGCAATTGTACGGGACTTGGCTTTATGTGGGACAGCCTCCAGTAGGGTAACCTCCGGGACGATTAACTTGTCCAAGGAGTTTTGAAAATGAATGTGGCTGAGCTGGTGCGTCAGACTATCCAGAGTAACCAAGGGTGGTTGTAACGCTACAGCTCGTCCGGTGACTCGTCCGGTGATGTATAGAAAGTCGGCCAGTTGCTCCGTCAGGATGTTCCCAAAACTACTTCATCGGCGGCCCGTGGGTCTTTACAGACGCTCATGTCCTTCCCTCGTTTGAGATCTAGCACAGTCGCGTCTTTGCTGCTCATGCTCTCCGACGGCAGAAAGCACACGTTTTTAGCCAGGGTGGATGGACTGAACGGCGTTTTCAACCAAGTCGCCACGGAAAGGCAGCACTGGTGAATTACGAGGAGAGGGTAGCGGTGCCCATATTGTCGCCGGCGACGTTATGAGCGATAATTCGTCACAGTCTTCGACTGAGTCCAGCAGTTGGCCGTGTCAATCTGGTGGGGTGGCAAAATAACAGACGAGTTTCTGTGCAGCTCCTGAACACTCTTCACCCTGTTGACTACCACCGCAGCCAACGAGATCAAGGCCGTAAGCATTTTAGTTACACCAAGGAGCTGTGGAGAATGTGCAGACCATGAACAGGCGTGCCTGCCTCGCTTGTTCAACATAACCAGCTCCGGCACGTCACAGGGCTACTTGCCCCATGCTGAACCTCTACCGCGTGTACGTGATAACCGAAACACCCGGTGAGCAATCGTCAGCCTGCTGCCTCATAGGTCGCAGCTCTATGTCCAAAATTACTCCCGGATGAGAGCCTCGATGGGCATGCGGCTCAGACCGGGGCGCGTGACCGCGAGGCAGGACGTGATGTCTCTTAATTCCTGGGACGAGACTGCCGTCAAGGGCACGGAGGCCCCGAACGCGTGCAATGGGGATGTTCAGACTGAATCGTTAAACTCAATGATCATCGCTATAACCGGAGAACAAAGTCCAATGGCTCCACCTAGACCGGGTCCCATCAAGACGGCGGCGAAACCCCCGCAAGAGTCATACATTCTGATTTTCACCCGCCGCCATCGCATCCACGCTGCCAATCTCCTCAATTCGTGGCAAGCTGCTGGCCCAGTCCTCTCGCCTGCTTGAAAATCCACTCCTTGGCCGTGATCACCTCCTCCTTCTCCCCTGGCTCGAGCTTCGGGATCCCGGGCGCCTCCAGCCTCTTGAGGACGGCGCTGTCCTCGGGCCTGACGAAATAGACAACGCTATACCTATCAAACTTGCCCTGCTCACCGGGCGCAGGCACGACGCGGTGCCGTCCCGAGCACAACACCCCGCCCGTCCACTTGACAGCGGCGTCGCCCAGGTTGACAATCGCGTGGTTCGGCGGCGGCGGCTGCACCCACAGCCACCGTGGCGCCTCGCCCCCCTCGTCTCCACCTCCCGGGCCGGCCGTGCTCTCCGGGTCGACGACGTTGCCGAAGTAACCCCGCGACGGGTCCGACCACACCTGCAGCCCGCCCAGCCAGTTGAACAGGATGGTGATCGTCCCAAAGTCGGTGTGGCCGGGGGTCTGGATCTCGGGGAGCTCGGCCGTCTTGCGCGGGGGGCCGTGAGTCATGCGCACGTGGTCGCCTGACTCCTCCGTCAGGCGGTGGTACTTCTCAAATCCGTCTGCGGGCAGGCCCAGGCGCTCGGCGAGGATGGAGAGGACTTTCAGCCCGGTGCCGTGCGCGTTGCGCATGTAGCGCGCGAGCAGGGGCTTGTGGTCTAGGACGAGCTGCGGGTACTTCCACCGGTCTGTGTTTTCGAGGATGCGGTCCTTTGCGATGTTGAGGAAGCCCGCGGTGTCCGGGGTGCCTTTTGCGTCGGTCTTTGTGGCTCCCACCTTCTTGAAGCTGGATGCGTGGTCAGGATTTATGCTGCGTGTGGCGAGGGGGACGAAACGGGCGTGGGATGTCAAACCTACCCGAAGATGTTGTCCGTGACTGCGTACTGCTCCTTCACCTCGGCCGGTAGCTTGAAAACCTTCTCGGCTAGCCGGGCAATGTCGTCACAGTCCTGCCCCATGGAATCGACCTTGCTCCCGTTGAGGTCGAGGTAGAAGAAGCCCCGCTCCTTGCATGTCTCAAAGAGTTTATCTTCGAGTCCTCTGTCGCCCTTCTCCAGCTGGGCGAGGGAGAACGTCTCAAGCTTTACGCTAGGGACGTCTTTGGGGAAAGGGGGATATTTGGAGGGGGTGAACAGCGTGCCATTGGCATGTGCTCCGTTTGTGGCCATGTTTGCGTGTCTGTCTTGAAGCGTCTGTTGGATTGTTTCTTCAGGTAAGCTTGCAGTGGGATGAGGAGATGATGTTGTGACAAAGCGTCAGCTCTTTCCGTCTTCCGGAGTCGTTGGCTCATGTGAAATATATATTTGCCCGCTGTCAGAAGTCTAAATGGCGCCGTCTAGCAAATCAATTGATGCATTGGTGCACGCGTGGACCCGAATGCGGGGAATCTTGCCGAGCCGATACCCCGGACTTACATCCCCATACATCACGCTCGAGTGCCGCTGTCGCCTTCCGGCCCTCCAAGCCAAAGGGGACAGGCGCGAGCCCGAGGCCGAGTTGCTGTGTGTGGAAAACCAAACGCTACCCCCCTCTCTTGTCGTTTTGACTCGCGCTCTCCCCTCCCCGCTCAAAATCTCAAATCTTAAATCTAGCTATATCTTATTATATCTTTATAAGAAAATTAAATATTACTATATAAAGTATATATTTAAAAACTTTATATTAAAAAGTATATTATAAAATATTAATAATATTTATTTTCTTTATATATAATATATTTTAATTTTTAATTTTTTTTAAAATATTAATATATATAAATAAATATGAGATATAATTAAAAATAAATATTTTATTTATAATCTTAAGAATATAAGGATTTTAAAAATATATAATTATATATTATCATTATTTATATTCAGATAAATATATTAAAAAAAGCTTAATTTTAAAGGATTTGGGATTTTAGAGCGGAGGGGAGCGCGAGTCAAAACGACAAAGGGGGGGTAGCGTTTCGTTTTCCACACACAGTGGCACCCGCGCCGCCGTCATTTTCTCACTTATCTTGCCTAATGCAGTAGCAATCGGAAGCCTTCACCCTTTAGTGTTTGCCAATGAGCTACTGCCCTCGCCAAACACCACCCGTTTCCTACTGTCTCATAGAGCTGCGGAGATCATACTTATTTTAATGGAACATGCGGTGCATACAGTCGGTACCAGAGACGGCATCAGTCGATGTGGAATATCCAAACAAGGGATCGGCAATGGCCAATCAATCGCTGGGGCTCTGATGCACAAATCGGCTCTAACTTGTCGCTAACGTTCTTCCTGTGCCGTTACAGTCCCAGCCCGCCTCGCCTCGCGAAATGATGCGCATTGCGGAGTTGCCCCTTCGGAATGGTGTCCTGGTTGAGGCACGTCCTCCTCGCACCGAACTGGCCAGAGGTCATGCCTTTGCGCCATGAAACAACCTGCTCCTGAGGGTGACTGGGCGTCAGGCAATGACAACAGCCGTAAATGTGTTGACAACCAGATTCATGAGCTTGCAGCAAGTGTTTGCGGGGTTGAAAGACTTCCCCGAGGTGAAGTGGTAATCGCGATTTTGATTTTGATTTTGATTTGAGGATCTGATCATCAGTCTCAGACACAAAGTATCCTTAACCACGGCATCCAACACAGCTGTCCAACGTTCAAGTTGAGCCTCAGAAGAGCCCAATCGGATGACAAGGTAGCATGACTACAGCAAAATTTGGAGGAAATGAAACAAGTGCCATGGGACTCTTCTCATGATTCCTGCTACCTGATAGACATTAACTCATGTTCACATTATTTAGATGCTTTGACGCTGGGAAACTCGTGCTTCGAGAAGAAACGGGTGATGAGCTGGAAGGGTTAGGGTAGGCGGGTCTTTCAGTAGTCGAGAATTTTGGAGGCCCAAGCAACATGCCCACACTCTCGCACCAAAGAGCTCAACATCCCCGGATCCATGAGTGGCATATTACCCCATGGATTCACAATCTAAGAGTTCAATACATGCCTTCGAAGGAGACAATGCTCTTGTAGATCTTGCACGCCCCCCATAACACCCTCAGACCCGTCGGTCGAGCAACCCCTGGCCGCCAACGAAGACGATCTCCAAATGGATGACCTCCCAGCGGCAAAGGTCGCAAGGACCTCAGAGGCCACTTATGGCGATGTAGAGGCCGCGAATGAATGCGTCGTGTCAGAGTCACAGCCACAGCCAGAGGAGGAGTCGAGCGATGACGATATTCAAGAGATCCCCACGCCGACCAAGCCGAAGCCGACGCGCAAGCCCCGAGCCTGGCCGCAGCCTGCAGAGCCGATCACTGCTGGACACGAATGCAGGGAGGCCCTCAACCAGACCGACAAGATTTGGAATAAGGGTGTGCCGCTCAAGCCTCCCCACGTCCTCGGAATTGAGAATCCTGCGATTCCGAACCGACGCCCTCGACCCAGACCGCCGACGATATAGCCCAGGCCAATGGCACTCTTCCTGCTGCCCATCGAGAGCATGGCAGCGTCACCCCCTGCGCACGCCTTCACCCCCGCCCTCGACTTGGCCGAGCACTCCTACGGGGACGTCGATTAGAACCTCGGAGGCTGCCGGAGTGGGCGGCGTGTCACCCGTGTTCCGTTACACGGACTCCCTAATACTCGAGCTCATGCGCCTGCGCCTCGACAGGGACGACAAGAACCCCAAGAAGTCCCACTCAAGCGACGGTGGTTTCTTATTCGAGCTACACACATACGCACAGGACGCGGGCGGCAAGGTCGCCGCGCTCGATGCGAGGCTCAAGGGGCGGCCGGGCAAGAGGAACCAGGTCAGAGAGGGACAAGTACCGCGCAGACGGCCTGAACAGCCTATGCGAGGCGCGGCGCGGGTGCAGGGAGGAGCAAGCTCATGAGTGGGTGGGAAACACGCCCGACGGTCGCGTCGAGACGCGCCCGCGGACCGCTATGGCCTGGGACACCACTACTTCCGCCTCAGCATCCTGAAGCTGTGCGAACAAAGGGCGTTCCCGCCGTCCCCGACAGATATGCGACCAAGTTCTACCGGCAGCTCACGTTTCTAGTGTCCTACAAGTCCGTCGTGGAGGATTATCGTATGCTCGCCCGACGTGGTTGCCTCGGAGCTTGGGGTCGCCGCCGACCGAGGAGAAGCTGCGGTGGCCCCAGTGGGCTGAGGAGCTGCGCGAGGTGAGCCGCACTCGAAGCTCGGCGTGAGTACTGCTTAGGTTTGCGGTGTCTTGTTCGGTCGACGCGTGGTGAACGCGCTCGCGTGCGCGTCGCCTGCTCGTCACCAACGTCACCAGGCAACCACCACGCCACCCCGCCCTGCCTTGATCAATTGACGGTTTCGAACCACAATCACCAGTGCAAGTGGCCTAGCGGTATGATTCTTTGAATTGTATTTGCGACGGTCTGGGTTCAATTCCCATGCACCGCTACAGCCACTCTTCTCAAAATAGGTCTGTCCGTGAGGACAATTAGTGCCTATACCTAGGAGCATGTTCTCCCGGAGTGGCGCGTTCTACTAACATCCAGGTTTCTCAAGTGGTTGGTGGTCGGGCAACTTTTCTTTTTGTTCTTTTTCCAAGTGACCAAAGAGAAACGGAACAGTCCTGCCTTGCTTGACGACGATGTCGTCTAGGCAGCCCAACGCAAGACATGTGACCATGCCTCACGTCCGTCATGCGGTGTGGAAATGTCTCGCACCACAACCCCGTTGCTACTCAACTCAGCCGTGTCCCGTGGCCGGTAAGCACCACGGGCCCCCTCTATCAGCGTCCTTGAGATCTCGTATGTCAGCTCTGGGTGGCCTTGGAACGTGAGGATCTTCCCTGACGACGCCAATGTGATCTCGTTGTCCTCAGACAGCGGTGTGAACCAGGGAGCCAGCTCAGACACATATCTGATGTTGTATTTGTGTATCAGCTGACGAGATGTCAGTGAGAGAGCATCAAATCACGACATCGCTCGGACAAGCGGGTGCTATGGTGGCCGCTGGCGGGTCGCTGGCGGGTGTCACTGCGTACCAGGCTATCGCGGTGGAAGAACTTCTGCCCCGCAGGAGCGAGTTCGGTCTCTTGTACACCAATCTGCGCCGCCATGGTCAGATATCACTGCTCGCGATATCCCACTGCGCGTTCTCAGTAGGCTTACCCGATGCTCATCCCCAAGCCAAGCAAGCTTCCCCCCAAGTGCAACGTGGACGGCCTGGTGGCCCCAGCAGATCCCGAGCAGCTTCGTCTTTGAACTCCCCCCAGCGATCTGCCGGATCATCCCGAGGACGTCCAGCACCCACTTCGGCTGGTCCTCCTCCAGGAGGTTCACGCGGCCCCCGCTCAGGATCACCAACCCGTAGGCCGACAGGTCTGGGATGGTCTCGCCGTTCGCGACGCAGCTTATGTCGAGCTGGGCGTCGGGAATGGAGGCGGCGATGTTGCTCCGGATGGACTCGGTCATGGCGTGGTCCACGGGCGAGGCAGGTGGGTAGTTCTTGAGGAGGAGGATCCTTGTCCCCTGCTTGGAACCCATCTTGGCGGAATAGACTGAGGGCGGCTTTCAAGCAGACTGGCGGCCTGACCGCTGGCTGGCTCAGAATTGAGACGAGGTTTATGGGGCTCAGAAGGGTGCCTGTGGTGTCGGTGAAGAGGGGTCAGAACCGGCAATAGCGCGGAGACGTTCCTCTGAGTCCCATGTTGTTCGCTGCCAATAAAATCCGAAGATGACATTCGTCGCACATAAATGCCCATGGCAGTTGACTTTCCACAATTGTCAGTATTATTCTTTAAGATTCGCACGGTCTGCATCGGTTTGAAAAGATGACGCTCATTCCGTCCTAACCCGAGCTCACCGCCATCTCGGAGGAATCACGAGCAAAGCAGGCCTTTGAAGTATGATGTGTATTATATGACTAAAGATTACCATGGGCTCATATCGTGCTGGTGGTACAGGTTTAGAGCAACGCCCATTGACAGTGGAAGGCTGTCTGAGTTCTTGAAGTGGCACACCAACGAACTGTGAGTAAGATGCCAAACATGGTTCATTGAATTATAAAGACGGAACTCTCTCTACAACGCAGAGCCACTCTTGTTCGCACCAGGATACTTCCCGGACAGCCCGGTGAAAAAGTCATCCCCCTCCATAGTCAGGTCCTGGAAAGCAGGGCACCCGATATCCAGCAGCGGGCCAACAACGGCGTCGTTGACCATCTTGAGCGGGACCTCGAGCGTCTTGAACAGGGGCGCGAGCGCGTTGGGCGCGAACGTCTTGACGACCTCGAGCGCGAAGCAGAACAGGTTGTTGCCCTCGAGCAGGCTGGTGGCGTTGAGCAGGCCGCCCGTCACGTCGTGCAGGTCGACGCCGGCGAACGAGTTGACCTCGCCCATGTTGCCGCCCACGCTGCCCAGCTCCGGGTGCTGCAGGACCCAGGCGACGAGGTCGAGGTTGAGCGAGACGAGGCCGTAGTCGACGGGGGTGCGGAACCAGTTCTCGGGGATGCGCTCGTGGCCCGCGTTGTAGACCAGCTCGCCGTCCTTGCCCTCGGTCACGCCGAAGAAGGACTTGAAGACGTCCTTGGCTGTTTTTGGGCGGTGTTAGTCATGTCTCTCTCTCAACTTCGCGGTCTTTCTGTCGGGCCATGACGTGATCCAACTCTGGGGGAGAGAACCGGGTATTCCTTTGGTTTTACTTACTCAACTGCCCGCCAGGGAACTCCGTCGAGTGGTTGCTCAAGATCCGCCCGGCAAAAGCATACCCAGCATTCCGCGCGACGAGGCCGGTGTAAGGCCCATAGTAGAAGTACGGGTTAATCTCAATGCTCTCCCTGAACCTCGCCGCGGCGCGGTTGCCAATGTCCTCCATGGTGATGACGTCGCCCTCGGCGCTGTCGTACGCCATCTTGAACAGCGTCATGTTCATGGTCCACGCGTCGCCCGTGACGTACAGGTCGTCGCGCGTGTTGGACGAGTCGCCCTCGATCCAGTTGTGGCTGCCCTGGAGGCCGCGGGGCTTGCCGAGGAGGCCGAGCAGGTTGCCCAGGATGTTGGACGAGAAGAGGCTGTCGTCCGGGGGCGCGCCGCCGATGGAGAAGCCTGGCGTCAGGGAGATTGGGTTGCCGACGCCGACGGTGCCCATGATGGCTAGGATGGTGGATAGTTCGATGCCCATGCCGAGGACTTTGGGAGGACTGTCAGCATGTGATTATACGTATGAGGGCGATGATCAAGCGCATATTCCACAATGGGTCTTGCTCTGGCTCGTGGGGTCGGGTTTGTATGGGTAGGGTCCATCTTACCAGTGTTCAAAGCATCAATGAGATCGATAAACTACAGCCATAATGTTAGTACATTTAGCTTAATTCATTTTGCGTCACCATTAATATGGTCAAGTTTTACGTACTCCGACAACACCATCGTGAGGTATGTAGTTGTGGTTGGCCAGGGCATTCAGCCCAGGGCAGGGCCCACGCTGATCACCGCTGTCAAAGTCTGGAGGAACAAAAGCATGTTCTCCGGTGACTGTGGAGGCATTCAAGTCAGCTCACTATACCGAGTAAACATCTATGGGACTGGGATCGACTCGATGTCTTATACGTACTGTCGATCGGCTCTGTCAGCGGATCAAAAAGAAGTCTCTTCTCCTTCAGCTTGAACAATTCCTCCTGTATCTTCGCAAAGTGGGCAGAAGAATCATCGAGGCCGGGGGTGTAGCGCCCGACAAGCTTGGCAAAGTTCTCGGCCGTGGGAAAGGCATCCACGGCCGGGCTGAAGACCGTTGCGGCAGCAACGCATGCTTGTACGGCACGCGAACGTAGGACCATGGTGACAATCGTATGATGAGACTGAAACAAGCAGGCAAAATACAGGTTAAGATAGCTAGTGAGTGACGTGAAACAGACAGTAAAGAGCGTGTGTATGGTGCCAAGCGACGGGTACCGTAAAAGAGCGTAGGAGTTGAGAAACCTCACTCAGATCATTCCACTGTCGTTTGAAGAAGAGCTCAAACGAAAGCCAAATCACAGCGACTAGGTGTTCTCTTTCAATAACTCTCCAGCCGGAAGGCAGATGATCCAATGGACGTCAAAGGATTACGCAGGCGGAAGAAGAAGGGTCAGGGGCTGCATCTTCAGGGCGTGGGGAGCGCGCCCGTCGGCATGTCGCTAGGCTGGTCGACCTCGGGAGTGCGGCCTCGCCTTTCCCGTAGCTGGACAAAGTCCTGATGTCGCGTGGGAATCGCAATACCGATCAAGAGTCGGCGGGTGGGGCCGCCGGGCTGTCATTTGGTTATCTAGGCCCCACAATTGAGATCGGCCTCCTCGATTTCTCGCTTCTGGTCAGCTCTGAGAGTGATCGACCAGGGAGGATGCACTCTGACTCGTGCACAGGGGGTGATCTTCACGACTAGACTCTGGAAGACGGGGCGCTCCTGTAGATTGAGGCCTCGGCGGTCTTGTGCTGTCTGCATTGAAATGAAGCCGATGTCCCGTGATATTTTTGCCCTGTCGTCTTCCAAGAGTCTAAGCAAGGCCTATCTATTTAGTGGCAGACATGGGCATCGGTAGATGTTCCAGACTATGTAAGTGCCAGCCAGCCTCGCGAAATCAAAGTGTCGACACGGCAGTTGGTGTGCCTCACGCTGCTTTTCGGCATTTTCATGCCCCTGCTAAATGAAGCATTTCACTGCAAGCGAAGATCTCGCCCAAATGACGCTACAAGGTTAAGAATTGCCTTCCACTAACTGAACAGGGGGAACATTCCTCCCTCACCCAAGGAAATCATACTTTCGCACGAAGGACGATTGTCATATGGGCTGGAAATGTTCAAATGTTTAAATGTTTTTAGAATTATCATACGGTAGTTGCTAAGTTATACCGTGGTTCTTCGAAGATGTTTGCCGGATGCGACGAGAAGCGTGCTCAAAATAATTGAAGTTCGAAAGGCAGGAGGGCGAAAAGGGAGAAGAAGAAAAGTCCATTGCGCCTTATTGCCACGCTTTCCCACTTGCAGTCGTGCCGGATTCCACATCCGTCAGCCGGATAAACTCGGCATCCTCGTTTCGCTTCAGCGATATCTGGCGGGGCTTGAGACGGTCCGTCTTGGACGTCGTCCCGGACGATGCCAAGCCCGAGCTTCCGGGCGTCCTGCCGGAGGAGCCGCCGCCGGACATCTTGCTCTTGACGGACGACCACTTCGGGCCGAGGCCGAGGCTGGAGAAGAGCTTGTAGACGGCGGGCAGGGAGGCCGTGATGATGCCTGCGTACAGCTCGATGGTGCTCCAGTAGGCTGCCTCCAGGTAGTCGTATGTGATGTTGGTCGAGTTGGCAAATAACACCAGGGTGCGCAGACGGATGATACTGGCCACGGTGACGCTGGGTGAATTACGGTCGATTAGTGCCTTGGTCGCTTAAGAATTATGAGAGGTAACTATCATGGGGTTTTCGCCACTCACAAGATACCGAGCGAGAACACCACCATGAGCATGAGCTTCTTCTGCAGATTCACGTGCAGTTTGTAAAGCTCATGAAGGGGTAGCACCAGGATGATGATATCCAAAACAATGTTGACAGCGGCGCTGCACCACCCCTGAAGGTGGATGTTGTTGCACTGGCCATGGTGCCACTCCTCCAGCTGCAGCCATGCGTGATTGATGGGCGAGCACTGGAACAGGGTGGCGAAGAAGAATGACACGGCATACGCTGTGCATAGACCAATTGTGGCCCAAATGGCCCTGCTCAGGTTGTTGTGCTGAAAGACTCGCAGGAGGAACACCAGGATGGATATTTTGTTCATGGACTGTGCGGCAAAATAGAACAATTCTCCGACGAAGTAGTACTGGTCTCTGGTCAGCTTATCCCCGCCGAGTCGAGAACGATTCGTGCGTCGGGAACACTTACAAACAGAACATTCTCGATCTTGTATAAAGGGAGGGTCCACATGTCTTTCCCCAGACCGTTGTTGGACACTATCTCGGGACCCATTAGCTTCCAGTACTGCGGGCATGGATGCGCTTCATGTAGACGACATGGAAGGTGCGTTGTGGATTCACTCACGAAGAAACGCGAAGATTGTTGGCGGAATGGTAAACAGCAACGTGGCTGTGATGGTCCAGTCGTCCCAGCCTAGTTCACGGCTATTTGCTGGCAGGGCCGAGCACATGCGCAGGATGTACACAAAGGCGGCCAGACCAAAACCCACAGCAGCCACAACTGTCGGTGTCGCTGTTTCATCCCGTACGGGGGCACCACACATTGTTGATGAGCCATTCTTCGTCACTGCAGTAGAACAAATAATTAGCCTCGTGTAAAGAGAGGTTTGTTTAGGGTCCCATATTGGTCGCCCAGCATATTTGCACCGCATGCATTTGCCGTGATGAATTTAGGAATTCCCTTGGGGGAAAGAATCCCACTTACAGAGAGCATCCTCCTGGCTGCATCCTTGCAGCACGCATACTGAGAGGGCGGTGTTGAGCTTCGCGTCGGTGCATAGACACTCAGTGTCTGTGAGACTGCAGTAAGAGGCTGGGACCAGCTTCGAGAGGCACACGAGCTAAGGACGGGCCGCAGCGGAAGATCAGCAAAAGAGCAACGGGGTGCTAGCAGAGGATTTGCGCGGGGCCGAAAAAAAAAAGAGAGGGAGAGCAGCGATCGGACTTCCAAAACACTTACAGCACACGTAGGATACAGCTTCTTAGCAATGGCCAGCGCGGCGGCCTCCGCAGCGGGATCCGTTGCTGCAGCTGCAGCTGTGGCACCTGTAGCCATGCATGAAAGAATGGCGGTAAACGCCGTAAGGAGCCATGTGAACTTCATAATGTTCCGAATACCTGACGGGTCAGTTTCGCGCGTGCGTCTTCCACGTGGGCAGCCTGCAGCCGTTGGGGGTCGCTGACACAGACACACAGGTCTTGCTCACCAGGGTGCTCACGAGCTGCATTCTCGAAATGGAAGAGCGCGGGCACGACACTTTTTATTCCTGGACCCCGTAGACGATTATCCCGCACCATGCTGCTGTGCCGAGTGGTATCATCACTGCCGTTGCCAGGCCTACTGACTCATTTTTCTTGAAAATCTGCTTGGGTTCTCTTCCCCGATGGGTCCAGACGAGGGAGGGGCCCATGCCCAAGGGAAAATCTCAGCCCATGTGGAAGTATACTCAAGTAAGAGATGGGCTGGTCTGTATCTCGTTAAGAGCCACGCACTCCAGTGCTCGCTTGCAGGACAAGTGCCGGCCTCGAGCACGACTTCCCAAAGAGGCCTCGACAGATCGAGTCACGAGAGCATGCGTATTGCTGGGGCGTATCGCGGTGGATAACTATGAAATTGTGCAAGCTCGTCCCCCCACAGCATTATTAGAGTGTGGTTGGGGACGCCGCCACCGAGATAAGACAAGAAAGACGCACGTGTGGACGTCGTATCTAATTCCCCGAGGGGAGACAGCGCAATATCGCGCACGTGGGTAACAGGTGAGAGAGACAGGGGTCTTCCTGCCCTGTGAAGCCAAAATGGCGTTAAAAAACCGTTGTGTCTGTGTGTCAGCGCGTAAGCGAGGGCTGGCAAAAGTGTGGGGTTAGCGTCATGCCGGGGGAGATTCTCCCAAGCGTCCGGTACAGCCCTGGACGACGTGGATGCTTCCAGATGCCCCCCCTTGCACGAACGACCAACCCCACCGGCAACGAGGGAATCAGGTCATTGTCTGACTAGTGCATGTGGGATAGAAACTAGGGATCGGCAGTCCTCGCAAGGGGCGCATTGACTGGATGGCAGCTGTCTCGCGTGTCTTGACAGGTCGGGGTAGATACACGTATATCCAATCGGTCACCAAGGTGTGACTACACGCCGTCTTTGGCCATAACCAGTACGTCCACACATGACCATGCCGCTCTTCCGAGTCGGTCACAATGCGTTCCTGTATACCTGTTTCCATCACACTCCACTGACTAACAGATAATCTTCTAGAAAAAAGTTGGTGGTGATGGAGTGTGTAAGGCAATTCAGTGGGTTCTTTGTGGAAAGGATTACCATGGCGAAACCCTAGCGAATATGACAGGTCAGCTTTGTACCTTGGCATGTCCGCCCGGCAGCTGAGATGCGTCCCCACAAATTAAGCCTCTACATCCCTGGCGAGTTAGATACAAGTGTAACCCCAGAGTTCAGTACGATCGTCAGGAGAGACTCGATTTGGGCAGTGTCGACATTCGCCTGGCCCGCCAGCCTGTTTACGCGAGGCTCATCGCTTGGCGACATCCGGGGAGGAGTCGTCAGTCGATGCCAGTCAGTCGATGCCAGCCGGCAACAGGGGGACAGCCCGATGATCTAGGTGGATGCAAGGGACTAGTAATATTGGCATCGCCATCGGGAGGCGCGATGGGGTCAGATAAAACCCTGGCACTTATAAGCCTCCCAGACTTTTGCTTCGTTTTCCCCTTGCTTGGATTCACCCATGTGTTGTTTCTACACGCAGGCTTGCGGCGTCTGTCACTCATTTTCTGAAACCCTCAACTGCCGTCAAGGCTAGTCACTCATTTGCTGTATTTGTGTGTTTCACGGTGCTTAGCCCGTTCACTATCGTTCAACAGACTTGCAGGGGCTCCTCAGATACCCTAGTCGAATCCCACTTCATAGGTTGCCATGAAGTCTCTCGTGCCCACTGCAGCCCTGTTTGGGGCTGCTCTCGCAGCGTAAGTGCCGGTACCAATTTTCTGTGATTCAGTTCAACACACGAATCATCGGGACGCTTCCCAAAAAATGTTTACCCGGAATACCAAAGTGTCATGACTGGGTGCTAATTGATATCGTCTAGATTCGACAAGCCGCTGGGCCCAACCATCACCGCCGAGGGTCCCAAGGCCAACTCCACGTACGACTATGTCGTCGTCGGTTCGGGGCCTGGTGGTGCTCCACTCGCTGCCCGTCTGGCCTTGGCCAACTACAGCGTCCTGCTCATCGATGCCGGTGAGGACCATGGACGTGATCCTCAGGTTGAGGTGCCAGCCTTGCACGTCTTGTCGTCCGAGTACAAGCCAATTGCCTGGGACTACTTTGTCAACCACTATTCCGATGAAACTCAGGCCCGCAAGGACAGCAAGATGACGTACCGGAAGCCTGATGGCGAGTTCTACGTCGGCCTGGACCCGCCTGAGGGCTCCGAGCAGCTCGGTATCCTGTACCCCCGTGTCGGAGCCCTGGGCGGTTGCTCGCAGCACAATGCCCTGGTTACCATCCTGCCTCAGGACAACGACTGGGAGCACATCTCTCAGATCACGGGCGACGCCACGTGGGGCGCCGACAGCATGCGCGAGTACTACAAGAAGCTGGAGAACTGTCACTACCTCCCCGGGGCCCTGGACAGCTCGTCCCACGGTTACGACGGGTGGCTGCAGACGCAGACCACGCCGGCGATCCTGATCGTGGAGGATCTCAAGGTCCTCTCTCTCGTCCTTGCGGCCGCCACCACCATGGGCAAGGGCCTGCTCGGCAAGGTCATCAACACCGTCACTGGTCTGCTGGAGATCCTCGCCCTGGACGTCAACACCGACTTGGAAACTCGTGACAAGTTCGACGACATCTACCAGATCCCTCTCTCCATGAAGGACCCCGAGTACTCGCGTTCCTCTCCCCGTGACTTTGTCTACGATATTGCCACCGCCACCAACGATGACGGCTCCAAGAAGTACAAGCTCGACCTCGCCCTCAACACGCTCGTCACCAAGGTCAACTTCGACGAGAGCGGCGACAAGCCCCGTGCCACCGGTGTGGAGTACCTCTACGGCCAGAGCATTTACCGTGCCGACCAGCGCGCCAGCAAGACGGAGGACGGCGGCGTCGCCGGCCAGGTCTTCGCCAGCAAGGAGGTGATCGTCTCCGCGGGAGCCTTCAACACGCCGCAGCTCCTCAAGCTCAGCGGCGTGGGCCCCAGAGCCGAGCTCGAGTCGTTCGACATACCCGTCGTCAAGGACCTCCCCGGCGTGGGCGGCAACATGCAGGACCGGTACGAGGTGGGCATCGTCGGCAAGGCGCCGACCGAGTTCTCCCTGCTCAAGAAGTGCACCTTCCTGGACATCAACGGCACCGAGGGCGGCGAGGACCCCTGCTACAGCCAGTGGGAGGACGGCCTCGCGGGCGGGCTCAAGGGCGGCTACTCCACCAACGGAATCGCCTTCGGCTACTTCAAGCACTCGAGCGTCGCCGAGAACGGCGACCCTGACCTGTTCCTCGGCGGCGTCCCGGCCGCCTTCCCGGGGTACTACCCGGGCTACGCCGCCGACGCCGTCTCGGACCTGAGCGTCTGGACCTGGCTCACCCTCAAGGGCCACAGCCGCAACAACGCGGGCGTGGTCAACCTGACGAGCGCCAACCCGCGCGACACCCCCGCCATCACCTTCCACAGCTTCTTCGAGGGCAAGGGCGGCGAGGAGGACCTGCAGGCCGTCTACGAGGGCATGAAGTACGGCATCGAGGCCTTCGAGAACCTCGTGCCCCTCGACGGCGCCTTCGAGCGCATCCGCCCCCCGCCCGAGGTCGAGTCCGAGGAGGACCTCAAGACCTGGGCGCGGGACGAGGCCTGGGGCCACCACGCCAGCTGCACGGCCCCCATCGGCGCCGATGATGACCCGAACGCTGTGCTGGACGGTGACTTCCGTGTGCGCGGTATTGATGGCCTGCGGGTTGTGGATGCGTCCATCTTCCCCAAGATCCCTGGCTTCTACATTGTGCTCGCTATCTACATGGCCAGCGAGAAGGCTGCGGATGTCATTATTGCGGATGCCTTGGCGGCTGCAGCTTGATCTGCTTACCAATATTGTTAGATCATGGAGGACGTTTGAGTTCATCTACAAGCGCTTCTGTTGATATAGACGTAATGATAATAATTCAAAGTGTTTATCTTTAAGCGAGTGTGAATATTTCCAACATCGTATGACTTCTTGCACTTGTGAATTGTCCCGTCTGTCAGTTGCCAAAGGAAACCCGCCGGACCCTTCATGCAAAAATCGCTGCATTAAGAGACTTGCAACCTCTCAAACACCATAGCCTCAAATGTCATCATTTTTTTTTTTTTTCATACTACTGGGAGAAACAGATAATTCTCGTCATCGAGCAGTATCAAAAAGTTGGCACATATTTTGTGGCCATCGATTAGTTAAGCTGCGATTTTAAGTCGAGTGGTTTGTTGGTTGAAGAGCTGGTTTTTGATAATGATGGGTTTATTTTGGCAAATGACAGCCCGTGAACAATTTGTGACACTTTTGTGCAAAAGCGATGGTAGACGACAATATGTGCATAGATTACGCGGAAAAGATAACGAACTGTATACCGCTTTTGAACAGATCTGCTGGCCTATACGCCAATGCCTAGCCCAGGAAATATGGCCAACTCTTATAGTTTTAATTACGATCGACCGGGGTGTCTGAAGCTGTTCTGAGTAAGGAATGGGCGGCTATTTCCGAGTTCTGTAGACCCAGCTTGGCGGGATGCCCTAATCGGGACCGGTTGAAGATATACCGACCTCAGCTGCCACCGACACAAGTACCGTTTGTCTGATATATATGTACCAAACCTATTGAGACAGAGGCCCTCAGAATTGCAAATTGCAAAAAGCCAGCATCCAGGATACTTCTCACAATCTCAACATAGTTGTTCAACATGATTTACGGCGAAGAAAACACAGTTCCGGTCCCTAGCTTTGACCTTCTCACATTTCTGTTCGGCAAGTTAAGCCTTTAATTCACTCCACTAATATACTCTTTTCACGTTCATCACCAGAATTCTAACTGAACCACGCCTCTACGCGGGACAGACTCTGAACACGGCACCGCAAAAGATGACACAGCGATCCACGCAGAAGCACAGGACCCGTCAAACAGTACCCTAACAAAGTCCCAGGCGAGGCTCCTCACCACGCAGGTGGCGCACTTCCTCCGCACCCACTACGAGATCAGCCAGGCCGGCCCAGGCAGGGATGTCGTGCTCACCGTGTCGAGCGGCCAGTCCCGCCTCCCCTGTCTCTTCTTCGGCGTCGTGGCCGCGGGAGGCATCTACGCCGGCGCGAGCCCGTCCTCGACACCGGTGGCACTGGCGAGTCTGGCCAGGGAGGCGGGCCCGGCGAGGCTGCTTGTCTGCAGCTGGGACATGAGGGACGCGGCCGTCTCGGCGGCGGAGCAAGTGGGCATCCCCCTGTACCGTGTCCTCGTGCTCACGTCCTACCCCGAGCTCTCGCTGCAGAGCGCAGATGGCTCCGTCCGGTGTGACTTCACATCGCGGGGGGATGTGCTGCAGTGGACGGCTGTGACGGACCCTGAGGTCCTGGCTTGCACGCCGGTGTGCCTGATCTACTCCTCCGGCACGACGACGGGGGCTCCCAAGGGCGTCCTTCTTTCGCACGCAAACATGGTGGCCGAGGCGTTTCTCCCGTCTTCCATCAACCGCCGCGCCTGGGCGAGCAAACCGCCCCTCAACAACGACGACGCACCGCCCCTGGGACCGGGCTACAGGACACTCGCGCACCTCCCTCCCGCGCATATCTCAGGCGTGCAGGGCTATTTTGTCAACCCCCTCCTAGACGGCGGGATAGTCTACTGGATGCCCACTCCAGCAGCCGGGAATGGTTTCGACATGGCCGCGTTCCTGCGCTACAACGAGGCCCTGGGGATAACCAGCTTCTTCACCGCCCCGCCCATCTACGAGGCCCTCGCCAAGTGCGTCCTGCACAGGCCGGGCCTCGTGGGCGAGCGGACGTTCAAGTCCCTGCGCGTGGCGTACAGCGGCGGCACGCGGCTCCGGCTCGGCGGTGCAGCCGCCGCCGCGGCGCTCCGGGGGCGTATGGGGGACCCCGAGGGCGGGAGGCCGCTGCTCATCAGCCAGACCTTTGGCGCGACCGAGACCACTGGCGCGGCGACGCACACGCCGCCTGACCGGGCGGGCTGGGACACCCTGGGGAGCGTTGGCGAGTTGCTGCCGAACGTGCGGATGCGGCTTGTCGATGGCGGGGGCCGGGACGTGCCTGTCGGGATGCCTGGTGAGGCGTTGCTCAAGGGCCCTGTCATGATGGGGTATCATAAAAATCCTGAGGCGAATGCGGCTGTTTTCACTGAGGATGGGTGGTTCCGGACCGGGGACGTTCTCAGGGTTGTTGATGGTCTTGTTTACCATGTGGACAGGAAGCAGGTATGTCGCCTGGAATTTCCGAATCATTCAGTCCACGAACTACTTTTTCATGTGACGTCTGTTTTTCATTTTGCCCAGTGTCACCTTGACTGACCAAATCACAGGACGTCATCACATACAAAGGGCGGAATGTGTACCCATCTGAGCATGAGAGCATCCTGCTTTCTCACCCAGAAGTGGTGGATGCAGCCGTCATCGGTGTTCCAGAATTAAATCAGGGTCATGGTGACTGCCCCGACGAGGTCCCTCGTGGATTTGTCGTCCTTGCGCCCAATGCTGGTAAGGCGGCGACGACAGTGACGGCGCAAGAGCTGCTACAATTTGCGAACCACAAACTTGGCCATCACAAGGACTTAGAATGGAACATAAAAATTGTTGAAGCTGTCCCGCGCAGCCCGGCTGGGAAAGTATTGCGCCGCGAGCTGAAGAAGATGGCAGGCCTCGTGTGAAAATTGGTCACTCACTGAAGGGGAAAGCTTCATACAAATATAAAGATGGCGAGCTGCGTTGGTCGAAATAAAATAAATACCAATTTCTTAGCGAAGAATCTCCGTGTTCGACCATGAAATGTTCGCCAATCTTCCCATGCGGTAACAGGCTCCTTTGCTAATTGTCCCGTCGATCCTGAGCTGGGCCCGGCCCGTCTCCGGAAGAGCACGTCATGTTGCCCCCGCATAGGGGATGCACTCCGGCAACAAGTGACAACGTCCTCAACTTCCCTGGATTTCCAACACAGCTTACTGACCCTTGTAACATCAGACTGTCATACCGAAAAACCACGATGCTCCGACTCCACTGCTCAGGGACTCCTCGAGAGGCAAGTACAGAGCAGAGTGCCATCCACCTCCCACCAATCTCCGCCATCTAACACCCCTACCCAGATAGGCCGCGCCCACGGCTCGGGCGCAAAGGCCCAGGTCCACGGCTCAGTCGCCTTCTACACGGCCCTGTTCCAGCAGAAGTGCGACCTCGACTGGGCGGCCGTGACGCGCGAGGCGGACAAGTACGTCGCCCGGCTCGGCGTCACAAGCCCGCGCTACCTCGACGAGATACGCGGCATCGCCGACGGCGCGGGCGTCGGGTTCCTGGACGTCCTGGCGCTCAACGTGCGCACCGAGATCATCTTTGGCATCTTCACCGAGGCTGAGGCGGCCAGGGCCAGGGGGCCTGCCAAGGTTGTCAATGGCGTGGACGGTAGCAACGGTGTCGACGGCCAGCACGCGGGGGGCGCCGACTTCCCCAGCGACGGGTGCACAAGCCTCGCCTTCGCCTCCCCGTCTGTCTCCGGCCCGGGAGGCCCGCCGCCGCCGTCCTCCTTCCTCGCGCAGAACTGGGACTGGCAGCCCGCCCAGGCGCCCAACCTCATCGTCATCCACATCTCACAGCCCAACACCACCGAGACCGACGGCATCCCGGACATCGCCATGGTGACCGAGGCCGGCATAATCGGCAAGATAGGCCTCAACGCCGCCGGGGTGGGCGTCTGCCTAAACGCCATCCGCGCGCGCGGGCTAGACAGCGCCCGGCTCCCCGTGCACTTTGCGCTGCGGGCGGTCCTCGAGTCCGCATCGCGCGCCGATGCGCTAGCCACACTGACAAAGCTCGGCGGCGTCGCGGGGAGCGCGCACATCCTCGTCGCGGACCCTGCGGGGAGCGTGGGGCTCGAGTTTGCGGGCGGGGGGGAGAGGATCGGGGAGATCGGGCCGGATGAGAAGGGTCGGGTCGTCCATACCAACCACCTTGTGCTGGAGCACCCTGGGGTCGAGGAGCCGGGGTGGTTGCCCGACTCTGGGGAGAGGCTTGCGCGGATTAGGAAGCTGACGGATGGGGAGGTCCTCGCGGGGAAGTGGGATGTCAAGAGGGTGGTGGAGTTGTTCAAGGACGAGGAGGGGTTCCCTTTTTCTATCAACCGGCTCAGGGTTAAGGAGGGCGAGTCTCAGACGTTGTTCACGATTGTTATGGACTTGGGGAGGAAAGAGGCGCTGGTCAAGGTTGGGAGGCCGACTGGGGATGGGGAGGAGATTCATTTGGGATTTTGAGGTTTGTTATGTATATCGATACATGCTGACATCTTGTTTTGAAAACGCTATGCGCCACCAATGATGAGTCCAGAACACCCAGACCACCAAACACCATGGATGCCTCACTATAACCCTGCCTTGTGCATATTCAAGCCCGTTTATAGAAAAATGCCCCTGCCCATTGACTCTCACCCCTCAGTCCACCGAGGACGCATCGTAATCCACCGTCCGCCTCCTATCGAACCAGTCCCGCCTGACAGGAGTCTCGAGCAGCGGGGAGATGATGGACATGGAGGCGTTGGTGTCGAGCATCCCCGAGTCGATGCACCACTCGAAGAAGGCGTCGCCGGCGTGGTTCATGTACTCGGCCAGGGCCATGGTCTTGTAGACGGTCAGGTAGTTGGGCGTGACGTCCTCGGCCAGCACCTCCTTGAGCGTGATGGACGGGATCTCCCACCAGTCGGGCGTGACGTCGGCGGAGACCAGGCGGCCCAGGAAGGCGAAGTAGTTTACCCAGTGGCCCTCCGGGTCGGACATCTGGACTTCTGGGTCGTCTGGAGTGGACGCGTTAGTCAGTAATCCAAATAAGGACGGGCGGCATGGCCAAGGAGGGGAAGGGGAAGGACTCACAAAGATCGTCCCATGCTGCGATCAGGGCGTCGTCGAGGGTGGGCAGGTCGGTCCACGGGGCGTCGTTTCCCTGTTTCCAAAGTCAGCTCTCACGAGACCAAGTGTCTTCGCACCATTCCTAGAACCATGATGTCGGACGCGCCACTCACCTCCCAGGTGCGCACCTCCATGGGCGGGAGGTGCACGAGCTCCTTGAGCAGCTCGACCAGCTTCTCCTGCGCGGGGTCGTCGTGGGGGATCCTCTTGCCCAGCTCGATGAACATGGTCCACACGTGCAGCAGGTACCCGGACAGGATGCGGTCCTCCATGAACTGGAAGAGCGGGTCGAGGGGCAGGTAGAAGCTCCAGTAGATGTCGTCGATGCGGGCGGCGTACTCGGAGGCCTTGACGGCGCCCACGCCCGGGTTCGTCACGAGGCACTCGTGGAAGGTGGCGCACAGCGACGAGCTCCACAGCGTCCCCGGCTCCTCGGTCAGGCACAGCCAGTGCAGGTACGACTCCCACGGCTTGAGCTCTGGGAGGAGCGGCTTCCTGTCGTGCTGGTGGGCCGCCCTGACGGGGGACTTGACCTCGATGATGGCGTCTTCGGTGGGTGCGCGGAGGCCCTTGACCTTCTTCACCGGCGGTGCCGCCGCTGTGTGCTGGTCGACGGACGATGGTGGCGTGCTGGTGCCTGTTGCTGTTCCCGATGCAGCTCCTGATGCAGTCCCTGATGCTGTGCCTGTGCCGGTGGACATGGACGCCTTGCGCACTCGGTGGCGCTGTGATGTCGGGAGGCGCTCCTTTTGCAGCTTCAAGGGTCCTGGGGACTTGAGCTTGAGAAGCCCGGCATCCGAAGGGGACGGCGGGCCGTGAAAGACTTGGTTGTAACGCATCCTGAAGGAGTGAGAGGATGTGGGTATAGAAGGAGAAAATTAAGCCTGCGAGTTATATCGTGTCCTGCACTTTTTCTTGGCTTCGGAGACTGTCGATGACCGGCAACGACTTCTTTTTATTACCCTGAGTAGCAAGCACACACGTACACACACGCACAAGAGACCAGCTGACTTGTGCCTTGGGGAGGGGAAAAGGAGCGCAGGGTGTGTGTGTACGAGTCGGTCCCGAGATGCATGTGGGAAAGCAGGAGAGCGGCACTCGCAAGGTCTTAAATGGCAACACCAAGACTGTTTCGAAGGGGAAAATCGGGGCAGAAAAGAAACCTGAGGGAGATCTGAAGAGAGAGAAACCCACAACGTTCTAGGCAACACTGCCCCCCGGACGACGCGCTACCGACGACGGCCACACGACCAAGCGACCCGAGTAGTCTGCTGCGTCTGCCGCCAGCGGAGGGCGCGCATACTGGGGTGGGTGCTGGGTATGTAAGCACGAGCGGGCAACCTGTTGCTTGTTTGGCAGCAGCATCGGGCGAGGCACTCGCCTCTGGTGCGCCCGAGGACGTGTTCGAGGGTGGGCCGGCGAGCCGCGGGCCCGGGCCTCGACTGGGGGGCGGCGCCCAATCCGCGCCGGAGGCTGGCGGGAGTCGAGTGTTTGATTTGCAGGAAGAGACGGCGCAGGGCGGCCGAGAAAGTCGGCTACCGCCTCCTGTCGCGGCCCGGTTGGGGGCCGGAAGCGTCCGCTAGAACTGCGCTCAGCCAGTGTTTCTGCTACGCGGGCATTGTAGATCCGGCCTATAACCAGATCGTGCTGTAACTCGTGTCTCACCGTGGAAGTTGCTGGTTGATGTTGTTTTGGCGATCAGGCCGCGTAATGGACTGCAGTGGCTATGGACAGACTGCTTGTGCTTTTGGGCTCACCATAGCCATTGATGGACTCCATTGACGTCATCGGGGTTCTCAACCCTGACCCTGACAGTCTCGCCCCTGTGGGGGTACGGACGGTTGTAAGCAACCCCAATCATCAAGTGCCACAAGAGAGAGAGAGAGAGAGAGAGACAAACGGAGTCTGTTCAGATGACTTTTCCAATGATGCCTCGGAGAAACGCGCAAATCAATGGATATCAAACCAAGCGACACGTCTTTCCTCACCGACATTTCAGCAGAGCCAAGTGCCAGTGGTGGGTGGCCGCGACCGAGACGGTACCTGTGTACATTCCATCCCATCCTCATCCTTCGAATCCAAAAACACGCACCAACCTACAGGACATGACACTCTTGGTATGCACGTTGCATCCTCCCGATAAGCTTAAAACTATAAATGCCGCCCCCGTGATCGATGGTGCATCGGCACTGCCGAGAATAAGTCACGGGTCTTGTCGCGTTGATCACCGCATGCACCTGCAATCCGTACTGTGCCCCTATGCAACGCAACCATTGACTTTCACATGGTGAGTTAGGCCAGGGTCGATCTCGACTGACTGTTGGTTCACACCATCTTGAAGGGCACCATCTTTGATGTTTTCATTTTGTAGATACATAGGCATCCATTTTCCAGGCCAAAATGACATGTCATTTACAAGTGGTATAGTTGCACTCCATGTGAATTCATCAGGAGTCGTCACTGTTGGAGGTGCCGTTCTTTGATCAATCAAGTGTTGGTCGAAGGATCCTGGCATCTTGTATCGTCGGTTTCATCGTAGAGGGCCCAGAATCACTTCCGGGAAGAATAAGACAGCTAGTTATGCACAGCCGAACTCGGAAGTCTTGTCAAAAGAGCCATTGGTCTGACTGCCATGCCCATGAGAGCAACGCGAACTGGCGGATCAGAGCAAATAGCTGCCCTGGAGTTGTCCGGGCGTAAGAAAAGGTCGTCGACATGTCAACACATCAAGGCCCGACACACAAGCACATTCACCACTCCGCCCCCAAACCATCGTCCCTGGGCGTCAACTTATAGCAGTGATGATAAATATCCGGATCCGTCTCCTTCAGCTTCCGCGTCGGGATCCTCGCGATCTCCTCGTACCGGAACGGCAGCCCGTCGACATCAAACCGCCACCGCGAGTAGCTAAGCGAGACCCAGAACCCGCCGGGGGCGAGGCACCGCCTGACGGCGCGGCACATGCTCAGCAGCGCCTCCTCGCCGCCGCACGAAACGGCGTCGACGGTGCTCTTGTCGACGACAAAGTCGAACTTCTTTTCTCTGCGCCCCTGCATCTCCCCCGCGCCGCCGTCCGCCAGACCCAGGTCCACGTCCAGCCTCGTCGCGTCCGCCACCGCGTACCCCATCCTCACGCCGCCGAACGCCGCCTCCTCGAGCTGCCTCCCGCGCTCGACCGCCAGCGGCTCGTAGTCGACGTTGAGCACATGACAGAACCCGGCGGCGCGCAGGTGGTTCTGCAGGTCGCTGGTGCCGAAGCCGACGTGCAGGACGCGCGAGGAGGCGCGGTTTAGTCTCTGCGAGAAGTCCGGATCTGCCTCGAGGATGCGCATGAACTCTTCTGATGTCGCCAGCCACTCGAAGTTGGTCTCGGTGGCGAAGCGGGCGTGCCAGTATTCTTGCTTGTCAAAGTCAGTTGGCATGGTCTTGGTGGATGTGAGGGGAGGTATGAAGGGGAAGGGGTGGGAGAATGTAAGCTCCGGTGAGGGGATCGTGACGGAATACATATGCGTGCTTCAAATGCAATGTGTTAATTGTGTCTGGCGGTGCACTTACCAGGGCGGGTTTGGCTTGAATTGTTATCATACTGTATCTGACAAGAAAATTTTGAATTAGTCACTCTAACTCAGGGGCCACTTTTTTAGGCTGGCAGAGAAAAGGGGAAACCTGGCTTACTTGGACAAGACCCGGATATCAGCCCAGATATGAGTAATGAACACCATCCAAGTCCAGATGTGTGAAGAGCAGCAATTATCACGACAGAAAACACTTAGGAACATCAGATCACTCGTTGGCACATCCAAAAGTAGTGGCTGGAATCGATGCATATTCCAAGGAAAAAGTCTATCTTAAAAACCCATCGTAAATAGTATGCACATGAATATGTTTTGGTGTCCCCCAAAAATCTCGTTCATATCCCGAGCGTCAAAATCGCGTAAAGAGTCCGCGTTACATTAAAAACCAAGCGCTATGCAGTTTTGTTTGCCCAAGTCCGTAGATCGAGCATTTCCCCCGGTCCAAGTCTGCCCCGATCGCTTAACTTAAGCAGTCGAGTTGGAGGCGGCCGTGAAGGTGTAGGTGCAGGGGTTGGGCTCCGTGGCGACGGTGGCACGGGCAGCGATGCCGGTGCAGTTCTGGTTGTAGCCGGGCGTGGCGAAACCCGCGCTGACCCAGACGTAGTAGGCGCCGGCGATGCTGGAGGGGCACGCGATCAGGCTGGCGCCGTCGAAGGTGAGGTCGTTGTACTGGTCGAGCACCCAGCCCTTGGTCTCGCTGTTGCGGCCGGGCAGGTAGCCGCCGGGCTGGGTCGAGTACTGCAGGACGCCCTGGCCCATGCCGGAGCGGTCGGTGTAGAGCTTCTGCTCGACGGTGTCGGGGGTGTAGAGGAGCAGCTCGCCCTGGCTCAGGGTGAAGGTGGCGTAGTTCTGCTCGCCGTTGAGGCAGGTGGCGCCCTGCTCGGGTGCGTTGAGGGACAGGCCGCCCCGCAAGGCCGAGAAGGAGGCGTACTGCAGGTTTGAGCCGGAGCGGAGCGAGACCAGGTTGAAGGGGGTGCCGTCGGGGATGGTGCCGTTCTGGCGGGCGACCAGAGAGGGCGCGGCGGAGGCGGAAGCCACAATGGCGGCGGCGGAGAGGACCTGGAACTTCATTTTGAATGTGGTTGGGTGGTTGGTTGGTTGTTGTTGCAAAAGCGACAGTGAAGCACGTAGGCTATTAGAGTTGGTTGGTATGAGAGGTGAGTGAGAGTGAGAGTGAGAGATTGGATTGGTGGTGATGGATGATAAGTTTCGATCGACAACGACGGACGGAAACAGACGAACTCTTATATGCCAATCTGTTTATTCTCGATCTCGCAGCGAGTGGCTGGTTGGCCGGTGGGCTGGACATGCATGTGCGCATCAAGGTGAGGGAGGGAGCCCCTGAGCAAGCAGGGCGGGCGGCCTTGCATCTCGCACTTCGCCTGACATCACGGTGGCGATCAGTGGGCATCCACTGACAAACACGTTCTTCTATGGAGCGCAACGTTGTGGCTAGGCACGAACACGAGCCAGGCACAACAACAGACGAACCAAAATTGACTGGGCGGAGCTCAACACTGGCCAAGCAGGATGGAGACTGGACAAACCCCAGCACGGCTTGTCAGGCACTGTGGGCTCGGCACTGGCACCCTTGGGCCTCCCGTGGCGATCCCCGGACACTTTTATTAGAAAGAAGGGAAAGAATGAGCACTGTGACGATGCTCCGATGGCCCCAGTGCTCAACATGCGGGTGTCTCGGCTTGATGAGCGTGACAGCGGCTCGCAGCTGCAGAACCGGTCATATTCCCTGGAAGTCGGCAGTGTTTCCCTTGGAGGGCAAGGGAGCAGCAGAATAACAGGGGGAAAAAAGCAGGGGAGACCGCCCAAGGTGCTAGTCATTGAGATTGTGATGTGTCCCCAGTAAAACCTTGTCCAATATGCATATTCTGGACAAACATTCCCACCGCATTCCCACTGTCCCACCGCTCTGCACGCCCTGCAAGCCCTGCACGCCCCAACCTTCTCCTTTCCAGGCCAGCTTGGTTCTCCCATCGCGCAAATCCGCATTAGCCAATGGGGGCACGACCTCGGCAGGGCGGCCCAGTCCGGACCCGGTTTTCCTCGCCACGTCTCGGTCGAGTCAGGTCTGCACCTAGGGCTGTGCTTTGCCGATCGGCAGTGCTCGAAATAGCAGCCCGCCTCCCGCCCAGCCGCTGCTGCACTGCTGCACGAGAAAACAGCCCCAGAGGCTTTTTCTGGTGACTTCTCGGGCCTCGCAGGGCAGAACCGGCCCGGCCACCTCCTTGGTTCGATGCAACGAAGCATTGTGTGAGCCGCGGTTGGTCGTCCACTCTAGGAAAATCTTGGGCCGAGCAGACGATCTTTCGTATCGGAGGCAAAAAGTAACGTGCTTTACCATCATGGACAAAGTGCGTCCGTTACGCTGGACGGTGCCTGAGCCATGACGTTCCTGGTGGCTCAGCGCTCCGATCACCTTTGCCATAGCACGTGACCGGGGTAAGATACGAGAGCGCATCATGCATGACAACATCCCAACAATACACGGAGCTGAGATGCTGTGCAAAAGCCTCTCGGGCCCGGGTTGTTGAATGCCGCTCGGCGCTGAAAATACTCACGATACCATGGCCGACATGGATGCAAACGTCTAGCTGACCTCAGCATGGGTATCGGACGGCATTGCATCAATAATGGCGGCATCTAGGCTTATCACAGAAATAGAATGTTTCAGCCCTTCATTACAGTTGCTGGCTGTGATCCGTAACCTTACTCGACATCAAGATCCACAGTCAAGGCTTAGATGGCTATTCGGACGAGTTTTTGGCTTGGAGTCTTGGACAAGCACATGTCGTAGTTTCAGATTAACTCGCACAAGAACGTTACCTGATGATCAAAGGCGGGTACGTGATGGGAAATCGATCCACTTCCTCAGCTGTCGTTCTGAATCAATCACTGGTTCTAAAAATACCAATCTTGCCTGTCGCAGTCCAAGTAACTAGCATGCGTGATCAGTCTCAAGTCATAGCATCTTGAGATCACCGTCTTGACTCTTGAACAATTCCAAACCACGAACATTTCTGTGTATCAGTGCCACAAATGTCAGGGCTCTCCGAATCTCGATACTGCAAGTGTCTGTTGCTGCCTGAGGCAGCCTATATTGTTGATGTCCAGACAACTCCACCTTCAACCGCAACCCAACGCCCCATAATACCCACTCATTTCGACGACTAAGACCCACAGGTTCGGGGTTCTAGGAGACAAGCATGCCCCTATTTACTTCGTGGGCCAGTGGACTCTAAAGCAACCCACAGTAGATAGGCTTCTCCCACCCCTGGGCAGAACCAACAAACCTGTTGGCAACTTGGCATTCTGCCCTGGTTGATAACTCAAAATTTCGCCATCCACTTGCTGATGCCAAAGCTCTACTTGGAGAATTTAATCACTCAAGTTTCCGGTCCAGCCAACGCAGAATATCACCGAGATGAGCACGCGCCGCGCTCAATCTCCGATTTACTTCTCAACAGGCCTTGAGCCGGCGGACTGAGGCATTTGTTGAACCTGAGATGCTTGCAGCCCGCCGATCGATCATAACAAACCCAATCCAACCCAGCACGGAGGTGCCCCGGAGATCCTGGAGCCAAGACCCCCCGCTGGGCCGAGCTCCGCGGACGGACCGCCGTGCAGACCCCCCCGATCTTCCCGGGTTCGGGGACTCCTTCCTGGCGCGGCAGTAGCGTCTGCGGATCGCTTCCCGATGAGCTGATTCTTACCCTGCCCAGATGCTCGTTCTTTGGTGGAACCGTACTCGTGGAATCCCTCACTGGACGGTGAAAGATATCTCCGACACTGTTGGGGGCTTCCATGCGTCTTGTGGTAAGGTGTAGCCTGGTTGATACAGAATGGGAATTGACTTGCCCTGAGAAAGCATGTTTTCCAGCTAGTCTTTGCACTTTTGTTTCTGTCAGTTTTCTGAGCCAACCCTCTTTGCTGCCGGTTGCTTGTTTCTGTCAGCTTCTACTTCGCACAGCCATTGCCCTCTCATGGACCACTCTTACTTGACCACAGAGAGAAAATGGCTGCACCCACACCCACTGGGCGTGGATGGATGATTGTCTGGCCAACGTACAACTGCATCCACTAGACTGCCCCTTATCGTGCTCAGAATTTGACCCATACAACGTGGCGGGCTCCTCGCCGACACAGATAGGGGCTTCGTGAGGCTCTGTACCTGCACCCTCTTTAGGAAAACAATTCAGGAGTTCATGTTTGCGCGAGAAATGACACTAGACAAAGACGTTTCAATCGCACCCGAGTCTCGCCGAACCCCTTGTCGCTTTTGAAAAGTGTGTCCCAACTAAAAGCTTACCCAATATACTCTATTCTGTTCGACTCAAAGTTGGAGCTGCCCACCATCGCGAATCAAGAGACTAGTCTTGAATGATGAGAATGGCATATTCAATGATTGATCTCAGACTGCTTGAAGCCCGGCAACCTCCTCGTGGATTCCATCGGCAAGGAATGTGCGGGGGACCTCGGCGAGCTGAGGTGATACACGAGCAATCGATTCAAGTAGTACAGTTAAATCAATCAAGTCAAGTTCAAGTAGGTTGGGGCTCGTGAGGAAGCAAGCAAGTCAAATTGAAGAGCCCAAGACTCAATGACTTGGCGGCAGCGCTGATTTGCGGTAGCCATGACGACGCCTGTACAAATAAATGCAAAGTAAAACATGCATTCTGGGGAATTGAAGATGCTCTACACCGCATGTGAGGGCAGACGCCAAGTTGACGCGAAGTTTCTCATCATCATCTAAGGGGTAATTACAATCTCACCATGCCCGATCATCTCCCCGGCCGCATCCAACGCCTGCTTCCACTGGTCCAGCCCGAAATTTCTCACGGGCCCCATCCCAGCCCTCTGTCCCAGCGGCAGAAGCCCAGTCTCAACCAATCTGAGAAGCTTTCGCGTCTGCGCCCTAGTGCACATCCAGGTCCCCTTGATCGTCAAAGCCCTGGCGAGGATGTCCATATAGCCAAAGCTGACCCCATCAAGCACACTGCCCACGATGCACACGCGCGCACCGTGCTTCAACACATGGAGACAAGTCGTAAAGTGCGTCGATGCCCCAGCCGCGGCGGGAGACATGTCCCAGAACGCATCCACGCCAGCGGGGACCGGCCGTCCTGCGCAGGGCCTCCGTGTCCTCGTCCGCATCGCCTGTGATCCGGACAGTGCTCAGACACTCCGGGTGGATAGTGGCCAACTGCTCGAGGACACCCGCATTGCGGCCGATGGCGATGACGCGGGCCCCCAACGCCAGCGCGGAATGCACGGCGCCACTCCCGTACCGGCCAGTGGCCGGCGCGATGATAACAGTCTCCCCGGCCTTGATGTCTATACCTTCAAGGCCGCCAAACGGGATAAGCAAGCTGAATAAATATGTTCGTCCAGTGTGTACCCCAACCCGTTATCTTTCGGGTCACCGAGCAGTCGCTTCTCGTCCAGCGGATAACAGTTCTCGAGGGGCAACTTGGCGTACTCCCCAAGAGTCGAGTCCCTCCATTCCCCGCGGGAGAGCTTCTTGCTCCCTTCGTTAGAGACCTCCATGAACCCGCTGACGTATTTCGTGCCAGGGTCATCACGGCCGATAATATACGGATGGAAGAAAACAAGTTGCCCAGGTTTAAGGCGTGTGGCCATCCGGCCCGAACTCCCTCACCCGGCCGAGGGAGATGCAAACCGGCACAAGGGGGATAGGCAGTGGGTGGCCACCCTTTGGGTTCTGAAAAACTTCAGGGGTATTGGATCGAATGGATATGGAGATGATCTGGACAACGACGCTTCCGGGGCCAGCCCTTTGCGTGGGTCGGATTTCCAGCTCCAATGGTTTTCCAAGCTCGGGAAGAGCCAGAACACCATGCTGAGAGAGAATTCGGTAAGCTTGATTACAGATGATACTTCGAGTGGCCGCGGATCCTTGACTTCCGGTAGAATTGGAATGCTGTGAGCAGAAGTCATGTTGATAGTGGGTGATTTGATATAATCGAAGCAAAGAAGTGAGAAAAGCAGGCAACTAAATTAATTGGTAGGAACTCGACCAAAGAAACATGGCGTCGTTATATATTCGGGAGAATAGTTGGCCAGCAAGTGGGAATCGTCGTGTTTCTTGTCATGCATCCCGCCTCAGTCACTCGTGCCGGGGTATATTGAGCCTTCCCAGCATCAACGTCACTCCCCGGTAGCATCGCATGCTTGGCCGGGCAGACTACCATTCTGGCCGTGATCAGATCAGCCGCATGCTCTTCGCAGGTGCCCGAAGCCGCGAACCGGCCATCGTTCGTCCACTGCCAGGTCTCGGTGTACTTGTGGAATGGAAGACCGCCCACCACCTGTGGGGGCGGGTCCGGAAGTCCTCCATTCGTAACCACTCGAACTACAAAACAAGTACCTGTGGCGTCTTCATTACTACGCAGCACGTAGGTCTTCCTGGGTTTACCAGGCGGTTGAAAGTAACCCCCGTGCATCACAACCTCAGTTCCCCCTTGAAGCCATTGCCCCTCGATTCAGTCCTTCTGTCACTGGTCCCCAACACCTGACTTTTCCACGAGCACAGCCCTCGGGCAACGTCGTGGAAGGAGACACCCTCTCGGCTAAACCACTTTGCGTGCGCGCTCCATCAACATGCCCACCTGTAACTGTTGCCGGACAGAACTGCTGATGATTGGTGCTTTGACACGCCATGTCGACAAATGAGGATGCAGTAGACTTCTGTACTTTCGTTAATGACTCCAAGATCAAAATCATCTTGAACATAAAAAGCCGCCCTGGTTCTAGCATTTTGACAGCTCCAAGTCAACGAAGGTTTGCTTATATCAAGTAGATTGGAGTAACGAGCATGAAGATGAAGCAGAACTGATGAGTCATGTTCGTCCAACCGTCCCAGTTGGTAGACAATCTCCCATTGGCTCCAGCAGACCGGTAACGTTTGAAGTGGCAACGATGACCCTCTTTCCACGGGATCGCCCTTCCGACTTCTCTCAGGGTCCACATTACATACATCGGATACTGGGCGAGGTCTGCTGACGACTCGGCCTCTGGAACAGAGAGACGAACAATTTGCCGGGCTAGCCTCGTCATTCCCGTGCTCCGCAGCACGACAGACTCAGTATTATGTGGGTTAAGGAGTCGCCCACTTGGAGATCTTGTGTCAAGTATCAAGCATGGCCACAGAGACCGCTGTTTTGATACGAGCGGCCATGCGTTTAACTTTTGCAGGTCAAACACGTGTACAGTGCAGCCAACATCGGCGATTGAGAGTCACGGGCGCAACCCATCGAGGACTGTCAACCTGCCACTCTCGGTAATACCAGCCCTAACCCATAGCGGGCTTGGCCCAGGTCGCCAGAACCTCGATAAAACGATAAACTCACTATATGGTTTGGTGGGTCTTGTCACCTATTGGTCCGAGGAAATTCTCGTCGTATTAATTCAGCGCCCCTTTCGGCTCCCTTTCCACTATCAGTTGACGGCATGACACTTGTATTTTAGGCTTCCGGGGCCACCTGTCAAACTCACCGTCCTAGGACCCTTTCTGGATTAGGAGTCGCATGATCTTCCTCTTAGCAGCACAATGGGCCCTGGCAATTCGTGGTCGAGATCTGTCTGATTGCGTCTTGCTCCCGATCTTTCCGAAGTACCTAGTGGCGCAGGTCGACACTAACGTTTATCCGCGCGGAACGTGCAATTTAGGCAAGTCGTTTCAAGCTTATCGCTGGGTGAAGAGTTGATAGGTGAGGTTTCTGGACTGGCGGGAGGGATTCGAGGCGCCTCCTTACCTTCATATATGGCGTCGTTCCCGGGCCTGGTGTCGGCATGCAGATTCGTCAAATTCGCGATTATCGCTCGAGATGGTATCATGGGCGGAATGCGGGGTCCCACCACAGGAACATGAGAGAGCAGCAGCAAAGGACCGTCGAGAACCCACCGTTCGGATATGCACAACACGGTGACCCTGGAACTCTGTTCTGGTCCTCGGTGTGCATCTTTCCAGGACAGGACAGCCAGTCCAGCCCTCGAGACTACCAGCCTCATCCCATCTGTCGCGTGTTTCCTTCCCGCCCGAACACACTTCCCGGCGACACAGTGGAGCAACCAACAAGGAATGGACTTGGCACCGCGCACTCAAGTAATAATAACAACAACAGCAGCAAGAGCAACAATAACCTGACTCCAACCATGATCATGGAGCAATACGTCACAACATTCAGCGCCACAGGCCGCCAGCCAAAAGAGACATGTAAGCAGTGCCGCTTCCGCAAGGTGCGCTGCGACGGGAAACGAGGAGATAAGGGCTGCGGCGACTGCGACAGGCTCAAGTTTTCCTGTTCATTTGTCACACCCTTGCCCCCACCGACGCCGACGTCGACGACAACAACAGAGGGCGAGCCCTCGGACCACCCCAGCCCGACGTCTGACAGGCCCGTGGAGCGGCGGAGGACCAGCAAGGCATGCATCGCCTGCCGGCAGCACAAGGTCCGCTGCTCAGGGGGCACGCCGTGTCTGGCGTGCAAGAAGAGAGTAGTCACCTGTGTTTATGGGACAGATGGCAGACGGAGAAGTAGTCGTGCCACCACAGGGGCAGGGAGCACGGCCGGGACGCCTACGGAGTCGGTATTTCCACCCATGGCCGAGAGCACGACCAGCACTGAAGACACGTGGAATGCATCACCAACACCGACGACGCCCGGCACAACGAGCCTCGAGCCAGCAACAGTCTCGGTCTCCCAGCCTCCCCAAGTGCCAGCACTACTGCCTCCTGATATTCAGGCACTCGTGGAATTTTACTTTGCTCACGTCTATCCCCTATCCTCATACGCCTTCCTCCACCCGCAGACCACCATCCGCCAGTGCAGCAACGGCCAGCTGGAGAACAGCCTGTCGCACGCCATCGCCGCAGTCGCCAGCTACCACCAGGGCTCCTCCTCACAACGCAGAGAACAGGCCGAGCTGTCGTGGGCGCAGGCGGCCGAGGACCTGATCTGGAAGAACCTCGAGTCGCCGTCCGTGTCGCGCCTGCAGGCGCTGCTGCTGGTGATCCTCTACAGGGTCGAGACGGGCGCGTTCCAGCGGGCCTTCATGCTCTCGGCCCTGGCCGCCCGCGCCGCCGCCGCGATGAGGCTTAACCACGAGCGTGACGGGTCGACGGGAAACAAGACCTTACACGAGGTCAGGAGGCGCGTCATGTGGAGCCTGAAGCTGGTCGAGCGCTACTTCTCGACGGGGCTGCCGGAATTCGAGCTCTGCCCCGTGGAGAGCGTCTACCTGGAGCTGCCGTGCTGGGAGCAGGAGTTCAGCGACACGCGGGCCGGCGGCAGCGCGGAGCGGACCATCCAGTCCTGCGATTTCGGCTCATATCACCTATGCGTGCGCCTGGAGATGCTACGCCGCGACCTCATGAAACTCAACCGGTCCCTGTCCCTCTGCGACACGACCTTCCCCCAGCTGGCGACGGTCATGCACGACTTCGAGCAGCACCTGACACGCATCGAGGCCGAGCTCCCGGGCGGGCCGGCCCTCACCGTGGAGCGCATCTCGTCGCTCCTCGACAGCCCCTGGCTGCCGCGCCAGATCCTCGTCCACCTGTCCTTCCACCACTCCCAGTGCGACCTGTACCGCCTCCTCGTGCGCAACTACCGCGAGGCCGCGCCCGCCGCGGTCCTGGACGCCGTCGACCCGGCCCTCCTGGCGAGGGCCGAGCAGCTCTGCCTGCAGCACGCGACCGCCACCGTCGACATCCTCGCCACGCTCAACCAGGTCAGCCAGAAGGCCCAGCGCCTCGAGTTCGACGCCGCCATCTGCGGGTACCACGCGACGAGGCTGCTCCTCTTCATCGCCGCGCAGTCGCCGCCATCCCCAACAAAGCCCTCGGAGGAGTGGGCCCTCAGCCGCGCGGAGCTGTGCCTCGCGTCCCTGCGCCGCTTCTTCCCCTCCAGCCGCCGAGCCCGCCCCGTCATCGAGGAGATGAAGAGGGCAATATCGGTTTTTTCCACCAGGGGACAGGCCTCCTCCCCCGCCCCGAGCAGGCTCGCGAGCCCCGGCCCGGCCCCGGCCAGCGGCAAGAAGGACTCGGCCGCGGGCCTGAGCGCCGCCGCGAGGGTGCGCCAGAGGCTGGCTATCCACAGCCTGCTGCGGCAGGCGGACTTTGCAGACGGCGACGAGCAGCCCTCGTCGCCCGAGGACACCGGGCGCGGGAGCTTGGGCAGCGGTGGTGGTAATGCGACGACGGCGGCAGCGGCCAAGGCGCCCAGCCCGCGGCTGCCTGGGATAGCGGCGCTGGAGATGCCGCGGGTGCCGCCGTCGACGGGGTTCATCCTCTCCCCGAGGCGGACGTCGTCGTCGTCGCCGTCCGAGAGGGGGGTGGAGGCGGAGCCGTGGCAGTCGGGCTGGCTCGAGGGGGGGTTCTCGGCCGATCGGTGGGACTCGCAGAAGATCCAGCAGGCTGGCGCTGGCGGCGGCGGTGGTGGGCCGCCGAGCTTCTCGTTCCCGTGGCTTCAGAGGTGGGAGGGGGCGAATGCTGTTGCTGGGGAGATGATGGGATAAACGGTGGGCATTGGATGGGATGGTATTGGGACGGTTGCATTGGTAGACATCACAGGTCTCAGGCGTTGTGGGTTTACGGCATGTCTTTTATTGGTCGGGCTCTATGATACCACTGCATTATTGTTAGATTCCTAAAGTAATAAACGTGTTTTTCACATGTCCTCCTGTCGCAAATCAAGAACTGTCTCTTGAACGTGAAGCTGCCAACAATGGTCTCCTGCCACTGCCTCGACATTATCTCATGGTGTAGTAACTCAGGCCTATCTCTAGATCACTTGCCGGCCACAACCCAGGACACGTCACAGCGGGCGCCGAGCCAATTCAGTCAACAACCCCAAATCGCACACCATCTCGGCCAAGACCCAAAAGGAAACGCTGCCGAGCCGAACATCCCCCTGATCTACCCATGCAGTATCTCCCGTGAATGATTCGGACAACCCTTGGCGCCATGCTAGCTAAAAGCACACCACCGACCGAGCCAGGGATAGAGCACTACTGGAAGCTGACTGACTGACTTACTGACTGCTTCCCTGACTAAATTGCTGGCAGCCTGGTTCTGCCAGCCAGCCATGCATACATCTTATCTGGTAGGTAAGCAGGCAGCTGACGGGCCTCCGTCCCTCCGCCCTTCCTGACCTGGGATGCTCCAGCCGCAGCAGATCGCGTCCAAGCTGCATATTGTGCGTCGCACCGGACATCCGGGCGCAATTTCCCTGACTGGGCCTGATAAGCTTTTTTTTGCATACATGTACATTACGTATAAATGCATATATGCATATGCAAAGGCAAGGGACACCACGACCCCCCACGTCAGGGCCCGCGTTCGTCATCTGGCGGGTCGATCACGAATCTGCGGGCCGTCCACTTGGGACCCATGCTCGGAAATGCGGTGTCGGGAGTCGGTGGTGTGCCCGGTCTTGGTGTGTGGGCTAGTGGCTTGGGGTTGATAGCACACTCTTACCATCTGGTGACTTACTTTCTGTGGAGAGTTTTTTATTCGTGGATGAGAAAATGCGGGTTATCTATCGAGGAACGCTTCAAGATAAGATCGAGCTCCGTGAGACAGGTCGTTATCAGTGTAAACCAAGCGTGGTGATTTGTATTGATAGACTGGCTCTGTACACATGCTCATGGTAGCGGAATAACTTTCCTACTAAGTAGCTACGAATACAGTTAATCAATTTCTACAGCCGTGCATAATTTCATCGGGCCTGTAGCACTTTACCTGGATTGACGGAATTTGTTCACTCTTGATGAGCACGTTACCTGAAATCATGGCGAGGTAATTTGAAAGCGCACTGTAGAGCTGGTAGAATTTTGTCGTTTCATGTGGGATACAGATGGAAAGACAGCGCTGCCGTTGCTCATTACCACTGAACATCTATGTGCAGCGTCGAGTTGGCAAGGAATGACTCCTCAACAGTGCTGCTCTCATGCACAGGCTCGTCACCAATCTCCGCCATCTTCCGTTCCAGTAACAACGTCATCCGCCTGACCACGTCGCCATACTGTGGTTCACTATAAACATTGAATAATTCCAGAGGGTCCTCTTTGCAGTCAAACAGTTCCCACTCCTTTTCTTCCTCGCCCTCGTTGGGCGGGCGCGCGCCAGGCACTCCCAGGTCCTGATTGTACCAGTAGATCAACTTATACCTCTGGTCCCTGACCCCATAATGTGCCCTCGCCGCGTGGATGCTGTCATTATTCATCCAGTATCGATGGTACGCGACCTGTTGCCAATCATCAGGCGTCTTCCCATGCAAAAGCCTTTTGAACGACACCCCCTGCATGTAGCTCGGCACCTTCAGCCGCGCAAAGTCGAGGAACAGCGGTGCAAAGTCGACATTACTGACGATGTCGTCGCACACGCTCCCGGCCTTGATCCCAGCAGGGTACCGGATCAAAAACGGCATCTGGAACGACTCCTCATACATGAACCGCTTGTCGAACCACCCGTGCTCGCCGAGGAAGAAGCCCTGATCGGACGTGTAAACAACAACCGTGTTTTTGTCCAGCTCCCCGCCCTCTTCTGTCTTCAGGTAGTCCAGGATCTCCCCCACGCTGTCGTCGATGGACTGGATCGTCCGCAGGTACCGCCGCATGTACCGCTGGTACTTGAACTCGGCCAGCTCCGCCTCGTCCGCGAACCGGAACACCGTCCCGTCCTCGACGTCGACCAGCTTGAAGTCCTTCAGCGCCTCGCCCGTCGGCGCGGGCACCTTGCGCTGCGAGAACCCCAGCGCCGAGAACACCCTCTCCCCTTTGTCCCGCCCGCCGTCCGGCTGCGCGAGCCCGAGGTCAAAGTACGTCATGTCCTCGGCGACGCGCATCTTGGCTGCCGCGGCGGCCCTCGCGCGGTGCTTGTAGTCGTCCGTGAAGGTGTCCGGGACCTTTATCTTGTCGCGGTACAGGTGCTTGTGCTTGTCGTGGCACTCCCAGCTGCGGTGCGGGGCCTTGTGGTGGCACATGACGAAGAAGGGCCGCGACTTGTCCCGCGCCTTGATAAAACCAAGCGTCTTCTCCGTGATGATGTCCGTCGCGTAGCCGGTGAGGTCGTGCGGCCCGTCCGCGTCGATGAAGCGCGGGTCCCAGTAGTCGCCCTGGCCCGGGAGGACGCTCCAGTAGTCGAACCCGCTGGGCTCGTGGGCCGCGCCCTCGCCCAGGTGCCACTTGCCCACCATGGCGGTCTGGTACCCGCCCGTGCGGAGGTGCTTGGCCACGTTGGGGAGGTGCTTGTTGAGCTTGGAGTCGAGCGTCATGACCCCGTTGACGTGGTTGTGCGTCCCCGTGAGGATCGCGGCGCGGGAGGGCGTGCAGATGCTGTTGGTGACGTAGCAGTGGTTCAACTTCATGCCCTCGGTTGCCAGCCGGTCGATGTTTGGCGTGTGGTTGATGCCTGCGCCGTAGGCTGATATGGCTTTCGATGCGTGATCGTCAGCCATGACAAAGATTATGTTGGGTCGTGATGGAGTCATGTTGGATGGTAATTAAGGTTCTTGGCAGAGAGTGTGCTTGGTGGGCTTTGGCTCGACCGAGACGGTTCATAAGTCCTGTACTCAAGCTGGGCTGGCTTCCTTTTTGTGTTGCCGATTGGTGATACCGTTTCCGTGTACAGCATTCAATAATAATGAGGGGTTGTGTCCGGCTTGCATGCGTTGTGGACCCCTTTTCCTTTAATGGCATCCCACCGAGTTCCGAAGCGTGCGGCCTGCATCATGAAGGTGCATGATCTCCACTTTGACCGACATTCTCGGCGTTGCAGCACAAAGAGCTGCCTCGTTAAGTCTATCGGCTAGGAGCCCTGGAGGGTGGGAATGCTTAGAAGTCGGCCCCATCTCAAAACCCTGCAACCTTCGCAAAAGTATCACTCAGCCCCTGACCTGGTCATATCCCGGAATTTTTCACCCGAGTCCAAAATCTCGATCTCAACTTCGTAGTCGTCGTGGACCACAGCCAGCTAGTGGTGGAAGCCTTGTATGCGTAACACCCACCTACTCCTATCCCACTTCGACAACACACATGCAGTTCGACATATAATACACCATCGGCGGCCAAAACATTTAAACAACCTCGCTGCTCAGATCGATAGCGCTAATCAAGGAGGCCACTTTGCAGACTATTCAGTGGAATCCACGACGTGACGGATTACGTGACGGCACGGCTATAGTTGCGTATAGCAATCTGGTCCAGAATGTCTTGATCTGTAATTTTGTGCCTTTTGGTAGGGACATGCGGCGGTTGCTAAAGTTCAACGGTCATGCGCTGTGACAGACCATCAAAGTAGACGCCCGAATGAGTATCTCTCTGCGCTTGAACGCGTTCGACTTCGACGTGCCTCATTTTCTAAGTAGCCTCTACTTTGCGTACGTAAGTCGCACAGGAACCCCGTCCCTCGGCTGCATTGTGAACGTGATCGTCTTTCTTGGCTCATCTTCCCCACCAAGCCACTCGATCTTCTCAAACCTCTGGAGCATTCGCACAATCAAGTAGCCCGCCTCGGTCAGAGCGTATTGCTCTGTTTAGCAGGTTAGTAATCACATACAGCAAGTGAGTGATAACGACCCGCTTCGGATTTCAGGGGAGACTCACGCCCGAGGCAGATTCGAGGTCCGCCGCTAAACGGTACAAAGTTCCAGTCCATCTTCTTCTTCTCCCACCGTTCCGGCTTGAACTCATCAGCATCCGGGCCCCACAGGTCCTTGCGCCTGTGCAGTAAGTGCAGCACGAAGCTGACAGTCTTGCCCTTGGGGACGAAGATGGGCGCCTTGCCGTCCGGCCCTCCCCCGCGGGGGAGCGTGGTATCGCGAGCCGCGAAGCGCACATTAGCCGGGCTTGGGTCGTACAGGCGCAACGCCTCGCGCAGGGTGAGCTGTAGATACCGGCACGACTTGAGCGTCTCGAAGGTGATGTTGGATGTGTCTGCGGTGCACGGGCCAAACTGCTCCAGCGCCGCGGCGCGCAGCTTGGCGAACTTGTCCGGATGGCGTGCCAGGAGGAGTACCGTCCAGGACAGTAGCGAGGCTGTGGTGTCGCGGCCTGCGAGGAGCAGGCCAAGGATCTGGTCGCGGAGCTCGTCTGGGTCCCGTGTGGACTCGATGAGAGCCTCGAGGAGGCTGTAACTCGCAGTCCACGACGATGGCCTCGTTGACGTTTTGTTGTCGGTGGCGGCTTTCAGTGCCAGCTGGACGTAATGAGCGGCGAATTTGCGCACAAAGGCGTTGGCCATGCGGCCCCGCTTGCTCGGTATCAGCCAATGCAGGCCTTGGAGGCGGATGCGCTGCGTGATCCACAGCTGTGCCTCGGAGAGGGCATCGGCAAAGTTCAGCTCAGGGCCAAACTCGGCAGCAAGTGAGCTGGCGGCGCTGGTCAGTTTCCCCGAGTCTCCCGTGGCCGCGCTCATTTGCGTCTTCACGCTCTCACCAAACAGGAACTTGGTGGCCGTGTCCATGGTGAAGCGATAGAACATTGGTAATATGTCGACCTCGGCGCTGTTGCCACTCTCGCACTCTACGCCGATGAGTGGCAAGGCCCTAAATAGCTCTTGAACGGCCAACTCTGTCTCTCGGAGGTTGTTAATCTGTTCTCTTGCAAACTGTGGTTTGAACATGGCGCGCGAGTGCTCCCAGAACGGCCCATCTTCGGTGAAAATACATCTCCCCAGAAGTAATCGTCTGTTAAGTTGTTGGCCTAGCTCGAAGTCCTGAAACTGCGAGGCCAAGATGGCCTGGATGTTGGCTGGGTCGATAGTGTTGAGCCTAGAGCCGGTGAATAGACCAGGTGATTCAAAAGTGGTACCATTCTTGTCGTAGCTGTCGGCCAAGATAGTAAAGATGTCCTCGTTATTTCTAGAGGCATTGAGAAAGCGCCACAAGAAGTCGAGATTCAAGGGGACTTTTGATCCAGCGAAGACTGGTAGACTGGCTTGATGCTGAATGGCGAGTCGCCGAATGCGCTGTCGATCAAGCAGAGAAGAAATATAGATGTACACTGCGTACATGGCTACCGCAGCCACAACGACCTGTAGAGAGAACACTGCCATTGTTTCTGTAGGAGTTTCTTATTTGGACAGAGTTATAGGATATCGCTTTGGCTGATGTTAATGATTCTTCCACGTCGACCTACTGTGTGAAGATTGAACTCCGTGCATTGGAAAAAGTAGAGATTCCTAGAGGGATGTCTCTGCTGTGGCTGACTAGGTGCGTTGAGATATTTGTATGCCATTTGACTTCGTAGATCCGTTCAAGGTTCGTTATTGCGTCCATCCGCGGAAAGATGCACGTCAACTTGACTCAAAACGACCTGGGCTGTCGGTGTTTGGGTTATCCATCCAGCGAACAAGTTGAACAGAAGCCTAGTTTCATGCATGTAAATTTCTCTTGGGTAAGAAATTAACCCGTAAAGGCCATGTAAACACAAAGCTCACGATCCTTGTTTTAGGAAGGTACATATTAGGATTTAAATTGATGAGTCAGTTCAAGATAAACCTTGGAGCTTATAACCGAGCGGACTAGAAACGAGTCAGGAGACACATTGTTACCTAGGTTTCTGTCAGAGAATGACGTTACGTGGGTCCCCTTCGGCCCACCAGGTGGCGAATAAGTGGCTATTTAGGGGCTCCCACGCAGCAGGGGCGCCCTTAGAGAGACTTAAACCTCTAGGTTCAATTGTATTCTCGGGGGCCAGAGGGCCCTTGGGCCTTATCACTCTACCTGTGCCTATTATTCCTGACAGTTTCTTTCAATCTTTAATCCAATGAGCTCACAAATTAAACACTTGACCAGTGTCTAGATTGTTCTACATGACTGGCCGGGTCAAGTCATCCTCCATTTTTTTCATCAATGTACGTCGGGCTTGGTGACATCGAGATGATGTATGACTTGATTGGTTAGCCATGAACGGAGCTCTAGGAGATAGACAATGCATCATATACGATGTTTCATCCGCGAGCTCTGTTCCAAACGTATTCTCTGCAATTAATCAATTTGTTGGTCAGGACTAGGCAAGAGACTAGCTGATGTGATGTCTTAGTGTGCTGGTAAAGTCGCCTGGTTGACCAACCTCTATAGTTCTGGTGACAAGACGTTCTATGCGGGATACTCATAAGAGCAGGTTCCTCCCTTCCTCCATATTTCAGAGTACTAAGGAACCTACTTCGCCCTATACACCCTCCGTATATTCTAGGCCTCTAGCTCCTAATGGCACTATGGGAACACCGCCAAAAACGAATAATTTTAGGACAGGCAGAGTTTGGGTTACTTTCCTTACTTGTCACGAGCTTTTATATTTTAAAACCATAGCGACTTGCTTCAACAATGCCCAGCTACTGAGTGGGCGGAATAAAAGAGTTGAGTGGGCCAATTCAGGTCGCCTAACGTGGCTCGGAGCTGCCTCGTCCTGCATGCACTGCGCGTATGTGGCACAGCAAGTGCGCGAATGTCAGCATTCGCGTCCAGGCGACAAGAGGAAACTGAGACCGGTCTAACCATTTCAAGGTGGTCATGCTGCCCAAAGAAGGCAGTGCACTTCCTGTGCAACTTTTCCCCTACCCACCAGTCCTGCTCCAGTCAGCGGCCGCCCATCAGAAACGGAGCTAATCCAGTCTACTCATTTTGGCCCATAACACAGGTTGCCCTCGTCGAGTTCTTTCATTGACAACAGTCCCATGTCGCCATGAACCAGAGCCTAGCCAGCCCGCCCAAGCGTGCACGCGTGATGAAGCTATGGATCCTTTGACTACGCTTGGCCTGGCAGCAGGCGTGGTACAGTTCGTCAGCTTCGCCTCTCACTTGATCTCGAAGACGAAAGGAGTCCACGACTCTTCCTCGGGACAGACTGATGAAGCCGTCACACTCGAAACGACTTGCTCCAGATGTGACGCGCAAAAGCAGCTGCCAGTGTGAAGTACACTGGCTAACCTATATTTTATGACACCAGATTACATGAGCTGAGCAGGAGCCTTGAGACATGTTCGCGACGCGATCAGACGCTCGAGATAGTTGACAAGCTGAAGACAAGCGGTGGCTCAAACCACAGGTGGCAGAGCATTAGAGTTGCTCTCAGGACCGTCTGGAAAGGCAACGAGATCGCGGAACTCGAGCAACGGTTGCATCACACTGAGATGACGCTCACACTGCTAGTGTGCTCCGAAACAAGATATTTCTGCAGCCTGCGTTGGGATCAAACAGACGAGTCTCATATCAAACTCCTTCTAGCTACTGGCATGCCACGTTCGACAGAAGTCTCAAACAGCTACGCGGCGCCAGCTTAGAGATGAACGCTCGGCAATCTGAAAATCTGAAAAGCTCAGCGACATCTCTAGGACCCTCAATGAGCTAGCCAGTCGCATTACACGTGTATCGACCATGTCAAAAATAGGAGCAAATATCTTCAGCCCTGGCGACATTGAGGGTATTGAAGGTCAGTTGGCACGCCTGTCGTTATGTAAGGCTGCTGCGGTGAAAGAAAACCGGATCTTGAGATCTCTCAGCTTCGACAGCCGCCCGATCCGCCACAGCTCCATTACCAAGGCCTCGGCACGTACGTTTGAATTGGCTTTCAAGGAAGCTGAACCACAGGCAGATGCTGCATCATCCGCAAGTGTCGGTGGAAGGTTGATCCCATGGTTAAGGGAAGGCGATGGTGTGTTTTGGGTTACGGGAAAGCCCGGATCCGGCAAATCAACTTTCATGAAGTTCATAGCCGACCACCCAACCACCTTGAGCTCGCTGTCACATTGGGCCCGGCCTAAGCGTCCAGTGCTGGCGAGCTACTACTTTTGGAGCGCCGGAACGCCACTGCAGAAGTCGCAGAAGGGGCTCCTGCAGACGTTGCTATACGGCATATTCCGTCAGCTGCCCGATATCATGGAATCGGTCTGTGTCGAGAGGTGGGCCAAGACGATCGAGCAGCTCACATACGAGCCATGGCAGGTATCGGAGCTCCAGAGAGTGCTGGAACGCATCGGGGACCGCCAGGATATCCCAGGATCAGGACTATGCATTCAAAATTCCCCCTCACAGCAACCGGGTCGAATTTCTTCATCGGAGTGTTGGACTTCCTCCGGACTGCAGAAATGTCAATATTCCTGGCAGATAAGGCCCCGCGGGCATTTGAGGCGAGGCTTTCTTTGGCTCGGGCCCTCACTGCTTATATCAAGGCCACCGAGTTCCCCGACCCGGTGGACAGGACAGATTTCAACTACTACACCGATTCTAAACTCATGTCAGCAGTCAGGAAGCTGCGAGGAGAGTTAGCGGCGGCCGCATACCGGCTTCTTGATGAGCTGGACCGCTGCATCCCAGAGATGAACGCCATTGGCCAGGCAAACCTGATGGTTATGCGCAACCCTTCGAACCCGATTCCGCTTTTCTTCAGAGAAGCACTGGTGGGCGCCAACTTCGTCGAATACCTAACTCGCACACTACCCGGGCAGCCGGACTACTTTGCCGACTTCCAGAAGCCCGTCCTATCATACTTTTGTCGTCCACAGTCTCGGGCAAAGCATAGGATATAGCGACGGGCACCGCCTTGAAATACACGATCGACGAGTGTCAACGCCTGCTGACATGTGGAGAAAGGTCGGCATGATCCGCTGTCTTTTGGAGAATGGGTGCAATCCCAACGCACCCATGCCATGTAAAGGGAACCAGGAAACATCACCCTGGAACGATCTAGTGGAATACGCAAACTTGTATGCATCCGACCATGGGGAGGCCCCGAGCTCCAAAGGAGTCGTTCTGGAGGAAACAATAACCCTGATGCTCCAGCATGGGGCAGACCCGCGTCTTTGGTCCAATAATCCGGACATGCTTCAGCCCGTTCCAAACACCACGACCCAGAAGCGTTCCTTCTCTGGAGTCCATTCCGAGCCGCCAAGACAGGTATCTAAAAGATACAGAGCCTATTAGGACAGCCGTTTCGATCGAGCTGCAAGTGCAAAAACAGCTGCGAGTTCGCTGCCGATGGGAATTTGACAATGGAATTAATACACATACAATTCGACAATAGCTGGCGTGGATTTACGTTCTACCTTGACTCTCAGCGTTATCACAGTGAACAAAAGTGATTTGTGTATCGCGGCTCGAGGGCCTGCCATGCCTTGGGTTCGTCACTTTGGTGTCATCACTTTTCCACAGCCCGAACTCACCGTAATCCAATTTACATTTCCATAATCTGCCTAGTATGTCGCGAAATCGACTCATTTCTGACAAGTCGCTTTTGGAATGAAGCCCAAGAGGTATCCAACCTGGCGTTTTGAAGGGGGGCTACCTGTAGCAATGCGTTAAGTACGTCGGGTTTTCAACCGACTGATAGGATGAAAGCGAATCAATTTAATTGCTTTAATTGCTGGTCGTCTACGAGGCTCTGGATACATGTTTCCAGCTTCTGGGTCTATATAAAATTTACTTAAGTTGGAAATGCTAAAGTAGATGTGTGTGATGCCGCCATCTTCGCTCGGGATCTCCAGAACTTGACTTGACAATTTAACTCTCTATCTGACTCTGTTTCTACACGATGCTGGTATCAGCAATCTCCGTGTTAGTGGTGTGAATTGTTCTGTTGGCTTTGTTCTTACTCTTTGAGTTCTTGGCAGAGATGTAGATACTTTGCTTTGTTTTTCTAGTATTAGCGCGAGGGTCTATCTGCTGCATCCGTCGTTTGAAAGAAAAGAAGTAGCCTTTTGGATCAAATTTCTGACAAGCAAACTTTACATACCTAGGTAGCTATGGGATGGACGTTCCGGGAAGAAAGAACAGTTTAAAACTTTGTCATACTGTACTTGCAAGTTCGACGTTGCATTTTCCTTTCACTTGATCAAATATTCCATCCACCTACTGTTGTTCTCCCTGAAGATGTCAGACCTTGATTATCGACCTGCGTATGACGCTCCTGATGCTGTCGTACAGGCAGCTGTATCCGTTGACCCAGATGGTACACTGCTCCTCTCAGACGACAGTGATTTTAACCCGGAGCGTGATGGGGCAGATGCGGATATAGGACCAATTCCTCCAGGCCCCCAACCAGTACGACCTGGGTTTCATCCTGATGTTCGAGCACGGGTGGACTCATATAATATCAGACTTCCTGGCGATTGGTCAAAGGACGCAACTGACACTTTCACGAAGCAATGGAAGGATCGAGCTCGAGGTGTATATTGGGCCAAAAGACCTGCCGGCTTCAGGGCCAGGCGTCTCTTTCCACTGCAACGCCTGCCACACAGGGGCCACAAACTCCTAACTCCCACTCTTCAGGATGATTTAAGGGTTATCGGCAGCGCAGTCAAGGATCGCCGAATTTCAAACATGGGTCCGTATATTATCACAGCCAGGAAGAATAACGACCTGTCCAAGGCAGACATCAAGTATTTTCTCCGGGATTCAAATATTGTCGAATACAGGATGATGGATGCACTCTTTGTGGCCATTTCCTCTATCCAAGATGTCCGAGGTCCTCCTGGCTACGACTACGGGAGGCCCTATCAATTAGATAGTGTGGCGCTCCCTGCCATCACTTGGAACCACATACATCGGAAGTTCAGGGCCCTGGAAGGAGAGGGTCTGTGGCCTTTTGCTCTCCCAGAATATATGCCAGGTCTCATCGACCCCTCTACCAATAGACCGGGCGACCCAACCAACATCCATCGTTCGGTAATGATAGCGCATGACGTCCTCCTTCCGATACTTTTGGACAGGGACCATTGGATGTTTGCCTACATACGCTATGATCGCAAGACTATCTTGGTCGTTAACTCGGAGCACGATGCCGATGATGCCGAAGAGAAATATCGCAGAGTGGAGAAATACCTACATTACTGGGGTTTGCAGAATCTGTCAGGGAACCCACACAAGTACCCAGCCCAGTGGGAGACTCTCCAAATCCCTGGGACACAACTTATGAATGTAACACGCGATCGGGCAAGTGGTCTGGCCACAATACTTGGTGCGCTTTTGGTTGTTTGTGACGTGGATCCAAAGGTCGTAATTAGCATTCCTCCAGTTGATATAAGGGCGTTCTTTGCGGCTGCCTTGTCACAAGGGGGCTTTCGTGGAGATGTGTATTTTCCTCATCAGGATGCCGAAGAGACTCGTCCTTGGGGTGATTTATTTTCTAACCGTGGGTTTTGGGAAACTCTCGACCGGCCTTCCTTTGAAATAAGATACGAATAGGGGTGTCCAAATATGATCACGGCGTCGTTGTGGAAAACTAGCGAGTACCCTCTCAACTGAGATTGGAAACTTCCCCGAAGTATAGTTATAGTTTGAGCTTATTGTCACATTGAAGCAGACCTAGGGCTTGTCGCCTCCTGAATGGCCATTCTCAAGTAGCTGAGTGCACCGTCCCCCTATAGCTACAATATAAACATTGAAGATTCGTTGTGAGCAGACTTATGAGGCCAGGGATTGTACCACACAACGATGCCGCCTCCTGAACTAATACCCTGTCATCACATCCTCGAACACGTGCGTTTCCCCAACAGCTGCCCCGTGGGCGGGAGTCGCATCCGACAGCTCGCCTGAGGGTGGCCTAGGATTAGCCCGGGGCCCGCTCGTGGTGAAGCAGGTGAAGAGCAACTCAACGGCGAGTTTGGTCAGGGAGTTGGTGATGTTGAAAGTGTTGACTTGAGGGTTGGTCGAAGCTTCAACAATGTAGTGACATTACCCACTGCCAAGTGGGCTATGACACACAAAGTCAGTTAGCACGCTGGATGTGACATTGGGCACGATCATGCGAAGGCTCACGGCTCAAGGGATACCGGAACAGTCGGGCAGCCCTGGTCGATGGCTGTCTGGCACGTCACGAAGGTCTTAGCTTAAATTGAGAGAAGCCAGCTACTCTAAGACGGTATTCACGTGCAATGTGGTCATCATCACAGCGAGGTACAACTAGGCGCGCACTGTCAAGAAGTAAGGGATTGGCAGTCTGACACCTCGATACTTAGATATTATCGTACGGCAAGCGAATAATGGATCAACCGATTAAACGACATTCATGTTTTGTGTGTGCTCAGCCCAGACCGTCTTTTGTGTGACCAATACGCCGTCCATCTGGTAGCATTCACCCTTATAGTATCCTGGCACATCACCTCTTTGGCTGCTGATGTTTACACGGTGATTGTCGTGATAATCGTCTGGAATATGATTGTTGTCGTTATAAGATAGCCTTTCGAAGGACCCCGTGTTATCGGATTGCTTTCTTCGTGCGCTACTTCCCATTGCAGGAAGCGTCTGTTTTGGAATGCCAGAAGTGTTGCTCTTCAGCGGATCGCCGTATCGCATCAGGCGATAGATAGGTACCAATGTTGGCATGCATGCGCCAATTATGGCTGCATATATCTCCACGCTGGTGGCGGTGCCTGAGGGGATATATTATACTGCTCAAATAATCTGTTATCATTGTGTGCGCCCTTTAGAAAGACAACCGGCCAACGTCACTTACGGGTGAAGTTTGTAATACCGTCCCGTACCATCACTCCAGAAAAGACGGTGCGAATCACACTTGCAGCGAAAGCTCTGAATTTGCGGGTTAGCTCTTATCCATCTTCAGACACAATTACTCAATGCAGGTTGACGGGCAGACTGACATTCCACCTAGAAGGAATACACTACTGATGATGATCTTCTTCTTCGTTGAGACGTGTAGCTTATAAACCTCATGCAGTGGCAGTGTCAGTGTGAAGAAATCAATAATGGCATTGACTATTGAGTTGCCAAAGAAGCTCAAAGTGGCGGCAAGGCATTTGGTTGTTGGGAGGACTTGAAGCTCCAGAAACCAGAATGCATTCAGAGGTATGCACTGGACAAAGTCCAGTATAGTAATAGCAATACACCAGAGGATGGTTGCAATTCCGAGGATTTTGCAACCCGTCTTGACAAATCTTGTAGGGAACAGTCGCCAGTAGAAGGCCAACACAGATAGCTTTATCAGCGGGGAGGCATAAGTGTAAGCGATCTCTCCAGCGAAAAGACCCTGTGTAATCTCCTGTCAGCAGCTGCGCAGCGGCAACACGGAGCAGCATTGATACCTGGAAAAGGATGACAACCGATCTAGGGTCTTCGGTTGAGATTATCCTGATATCTCGGCCAAGCCCCCCTTGGTACACCATTACCCATCCAGCGGCAAGGACCACATGGTGACAGAGAAGTGCACCAAGACACAGCCAGTCGTCTAAGCCGAAGTTCTGCCGGGTCAGTCTCCTTGCCCAGAATCGCAACGCAACGAGGATAGTGCAGATGAAGGCCAGTACACTGCAGCTGATCACCATGCTAGGGCCGCTGTTGGAGTACACTAGTGGTGAGGTGTCTGCTGACGCCATTGTTTTGGTCCTACTTGAGGCTGTAGGTAAAGGGAACGAATTTGGAGAAATTTGTGTAGTTAGTTTACACAGCTCAAGACAGGGAGACTCAAAATGAGCTATTCAATGCTTCCAAAGGAACGGAAAGAGGCCTCGGAATCTCCCAGGTGCAGATGTCTAATAACTTTAATCCCTGGGTGACTGCGGGTGCATGGTGGATCCCCTCTGATGCATCCTGCTGCACCTACATCACTTTCAAGGTTAAAAATATCATGAGCATCGAAAGTGATGTAGGTACAGCAGGTCCAGGTCTCCCATTGGCATTCCCTTGGACCAACTGGCTCGCCAAGCCAGCCCCCAGCCTTGGCAACGCGAGGATTCACTTGTGCTTACTACACTCGACAGGCTATAATTTTGTTAGTTCGGCATGAGCATCCACTCCCCCTTGCTATCAGGTTGGATTGGATCGCCTACCTGCCTGACCCCCTCTGAAATATCCTCTTTTCCGTGAATATTTATAGAGAATAAGTAGCAGGACTTCTGCCTCCACAGAATTTGAGTGCAAGTTGATGTTCTCTACTTCTCCACCCATATCCACTTCATGTTGAACCAACAGAATTAAAGCCGGTCGAGTGTAAATCCAGCCACATGATAAACGATCGAAGTTTTCATGCAGTCATCATGCAATGCACACTTCCGACTGCTACCTTCCTAGTATGAGCGTGCCGATTGGTAGTGTTGGTTCCCGCCTGAACACTTGGCCACATGTTACTCATCATACTGGCCAGCCTTATTTACATCTTGTGGAGTCAATAAATCCTTCGACCCATATTATCGTATAGGGCGCGTCTGCGCACCCAAATCCCTCATCGTACGAGACAGGGCGCACAGGTGAAATCTATCACAAATGCGCCGTTGATGTGACTGCGCCGTTGGTGTGACTGCGCGGCTGGTGTCACTCCGCCATTGGTCTGACTGCCGTTGGTGCGACTGCGCCGTTGAGGTGGCAAGGGTTCGTGCAACGGACAGGTTCACCGTTGTCAGCCGAGCTGTACGGCACAGTTGGCACTTGGCCGAAGTCCCGAGAACTGGATGTAAAGAACCTCACGCAATATTGCGACGTGAATCAAGCTCTCTGTTGTGTTGCGAGAGGCTCGAAGTATCGGACATGCTGTTGCCACACGGCCAATCTCACGTCTCATAGCAGAGACTGCCGATGGTCAAAAAGACCAGATGTGCACTGGTGACTATATTGGGTCGTACATTTAGCTAGCGTCCTACGACACTGTTGCAAAGTCTTGAATGATAATTCGTCTGCGTGGCCAAATTTCACGATGGAAATCCTAGTCCACGACCTGTCTGAATACCTGTTGGATAAAGAGCACATCTTATGTCTACCACGGTAATTCCCTTCAAAAAGGAGACGGCAACTAGAGTTTTGCCACGAATCCCGCCATTTCAGACGCAACCTTCCAAGCGCTGTCCTCGAAACCCACGATATCGCCAACGATGAATGTATCGTGGACGGCATTTTCCTCGATGTGAAATTCCACGACACTTCCCGCCCCACGCATCTCAGACGCCCACTTGGTTATTCGCTCAAAAAATAATTCCGCCGATCCCGCATTTACGAACAAAGGAACTGGGGTGCGGAAAGGATTTCCAAGCGGGGTGATGTATGGATTATTTTTGGCGTTCGGCATTTTGCCCGCGTAGGAATGGGCGCCCCAAGCTACTTCATCTTAGCATCACAGTCCGGCCCATTGAATACGTTGTCTTCGAAAGAAGCTTTCCCAGACATGGCAAATCAGAGAAAAGGGGGATAAGAAGAGAGGGGTAAATACCAACAAATGAGCCTGGGACGAAGTCTGTCTTCCGGTGCGGGTTATCCCTCGGATCATTGTAAAAGGGTTCAACCCAGGGTGAAAGCAGGACGGCACATTTAGGTGTAGGTGTATTGATAGCAGATCCATACTCGTGAAGATACCGCAAGAGGGCCGCGACAAGGTTGCCGCCAGCGCTGTCTCCAGCGACGATAATCTGGCTCGACAGTATTTGCAATGTATTGAGCAGAAAGACGTAACTCGTCAGTGCGTCTTGCAGCGCCGCAGGGAAGGGGTTGACATTGCCATATCCACTTAGGCGGTACTGTAGCGAGAAGACAGTATCTGCGGACCCAGTATCAAGGAATCTCTTTGCAATAGATCCGCAATTGACTGTTCTGCCGTCGCCTTGTATGTATGCCCCTCCATGGAAGTAGAGCACAACATTCTTCGATGCTATATCCGTACCAGGAGGGCCGGGGAACCAGGTACCACCAACCTCCTGGGGCTTGATAGTCTCATGCGCCAGTGGTCCTTTGAAGAGACTTGAGGAGGGCACCCGAACTGTTTGAAACCTGTCTCCCTCCTTTCCTGGTTCCAAAGTGAGTGTCTCTGTCATTCCCACGCGAGAATAGGCATCCAAGAATGGGTAAAGAAGGCGAGACATGAATGTTTGCTTCACCGTCCATGCTCGAATCGGCCTCAAGGAAGGGACGAAAGAGATTATGGCATAGTATGGCAGCCTCAAGACAATGAGAGCAGCGTACGACAGCTGGAACACCAATCTCAGCGGCTGGTACGATACCAGTGGATGATTATTCTGGGTCGTCATCCTGGGCAAGATGCTGGTGATAATTGGAAAGCTTGATGTATTACTGCTGAAGTCAGCTTATTGATTCTAGAATTCTCAGACATGAGGACCGAATTTCATTGTAGGTCAGCTTACTGAGAGGCTCCAAAGACACTCGTGGATACTTGATAGGCACGCAAACCAAATGGCCGGCTTGAGCTTGTAAGCGAATGGGTGGCCGGCGGAGTATTGGATGAGAAAGAGAGGCGAAAGTGAATGGAGAGGAAATCACGTCAGATACCCCGTGCACCAACGCATTGAACGCCCTTGAACCAACGAGCGAATGAGCTTGACCGTCACGTTCGCATTGCACAAGTTGACAGGGAGTGGTCTGAGACTTTGCTTGGTGGCACAGCAAGTTGCGTCAATGCTTTCGATAGATCATTTGTAACAGGCAGCAATGCTGACTGCATGATTTTTGGCCCCTGCATAAACGGCTCCTCTTGCCGTTGCGCACGGGCTGTGGAGTTGGTACTGTTGGGGGCTGAATGCCAACCAGGAATACTGTGGACCATGCAACTTGGCATGAGGCCCTATTGTCCATGTACACGCAAGTAGTCTGTGAACGGAAAATTTAACACTGCCAGACCGAACTTAAAGCTCGAAAGCTAATTAGCTAAGCGATCTGCCAAGCAACAATGCCAAACTAAACTTAAAGCTTAGCATTTAATTAGCTAAGTGATCTACTAAGTAATACTACTAAATTAAACTTAAAGCTTGGCAGTTAATTAGCTAAGTAGCATTGCTAGCAGCAAAATAGGGCCTATATAAAGCCCATAGGGCCTACATACCTTATACAAAGCATATACGGCTTATATAAAGCATATATAGCTCATATAAATCATATACGGCTATGCTCTCTTTCCGGCCAATAGCGGGAGCCTTTTCCAACCAGCTTTCTCGGAAGCACATCCTGATGGCGCCGGAATATTTGAAGCATCTCTTCCTGGCCAGGGGAGCCAGGACCGTGTAAGGCGCGCCCTCGGCCTCCCTCTTTCTCCAGAGTATCGACATGTCGGTTAGTAAAATGAGTGGCTCATGAACCTCTGGCGAACTTTCCACGGCGCCGTATTGACAGTCTGTAGAGGAGGTCGTTCGCACACACAATGGCGGAAATGCTCTCCATGAGTTGCTGCAAGACCTGCTGGAAGACACCAAGTCACCGGCTGACCGTCCCTCGTTGGATCAAGAGCGGCTACTACTCTCAGCAACGACACTTCTACCTTCGTCCACCAGGCACCGTCCAAACCCGGACTCGATGCAGGCTTTCACACCGGACGTGTGACTCCAGGTGGATCGTGGCGCGATACCGGCCCACGAGGCATTGCCGGCATGCGACAGCACTTGTTGCAATCGCTGCTACGTCATGGCCGCACCGCCGAGGCTCTACCGTCAGAGCAGAGTCTCTCCCACTATATCTGTGCATTTTTGGGCGGCTTCCACGAACGGTACCCCTTGTTCCACACACATACAACGCCGCTGGCCGGGTAATTATGATAGAATCCCTATGGCTCCTTATTACTTATTTAAAGATTTAATTACTGTATTTATTTTTATATTTGTATTAAGTATTTTTGTATTCTTCATGCCTAATGTGTTAGGAGATAGCGATAATTACATAATGGCAAACCCTATTCAAACTCCCCCAGCTATGGTTCCAGAGTGTTGAAGGATAGCTGGTTGAGATGTAAATCAGTTTGTTGCAATGAAATCGTGATATTATTCATAACCCATGCTATTGCTAGCCTAACATTATTCTTTGATTATGGTACGATATAAGACTTCGCGTAGAGAAGAGAAATCCCCCAGCAGAGACTACCACCAATACTTATAACAGTGTTGAAGACAAAGGTTTACTGCAGATCATATTAGTAATCTCAATTGAAACTCCTTCAGAGGAAGCAATGTACTCACCACTTCAATCCAACGAGCCATCCACTTTTCCACGGTAGCCTTGGCCTCATCGACAAGGCCCAGCTCGAGCATCAGCTGCACACTGCCGCGGATTCCCGACTCGAGGGCCGATGCAATCCAAGCATGCGTGTATGAAGTGTGTTCGCCAACGAAGATCATCTGGCAGACGTTGTTAGTATGGACCAGGTTGATTCAGTTCGATGAGGGACAGAGGTTCTGCCACGTACATTGTTGTGAGTCTTGAAGTACTCGGGCAGGTAAAGCTCGTGCTGGCCGATGAGGGGGCTCGCCCACGACCCACTCTCGAGCGGATCAAGGGACCAGCATCGCCGGTCGTAGTTGCCGGTGTACTGTTCGTTGACAACATCACCATGGATCTCGGCCATGGCCTGCAGCACGTATTGCACGTGCTCCTCATCGCTCGCGGAGACCCATCTCTCGCCCCACTGGCCGCCGCTGATATAGCTGCCTGTTGAAAGTGTAAGTATCGGCATTTGATTCCTTCGTAGCCGGATCAGGGGACAAATTGATTACCTAGCATGCTTGCGGGACCAGTGCCGTTGATATTGTACGATGGGTAACAGATGTCGCCGATCCCGGGAATGTCCGTCGACGTGGAACAAGAGCCAATGATGGGGTTGTCCAGATGCTCCCAGAAACGGGTCTCGAACTCCAGTGCGACCTTGCAAGCTTGTTCGTAGGGCATGTGCTTGATGGCGTTGGTCATGGTTGTCGACATAAGGCTGGGAAATCTCCAGTTCTTGACGACGCTGAAGGGGACCGCGACGACTGTGTAGTCGTATGACGAGCTCTGGAAGTCCGTGTCGGTGTAGTTGTCGCGCCACTGCAGGTTCACCTGCTGCGTCTCGGCGTCCCAGCCTACGCGCTCGATCTTGCGGCCCATGGTGGTGTAGTTGTCCACCAGCGGGTGGAAAGATGCGGGGAGCCGATTCAAGCCACCGTCAATGGTTGACCAGGTGGCGGCGTCGAAGTACAGACCGTCATACAACGTGTCCCAGAAAGACACACCAAAGTTTCCTTCAGAGACTACGTCAGTATCGTTGAGGTTTGCTCTGAGGTAGTTGACCATGTAGGCAAATTCGGACCACTGGTCACCTGGGAGGCCATCAAGACCAATTTCTACAATATTGTCAGACCAAAGACACCCTGTCACATTAAGCATGGTAAACCTTTTAGTCAATTCAATACTTACCAAGGAACTCCTTGTGAGCTGCGAACATATTCGTTGCCATCTCAGCATAGAACTCTTCCGAGGTTGTGATCGAGTCGATGTGGTCCTGCAGGGCTTGGGTGGACGGCAGGTTCTCCCTCACAATCGACAAGGACGGGTCGACAGCAACCTGTGAGATAGTGGGTGGCAATCCGCTGTCCAGTTTAATGCCATCGTGGTAGTACAGCCCGTTGGGGTTTGACTGGTACCAAGGGATGAAGTCAACGCTCCAGTTGGCAGCATGGTTGTTTAGCTTGTTCATCTCCGCAGCGAGGTCGAATACAAGATGATGGTCGGTAATGTTGTAAGTTTCATTTGAAGACGAAGTCCATGTCAACGGGAAACGCATCGGACCCATTTCTAAAAATCCCCAGTCAGCCGTTGAGTTCTCACCACATTTGACGAATGGATACTGACCCTGGTACGAGTAATCGAATGGTCCTCCGGAGAGGTAGGCAGTGTGGACTCGACCACCAAGTCTCTCGCTGCCCTCGATAATCTCCAAATTCTTGAAACCGGCCTGTCTCAAAGACAGGAAAGTCATGAGTCCAGACATGCCGGCACCGACAATGGCGACGTGCTTGCGCTTGGCCTCCTCGACATTCACGTAGCTGTGGTTCTTAGACTGAAGCAGAGCGACGCCGTCAAACCAAGGGCCCCAGACATCAATGCCGGTGTCATTGTTCATTGGAATCGCAGGAGATCCACCACCACCGTCACGCTTCTTCATGGCGGCGCGCTTCTGGAATTCCTCAAGCCCCCTCTTCCGGCTGCGTTGAGAAGCAAGCTGCTGGGTCTCACTCCTCCCGACCAGGGAGCCGGTATCGTCCCATGCAGAGATACAGCCACCAGCAAAGGTGTCATCCGGAATTACCCAGACAAGCCTGTGGCTGGCGCCCGATGGGTTCTGACGCGCGATGACATGATGCGAGTCGCTCTGCTTCTTGTCTAGGCACGAGCCATAGGTAAAGTCAATGACACCTTCGACGAGTCTGTCATAAGAGACATGGATGTTTGCCGCTCTGGAACTAAGCTCTGTTCGCGTCTCCAGACGGACGGGGTGAGGGGAGACGGAGGCACAGTAGACGTTTTGAGCCAGCGCCAGAACGGCAAGGCCGGCCTCGGGAAGCATGATCGCGAGATTCTCGCGTTGTACGAGGGACAGAAGACAGGCTACCAGAAAAGGGGAAGACGGTGAGCCAGGAAGTAAGACACAGTGAGAACGAAAGATAAGGTGAAGAATGCTCTGTGTGCGTAATTATTATATTTTTTTCTCTCTGCCCACATTGACATTCTCCATCCTGAGACCAAAACGTTTGTCATCACCGCATCTTCACCGGCATCATGACAAAGGCGTCAAAAGACAAGGGTTTTCCGGCTATTGGCTCACATAATACGATGGCTGTACTGGGCTGTAAGCAGCACGCTGAGACATCACGATTCACAATCATGTGGATGATTACTAGAACTTGAAGAGGCTGAGGTTGCCTCGACGAGTGACTTCATTAGTAATAGAAAACTACGAAGTTTCTTATAGTCACTATACTATCCGCGAAGGAATATCATCATTCCCATAGAAGGAGCATTATTGACAGTACAATAAGAAGTCTATCACCGTGATCAACATGCCTGCCCGCGATAACCTGGACGGGCCGGGAGTCGGAACCCGCAAGTCGGACCCATCACCAGAGATAGCTGACCACCATCCAGCCCGACGTAGCACAGAGAGGATCTCGAGCAATCACAGCCCCTCAGACCCACGCGTACCGGGAGCGTGGTAAGGAGCCGATACTAGGCGGATGATAGGCACTGGCCGGTGATGCCGGCTCCGCGTGATTGTGATAGGCCTGGGCATACGCCCATAGGTCTATGTTGCACTTTCGCTCCCCGGGCGGCCGAGATGATCCGAGGTGAGATTGTGGCGGGCGTAGGATTCTGTGTGCACATGTGTCTGATTGGAAACTGCAAGCAGGAATATGCCAAGCATTTTGAGCGACAAGTGACCTCAGCCATCTTGTTGACTCAGAATGGTGGGAACATTAGGGATGGCCACTACACTTTTTTGACAGATCTGACCAAGCAGTCTTTTTCATCCCGTGACGGTTTCAAGGTTATTACCCCAGAATGCCGACCAAAATTCTCTCGCTGGAAGGCGTTAAGTAAGGCTTTGGAATAGAGCAATTGCATCCTTATGAACGCGCAAGAGTACCTAGGTATTCAGGCAGGATTGCCTGAAGAGGGGCAATGCATTATACCACACAGAGAGACGATAAGTATGGCTGAAGTGGGATGCATCTTTGAGCAAGATGTGATCCTGCGAATCAGAAGCTCGAGAATTCACATGAGTCATTTTCTTTTTCGTCACACAATGATGCCAGAAATTGGACATACAAGAAACTCTAAAGTTTTTCCTACAGAGATTTCAAGATTCTCTGGGTGGTTGTCTAGTGATACACAGACTGGGAAACGGTTGGCGCAAAATGACTCCATCATGAATTGAGGAAGGAAATGATCATCGGTTCACCCCAGGCAAACTGCCATGCAGAAACATGTCCTAGCTCTCAACGGCGTCGCCTTGTCGCAAAATGGGTATGGGCAGGGATGGGTGGCCCCTGGTATCTCCTAACCCTAAGATGTTCCCGCCGTGTCCCCACCCCCCTCAGCTTCGGGCCAGCTGCGAGATGTCGAGTGGATAAACATAATAATAAAGCTGGAGTAGTCTAATTTGGCCTGCATACGAACGCGATCGGAAGATTCCATGACATCCACATTTAGCTGACGGCCCCGTTAGACGAAGTTGAAAAGCGGAGGATCTGCCCAATGAGCTCGCGTGCTGCGCACGTACATGGTTGTCAGTCGGAGGCGCTCCGTGTTTCAGAGTCGACTGGTTCTTCCTGAAGTAGCACAACCGCAACAACTTCGTGTGTCAGACATCGTCTGGTAACTCTAACCTGGCGCACCGGACGGGGCGCAGTGTCTCGTGCTTGGTGAGAAAGCTACCTTCGTCACTCCCGGGAGTCCGTTCCCCTGAATCGGCAGTACCTGCTGGTGGGTTCCCTCATGAGGGTGATTTGAGGAACAATCCGACTCCTTGACTACCTACCGACCTCGATTCGAGCTACACACCATCCTTTCTTTTCCCTTTCTTCGCTTCATTGTTCGTTTCGCAGACCACCCTGCGTCATCAACGAAGGCTCGAGTCTGCTATTCTTTTCTCACTGTCATCAGTCTGGACTGTCACTCTTTTCGTGTTCTTGCTGGCAAACCCTCCCTTTAATCTAGATACACAAGCTCGCTAAGCCTGCAGACAAGCAAAAAGCTTGACGTGCCAAGCCGCCTCACGCTTGGTCTAACGGTGCGCCTGCTGCACAATGTTTTCCAGCCTCACCAAGACGGCGATCTTCGCCACGCTGCTTGGAAATGCGGCGGCTGTCATAGATCCCATCGTCGCCAAGGTAAGCCCACATTTCCACCACTGGACCCTGGATCTGCATCTAATGATCTGCATCAGGGCCAATATTTCTTCTACTCGTCAAACGGCACACAATTCTTCGTCAAGGGCGTGGCATACCAACAGGGCATCGGCCCCGGCGGCACGGCAGAGGGCGGCCAAGCAACATTCATCGACTCGCTGGCGGACACGGCGAGCTGCGCGCGCGACATCCCCTTCCTGCAGCAGCTGGGCACCAACACGATCCGCGTCTACGCCATCGACCCCAAGGCCGACCACCAGGTGTGCATGAACGCCCTCGCCGACGCGGGCATCTACGTGATCGCGGACCTGAGCGTGCCGGGCGAGTCGGTCGAGCGCGACAACCCCAGCTGGAACACGGACCTCTTTGCCCGGTACCAGGGGGTCATTGACAACCTCGGCCAATATCCCAACACGATCGGCTTCTTCGCCGGCAATGAGGTCACCAACAACAAGACCAACACCGCCGCTTCGGCCTTCATCAAGGCCGCCGTCCGGGACTCGAAGGCCTACATCCAGTCCAAGAACTTTGGCCGCTGGCTCGGTGTCGGATATGCTACCAATGACGACGCCGAGACCAGAGATAACCTGGCCAACTACTTCAACTGCGGCCAGGACCAGGCCAGCGCCGTCGACTTCTGGGGGTACAACATCTACGAGTGGTGTGGCCAGAGCACGTTCCAGGCGAGTGGGTACGAGGAGCGGACCCAGGCCTTTGCGAACTACTCGGTGCCTGCTTTCTTCTCCGAGTATGGCTGCAACAACCCCGGCGGTGGCGAGTCGAGGGTCTGGCAGGAGACTGGTGTGCTGTACAGCGACCAGATGAACAAGGTCTGGAGCGGAGGAATCGTCTACGAGTACTTCCAGGAGCAGAACGACTTTGGTAAGTTGCATTTCAGCTTGTAGGAAACCTTGGACAAGGGGAGAGGGCGAGAGAACTAATCACCGCCAACCAAGGTCTCGTCGACCAATCCGGCACGACCGTGACGCCCCGCAAGGACTTCCAGGCCCTCGCGACCGCCATCAAGAACACAGCCGCCGACACCGCTAACCCAAGCATCTCCATGAACTCGTACACGGCGTCCAACGTGCCCCGCGCCTGCCCAGCCGTGACGGCGGGCCTGTGGGAGGCGGCCGAGGCGCTGCCGCCCACGCCCAACGCGACGCTGTGCGAGAACATGGTGGCCTCGTCCTCGTGCGTGCCGACCGAGGCGACGACGGGCGACGCCGAGAAGATCGGCTCCCTGTTCGGCACCGTCTGCGGCATGGACGCCAAGGCGTGCGCGGGGATTACCTCCGACGCGGCAAAGGGCACCTACGGCGACTTCGTCATGTGCAACCCGGTCCAGCAGCTCACGCACGCGCTCAACGAGTACTACGCCAACCAGAAGAAGGCGAGCACCGCGTGCGACTTTGCGGGCCAGGCAAAGGTCGTCTCGCCCACCGAGGCGGCCATCACGCCCAGCTCCGGGTCCACGTCCGGGTCTTCTGGGTCGGGGTCTTCTAGCAGCGGATCATCGTCGAGCGGTGGTTCCGGCTCGGTAAGTGGCACCAGTGCGAGCCCCAGCAGCCCAAGCACCAGTGCGAACTCCACCGCCCCAGCTTCTGCTTCTGCTTCTTCCTCGTCCTCGTTGTCTGGCGGTTCTTCTCAGCAGGGTGGTTCGGCCGCCGGCGGCTCGTCGGCGTCCCAGAACGGCACGGCCAGCACATCTGGCGCCGGCGGCAAGTCCCAGGGCGGCGACACCACGGCTGAGAAGGGCGGCTCCTCCTCTGATTCTGCTTCGTCTGCGGTCAGTTCATCTGCGGCCCCTGCTTCTGCGACTGCTTCATCCTCCTCTGCAGATGGCTCTTCTGCAGGTGCTTCCGATGCTTCCTCCTCCGATGCCTCGTCCGGTTCTGCTTCTGATGCCTCCACCCCCGACGCTGCCTCTGATGCCTCTTCTGATGCTTCTGCTGCCGATGCTTCTACTGCGAACCCTGCCTCTGTCGTTTCAAGTAGCGCGAGCGAGAGTGCCTCTCAGGGATCTAACAGTGCCACCGTCATCCAGGGTTCGAGCGACGCCGGCCGCACCTCCGTCGTGGGGAACACCGGCCTGCTCCTTGCTGCTGTTGCAGTCATTGCATCGACTCTGCTATAGGGAAACTTCACAAGGGGACATTCGGGGGAACATACGGTACGGTACAGGACTGATTGGGATTTTCGGCATCTGGAATGGGCGTTGCATAGAAACCGAGGCTAGACCTTGATGAACTCCATTAATTGAATGCATTACAACCACATGCTCATTTTCCTGACTCTGTGTGTCCCATTCCACGCGACTCGACCCCATGAGTGCAACAATTATGGGCCAAGAACAGTCTATCAAGAGGGTATCCATTCTAATTCCATCGTTGATCTCAACCACCCGCACAATACTCTATCGTGGCAAACAGGCCGGTTGCCCGAGTTGCTGTCCATCTTCTGCCCCTTTCTACCGTAACTTGAGTCCGCAGCTATCGTCATCTCGTCTGTTCCGCCAGAGTGAGGGCTTCTCATATACCAGACGAGAACACTCCATCCCGTTAAATCTCACGAGACACGGCATACTTGCTCCTCTTCCGCAGCTTATAACCCCACTTGTACAGGGCATAAGGCACAGGAACAAGGACGCACGAAATGCACGCCAGTATGGTCAGCGTGTAATGGACGCCCATGTTGGTGTAGAACGGGATGCCCACGACCGTCATCCCGCCGGCGGCCATGTAGCGCACGAGGGCGGTGAAGGTCAGCGCCGACGCCGAGAACATCTCGTACGAGTCGATGACGTACATGTAGGCGCAGATGAATATTCCCATCACGCCGAAGCCGAACAGCGCGGCGGCGAGGATGGGCGACCAGATGCTGATGTCCGGGCTCGCCGTCCAGCCCATCCAGAAGAGCGAGATGGGGATGCTCACGGCCGGGCCGAGCATGGCGTACCAGAGGCGGATCTCCGGGTTGAATTGTTGTCCCTCGCCGCGGGATTCGGCCTCTTTGACTTGCTTGGCTGTCATCCGGTAGACGATCGGTATGAGCAGGAAGGTGAATTGCAGGCCGACAAACATCGAGATGAAAATGATGTTGCTGAGTCCTTGGGTGATGCCGTAGGTGTACTCGAAGATGTAGGGCCATCCGATGAGGAACGTGAAGAGGACGATGTAAACGACCGACAGGTACACGGTCATGGCGAGGATGATCGGCTCGGTAAACATGAGGAACGGCCTAGTCATGCTGACCTTCAGCCGACTGAACAGCGTCGCCTTGACAATCTCATGCTCCGAGCGGAACCGGTCGTCCCCAGTCACACGCCGCAGGTGCTTCGCCTTCCACCGCAAAAGCAGCGGCGAGTAGGTCTCAGGCATGAGGAAGAAAACCCAGCAGACCACCAGCCCAGACAGGATCAACATGGTCCACTCAGTCCACCGCCAGCTCACAAGCGTCGAAGGCCCAATATACGCACCCATTACCGCGCCCAGCATGGGGCCCCCAAACGCAGCAATCGCGTATAGCGGGAAAGCCCACGTCTTCTCGATGCTGTCAAACATGTCCGACACGCTCCCGCCCGAGCACACGAGCGGCGTGGAAGCCGAGCACCCGGCCAGGAAGCGGAACACGATCTGCGACCCGAAATTCGGCGCCAGCGCGGACGCCATGATCCACACCATGAAGACGGCCATGGACCCGGTGTAGACGGCGTTGCGGCCGAACGTCTCGGAGAAGGGCCCCGCGACGAGGCTGCCCATGCCCATGCCGACGAGGTACAGGCCCGTCGCCAGCGACTCGGCGACCTCGCTTACCCCGAGGGACGAGGCCGCCTGCGGGAGGACGGTGGCGTCTATGCCCGAGGCTGCGCCCACGGCGGCGGCGATGAGGGAGATTTGGAGGGTGCAGCTCACTCGGCGGGCGTACTGTAGACCTTGAGATTAGCTTCCAAAGGGCCCGGTGATAGGATTCGCTCAGCGGGGTGTAGGTCAGGATGCATCCTGTCCATAGCTTGTCTCATGACTTGCAGTCTTATGAAGACGTCTATTGATATAGTGAGATATTCCATGACACTGGTAGCTCCATATCCTCGTTGAGTCACAAACCAGGTCCAGTCGCTGCTTACCGTCCAATTCCGTGGGTTCAGACGGTCATCGGGACCTTCCCAGCCTACAACGAACACCTTCTCGCCCTTGCCCTCATGCGTGAGGCGGTCTCGCGCATGAACGCCCGTCAACGAGTGACCCAGAGCCGCGCGGGCGGTATACTGCGTGGCTGCAGTGGGCACGCGCTGGGCGGTGTTTGAGAGCCCATCCAAGACTTCGGAGGAGTTGCTGCTTCCGCTGCTCACCGAGGGGCGCGGGATGGACTCGGCCGACGGGCGGCGGCTTGGCTCGGCATCTTGGGCGGTCTTCTCCGGGTCGGCGTTCTCGTCGCTGGGTGCTGCCGCTGCTGGCTCGCTGTCTTCGGCGTCGAGGGTCCGCAGTCGTGCCCTGTCTTGGTCCCGCTCCACCTGCGCCTTCACTGCGCTCAACAGGTGTCTAGATTGTCGGAGGGATTGCATTGTTGCTTACCGGGGCAAGATATTATGTCCTCCGATCCGGAGATTCAGAAGACTTGTAGTGTTGGAGTAGAAGGGGTTGTCAGGATTGACTCGGCATAAACTACCGATGCGACTCTGGCGACGTTTTATGTCTTGAAGACGGCAGTTTCCAACGGCGGTTTCGGAGCGGTGAGCAACACAACAGCAAAGAGACAAAAGGGATGCTGACCACATCGCCGATTTTTTCTACCACACGGATTTATCACAATGCACAATTACTAATTTATTGCAACAGAGGTGTGAACTTTAACCCGCCCGGGAAGAGAACGGCAATAAACGCGGCGAGTACAGTGAGTGTATAGACCCGCTATGATGTCTGCGCTTATCAACATGATCGGTACTTACTTCCGAGTCAGCGTACGCCCACCCAGCTTCTATAGTACGCCCACCCAGCTTCCAGTGTTAGCCCACCCAATATAAGGAAATTAATTGCATGCGCTATAAAATATTAGTATTGCGGGGTTATTAATAAAGCATAGCTATAGCTATCTTAAAGGGGTCCCATAGCTACCTTAGAGGGGTCCCATAGCTACCCCTTTATTTGCAACTTAAAAGTTACTTCTACCCTCTGCCGCCCTCTGCCGCCCTTTGCAACCCTTTGCGCCCTCTGCGCCCTTTAAGCGCTCTACGGCCCTTTAGGCGCTCTGCAGCCCTCTGGGCGCTCTGGGGGCTCTGGGGGCTCTAGGCGCTCTGCAGCCCTCTAGGCGCTCTGGGGGCTCTGGGCGCTCTGGGGCCCTCTGGGCGCTCTGGGGCCCTCTGGGGGCTCTGGGGGCTCTGGGGGCTCTGGGGGCTCTGGGGGCTCTAAGGGCTCTGGGCGCTTTAGGCGCTCTAGGCGCTCTGGGCGCTCTAGGGCCCTCTGGGCTTTTTAGGCTTGTATTTTTAAAGTATTGCTTAAATTAGAAAATAGCTACCCTGGCTTATTAAAAACCCTGCAGTACTTGCATTTTAATGCGGATGCAGCTAATTTTCCTTATACTGGGTAGGCCAACGCTGGAAGCTAGGTGGGCGTACTGTAGAAGCTGGGTGGGCGTACGCTAACTCCTTACTTCCGAGGTTATCATTACACTACCTCGACCACGTATGCATGCGCCCTTTTGATTACCACCGAAGCTGCAGATCTCTTGATCGACCGGAATTAGGCACTTAATATACCGAATAGCGAATCGCGAACCGCGACTGTATGTAAGACAAGAGATAGATGTCAATCTTCAAGGTTATGATCTCGCACAATTGGTACTTAAATGCACAGTGCGAGACGGAAGTTCCCGCGCAGGGAGAGCTCTGCACGTGGAGCTCACATCACGACGGCAGTCCTCCCCTAGTCCCAAGCGCCTGCCAACGAGTCCAGTCCAGATCCACACCATGTGCTTCGCCTTGTGCTCCTCCCCCCAGCTGTCTGGCCGGACTTCTGATCGCGACGATGTCAAGCCTGCGTCCAGCAGCGGCACCAACGAGGACTTCCAGGCCCAGTCCTGAGCGGTCATCGTGTCCAACCAACTCGTGGCATTGCCTCGAGCGCCTGCGGCGGCTTCGCGTTCGGCTACCCGATCCCAACGTACGATGGCCATCCGCATGATGGTTGTCAGCAGGTCTCTATCGTTGACGTTGGTGAGGTTGACAACGCCAATAGACGGCTGGTTGACACTGATGTTGAGAGTCGCGTTTGGAGCTTCCACGTCGGTTGATAGAGGGTTTCTCGGGGACCCGGGCAACCTGTGGTAGCAATATCGGAATTGCAGAGGTTGGTCTTCATACTCATATAATTATGTGCTAGGATAGTAATACAACTTGCTATGCATAGCAAAGCCTGAATATTATAAGCCCCTTAGCTATACATCTTCCGGACACTTGTTGCCCTGACTTTCAGCAAAACATCCAACACCAGCTTGCCCATAATTCCTCATCGTGCCCCCTCGGCTGCCTAAACACAGAATGGACCAGATTCAAGTGCCAACAACTTTGAGAATTAAACCAACAGATCAAGTCTGCCAATCAAATCTATGACTGGTTCGAAGGATTATGAGTCACCAGGGTCGGCGATCGGCGGGGACCCAGACCGCGCTCGAAGAAAATATCATTGAACTGAGCTCTGCAAACCTTTCGGGCGGAAGATTTTTCAACTCCTTGTTACGTTTGGTTACCTATTTGAATAATCATGAGAACTATCCGCAAATTAACCCAGATCGGCCATGCCTACGATCAACCGGATCTAGAGACTCTTAGAGATAACCTCCCTATCTTCATCGACGACGAGCCCGAACAGATTGTGGACGCCTTCGAGACCGGCCTGAATTCCCTGTCTCCGCCGTCCCCGTCAGTATCAGCCCAAGAGGCGGCACAAGCTCTCTTCATCGAAATAAAGAGAATCTTGCCATTAACGGCGGACAAGAATCGGAATGCGTTTCTACTGGAGAACTTGGCAACGCTCTTTATGCGCACCGCTCAGCAGACTCCAAGTCGACATATCGGCCAGGAATTGCTTGTCAGCACTGTCAAGTTCATCACAGTCTCACCGGAGGAGGCATGGCGCAAAGAATTTTTAACAGCACTTGGGATGAGAATGCGAGACGGTTGGAGTGGTAAGTTCTGAACACACCCAAGGTCTTCAATATCCCCCAGTAGGAGTTGTTTTGCTAACATATACTCACCTCTAGGGTTCACTATGGAAGATGAGCATGATGTGGACGAAGTCCAGACTCCCGATGAGTGGCTCAACCTTAATTCTTTCAATGCTCGTTTGTTCGGATCCGGAATAGTTCGATGGAGGAACTTTCCTATATGGCAGCTCCGAGAAGGCCTAGAAGCGGTCTTTGGCCCCGACTCGCACGAAAATGACTGCAAAATCGCTGTTGCTAGCGAGTGGATCATCCAGGCGGGGCCGAAGCTCCTTCGCGAGACCCTACTGAACGAGGATCTCGATGAGGCAGAAAAGAGAGCGTACCGGGGACTTGAGTTATGGACTGGTTTGCCGGGACTGAGCACTGAAAGATGGGGATTTTGGAAGCGCCGTCTTGCTGAAGTTAAGGCGAGCGTCAAAACTCAGCTTACGTTAGACTATGTAGAGCACGCGGAAAGGGTGATGTCAACTGTTGAGAAAGACGTAGCTTCGTCGATATCAGGAGGCAAGTAGAGAAATCGCTGGCTTGGGGATTTAGACCATTGCCTAGTTTCCAATGTCCAGCTACTATAGACTCAATACGGCATGCTAAGCATTGAGCCGTCGTCCTTTTTTTGCTATCGTGATCACTAATCCTCGAGCACTGTCGAAAACACACCACTGGCAGCTTCTTACATTCACTCCCATAGCGCTGCCAGTACCGGGACGACGGCGTGATTTGCTTCAGGCGCTCCGTCGCAGCAGCCTTCTCGGCCTCTGAGACGGGTATTCCCGAAAAATCCTCCCTCCTCAGGATCGATATGTCAGCGAGCTCCGGCCAATCCTTAACCTTCACGTTATGCTTGCGTTGGTACAGATGGCGCGGGGGCAGCTTCCTCTCATAGCGGTCCCGGAAGATGTGGTAGGTTTCCATGGCATCCCACGGGTCCCAGCGCCACTTGTTGGCGGGAGTGATGATGATAGGGAGGGGGCTCTGAGCGGTGTCCGGGCTCGGAGAAAGGAGGAAGCCCAACAGGTCATTGAACTGGTCTTCCGTCGGGGGTGCAATCGTGTAGCCGTACATGGAGACATTCGCATTATGCAAGTAAACCCCGTTGCACTAGACGCCTTTCTTAGCATACCGTGCAGTGAAAACAACAGGGGACTAGAATGGAGCTAATGTAACTCACCTCCTCATCACTCTCGCCACGGTCGAAAAGCACGACCCCTCCAAATATTCGTGTTTCCGCCCAGTAACCGACGACATCCGCGACCCCTTTGGGATACTGTTTGTGGTCTTCATAGTCATAGTGCCAGAACCAGGTATGGGGCGGCAATTTAACTTCCTCATTGGCGTCCAGCGGCCCGCTTTCAAGTCTACTTGTGCGCCAGGCCTCAAGCTCTGCGTGTTTGTGAATACCATCGTCCAAGCTCCAGAGCATGGCGGCAATATCGTGAATCGCGACTGCAAGGAGTTCGAGCAGCCGAAGTTTCCAGGCCACCGATCCAGGCGCAGTGTTCTGATATGCTTGGACGGTCTATTGGCAGGTCAGACAGCAAGTCACCATTTTTGACATTGGAATCAGGTGTCTGGAAGTTGGTTTTGAGATGAGCTGATGGAATTGCCCAACTTGCCTTTGCTTCGACCTGCAGTAAAGTGAAATCAAAATTTGAGCGAAATGCTATCGCCTTCTCAAGGGAGCCAGGGCATAACTCATCGTGGGTCTCGACAGGGAAGTTCTTCGAATACCAATGATTCTATGAATAAACAGCCGATAATGGCATGCCGTCTATGACCTGGGCATACGTGGACTCGGCGACTGGTGTAGAGAGTACGTTCGAGAGAGCTTGACGTAAAGGCTGGAGATGCTCGGCATCCAGGTCCTCCAGAGATATATTAGCCATGATATGTGGTGGGGGCCGTAAGCCTGTCGAATGGCACACAGAAATTTAGATCGTCGCAAAAACCGAGGCTCGATCAAATAACAGAGGGAAGCGTCAGACTGAATAGATTGAACGGCTCGGCCAAGAGCACTGAGGCGCAGGCTATGGCTTTCGTGGTCACGAACCAACAAACACTTCGACACGGGATTCAATCTCGATGCCGTCGACTTTGCGTTGGTTTAAAACGACGGAGGCGTAGCGCTCCCTGGCTCTGACCTCGGCCCTGAGGAGGGCTGGATATATGGCCCCGAGGCGTCGGAAGTGCTGCCAAATAGTGCAGACAGATGTGTCCCACCGTTTGCGACAACGTTGTAACCCTAAAACCGGAGTCAGCGTACGCCCACCCAGCTTCCACAGTACGCCCACCCAGCTTCCAGCGTTGACCCACCCAGTATAAAGAAAATTAGCTGCATCCGCACTAAAATGCAGGTACTGCGGGGTTTCTAAATTAGCAAAGCTATAGCTATTTCAAAGGGGTTTTATAACTACCCCTTTATTTGCAACTTAAAAGTTACTTCTACCCTTCTGCCCTCTGCCCCCTCGGCGCCCTTGGCCACCTTCGCCGCCCTCGCCCACCCTCGCCGCCCTCGCCGCCCTAGGCGCCCTCGCCGCTCTAAGCGCCCTGGGGCCCTCTAGGCGCTCTGGGGCCCTCTGGGCGCTCTGGGGGCTCTGGGCGCTCTGGGGGCTCTAGGCGCTCTAGGGCCCTCTAAGCTTTTTAGGCTTGTATTTTTAAAGTATCGCTTAAATTGGAAAATAGCTACCCTAGCTTCTTATATGCGGGGTAAACTTAGAAAAGTACCTAGTCTTATTAATATAATACTAAGAAAAGGAAGTACTGGGTGGGCCAACGCTGGAAGCTGGGTGGGCGTACTGTGGAAGCTGGGTGGGCGTACGCTGACTCCTAAAACCGCACGGAGGCGAGCGGTAAGTCAGAAGTGAACAGCCGTTCCATGTGGATGTTCGAAGTGGGCAACCGGACAGCCTTGACTGCACATGGGAACCGTCCGACATCAAATATAAATACGCAGGGCGGCGGCACAACATGCAAGCGCTACACACATAGTAACCATTTCTACATGCGAGCCAATGTTTGCCTGGAAAACTGTGGTTCCACTTTGGTCAAGTGATGGGTCTCTCGAACGGTGGTTAAGCCATGCAGTCGAGGTCGTCCTAAAGAGCTAAATCCACCCTGCAACCGATCACTTCATCATACCCGACGCTGCCAGTCCAGATTTGTCGCCTGTCCTACCGCACTTGGGTTTCATCACCTAAGCTTGTCCCAGCGTGGATCTTGCTCTAGGAAATTCTCCAGTGCCAGCCACCCTGATACCCGTCTTCATGCTTATCTTTCTCATTATTCGAGCCTCCAGCCGCCCCGCAATCTTTGCTTCGTCGCTGTCATCTTCTGCGTCGGGGTCGTCTTTACGCCGGGCCGTTGTGTCGAACATTAACCACAGCCCAAATACTATGAGTGTCAGAGGTGTTGACAACACGAAGTATATCCATAAGCTTCGTGACACGTGTCCGTTCAGATCTAATAGGTATGTATCAGCCTGGGCAAAAGATCTGTACTCGGTGGGAGACTCTGATCGAGTCTCGGCGAGCTGCAGGATTGCTACATACCACTGCTGAAATCAAAGAATGGCATGCTGAAGATAGATGATATGAAAGTTCCCGGGAGGAAGAATGACCCGATCAATGTCAAGGTCTTCATCGATGCGCTTTCGCGACCGCTGCTATTCACCAAGCGTTTTTGTTGAATAGCGATCTCCAGATTCAATCTCGATTCCCTCTGGGTAATGATATTATGTACCTATGAAAGTTTGTACGTTAACTTGATTCCCAACATAATCTCTGACAAGAACATCGGCTTTCTTACCACCTCTCGAAGAACGCCGAGTCTTTCCAGGGTAACATGGGCATGATTCTCGATGCCCTGCAACTTGACATCCAGGAAGTCAAGCCGATTCATCAAAGTGTCATGCAAGTCTATCAGCTCGGGACTCTTCTTCTCGGCCGGAGTACGATCCCAAAAATGCGCCGCCGCACGCCTGACGTTGTCGACGACGTTCTGCCACGCCTGCGGCCTTTTCTGAAGGACCTCAGTCTGGCAGACGGCGATTCTCTTGCTGATGTTGTCAAGTTCTGGGTCTTTCTCAGGACCATAGTGGGGTGCAGGGGTCACTGAATACCGAGAGATCAGGGCGTCGTCCAATGTGCGAAGCTCTGTTCTTAGTGCCCGCTGCTTCTGGTCGTTTTTGGAGGACAGTTCGTGACACAATATTAGGACTGGAAGAAGTAGGGGGTGGGAGACAGGTCTGCCGCAGAGAACTAAGTCATCCAGAACTTCCCTGAAGTTCATTTCCTCTACTGCCTTCACATAGCCGGAAGTCATGTCAGTGACAAAGGAGTATGACAACATCATTTCCCGACCCCTGGAAGTGCCCTTCCATTCCACATCGGACTTTCGGAAAATGAGCTCTAGATTAAGTCAGAAATCAAATGGCTCAGATCGGATATCAACTACTGCCGCCATATGACTCCCTCGAGTACAGCAATCAGAAGGTAGGGGTGGGTGTTCAACGTACGAAGATAGTCCCCAACATGCGCCCACCAGAAACATGGCCCAACTGCGCTCGAAGAATCGAGACATCGATAGGACAATCGGAACTGTCTTATGAGACTTCTGTAAGACGATGTCTCCAAAGATATCACGCCGGGAGAAAAAGCCTCAGGATCCTTAGCTTTCGTCTGGAGACTGGAAAGAAATGCCGTCTTAGTCACAACCACAGATATAGGGAAAGGAGTAGGAGAACTCTTACATCAGTCTAATTCCATCTTTAAGACTGACTCCATCTGCCAATTCTCGCGACGCAAAAGGTGGCTATTTGATCGATGATCAGCAGTGCTCCATGACCCGTTGTCCTCACCCGTCAAGACTATAGCCCTGCGGCGCCAAGGCGTTGCAGCCGTACCTCGCGCTTCAGAAAGCTCATGAAGGCCTCAGTCGATCTCAACTCGGATCGGTGTTCTGCCGTACTGATTTGCGGGTCCTGGCCATGAAGACGGTGGTTAGCGCAAAGGCCTGAAGTTGGAAGTCTTAAGTCTCATTTGGGGAAGACGCCTGTACCGAGTAATTAAGAATTTCCAGCCAGGTCACATCTTCCGTCTTCGTCCGACAAGACTGCAGTTGTTTTTCAAAAAACTTCTCATCCATTTCGGGTTGAATCTATCTGCCAAATTACAAATTCCCAGACGGCAAGTCATGTTTAAGAAGCCTCGTGGATACTCCTCTTCCCCTCTTTTTGTCTGATTACCCGCATATTCAGCTGATGTCGTCGTGCATGAGAATCCCATGCCCCCCCACGCTCGCCGCCGTAAGCAGCTAGATCGCAAATGTATTGTGCTCAAAGTGGAAAGCTTCGACGCAGGGAGTTGTGCCTCGGGAATAAAACCAGCACCTGTTCACTTCTGGGAAGCTAACTTGGCCTTCATGGTAGTTCCATCTACCGGCCTGGACGTCAACCGGCGAGTCTATGAGTTGGCACATAAAGCTATTAGAAACATCTCTTTTCAAAGGCTTGCATTAGAAGGGAAAAGGAACCAGGACTTACGTTATATAACTCCGACTTGACCTTATATTGGCCATTGCCATCAAGCGTAGGGAGTCCCTTTTCATCCAAGACGCTCTCACCCAGCCCCACCTTAACAAAATCGTACTTCCGGGCCACAACGCTGATGATGATACGAGACTCGAGATTCGCAAGTTCGGACCCGATGCAATTCCTCGGACCCCTCTCAAACGGCCGCCATGCACTGGCGGGGATGCTCTTGGCCGCCTCCCCGAGCCAGCGCTCAGGGCGCCAGACATCCGCCGTGTCTCCGTAGACGGATGGGTCCCGCTGGATGATACTGTGCGCGGAGTACATCATGGTCCCGTCGAGATTGTATTCCTCGCCGGTCGGGGCGCGAACTGTGAAGCCGGCTCCAGGTTGCGTCATGCGGACGGTGGCGGCTGGGGGGTGCAGGCGAAGTGTCTCTTTGATCACGGCGTTGACGTAATGCAGACCGGGGAGGATTTGCTCGCCTCGCTCTGCGAGGGTAGCACATATGGTGCGTGGGTCGGCTTCAGGCCCGAGAACCTCATCGAGCTCGTCGCGGACTGCCTTGAGCGCGCGGGGTGTGCGGCTCAGCTCGTAGATTGCCCACTGGAGCATGCTCGCGTTTGTATCGTGTCCTGCGAATAGAAAACTGCGGACTTGGTCTGATGTCTCTGATAGGAGCTGCGGCGTAAGGGCTTCTGTATCTTGGATGCTGAGAGCCACAATGCTCCGTGATCGGTTCCCTTTCACTTCCTCTTTCAACTCGGTATATCTTTGCTGAATTGTATCCTTTACCAGCGCATCAGTACGCTTAGCTAGTCGGTATCGCTTCGATGTAGTCAGAGGGTTCAGCCACCATGGAAGATTGCTTTTCTCGTCGTGGTAAGTCTTCACAATCTCATTGAATAGCCGGGCGAGTTCGCCTTGCTTCGAGCTGCCCAACTGTTGTGCGTCGAGTTCGGCTCCCATCACAGCGGCACCGATAATATCAAGGGTTAAATTAGACATGAGTTGTTCCAGAGAGAATGATTTTCCTGAAGAGGCAAAGTCGTCCAGGTACTTCAAGAATGGTCCCATACTCTCAAGGATGAGGGGCAACAGAGTCCACAAATGTTGAGGTGAGAAACCTGGATTATACCGTTTCCGGAGATCCTTCCAGTCTTGACCCTGGGCAACACCACAACCGTTAGTGAGGCTTACCAGTCATGGAACATTGAAACTCACTTCTTTACCTATAATTGACGTCTCTCCTATTATAGGTATCATATGCCTCCACGTTGGGGACTTGGGCGTGCTCAGAGGGAAGAGATTAGACTGCTTGGATATCTGTTCGGCCATACTATGGCTGGGGACCAGAACCATAGGAGGGACGATAGGGCGGAGGTCTACGAGCATAACCGGGGGTCGGCCCAACGATACCCACATCTCTTCGAAGATTTTATCTGTCTGACTGTCAGTTGCCGTCTCGCCAAGCATGGTTGTTGAGAGTAGACATCATGAGCAAGATTGCTCTAAGCGGACGCATCTCAACAGCATACCTGGGTGACGGTCGCGTATCCCTTGACTCGTGAACTCGCCGAAGGCCTTGAGATGGCCCCAGAGAAGGTGGTTCGGCAACTGTGGAATGTGTGCGAATTGCCTGCTGCGCAGGTATCTCAGCCTCGAGTAGAGGTACGAGGCCAGCAGTGCGCCAGCCGCAGCTAGGAACAGTTGGAACATGATGACGCGAAGCCGTGCTGTCGCGACGAGGGTCCGATGGCGTCAGGGTTGTTTTTCAGCTCAGCCTAGCTCGTACGAATGCTATCGCCAGCTGCTGACATGGGAAACATGAGTGAAGTCAAGATGCAACGGGAACTTTGGGATTAAGAAAGGACACCAACTGGTTCAGCTCCGCCTGAGCGTGCCAAGGCGCGGGCTTGCAAGGATCGAGGTCCCGGAGCGTCGTTGCACTGGAGCTGATTCCCTGAAGTTATCTCCGAGGGGATTGGTCAGTTTAGTCGATCCGCGGATGGATTAGCCGGACTATAGCTTAACTGTTGAAGGATCTAGCCTAGAGCTAGTGTGGAGAGAAGGACGTTGTTATGGTTAAGCGCTGACTTGGACGGGTGCCTGGGGCGGGGTTGTTTGCTGTTGGTTGTAGCGCCACAAGAACAAGAACAATACGGCCGGGCCAACTTAGTGCGGGATAACGTGGCACATCCGAGAGTGTTTTGGACATTAAAGCTGACCTTGGATATTTCTTCTTCAGTTTGATGACTCAAACCACTGGCCACTTCGAACATCAACCTCCCAAATGTATTAACAAAGAGTCCAATCCACAGCTAGACAAAATGATGGAACAGTCGAATCAGTGAGTTTACTCTCTCGAACTCCAGTCCTAAGTTGACTTCGAGGTTGGATGCCCATGGCTACTCCCTGCGACCAGCAGGACAGGGCTCCCACTCAAACCTCGCGGAAAAGACCCAGCTCATCCACAAGACTATTCACATCCTTCAGGTGGAAGGGCTTTCTCAACGCAGTAGTGAAGCCGAACTTGCGCATTCTGTCCCTGTCTTCTTTGAACAGCGTCCGAGTCCCGGCAGTAAGAGCCACAATAAAGCCAGGGTTCAATTTGTTTTCAGTTTCAAATGTGCGAATAAGCCTTGTGGCCTCAATACCATCCATGATAGGCATTGAAACATCCATCAGGATGCACTGAAAGACCTGATGCCTTTCCTTATACGCCTCGACTGCTTCTTCGCCGTTGACTACCAAGTCGCAGTTGTGACCCAACTGATCCATGAGCTTGGTGACAAGCATTCTCATGATCTTATTGTCGTCGGCGACGAGAAAATGAACTGGTTTGAATTTCCTGGTCGAAACTTGTTCGGAATCTGGCTGAGACTTGACTAAGACTTCTGCTTTCGGTGCTTCCGGGGTGTTGCACAGGCGTTGGCTTGTGTGTGGAGTCTCTTGTGCCTGTTCGTTTTCCGGCATCGTTTCGTGTCTGCTTTCCTCGAGTGGCTTGTGGGCGTGTTTGATGCCGAAGGTTTGTGGATTGTATTCACCATGAAAAGAGAATCAGGGTGGAAAGTGATTCGAATGCCGTTTTCTGCGGGTCTGGCCTTCGAAATGGCTGCAGCCTGCTTGCACTGCCAGTGGCAGCTCCTCGAACCGCGGCATTTTCATCATTTGCGGGCCTTTTCTGTGGACCTACGCACCCCGCAGTTTTCTCTGCTCCTCGGCTCACAAGCTTATCCAGACACCAGGGGCATAACTCCCCCGTCGTTCTTGACGGCCGGACTTGGTTCAAGAAGAAATGTGTCAAATTCGCTCATTGGTCTCGAGGCTGATTCAATGATGCAGACAATGCCGAGCTCCTGTCATGGACCACGCTGGAGTCTCACTAAGTATCTGAACTAAGTCAGTGCAGGAGTTAATGCAGGTGGTTTTCAATATGAGTCTCCTGACGTCTCACACCGGAAGTTGGATCACCTTCATATGCCCGCAGAGACTCTGGGATGTCTTCATACGTATTTTCCCAGGCTCGCATCTTATTTTCCATATCAAAGAATTCTAAGTGCCGGGTGGAGCTTTCACAATCTTCTGAAAGCGTATCAAGTAAGTCAAGCGGCCCACATGTGGACCACCCTCCCATTTGGACCACTTTTCACACCAAAAGGCTAATATTTATCTCCACCAATTTAATAGCTATAATTTTAAAAATAACACCACATATAAACTATATATACAAAACCGTATTATAAAAGTATAAATATTCTAAGTGTTTTCTTTATTATTTTATATAAAATATAATTTACAAGACCTTTATATTTTAAATAATTATATCTTTTAAAGTATAATAAATATAAAGCTGGAAATAAAGATATATATAATATGAATATATTTATTTTAAATAAAAATACAACTCAAATTTAAGAAATTCTCAATAAATAAATATTATCTTTGTTGAATGGCCTTTGCCATATGGCTGTGTTTGTACGTACGTACGGTATTCGTTCAATTTGGTTCTGTCTTCGTTGTTCTATCTAAGTTATGAAACAAGGGAGCAGATGGGTGCTGTGCGGGGAAGTACCGCACGACACCCTAAGGTAGGATTAGTCATCCCCACCCGCTGGCATATCTCCGTGCGGTCAGCTCCAGTGTTATTCCAACAATCTTAAATAATAACCTTTTAATATTATATTACATATATTATTAAATAATGTAATTTAATATAATTTAAGGTAATATTACTATTATATGTATTATATATAAATTAAGGCTATAGGAAAGGTCTTATAAAATTACAGATTTTATTTAACTTGAAAAATAAGAATTGAGCTTTTATCATATAAACTTTTATTAAGGAAATTATATTATTTTTATATATTTTAAATCAATTTATTTTATATATATATTTAATACTTGCATGTATATAAAAAACACCTCTTAAATCTATATAGTTTATTTAAATATTTATATAAATATTAATAATGTTGAGGAATATTATATAATAACGTGTAAATCTTGATAGCTTAGTTTATATAAATATATGCTTTTATTAGAATTATATATATACTATTTGGATTTTTTCTTATATTTAATTTATAAATATCTAGCCGTATATAAAGTTTCATTATTATATGTTTTTGATAAAGATATAAGTGTTTAAAAAGCTAGCCTTTTGGTGTGAAAAGTGGTCCATATGTGGGCCGCTTGACTTATCTCCTCGTCTTCTGGGCTCCACTAGGGAAGTAGTCTTTTGCATAGGATCTTAGCAACAACGTGATATGCATTCTTCTTTGCGTAGAGAACGGCTTCAAGGGGTTGCTTGCGGTCCTGATAGGCTATCGACTTGCTATAGGCAAGAAGTAACTTAACTATATCCTTGCGACTATATTTCGCTGCACCTTAAAGTGCTATGCGACTGTATATAGCTATACCCGCCGCGTAAGGATCGGCGCCCTGGCTAATCAGGTATTCCATTATCGGTATAAATCCCTAAATAAACGCAATTTCCAGTGCTATTGCTCTCGAATTTATGGCTGCTAGCGCATTAATATTTGCTTCCATATTGATAAAGAGGGTGACTAAGTCCATATTTTGCTTATTGACTGCATGCTGAAAAGCTGTCTTCAGCAGAATGGTAGGGGCCTCGTCAAAGCTCACAACATACCTTAACGGGGCAAAACAGAAAGGCTGAGATGGATACAGGTCCATTGCATCAATCATTGTTCCTATATCAAGTAGGAACCTAACTATCCTAGGGTATGCGATGTAAACCGCTGTTTGCAAAGCCATGGGACACCAGTCTGGGCGATCATCATGGCTCAGAATATATTGCCAACAATCCAGTTGTTTTAGTCGTTAAAGTATTAATAGGTAGCCTTAGCAGGATGTTACTAATACTGTTTAGCCATCAGGTTTATAATGCTGTGAAAGAAGCAGATTGAATATCTCTTCAGCGGTGATTTCTGGCAGTATCATAGCGGCGGCTATTAGTAGTGAACACCTCGTGTTTGGGTCGTCCATTCCGCAGTATTTAATCCAGAAGTCCAGATATCCTGAGTTACGTTCATCTTTGTTTGTACCCGGTGGCCGAATCGTGTTTACGCTGCACGTCAAAATCTCTTTCAGAAGGAACATGGGAATCAAGCCACTGCTTCGCATACAGTCTTGACTGTGTTTAATGAGTATTCGGAGAATATCGGCACGACTAGCGCGAGCTGCCATTGCAATAGCAGTACTCTCCCAGTCTTCGTGCCTGTTTGATATGTTCCGCCGAGAGATGAGGACTCGGAGATCGTCCATCTTAAGATAGTCGGCGTGTTGGCGGTCTTCCTCCTCATGCTCGTAATGGGTGGAGTAATAGATTTCTTTGTCTCCTGATACGACTCGAGCAATCACATGGCATAGCCCTTTGGAGTCATAGGCATCTGGTTGACCATTGAGAACATATCGAACTACTTCCGGGCATGCCAAGGCGAGTAAGAGCCGAATAGTCGACATTTTAGTGATTGGAGGCTCGGAAGACCTAGCAGCAAGTATCAGCTTTATCTGCACACTCCTTGAGAGTTGATAGATCTTGGAGCTATACTTCTTCCATTTGCAAAGCATGCACAGGAAGTCTGATGGCATTAGTGACATACCAAATGAGAATAGCGCCAGAATCATGTCTTTGTATTCGTTCTGAATAGCCCTCTGGAGGACGGCGAGCCTATTCTAGAGTACGGCAGTTGTTTGCTTAGGTGCCTTTGCAAGTAATGCATGAATGAACCGCCTGGATCTTGCTTGCCCTGATCCCCCCCCCCCTGAAGTCGTATATGATAATGTTTGATTGAGCTGATGAAGAAAAGTTCTCTACCGGTTAGTTCACAGTCTGCTGAAAGGAACTGAATTGCTGAAATCCACCGTGAATAATGGATTGCGCATTCTAGCGCGGTCACCGCTAATGGTTCATGCGATCCAGAACAACCAGGGAAGCCGTCAAGTTGATAGAGCCTCGCGCGGTGATTGATGTCAGCATCATGTTTGAGTAGTATTAAACCCAATGCTCGGGTTACTTCGGGCCGCTCTTCGGAGAGAGCCAATATATGAAGGGGTGAGAAGTCCCAGCCGTTGAGATCCTGATCATTTGGGCTGTTTGGAGACGCTCCCAGCCTTAGGAAAAGAGGGATAGCATTTGCATGTTTGTTACGGCCTGATGAACGAGCAGCTGTGTTGCAGGCAAATGAGAGTGGTGACCTAAGCTTGGGAATAAAGCTAGTGATGGGAGCCCTATATTGGAATAGAAGATAAATTACTTCCTTGTTACAAGCTTTAGCCGCAGTAAGCATTGCCTTTAAATTAGCTTTGGCGTTGCGCTTCAGTAAGCAGTGAATAAGTGAAAGTTTTAGTGAAAGTTTTTCGGTAGATTATCTTTGATTTGAATATGCTACTAGGAGTGGGGTGACTTGTTTAAATCCTAGAAAGTTACTTTGAATGCCTTCACCCAACTTGGATGCTGCGATGGCAAAGTTAATTACCCGTTCAGGTTGAATACAGATTAGATTTTCCGCGATGTCGTGACACTTTGCATTGATAATCCATAGCAGATCGCTGTTTAAAATACATAGGTCTTTTCTCAGCAAAGAGAGAATTAATTTCTTAGGACTGTGTATCTCCCCTACTTGCTGTCTTGATATCCCACTGTAGCGGCTGCAAATCGCAACTAATAGTAATGAAATAACATAACGGCAGTCGTGACTGTTGAACAACTGTACGGGTTGCGTTGGGTTTGCTCCAAGGACAAGGGATAGGTCCAGCATGCTATGGTTACATATGTCTATTGATTCTTTTAATAGTCTTTTAGTGATTGCTTAGATAATCTTTAAATCGATCACGGCCAGCACATCTTCGAGGCGAGGAAGGATAGTATCCCATATGGGTGTGTTTATAATCAAGGCCATTGCTTCGCAGCCGGTATTACCTAGAGATTGGTTGAACAGCCCGTATAGCAGGTTAACAAGATTTTGTGCAATGGCTGTATGGATGTGTGATCCGCTGAAAGACCTTGGGACTCCATTTTGATGAATGAAAACTCTATTATGAAATTCTTTAAGGGTGTCCTAAGGTTTAGCTGGTGAGGACTTCTTGTGGCCCGCGCGAGGCATCGGCATTTCTTTACCTTGATCAGTTCGTGATAAAGGTAATTTATGCCTAAATGTATTGAAAACCTCATGGAACCTTTTGTCTTGCTCATATGATGGAAGGAAGAATCTTGCTAAGGTAATGAGTAAGTACCTAGGGGAGCTCCGGGTTCTCGAAGGGAATCCATATACCTATGAACTGGCCAACTAACAGCTCGACCTTCATCCACTGGGTAGTCCGTGGCCAAACACTCCCAGCTGACGTAAGATGTAGGTTGAGTTTCTCCAGCCTCATCTATGCCATCTTTTCCCTAGAAGGTCGGAGCTAAAGCGATTGGTTACTTAGGGGCGGCGTACGGACTTTAATAAGATAATAGCTAAGCTCTGGTGGTATTTATGATGGAGCTATTGCTTTAGTAAGAACAACGCTATACTTGAGGCTTTAGATGAAAGATTAACGTAGTTGGTAGGCGAGTGTGGGCGTATTGTATTTATTGATGGCTTTGGCAACTTTTCTCTCGTTAAAAATGAAGCCATTTATTAATACTTGATTGGTTGGTTTACCTGCCTTTCGATGTTTATTGATGAGATGGCTGATAACCTTTTATTTCGGTTTGTGGAGGCTGTTATGGTACTTTTAGTGCTTGAGTTTTGTTTCTAATTGGGATTTGCTATTGCTAGGTTAGGTTGTTTAGGGCAATGGCAAGGCTTGGCTTCTTACCTTATACACACCCTAAACGGATCTTCCGCTAGTCCTTGTCTCATTTGCTGTTAAGTCTTGCCATTTGCTAGATCCTGGAGGATGCGGGCTTTCAGCTGGTCCCAATTAATTGCATTCCTTGACGCAGCCATGTTGTATGATAAGGTGCGATTGTGGTTATTGTGGAGCAATGGTTTTAAGGATTTGAGAGTAGTTCAACGAGATAGGCTTAGTGGAGATGTTGGGTGAAGCAGGAATGAACTGTAATGCAACGAAGAGTGCAGTAGAGTGGGGTGTCCAGCCTTAAAAGTATCTCTCTCCTGAAAGGTGCTGCCAAGCATTTGATTGGAGGTTGCCAAAATCTGATTTACTTGTCAGGCCACCCCCAGCATAACCACGCAAGCGAGATCTGGTTTTTGGGGCTGCGTGTGCTTACGAGCCTCGATGACTGACAAAGCAAAAAACCGCCGACAGATCCCCGGCGAGCCCGTATTTGTGAGAATTTAGAATTGGGCGCGCGAACACGCTCAGGTGCCACACCTCTATTTCTGGCATTATTATTTCCATATCTCTCATTGGATCTCACCAATTTCACACCACCTCTTCTTCAACCCTGAACAGCCACACAGGCGCAATTCCCACATTGGAATAGCAGATGGACGCGAGGTCGTTACACAGCATCAAATGTGAGCTTCATTGTGGAATCTGATTGACGGGTTCCATTTTCTCATGCTGACTGGGAAACAATGGCATGCGATTGGTCTTCGTCATTTTCCCACTGTTGCCTGTTGACTTTGAGGCTCATTTCTATCTCCTCCAAATGTCTGCTTTAATTGTGTCCAGGCCCTGTTCAACCTCTTTTGAAAAGGCGTAGGCCGGACTTCAACTCTTCAACTTGCCAAAAACTTTTTACAAAACTTAGACCGTGAAGAACTCATCCATTTTATATACGACTATTCCACCGGTGCTGACTCGGGTGAAACTGTGAAATAATTCTCTTCTCTCACAAATGTCGATTTCGCTCGAGGCAATCTTTGGCGCCATCGCCATCTTCGTCGCACTCCCTTCGGCCATTGTGATTATCATGAGATCCATGACACATCGACGGCGGCAGCATATTCTGCCTGTGGTTCAGCCTCGCCCAGGTCAGTTTGTCGGGACCCATACGGGCTCATGAGACCCATAACTAACATTTTGCGACATGCAGGCCGCCACGCCAATTCGTCACAACTTCCGCCTGCCTTTCGCATCATTGCACAAGTAGAAATGTTACTCCATCCCAGTCGATAATTTGATCGGAGGGGAAGGAAAATACCTGGGCAGTGACACTAGTCATCGATGAGTTCTTCTAAGCCGTGGGGGACCAAATGAAAGAGCGGGTGCGAGAAATCTTCCGAGACGGTGATTGAGTTGTTTCCTAACCCTTAGAAGACTACAGACTTCAAAGGACCCCGTCTTGTTCAGTCGAGGTCTTGGATGAACGGTATGTGATATAATCGAAGAAGACTGAGGGGATGTCTATTCAAAATGTATTATAGAACCTTGACTGTTCAGTTCAAAGAAAGACAAACAAGGGAGTGTATGGAATATCATGACATCAACTAGTGTTTTCCATACATATGTACTTAAGCAAAAGTGTTTGTTAGTGGCCCAATATCTACCCCTATCTGTTTCTTATGTAGCTGGCCCGGGCACATATAAAGCCACTGCAACTGTTTTCAAAGGCCGCACGTCACCACTCATGCCGCATGCTGGTGAGATCCACCTATGATCTCAGCTTGATTCAACGGTTTAGCTCATCTTCTGTCTCATCAATGGCGGAGATTCACGCTAGCGAGACACCGCACCAAATTACTCAGAGTCATCCATCGGCTCCTCATCCATTGCCTCCCCATCCTTAGACACGAATCTGACATCCACCCGCGCACTAACGGTGATTGTGCTTGGTTCCAACGCAGGGCCTTCAATCGTTACTCCCTGGTCCGTCTGCACGGTAGCCCGTGAGGTCCAAGCCTGCGCGGGAGCCTGAGCCAGCGGACCCGCTCGCCGCGCCGTCTGCTTCGTGCGTCCGGAGTGGGCGATGTTAGCAGGGCCGTCCTCGACCTTTACGGCGACGACCTCGCGCCCGACGACGCCCGCATAGTCCTCTGCCTTCTGCACCGCGTCCTTCATGGCATTCACGCGGGCCTCGCGGCAGATGGCCGCGTGGGTGGCGTCCGTCAGACGCCACTCGGTCTGCGTGATGCTCACGTTCTCCATGGCTGACAGCTCGTTGGCGAGCCGCGCGAGGAGCTCCAGGTCGCGGAAGATGACCTCGGCCGTCGTGGTGGCGGTGTATTCCTTGGGCGAGGTCTTGAGCTCCCTGCCATTCTTGGCCCTGGGGATGAAGGTCGAGGTCTCCGGGGCGGACGCGGAGAAGGCGGTGATGCCTGCTGATGGGTGAGGATATAGACCGTCCTCTGTCTTTTGGGCGAAGCGGCGGAAGGTGTTGATCATGGTCTCGGTGGTGCTGCTGACATTAGAGGATGCGTCAGCCTGAGAAGTGGTTGTTGAGGAGACTTCGATGTGGAGTACTCCGCGCTCTGCTGTGCGGAACACAGAAGCGGACCCGTTGACGTGGATTTTGAGTTGAGGGATCATCGTGAAGCATCACTGGTTTCAGACTGGGAAACAGTGATGACAATGATGAAGTAAGAAGAAGTACAAATCCAAGACGGTGTTTTTAAGGATTCTGGCTTTCCATGTTCCTCACGAGAATCTCTTGGCTTGAATGGGTTAGGCTGCGGCGTTTAGCGCTGAGTTCTGCCTGATCCCACGAGGCGCAGCGATACCACTTAACTGTGAATCAACCAACACACCTGTGCCTGGGCAAGGAACTCGAGAGTCACTTTTCAGTGTTTAAGCTGCTTATCAGATAACGCCGCTTGTTTTGGAAGAAACACAACCAACACGCATAAATCAGAAAATGTCTTGGCGTCCCAAATTTGCCCAACCAAGCCCTATGCTGATACATAGATTTATTATATTTCCTTAATACATGATACGATGTCTTCATTTCGTAAGGAACTGTTACTCACTGCATAATTAAGCGTAGCTGGGATAGCTGCGAAGCATTTTGCGGAGACGACGCTTCGTGCTTAGTCTTGCACGCCGAGAGATCGGAAGATGAGGATAGTCCGGCGATCCACTACGGCGTGATTGCTTCTGCGAACCAGCTGATGAGAGATGCGTTGATCCGCGACGGGTTGTCTGCGGAGGAGGACATTTTGTGCTTTGAGATGGAGGCCGCAGGGTTGATGAATCACTTTCCATGCCTGGTGATCCGCGGCGTGTGTGACTATGCGGATACGCACAAGAATAGTGTATGGCAGGGATATGCGGCTATGGCGGCTGCGGCTTATGCAAATGATTTGCTCGGCACCATTACACCGAACAAGATCGAGGCAGAGAGGAGGCTGAGCGAGGTTCTCGCGATTGGTTAGTAGTCGCAGTTCTTCCAGCAACGCTGCACGGGTGGTGATACACCCAATGACGGTCGCTAATGCTCAGAAATTCCCAGTAGTCAATGAACGGGTAGAAGATGTGTACGCCCTGGCAAAAGTTACGAACACAGGCATAGCGGGGCTCCAGGCAGATAGCCATGCTGAGCGCATCAGGACCTGGCTTTCGCCGCCCGACCCTTCGGAAACCCAAAATTAAGCTCTTAAGCGACGCCAGCAGGGCTTAGGCATGTGGCTGGTTCAATGCGACAAGTATGCAGCCTGGAAGACCGAGGAGAACTCGTTTATATGGCTCTACGGAATCCCAGGGTGCGGCAAGACAATCCTCAGCTCGACCGTCATTGAGGACTTGGGACGGAGCGAGCCTTCTTCTCTGTCCTTCCTTTATCACTACTTCGATTTTAGCAATGTACGAAAGCAGTCTCGTGAGAACGCGGTCCGTTCGCTCATTAGCCAGCTTTACGACAAGAAGCCAAACGTTCGAGAACACCTAGACTCACTGCACACCTCCTGCCATAGCGGCAACCAACAGCCGAGCGATCAAGCGCTACGTAGGGCGTTCCAGAGCATGATCCAGGATACCGGCGAGATTTGGATCGTTCTTGATGCACTTGACGAGTGCCAGAATCGGAATGAGTATTCGGATCTGAGCCTACTCGAGTGGTTCGAATTTCTTCAAGGGGAGCAAGGCAATGTGCACCTGCTTGTCACGAGCCGCCCAGAGCAAGACATTGAATCGGCCATCGACAGATATCGGGGTAGCATTAAACATTCAATCTCGATCCAAAGCGACTTGGTGAAAGGGGACATCAAAGCTTATATCCGTGCAAGGCTCATAGGTAACAGTGAACTACGCAGATGGCGGTCAAACATACCTGTGCAAAATGAGATTGAAGCGGTCCTGATAGAGAAGGCTGACGGAATGTAAGTTCTGCTTTTGAAATCCTGTTTGCCATGCGCTGAGACTCCCCAGGTTTCGCTGGGTACAATGCCAGCTTGATGACCTAGAACATCGTTTTACCCGTCGATCTGTGAGAACAGCTCTTGCGTCGCTACCAAGGACTTTAGACGATACGTACGCACGGATCCTACAGAACATACCCGAAGACTATAGGGAGCATACGAAGCGAATGCTACAATTCCTGACCTATTCCGAGCATCCCATGACATTCCGTGAGCTTGTCGACGCTCTTGCGGTTGAGGTGGAGCCGAGGCGTTCATTTGACCCAACCGACAGGATGCCTGACCCGGCGGAGGTCACGAGATATTGTTCCAGCCTGGTCATGGTCATCTCAGGAGATAAGCTTCCTTTTTCCATTCGTTTTCCGATGTCGAGCCGTCTCAGCACGAGCACGTATACTAGAAGTATCGAATGGGATACAGACGACTTTTGGGAAAATGAGATCCAGCTTTCTCACTTTTCCGTAAGGGAGTATCTCACCTCAGAGAGACTTCCAGAATACTTAGCCAAGGACCTTGAAAACATCGCTGCCAGGGCTGCTATTGTCCAGGTCAGCCTAGCATATCTCCTGGGCATCGACCACAACCGTTCAAGAAGGAAGATCGCGCGGAAATTCCCGTTTGCTGACTATGCGGCACGATACTGGGCAAGCCAAGCGGCGATGGTGGAGGCATTCAGTCAGGAGACGCGACGGCTTATACAATAGTTCTTCAAGTGCACCAGCGCCTTGCAAACTTGCTGTCGGCTGTACTGTATTGATCAATACTTGGGAGATCTTGTTGAAAGGAGTGATGTACCCCCATCTCCTTTATATTATGCATCATCAATGGGGCTTTTTCATTCTTGTCAGCTTCTTCTTGACAACGGCGCCGAAGTCAGTGCCCAAGGAGGAGTGCTGGGCAATGCACTACAGGCTGCTGCGCATAAGGGCCATACGGAGATTGTCAAAATGCTTCTTCAGCATGGTGCGGATGTAAATGCACAAGGAGGAGGGCTGGTCAACGCACTCCAAGCTGCTACAGAAAGCGGCGAGACGGAGATTGTCCAAATGCTACTTGAGCATGGTGCCGATATACATCCACGGGGAGGAACCGGAGGAAACGTCGGCGCACTCTGGGCTGCTTCATACGGGGGCCATACGGATATTGTCCGGATGCTTCAGGATAGGGATGCCACGTAAGTCCATGTATCCACTGAAGCACCTCCCCCCTTCGCCCACACACGACCACGTATTACAAACCGTTTGAATGACCTGTTCACCTTATGCGATTCAGACCCGGTGTACTAAATCCGGCGACTTGGAAACAGTGGTTTCAGACCTTCTACGATTGATTGAGACTTGATCATGGGTATGAACGTGCGCGAAGGGGGTCGTGCTTGGGTGGGTACATGGACTCAAGCGCGCTCCAGGCTGGTTGAAAAGAGTGCCGTTTATGAAGATGTATAGGGTCGCCAATGCCCTTGAAAGAGACAATTGCAATTTCCTGCAATCTAGAATGATATCACGTATGTACTTTCAGCAATCCAGGACATGATATTTGTAAATACTTCAGACTATGTAGATCAAGACTTATTTGATATTCATTTTATGTATTCAATCCAGGTGCAAAATGAGAGAGGCTTTAATTAAAAAAAGCCACCAACTTTAACAAAATCTACAATTCAGCTCAAATACTAAAGCAACTGAGAAGTTAACACTAATAACACAAACACATGATTTTGTTAAGAGCTTAGAATAACTAAAACTGTATATAATATTATACATGATATCCTTTATCTTTTATAATAATAATAGTTATAGCCTTTAAAGGCTTTTATTCAAATTTTGATGCTTCAATCATTTACAGGGACAGATGGGACAAGGCTGTTGTTGACTCTAAACCCACAAAGCTAGTCGGAGGCGGGGGAATGTGGTGAGACGGCGCCCTCTGCCGCTACACTACAGCATAGGTTTCCAAAAGGTCAGCTTAGTCTAGAACGGTTTCAGAGAATAGAGTGTGCTCTATATAATTTTGCCGTCATATGAAGGACATTTGCTCGGTCCGTTAAATTAGGCAGCGATGTTGCAGTTGGCCAGGCGGCTTGCCAGGCATGTTTGTCACAACTGGAACCAGAGAGCAGGCAATCCACGTGCCATCGCTCATGTGAATACTTAGCGAAAAGACAAGACCGGAAGTTAATCCACCGTACTCGGCATTAAGAAGACCCCAACGCATGTACGGACAATGTCGGCACAGCTGGGCTCTGGCTCGGCACCGATATCGGCATATCGGCAGGGATCTCTATCGATAAGAAAGCCCACGAAGCTAAGCTGCCTAGCTTTGAGGCCGGCAAAATCACAGCCACGACCTCAACTCCAATGCCGTAGTAGGCAGCCCTCACACTCGCTGGCCATTTGGGCCTGTTGGACTTTCCGTCATGTTCAAGGCATGTGGTCTGGATTTGGGCGTCTGTCGCCTCCACGTCCACTCAATACGGGCACTTTGGGGACCTAGAGTGGCTCGCTCCTTCACTACTACCCTCAATGTCTCCGAACATCAACGCCTAAAATTCTCTCGCAGGTATGGTCACCAGGACGAGAACCGCAAACTTAACCCGCCGACGATCGAAACGAGCAAGCTACAAAGCCACAAAGTGCAAGACACTACCCCACCGAGCACGCAAGCGAGCGAGCGAGAGGTACACCCAGTGACAGAGGTGCGCGAGCACTTTGAGGATCGAGGCCAGGAGAGCTGCTGAAAATATATGTCTTCAGGATGAAATTGTCGGGGACACCTCTCTGCCCATAGCGCGGGACGGCGAAAAGGAAGCACCATCGGACAATACCCACGGAGATTCAAACGTCCCACAGGGTCAGACTGCTTGGGAGAGCGAGCCTGCAAATGACGACCAAGGCAAGCTGAAAGAAGTACCATGGAGGGGCAGAATGGGCTCTTTTCTGCGGGAAATCACCATGCCGCAGGATTTCCACGAGCACCTCCATGCAAGCCTCCTAAAGAATATCATGCGGAGTGGACCCGTGCTGCGCGGCATGCCAGTCTATGACCGAACATTCGACGCGGTCCGGTCGGGCAGGAACCTTTTCATGAAGTCGGCACTCCCAGCCCGATCGCTGCAATACCTATTACCTGTCATCCAAACCATCCTCGATTTCGGGGTCTGGAGGCGCAGGCGCAAGGTCAAGGCCGATGATCAGCTGCCGTTCCGTCCTTCAACACTACTGGTCCTATGCCCCACTCTAGGAGGCGCCCAACACGTGCTGACGATGGGCACAAGGCTCATAGGAGGCCACGATGCTGGAGTGGACATGATGGTTTTGAGTGACCCTACTGCCAAGCAAATGAATGCGTTTAGGATCCGAGGACCCAACATTCTCATGTCCACGCCGGAATGCATACTCCAATGGCTTGCGCTGCCCCATGCCAAGATACCCCTAAACGAAGCGCTGCAGGACGTGCAAACGCTTGTCATCGATGGCCTAGCATCTTCTCTACGACAGGAGGAATTCCTCGAGTTGCTCAAGGAAGTCATGAAAGATCTTCCCTTGCACAAGAAGACTCAGCGCGTGATCATTTCTGACGACCATGATCCGCAGCTTGACGAGCGTCTGACAAGCCTGGTCCTGCACGGTGGTAACGAGCTCGTCCAAGAGCCGCGGCTGGAAGAGATCATGGAGATGAAACGAGCGCAAGACAAGAAGAGGCAGCAGAGGGAAAAGTCCCGACGAGGAGCCAAGAGAGGGAAGGGAAGACGGTCGCGTCCCAAGAAGCGGGGTGTCGGAAAAGCCAATGAGAGGTTCTAGGTTCTTTCTGGATACCGAATAGCAACACTGAAGGGTTGGAACAGGGGATATCGGTCATCTCGCTGTGGAACAGCTGGAAGCCTGCCCTGTCCCCCCAGGCATCGTGCTCGCAGTTGCACGCATTCCGGCCCAAGAAGCCCGCCTGACGAGTGCAGACTCCTCAGGAGCCCAAATCATCAGGTGCATTTCTCGATCTCACGGTATCGGTCTCCAAGACGGCATGAGCACATGCCAGAACAGCCGGCGAATATTCCGAGGACCCGTCACTCGTTTTTTTGCGTGTGCAAATATACGGTCGCGTCGAGCTGAACTTGCCTCGAACCAGTGTACAAGTGGTGGCATGAGTTGAGAGTATTGGCGTTTCGAAGTTTCGAATCGCCGATATGTCAACAGCACTTTGTGTTCAGGTGCACTTCGTGGTGGGTCTTGAGGTTTTGCGGCTTAGTGCAAGCCGCTAGGCCAGCTCGTGAGAACTTGGAAGAGAAGGCCTCGAGTGAACTTCCGAGGTAGAAGATACAATGGCCATGGCGGTTACATCCGTGCTCCAGAAAGGTCCTCCGAGGATGATTTTGGTGGCGGTGGGGTCCTCAGTTCCATGTGGAAGGACCAGCGCCCTGGCCTAGGGCTGACTCGGCTCGACCCATGTGCGACAACGCAATCAGCTGGCTGCCAAAATACCAAGAAACAAGCTAAAGGCATTTGTTTCATGGCGGAAACAATTAATTGGGAGGTGCAATTCGGTTTTGGCTGGTTCGGAGCCGCAGATGGTCGCGATGGTGGCCGGGCTGACAGACCGAGGAGCGTGACAAGGTCCGTTCCTGGGCCGCCGAATCCACCGCCGGGTCGTTGCCCGCAACGAGTATTGGGAAGCTAAGCTTTTTGAAGGCTATGAAACGTGGCATCCACGTCAGCCGTTCGATTGGGGCCGAGATCGTTCGACGGCCCGCGGGGGCGGTTGTGTCTGTCGTCTCATACTCCTCCCGGGAGCTGTTGGTAGACTGGCTCTGGCTATGTGCTCGAGACCTTGGGCTTTTCGATCTTAGCACTGGTTCTGTTACTTCCTGCCACGGTCACAGTGACTGGGTGCGATGTCACCAGTCCATTGGATGCACCAAAGGACAGCCCATGGCAAGCTGTGTGAGGGAACCACCGCGACTCAGGGCACGGAATAGAATAACCCATTCACCAACACATATACATCTCCGTCCTATCTCAGCCTCTGGGATATCAGTCCAATTTTCCTACCACAATCTCACCAGCCGGCGCGATGGCCAATTTGGGAGAGTGGGGGGCACGAAAGCCCCCGTGATCCCAGGTTCAACCCGCCGGCCACCAGCAAAACCCTGATGAAGGACCTGGCCGTTCAGTCGGCTGGCCACGGAGGGGTTTTCCGATCATCTAGATCAGGTCTTTTTGTGATCCAGCCCTACCTACCACTCATTCTACCGAAAGGACTGGCGTCGTATGGCCTCACCACCCCACCCCCCCCCTTCGCCTATCCCCCTTTTCCTTTTTCCGTTGACGGTTTGAGGTGATGATCCTACGGTTAGCCTCGCTGTTTGCACTTAGGCTAAAGCAGCAGTCGGCTGAGATGACTGTGACATTGGTGAAAACAGTTTCCTTGTGTTTTGGCCGTCTTCTTTGCAGCTCGTGGCCCTCACGGCTGTATCGAGGTAACCCTACTCAGAAGCTCTCTTGTCTCCCATAGGCATCTGCTGTAAATACCACGACTTGCGCCAATTAGGGATACCGTGCCACCCACCACCGCGTTTGGCCTATCCCCGAGCCTAAAACATGTGTCGAATAGTCGAATATGGCCGAGTTTCGTTTCACACTGGCACGCACTGACAAGATGCTGGGTCGACGTGTGACTGGTCTTGGCCAGGGGTATGGCCACAGCGAGAGAACCACAATCGTCTTATTCGATGGCGGCCCTGGGCCTGGGCCATTGCACATTGACCCACGGCGCGAACACTCAAGGAGGTGCAACATCCAGGTCGATATAATTCCACGAACTCCGTGATCTTGGCTTATTTGATTTCTCCCCACTGCTCTGTTCTGTGCCAGACATTAATGTACTAGTTGTCGCCCTGGTGGCCTACATTCGTTTCAAATCACACTCCTTCATTTCAACGTATAGCCGTCAGTTTGAACATTGTCCTGGAATTACCCGCACAACAAATATGCATTCCCATACCATCATGACCGGTCTCACAGCCCTTGCATCCCTAACAAAAGCCGCCGTCCTCCACCCCCGCGCCGGCTCCGACCCAGGCGTAGACCTAACCAACGCCTCGGACAAGGAAGCAACCTACTTCTTCTGCAACAACGTCTCCAACGGCGACGGCACAGCCGACCCCGGGGATCCCCTGCACGAACCTGGTGACAAAGGTGGCCGTGAAGCCCTCGCAGACGGCGTCCGTGTCCCTCGGCGCGGACTTCAAGGGCCGCATCGTGCGCGCGACGGACACGCCCGCCACGTGGGTCGAGGTGCAGATCAAGGCGGCCGACGGCAACGCGTGGGGGGACGTCAGCCTGCAGACGGGGTGCGACGGGGCGGCGACGGTGGCGCCCACGGACGGGGGCGGGAGTTCTAAAGTTGGGTTTGAGGACGGGGGCGTTGTTGCCGGCGCGCCTGAGGGGGCTAGGACGACGCGCGAGGGCGATGGGGAGACGGTTATTGCTACGCCTTGGAGCGTGGGCAAGGTCCTTAACCAGGAGGCTGTTGACTACCTCAAGGACAAGGTCGGGGTTAAGAATGCGTATATTGATAACCTGTCCGGGACGGATGTTGCTGTTAGTTCGAATAATCGGTTGGCTGTGGTTATGTACTAGAGGTAGGGCGTGCTGGCGTGGGTTTATAAGTGTATTCTGGCATGTGTATAGAGTCGCCGCGGAATTAACTATCTTCTCAACGTGTTAGAAACTGAGATTGAATCTCAATGTCTCAATGAACTTGTTCTCGTTGATGTCGGAATTGCCCGACCTTCTTGGCGGAAATTCATCTTCACCAAGGCGCAATACAAGTCTCTGGACATGGCTTTAGCCCCATTTTTGTATATACATATGTATCATGGTTCAGACACCAGAGACTACGTGTGCACCCCGGCTCAATTGGAAAACATGAGTACTTGTTGAGAGCAGGGTTGATATTAGTTAAATTAGTTTAGTTAATTTTAAAAACTAACTAAATTAGTTTAGTTAATTTTAAAAACTAACTAATTTATTTTAGTTAATCTTATTAACTAAAACTAAATTAATTAATTAAAAAACTAACTAAATTAACTAAAAAACTAAGAAAAAAAGCGGGGCTAATATTAATTAAAGTTTTAAAAATATTTAAATAATTATAAGCCTATTAAATACTAAGAAGAATATTAAGAAAATATTAAAAAATATTAAAAAATATTAAAAGAATTAAATAAATAAATAAAAAACTTAAAAAAAGTCGTTTTTAGGGTGATTTAAATCCTTAGCTACTAGCATATTATACGGCATATAATTATAAGCAAGGGATTTACATTGCATTTATATATTATGAGATTAATAGGCATTATTACGATTATCACGGGTAATTATTATAAATTTTATTAATGCTATATACTATTATACTATATATACTATAAAATTATGAAATATATATAATTTGGCTTTCTTATAAGTGCGTGTAATATATAATATGTAGTATATAATATATTTATGCCCCTCCTTTTCCCCCTTACCCTTAGCGTAACCATTTATATAAAGCAATTAGTTTCTTAGTAAGTTTTTAGGCTAGCTATATAAAAAATATATAGTTAAATTACTCTTTTCTTTTATATTATATATATAATATTTATAAAATAGCTTATTTTTTTAGAAAAATAAATATTTTAAGATTTACTTTATATAAAGATATTAAATATATATTTATAAAATTATATAAGAATTTTAAAATGTATTCTAGTTATAATAATGTTATTTTTATATTTATATATAATTATTTAAAAATACTAAAAATACTTTTTTATTATATATATTAAAATTTATATATTTTTATAAATACTTTAATTTTAAAAGTAGCTATAGGGCTTATTTAAGCTTATTTGCCCCTGTAAATACTTTAACTTTAAAAGTAGTTATAGGACTTATTTAAGCCTATTTGCCCCTGTAAATACTTTAACTTTAAAAGCAGCCATAAGGCTTCTTTAGGCTTATTTGCTCCTATAAATACTTTAACTTTAAAAGCAGCTATAGGGCTTATTTAGGCTTATTTGCCCCTGTAAATACTTTAACTTTAAAAGTAGTTATAAGGCTTATTTAAGCTTATTTACCCCTATAAATACTTATTTATTATATAAATTTAAATATTATATATTTATATTAAACCTTTTTAAATTAATAAAATAAAAACAGCTTTTTAGCCTTCGGGGTAATTATTTATTTAAGTTAAATAGTTTTAAAAGCTAAGATTCCATTATAAGAAATATATATATTATTTAATTTAAAATTATATATATTTAAATAAATATATAATAAATATATAAGAATTATTCTTAAATTAAGTTATATTTATATATATATTAATATTATTTAAAAATAATTTAATTTATTTTTAAAAAATAATATTATATATTTTTTTAAATAAATATTTAGCCTATTTAAAGGAATAAATTAGCTAATTCGGGGGAATAAACTATTTATTTTTTTTTAATCTTTAATATATATAAATTTCTTTTTTTTCCTTCCTCTCTCTCTTTTCTTTTCCTTTATTATTATTTTATTACCATTAAGAAAATTATTTACATCTTAATATTTACGCCTTAATACTAAGAATTCTTTTATTTTTAAATATTTTAAATATTTAAAATGATTTTTTTCTCCTTATCTCTTAGAAATTCTTCTTTAATAGATTTATCTTTTATAAATAAATTTATAGTCTTTACTAAGAATAATATTTCTTTTTCTAAAGATACTTTATAAATATTTTAAAATAATAAATATAATTCTCTTAATTATTAATTACTCCCTTTTAAGGAAACGAGAATTTATATTTTTAAATATAAATTATTTACTTAAACCTTACTTTTTATTAAGGAAAATAGCCCTAAAAAATTATAATTAAGTATAATAAGTAAATTATGCATTTATCTTTTTAAAATATAATTTAATATAAGTAAAATATATTATTATATATTTTATTTATATTTAATTATATATTATATTAAACTATAATTAATTAGGTATAGCATATAGTTATATTTTAAATTAATATTAATAATAAAAATATATTTAATAATATTCTTTAAGAGCACCCTAATTATATAATTAATATATAATATATAATTTTAAAAAGATATTATATTTCTTTTAAGTATAATAATAACTTACTTAGTTTTTTAATTAATAAATTAATAATTGCTATTATTTATAATAAGATATTTTAATGGGATTTTAAGCCTTTAATTATTAACAGCATTATAAGCATAAATACTTAAATATTACTTATAATAAAATATTAAGGGTAAATAAAAATAAAAGTAAGTTTTTATTAAAAAATAATATTTTAAAAAATAAAATTTAATTAATTATTATAAGGCTTAATAATATAGCTTTTCCTTTAAATTTCTTTGCTCTTTTAAAAAAGAAAATTAAAATTAAATTTATAGAAAATAATACTTATAAAAAGATTTTAAACTTTATTGTTAAAAATAATTTAGCTTTTAATATTTTAAGTTTTAAATCTTTTTAAGATTTATTATTATATTTAAATCCATATATATTTCTTTTCTTTTAATAAAAAGAAATAACTTAACTTTATTTTAAGGATACTCCAAAGATAAATCGTTTTAAAATTAAAAGTATTTTAAATAATACTTTTAATTTTAATTTAATTTGTTTAAATTTAAATTTAGAAGAAAATATTATTTATTAGGAATGCCGCAGCAAAACGATTGCGCCAGCCTATCCAAACTAAACTATTAAGCAATTTAATCCCCATGGCTTCAAATAGGTTTAATAAATGCCACCAATAGATAAAGTAATTTACATCCACATAAGCTATAATAAGGCGTCCCAAGTACCGCTAATTTAGCGCCGCCGCGCCTTAAATACAGCCTATTATCTATATTTTCCCACTAGCAATGCTAAATAACTACTAAGCAGAAATTAAACCCTAATCTTCACGCTATAAACATAACATGCTTCCCATTACACTATCTTAGCAGCGCTTAAAACCCATGCATAGCGAGAATTAAACTTGCGATCTTAACATAAATAGCAATAAGCCAAGCTATTAGCTAAAACAATCATTATAGCTACCATTTATTAAGAATGCCGCTGCAAAATAATTACGCCAGCCTATCCAAACTAAACTATTAAGCAATTTAGTCCCTATGGCTTCAAGTGGGTCTAACATTATTAGTAATGGTAAATTTTCTTTTAATTTTAATATTTAAATTTCTAAATTTAATACGGCTTATATGGGTGTAATAGTTTCTTATATTAATTCTAAATTTCAATTAATTTATAAATTAATTGGATTTCAAGAATTAAAAAAGAAACATACTGGCTTAATTCTCTTTAAAAAGTTTTAAAAGATTATTAAATATTATTTAAATATAACATTTAATAGCATTTTTAAATATTTAATTCTTTTTATATTTTAAATATAAATAATTAACTTTTTATTATAGCTTTATAAAAGATAATGCATTAAATAATAATACATTTATAACGGCTTTTAAAAAAGAATTTAATTCTAAATTAAATAAGCAGTTTAAAAATAATATTTATTATATAACGCATATTATTAATTTAATAGCGCAAAATATTTTAAAAGAATTTACTTTAAATTCCCAAACTAAAAAATTTCTAAAAGAATATTTAAGGGATTTAAATATAGCTCTTTCTATAAATAATACTATTAAAAATAATAAGTAATTTTATATATTAAATATTATAATATATTTATATATATTAACTTTTATTAAATCTTATTATTTATATAAGATAAGTAATAATATTAACTTAATATAATATTAAGATTAATAGTTTATTATCTAAGGGTATTAAAAAAGCTATACAAGCATAAGCCTTGCCAAAAAGCTATAAAATTACTTATATTCCACTTAATATTTATTCCTTTTTTTTAAAACTATTTAATAAATATTTATTAATATTTCTTTAAATACTTTTATACGCTGAAATTCTATATATAATATATTAAAGGTTTTTTTAATATTAAAAAAACTTTTAAATTATATTAATAAAAATACTTTTAATAATAAATATAAAGAAATATTCTTTAATGTATTAAAATTATTTATTTTAACATAAATTACAAAGACTTTTAAAGTCTTTTCTAAGCCTTTTATTAAGTTATAAGGATAGTTATATATAATTATTATTAAGAGTTTATTATATATATATATTATATATAAAAACCTTAATAACTTAATAAAGAAGTATAAAAGAAAAAAGGGTAAAAAACCTTAAGTTTATAAGTTTTTAATTTTTTTATTTATTTATTAATTTTATAATTAATTATGTATATAAAAGAAATATTTATTTGATTTTATTAATGCTATTTATATTAATATTAAAAAATTAAAGAAATACTTTTTTTAAAAAATAATTAAAGAAAGAATAAAAAATTATAAACCTTTTATTCTTTCTTTAATTCTTAACTTTAGGATTAAAATAAGCCATTTTTAACTTAATGGTTTATTATGCTTTTATTTTAATATAAAAGTAAATGCAAAAGCTTTTTTAAAAGCTAAATATTTTAAGTAAGTTTTTTTTTAAAAAGTTTTTATATATATATAATTATATTAATAAATAATAGGCTTAAATAAAAGCTTTTTAGTTTATTAAAAGATAATATATATAATTCTTCTTTTAAAAATCCCTTTAAGAATATCTTTAATTTTAAAGATAAATTATTTATTAATTTATTAAAAAAAGAAGAAGAATATATACTTTATCTTTAAAAACCTTTCTTTAATTCCAAGGTAATTCTTCTTTATATATATAATATTAATTAAATTTACTAATTAATAATCTTTAGCTTAAACCACTAAATTATTAAAAAAATAATAAACTTTAATATTTAATAATAAGTTTATTAACTTAAAGATATCTTGCTATTTTAACTACTTTTGCTATAATAAAAAGAATACTTTTTATTATTAATAATATTATTATTAAATTAAGGGTTAATCTTAATTTAAATATAGTAAGGAAAATAATATTATTAAAAAATTAAAGATTTAATAATATTTAAAAGTTAAAGAATAAGTTACTAAATTTAAAAAAGGTAATAAAAAAATAATATTTATAATTTATTTTATAAGTAAAGTATAATTTATTTTATAATTTTAAATTATAATTTAATTTATTCTTTACTTATAATATTTTTTATAATATAATTTAATATTATTTAACTTTTAAATATATATAATATATTTTTAAATATTAAATAATAAAAAATAAAAAATATAAAATAATAAAATAAAAATATAATAAAGTATTAATAATTGCTTTAAAACTATATCATTATTTAAAGAATAAATAATTAATTTATAAGGAAATAAATTATTTATTTTAAAAATAATATATAATTAAAGCATTATACTAGTAAACTAATAGATAACCCTGCTCCTTAAAGTTTAATAATATAATAAAACCCAGATTATTAAGTCTTAAAATATCTCCTAAGGCCCTTAATAACTATAAAAATTCTATAGTATTAGCTATAGCTTTTAAAAGAAAACAAACTAATCTTTTTCCAATAATAACCTAGGTAATTATTATAATTACATGCTTTACCGCTAAACTATAGTAACTACCTACTTAAAAAAAAAAGATTATAAATTATATTTAATATTTTAAAAAATATAAAATATATTAAATATTATTAAAGATAATTTTATTTATTAAAAGTATTTTATATCTTAATAATCTTTAAATTTTATTAAATTTAATGAAACTTTAAATAATTATTATATATTATTATATATAAGAATGCAAGGTTATAAAGTTTTATTATTATTAGTAATATACGAGTTATATAAGCTTATTAATTAAATTTACTTATTTTAAACCTTATAAGTTTAATTTCAGGGATATTTATTATATTTAAGCTTTAAAAAGAATTTTAAAATAAAGTATATATAAGGGTAAATAAGTTTAAAACAGCTTTATAATTAGTTTTTAAATTAGAGTATTTATAAGGGTAAATAAGCTTAATTAAGCCTTATAGCTAGTTTTTAAATTAAAGTATTTATAAGAGCAAATAGGCTTAATTAAGCCCTATAGCTGCTTTTAAATTAGAGTATTTATAAGGGTAAATAGGCTTAATTAAGCCCTATAGCTAATTTTTAAATTAAAGTATTTATAAGGGCAAATAGGCCTAAATAAACCCTATAATTGCTTTTAAATTAAAGTATTTATAAGGGTAAATAGGCCTAATTAAGCCTTATAACTAGTTTTTAAATTAGAGTATTTATAAGGATAAATAGGCCTAAATAAGCCCTATAACTGCTTTTAAATTAAAGTATTTATAAGGGTAAATATATTTTAATAAATAAAAATAATAAAATTATATATAATAATTTTAAAGATTTTTTATAATATATAAAAGTAATATTATTATATTAAGAAAAAATCTATTATTATTATATAAATATATAAAGCATTATTTAATTTTTATATATAATGTAAAACTAAGATATCTTTTTATATTTATTTTTTTAAAAAGTAAATAATTTTTAATAATATTATATTCTTTAACTTAGAAATAAAGGCTATTTAAAAGTATTTTTATTATAATTTTAACCTTATTATATGAAAAAATATTAAAGGTTATATATAGGTGGTAATGCTAAGGGTAGGGGGGCATGGGGGGGGGGGTAGTTATGTTTTAAATAAGTAATTACCATTTAACAGATTTAATATAAATAAATTAAAATCTTTCTTTTTAAAATGCTATAAGTATTTTAAAGAATTAATTATATAAATAAAAATTATATTATAAGAAAAGTAAAATTTAATATAATTTAAAATAAATATTATATACTTTAAAAGTAAAAGAATATATAAAAAATAATTTAAAAACTTTAAAAAAAGAAGTTTATTTCATTATTATATAAAACATAATAAGCTAGTAATAAATATTATACCCTTTAATAATAATTTATTTTAAATATATTACATTTTATTTTTTAGAAATAAATTAATGCTATATATCATTAAGCTATAATAAGGATTTAGGTTATTAGTTTTCTTTTTTTAAATAAAATATATATATTTAAAACTTATTATTTAAATTAACTAAATATCTGTTTTTAAGCTATTCTTTAATTAATTTAATTTAATTAAAATTAAGTTTCTATTTTTTATTTTTTAAATTATTTTTTTAGTTAATTTAATTAAATTAAAATTAGTTTTAGTTTTTTAGTTTTAGTTAATTTTAAAAACTAAAACTAATTTTAGTTTTTAGTTAATCTTATTAACTAAGACTAAATTAACTAACTAAGAAAACTAACTAAATTAACTAAAACTAAGAAACTAATTTACAACCCTGGTTGAGAGTAGTAGAGTCAGTGGTATGATTGTGATGGAGTTCCAGGAAACAAAGCTTGGGTCTTTTTGAGAAGACAATTTAGCTTGGTCGAAATCACTTGGTTCGACTTTCAAGTCCGTTTCATCTTGCGCTCGTTTGCCCCGACGCTGAAATTCGGGGCGTATAGATTCGCCCTGGAGTGTCTGATATAAATACATGATTAGCGAGAGGATGTGATTAATTGCCGCAAACAAACAGTCCTGGAAGTCCGGTACTACAAGTTCACTTACCTATCTATTGAGCACGGAATTAGCTGTTTATACAGGCACCACCTGTGGCCGAGCCAATGCAACTTTTTTTCACATAGTTTCTTCAGGTTGAAAAGGAGCGTTGAAGTAATATCCACCTGAGCATGCCCAAATTGAACTGACAAATCAAGTAGAATTGTTCGGTGCATGCACTGGATTGAGAGTTTCAGTGCTCAATTTGCGCGGAGTCACAGTTGTAACCTAAGTCATCAAACGACATGTGACAATTGATCAATTCCTTTTTTGATGCCAGCGTTTGCGAATAACCAACTCTCTTCCTGCACTGGATGTACCAATAGAACTAGGCTATTGAAAGATCCTTTTTCGGTAGAGCTCTTGCAGTCTAAGGCGTCGATTTGCTTACTCCTTAGTGCTCGATATTCAAGCCCTGGCAGATATCAGAAAGATTGCTGTGGGTTTGCATGAATGATTTTCTGATCTGCTTCGACAGTAGGTCTGGAACTCTTTTGATTCTTGTAATCCGATGTCGTGTGCGACGATACTAATTCTTCAACTCGCACCCTAGCGTTGTCGGGTGTGTGACAATAACTAGGCACACCTAGGATGCTGCAGCTAAGCTAGAAATTCAAATCAAGGCGTAATGAAACCAAGGGCCAACCGGACTTGTGATTTTTAGGTCTGTTCCACGACCTCTTTGAAAACGCCTAAAGCCGTATTCGTCTGCACTGCATTAGGCGTTGGCGTCGTGCGCTGTGAGTGGCCAGGCTGTGATGCCGGCAGACACTCTAGACGGCGGGTTGACGCCCACCCACAGGTCTCGCCATACGTATTCGGGTAATAAGTGTAGAGAGAGGGTTGCAGCCAACGTCTTCCCTAAGATCCCTGCAGCGATCGATGCAGAACGTGCCGAGCCTTCGTCAGGGGGGCGTTTGGGCGGGACCTCCGGATGTGATGGTGGGCCCCGGTCGACATCACACACTATGTTACGGTTGTGAGCACGGCACACGCAGCAGCAGAGCAGCGGCGCGGACGAGTGCAATTTCGGCCCTGGGGTTATTGCCTGAATTTTTCCCCGACGGCAAAGGGGAACTCCCAAGCTGTCACACGAAGTCAAAGGGGAAATCCATGCATGACATCTCGATTTGTCGACAAAGGAATAGCAGAGGATCGACGAATGACGTCGTCCGACGTAATTGGGGCCCGGGACGAAGTGTTGGCGCGCCCAGGCGTCGCAAAGTGGCAATATCAGCGCTAGCACGGGGGCTCGTGCAGTCAGCAGCATCTGGAAATATGACAGTCATGAAAGAAGCAGTGCAGTGCGGAAACGAGGTTTCAATGCTTTGCTTCCGGATTCGGTGGCGGCGCCTTGATCAGGGAGCCGGGCTTCTCATCGTGTCGGTGCCTGTGCATCCACCATCCCCGAGATCCACATAATGCGGCTATACAGCCAACTCCAGTACTCCAAGTTTAGAACTAGAGCCTGGACCTAAGGCACCGCCACCAACAATTCAGGTAAACCGCCACTGCACTTGAGGTAACCCGCAACCCACCAGCATGTTCGTTGCTGCTGGAGAGCACCGGAAGAGACTGAATTCGGGGGGGGGGGGGACGAGAGGGCGAGAACATGAGCATAGCACCACTCAACCAACAACATGACGGCATCCGTCGCACGACCGGTCGGATTCTCCATGTGACCTATGCCCTGTCTGGGAACGCGGTAACCCGCATAGCACCCCAGCTCGGGCAATGGCGGACGTGCTCGGCAGCCCCATATTTGACAGCTCAAACCGAGGCTTGTCTTGGCACCTCCGCAGCTTGGAGCTGAGGGCAGCTGCAGCCTGTGGGTTGCAGGCTGGTTGCCAGGTTGCCTGGCACCTGGGTCTGATCCTGAACCACGGACGGCTCGGAAGAATACATACAGTACTGCAGTACAGTAGAGCCAATGTCAGGGATTCCCACGGCTGACGATGACTAAAAAGGAGCTGCCGGCTGGTCGGGCCAGCCCAAGGCCAGCCAGTGAGCGTCGTGTGCTGGGCCGGATCGACATGGGCAGTGCCCCTTGCCCCGGACTTGCTGGAGTGGATGACCCAGGCGAGCTCGTCTCTTCTTGTCCCGGCTCAGCTTGTGGAAACCAGGAATCCTGCGTTGCGCCTCTTGCATCCTTGTCCCGCACGGCACTTGGCAGTAGGCTCGCCTGATGCCCCAGCAGCCCATGCTTGCACAGCTGGGCGAGCTTCGTCACCGCGGCCCGTGGTCCATGGTGTTGTTTGGTGGGAGCCGCTCATCCGATATCCCAGTGCCACCCAGCTCTCTCGCCATTGGAGCTTCATCTCCATTAGGCGGATTTGGTCGACCATGGTGAGACCGCTCCCCGGCTTGGTCCCGCAGCCCATGTGCGGCAGTGTCCAAGCTCCCTCCCACCCCGAGCGAGCTCGCCCACCTGGGCATGGCCAGCCCACGGTGATGGGCATAAAAGGACGGCATCTCCCTCGTCCTTTCAGTCCTGGAGGCGATTAGATTTAGAGTTTATTTCACACCCGAGAACGCTTAACTGTCTATCCCGTTTCCAAGCTCCACTGCCAAACCCACCAAAGCAAATCCGTTTCATCCACACCAAACAAACCCAACCCAACCGCCAATATGCGTTTCTCAACTCTCATCGTCGCTGTCGTCCCCATGGTGCTGGTACGTCGTCCTCCCGTCTCACACACCACTCCTACAGGCTAGGGCTAACCTATTTACCATTAGGCCCAAGAGACCACCACCACCGAGCCCAGCATGAGCATGCCCACGGGCTCTGCCATGTCTTCCATGTCTTCTGACATGAGCTCAGCCGCCAGCGTCACCTCCTCCATCGGCTCCGAGATCTCGTCCGCCCTGTCCTCCGCCTCGGGCCGCGTCTCGTCCGCCCTGTCGTCCATCACCTCCGAGGGCAACAGCCGCGCCTCGTCCATCCAGTCCGAGCTGTCCACCGCCACCGGCTCCGCCGCCAGCTCCCTTTCCTCGGAGCTCGCCAGCCTGAGCAGCTCCGCCAAGTCCGCGGCCTCCACCGCCTCCGAGTCCGCCAGCAGTGCCGCCTCGAGCGCCAGCGCTTCTGCCTCTGGCAACTACGGCCCCGTGCAGACCGCTGCCATTGGCATGGGTGCCCTGTTCGGTGGTGCTGCTGTCCTTGCCAACCTCTAGAAGGGGCACGCTCACTTCGAATTGCTGGGTCGGGAGTTTACTTTAGTCTAATGGAGAAACGGAGAGCACTTTATTGTATTTAATCACTTGATACACCAACACACGGGGTTATAATAAAAGTCAAGCAAATAAACCTGACTATCTCATGCTCATTTGCCTACAACCCGTCTTTGCACCAAGTGCTTACACAGGGTGCCATGTGCCAATACGTGATTCGCCCACGATTTGATTAGGATTCTTCGCACTCCCAATTTGAGGCGAAAGGAACACTCAAAAGGCAATGGTCACAGCCGGAAAGGCAACTACGGAAAGTCTGATTGGAGAATCCACCAAGCCACATGTCAGCAACTCCAACAGCTTCAATGAACCAGTGGGAAGGTCCTAGCGCTGACCGGGCACGAGATGCTGGGCACCCACCAGCCGGTGCGCCCTCAAAAGCCCACTGTCTCAGCTCCCATCAACCACCGACACTCCCGACGTCCCACACGAACAACGCCCTGCCACCATACACCCTTTTGTCCGCACCAGCCAGACTCGGCAGAGATCAGCAAGCAGGCAGAGATGCCACCGGGCCGGCTGCAGCAGTGGCTGTCGCCCCGCCCGGCGCAGCGCACGACCACGGCCCACGACGCCTCCGTCGCCGCGCCCGAGGACGCGATCCTGTATGACTTCGTCAAGAACCGCGCCGGCCTCAGTGCCGTGCGCGAGACGCATTATCTGAGCAACAAGGGCGTCCGCGAGGGCAAGTCCGGCCCGCCGCTGCACATTCATTTGCGGCAGGACGAGCACTTTGAGGTGCGGCAGGGTGTCCTAGGAGTTGTGGTGGATGGGAAGAAACACGTTGTTTCAAAGGACGACGGGCGCATCTCTGTACCCTCTGGAGCGAGGTAAGTGGGTCATGTCCGATCATCAACGTTTTGTGGGTCTTAACCGACGGGGCGTTTGTTCCTCTGTACCTAATTGAAACACATGCAAAAATCCGAGCCACATAAGCTGACACAGTCCCCCTTCCTTCACTGATCTGCAGACACACGTTCTGGGCACACGCATCCTCAACCGAGGACCTCGTCTTCACCGTCTGGGTGGAGCCGCAGGGGCTCGACCACGGCTTCGACGAGTCGTTCATGCGCAACTTCACGGGATACCTGAGGGACTGCGAGAGGCAGAAAGTCGCGCCGTCGATCTTCCAGATCCTGCTGTTCCTGTACCACAGCGACATCGTGCTGACGCCCCCATTCTGGTTGCCGGTCTGGTTTTTGGTTCTGCTGCATCACTTCTTCGCTTGTTGGGTGGGGGCGGGACTTCTTGGGTTAGTATGGTCTTGCTGCTGAGCTCTGACCTTGGCTTTATTAGGTCTTTGTGAGAGTGTGTGGGCTGATTTATTGTGATCTGCAGATACCAGGCGAGTTACCCCGAATATAGCCTGCTCAACGAGGGTAAAAAGTCGACATGAGTAGGATTGTGACTGGCTTGGATTCTGGAGTCGGAGAATATGACGGCAGGCTTGGTGTATTGCGGCTGGGAGTGGATCATTTGGTCAGGGTGCCAGCAATTTAATGAAGTGGCTTTGTAATTTCTGAATCCACATGACATATCTGTTCATTTCAAGCGCAGTACTCTTTCCTGAGCTAATATCGTCATCAGATCGGGTCATACATTGTGATTGGAGTTTCGAAGCTTCCCGTTGATGTAAAGCCGGAACGCTGGTAGCTATGGTGTGATGCATGACAGTTTTGTCTCAAGTTCAATTTGCCAAAGCTTGGCCGAACGGGCTGTCAAGACGGCATACTTAGACGAGCTGAAGAAAGGGTCGTGACTGTCAATGAAAGCGGGCATTGATACTCCAAGCCAGTCATGACGGTACCAATGGACAGATCCTTTAAGGTTGATCATTTCCAGCTCATGAGATACCCAGCCCCCATAAAGGCCACCGTTGAGGGAGAAGCAAATACAGAAAAGTAATGAAACTTAGCCTCATGAATCAGCAAGACAATCACGGTGATCGACGTGGTCTGAAGATAGCCTTGCCAACCGTCTGACTCACAAGTCCTAAGCATGGGAGCGGACCCGGACGGGCACTCATGGGCCTGGATTTCTGTTGGCCTGCCTATACTGTCATATTAGCAATCTAGCATATAGAATATCCTCGATCTAACAGCTTATTAGACATTGTGAGGGCGAAAGGAGCAGCCTTGAGGTCTATTCAGATTAAAAACCATTACCGCGAACCTGAAAGAGATATGTAGGCGCCCCACTGGTGCTGCATTTCCCATTTGTCTTTCCGATGCGGGATTATGTTCATGCCTGAGTTTGGTGACTCCAGTCTCGGCCATTATTCGTTATGAGATTTTAGAACAAGCTCGCGATTCAGGCATTGCTCCTCCGTGCAAGCTGCTGCCGAGGGACAGGAATGCGATTCGAATTGCCTACAACGCGTACACACAAGGGGGAAAAAGGCTCCTTTAATGATCAACTCGAAATATGCACGTTTTCTCACAAGTACTGGGGTCTGATTAGTTTTGAGCCGTTTCCTGCAACCATGCACTGGTCTGCTGTGTAACTAGTCTAACCTGACACTGTTGTTGCGGTGCAGCATTGAAGCCGTGGTAATAACTTGTTGTTACGCGAAGAAAGGAAAACTAGAAGTCTACAAGCCGCAGGCGAAGCTGCGGTGTTTATAAGGCGGGGCCACTGTAGTGGGTACCGTGACAACTGTCAGGTCCAGACCTGTCCAGGCAGTGGCCATGGCATGTAAATTAGAGTCAAGTGAAGCAAAACGTAGAATTTTCATTCATGGAACTGGTTCGTTTCGTCAATCATTTGCCAAGGGAATGCAAAGAGGGATGTTTGGATTTATCTTGCTCAACCTGTGAGCGTATCGGTTATGAGAGGTTGAAATTTCATGTCTGGGCCTCACACGAGCATATTTAGGGTTTCAGTATACCGAGGCACAGTATTGAGGTAGTCATCTAGATACAGAATGCGTTCTGCCATTTCCGTACTGCACAATCTTGGGAAATGTCCATAGTCCTGGTTCTCGACGTGCTGATGCACTCCTGACAAGTGCGCTGTCCGTCGGCAGAAAATCCACCAATTACTCACGTTAATAAGAAAGTGACTGGGCCTGCTGTATGACTTATTTGAGAGACTTGAGAAGATTGAAAATTGTAGATGAATGGTGGATTGTCACGGGCGGGAGTTCGGATGACTGAAGGCGTGATGTTTGCGCCAGCTGGTAAAAGCCGACGGTCACAGCTGGCGCGCAGCTGGCGGCTGTCATTAAAGTTTCTGACGGGCCTTTTCGGCTACGTGACCTCTTCAATCGGATTCCTCAATCTCACCCTCGTCGTCAACGACATTTCGACCTCCCGTTCGTTTGGCTTTCCTCTTCGCGTCACTCATTCTACTTCGAGATGTAGCTTTAATGTGTTTTGTCTTGCCCAATTAATCCCCTTTTGCCGAGTATAGGTACTTTGCAGCGGACGCCCTCGCGCGCGGCGCTTGTCGTTCATGCGACCCCTTTTCTCGGTTCCGCCTTTTTTCTTTGGGCCGATTGAGCCCCGAAAGCCGAGCCCATGGCCCAGCCGTTCCACGCCGGAGGGGCCGTCCCGGCTTTCAGACTTGCTGAGCCGTCCATGCAGGGCCTGCTGAGCGCCGTCACTGCGTACTGGCCGTCGCTCTCTCACCTGGATATCACTCGCCTTGGATCACTCATTGCCATCGCCGGCGTCATCCCTGCAGCATGGCGGCTGCTTCACGGCGCCTGGCGCGAGACATACAGCTGGATCAAACAATTCTTTGTTGCCACTGTTAATATTCCTGGCCGAGACCCGTTGAACAAGAATGTTGTCAGTTGGGTGTTGGCTCATGTCATTCAGCCCCGGAATAATACGCGCTTCTTCACCGCCCGGACCGAAGTCAGGGACCGGCTGGGCCGCGGAGATACGCCGGACTCCGCGTCGCTCAAGAAAACACAGAGACAGGTCCAGTACCTGCCGCACTTCGAGACACTATGGTTCTGCCACGATAAGCGGGTATTCATCATCCACCGCTCCCTCGAGAGTTTCAACGCCTCCATGTGCGACCCGGGGTACGACGGGATCGGGGGTGAGGACCTCACCATCAGCTGCCTCGGCCGCTCGGCTGAACCCATCCGCTCTCTGGTCCAGACGTGCCGCGACTTCGCCGACCAACAGACGCAGTACTATGTGATGATCTACTCACGGGACCGCTACGGCATCTCGTGGCAGCCCATGTCAAGAAAGCCCATCCGACTGCTAGAGACGGTCCACTTCGACGAGGACGCCAAGAAGAGCCTGCTCTCCGACATTCGGAAGTACCTCAACCCGGAGACACAGAGGCGCTACCAGAGCAGGAGCATGCCCTACCGGAGAGGCTACCTATTCTACGGCCCTCCAGGGACGGGCAAGTCGTCGCTGTCCACCGCGCTGGCGGGCGAGTTCGGCCTCGACCTCTACGAGGTCAAGATCCCCAGCGTCGGCTCGGACGCGGACCTGGAGCAGATGTTCCAGGAGATCCCGCCGCAGTGCATCGTGCTGCTCGAGGACATCGACGCGGTGTGGGCCGGCGACCGCGACCTGCCTGATCGGGAAGACCGCACGATCGGGTCGAGCGGCAGCCACAGCCCCAGGTCGAACTGCACGCTCTCCGGGCTGCTGAATGTCCTGGACGGGGTCGGGTCGCAGGAGGGGCGGATCGTCATCATGACCACCAACAAGCCGGAGCTTCTTGACCCGGCTTTGGTGCGGCCGGGGAGGGTCGACCTGAAGGTTCATTTGGGGAACATCAGTCGCAAGTCGGCCGGGGAGATGTTCATGCGGATGTTTGCTTCTGACGCAAATGCTTCATCCTCCGATGTGGATGTGGAAGCCCTCCGGCAGTTGGCGGCCGAGTTCTCGAAGCATATCCCCGAAGGCGCCTTCACGCCGTCTCAGCTCCAAGGATTCTTCCAGATCCACCTGGATAACGCGATTGAGGCCGTCTCCAGTGTGTCAACATGGGCGGCCAAGGAGCTATCGAAGACTGCGATAGACGACGACATTGAGATTGTCGCAGAAGGGAAGGCCTGAGAGTTGAGATCTAGGATAGAGCATTCAGTGCTTTCCCGTTTGATTTGTATGATATTGTAAGATATGTCGCATCAGATACAATGGCGTTACTGGGGTCTGCATATCATGGGATTGGGAAGAGTGGTGAGCTTTTAATACAATTCGTTTTCGGGAGTAGACGGACATCGTTTCTGTGCATGACTATGTTGACCCTCTTGTGGGACTGAAATCAAAGGCCTTGCTCATCATCTCTCGCTAGATATTTAGGTAATGTTGGACATGAGTAGTTGATAAGCAGCTTGCCTTTCTCAGGGAGGGTCGGTTGGTGCCGGCTGTGGTAGCGAGTCCTGTACAAACCCATTTGCCAACGGATCTGTTCACACTGTCCTGTGTTACCCAATGAGGTGCACTGCTGGGTGACTGTTGGTGGCTCGCTGGTACCAATTCGCTTGCTGCTCCCAAGCCGCTTGTCCCCTGTGCCCGACACTCGATTGACGTCGGCGAATCTCTCCTTAGGTATGGCCGGCCTGACTTCCCCCAAACGCAAACGCGCGCTATCACGACCTCTTTGACTTATCCTACTCGCACGCGCATGCGGCACGCCGTCAGTATGCCACCCGCGGAGGATGCAGCCAGCTTCGACGTCATCGTTGTAGGCGCAGGTTTGTCCCCCGTGGTGATCTGTGTGATAGACGGATATTGACAAATCTCTCCAGGCCTTACCGGTATCATTGCAGCGCAGCGCCTGCTCGAAGCGCATCCACAGACACGACTGGCCATCCTGGAGGGTGACTACTGCGTCGGAGGAGTATGGAACAAGCGTACGATATTCGAGACCCGATGTGTGCTGTTTTCTGATATTCTGCATGGCGAATCTACCCTAGCTTTTCGTCACAATGGACACATGGCATTGCGGAGTTCTCCGATATGCTCATGGAAAAGCCACCAGCCGAGGACTGCATGCATGACTTTTTCCGCGCAAAGTATACGACAAAGTATCTCGAGCATTACGTCGATAGGATGAGCCACGCCGGCAAGACGTTACGGGATAGAATACAGTTCGACACCCACGTTGAGTCCATCAAGAAGGTCGATGGTCAGTGGCGATTCATGTGCGTCGACACGATCACCAAGTCCGAGCGAGAAATGTTCTCCTCGAGGGTCATGATGGCAAACGGCCAGTCTTCGGTCCCCAACATACCCAACTTTCCTGGTCAGGAGCACTTCCATGGGAAGATCATCCACTCAATCGATTTCGGCCAATCTGACATCGTCCAAAACAAATCCATCCAACACGTTTCCGTCATTGGCGCAGGAAAGTCCGCTGCCGACATGGTATATCAGGCAGTGAAGGCGGGCAAGACTGTGTCATGGATCGTTGGCAAAACCGGAAACGGATCGCTTGGGCCTGCAGCCCTCGCACCTATCAACCTTCCCACGCCGTATAAAAGCGGAGTTGAGGCGTCGCAGGCGAGGATTATGGCATCCCTGCAGCCGTGCTATCTTATCCCCTATTGATCATGGTGGACGTGGTTCCTCCATATCACCACACTGGGCGCGAAGCTCGTGAGCAAAATATTCTCAGCGCTGGATAAAACAGTCCGCAAGTACGCTGGCTATCGAGAGAGGAAGATTGGCAAAGGCTTTGAAAAGCTGGAATACGACAACGAGTGAGTTTGTACCGTGGCTGTTGCTGCATACTCCATACTATAGCGGACATTGACAGTTCAAGGATCATCTGGCAGAACGGGACCGCTGGAGGCTGCCATTTTGACGACTTCTGGCCCCTCGTCGCGGAGAAAGTCTACGTCTATCGTGGCGAGGTCAAGCTTCTGAGCGGCAACGAACTATACCTCAATGACGAGGACGTCACGCATTTCCCGTGCGACGCCGTCTTGTGTGGAACTGGCTGGAGACACGGGCTTGACATGTTCGACCACGGCACGCTCATGGCGCTAGGCCTGCCATTCCACAAGGATATCGAGCCACAGGAGGAGACAGCCAAGTGGCAGAAGCTCGTCGGCGAAGCGGACGAACAGGTCCTCCGGCGGTTCGTCATGCTCAGGAACCCGCCAGAGCACTACCACAAGTACGAAGCACGAACGCCCTATAGGCTCTATCAGACGATGGCGCCTGTAAACGACGATTCTATCCTCTTCATGAACCACGTCGTTGCAGGGGAGAAATTGTTCGCGGCCGAGGCGCAAGCCATCTGGGCGGTGGCATACTGGGACCAGGCGTTCAAGCTACCCTCCGTTGCGGAGAGGGAAAAGGACATCGCGCACATGATTGCCTGGAACAAGCGGCGATATCTGTCGAACGGCGAGCTTGGGAATTTCGCTGCCTTTGACAGTGTTCCGTACGCGGACAGGCTATTTGACGAGATCGGCCTCACGGCGCATCGGAACAAGGGCTGGTTGGGGAACATGTTCTCGCCTATCATGCCTGCTGATCTGGGCAAGGTGTGGCAGGAGTATCTCGCGAAGCGAAGCGAACAGTAGGCTCCAATCTGTTGGGACTGGAATTACACGTATCTTCTATCCCTAACAAGAGGGCTGCTCGTGGTGATTACCATGCCAGAATGGCGACTACTATATTTATACAGTAAGGTCATCCCTCCTCGCCTAGCACGTCCTAGTCTCAAACTTCGGAGTCACCGCTGGGTGTTGGTTACACGGCAGCTCGTATCTGCCGATCAATACTGTTGGTGCCGTTGTTGGTTGGGGGTCGAGAAGGGCTGAATAGAACTACAAGGTGCTATAGCTGACTGCGCGTAGTTCATTGCCGGTTCTGGGGCCACATCACAGCTTGTGAGCTGCGTAGTGAGGTGAGAGAACGTCGGCGCAAATTCGCGCATGCGCATCCCCTGAAAAGGGCTCCATGGACTAACGCGGAAACCCACACGTTCTGCATGTCAAATAATAGCGTTGGATGCTTAGTCTATTAGGCTAGCTAACGTTTATTCAACGGGAGGGAAGGCCCCTATTTATAGTTATTATCCTTCATATAGTGGCAAACGTATGGGGAAAAGGATATTCCGTATTAATAATAGCCTAGATATTTAGAATATTTCAATAGCCCCCCTTAAACTAATTCCCTTTTATTTATTTATTTATTATATATAAGGGATTTAATTTATAAAAGAGGAATATTTAGTTATATAGTGAGAAAACCTTATATAAAAAAGGGAAAAACTTACTTATTAAGTGTTTATATATTTAGGGAAAAAACTTAAAAATTTGCTGTTATTTAAACTTAAACTTGTAGCTAGTAGGGTATTATATATTAAATTATGGTTTTATATGGGATTCACTAGTTATTTTATAATGGCTATAATATATTACGGCATTTTTATATATTAAAGTTATATATTATTTTATTTATACTATATATATTATGGAAATATGTTTTCTATATAGAATTAAACGTATATAAATGCAGTATAGGTATATTGTGATTGTGTGTATATATGGTATATATGGGCTGTGTAAGTGATGCTTATTTTTTAGGAAAAACCTTTATTATTTTTAGTTATTTCTTTTAGGGGAAAACCTTTAGTATTTAGGGTAATATTATATGTATATATAATTGAGTTTGCTTTATTTATTTATATATTTTATAAGTGGAGGAAAAAATCTTAACCCTAGTTATTAAAGAGTAAATACCTTAATTTATTTTGCGTGCATTATAATATAGGTGGAAAATCTCTTTATTCTTTGGTTTAATATTTTTATATTATTTTTTTATTAAATTATACTTTTCTTTAGACTTTTTATAGTATAGTTTATTTATTGGTTTTATAAGCTAGTTTGCTAGATTTTGCTTAAAATCTATATGTTTTAATATTACTTTATTATTTTTTATTGCTTTTCTTATATAATGATATGCAATATTTATATGTTTAGTTTTTTTATGGAATAAAGTATTTTTGGTTAATTTCTTAGCCTTATTATTATTTATATATATAGTAAGGGGCTTGAGATTAAAGCTAATATTTAAATTATTATTAAAATATTTAAGTAAATTATATAAATATTTAGCTTCTTTTATAGCTTTTCTTAAAGCCATATATTTTGCTTTTATAGAGGAAAGTGTTGGTGTTTTTTATAGCTGAGAATTTCAGCTTATAGGATTTATTTTATTATTATTATTATTATTAATATTATATAGGCTAAATATATAATTAAAGGTGCTCTTTTTAGTAAATATATTATTACTTTAGTTTGAATTTATATAGCTTATTAATTATAAATTATTTCTAAAGTAATTATATACTTTAAATATATATGGGAATTTATATATATATCCTTATATTTTATTTAATTCTTTTATATGCTTTGGTTCTGGGTTTGCTATATATTTAGCTAACTTGTTTATAAAATAAGTTAAATCTAGCCTTGTTTTTAAGCTAGCATATAATATAGACTTTATTTGTTGCTGATATAATTCTATAGTATTTTTATTAATTTGGTTAGTGTATTTTTTTAATTTTTTATTGGGTATATATAGTGTAAGTTAAGGGATTATTTCCTTTTTCTTAACCTTTTCTTTTATATTAAATCTTTTTAATATTTTATTTATATATTTATTTTAGTTTATAGTTATTTGTTTATATTCTCTATTTATATATATATTGCTTCCAAGGAAATTTATTAAATCTCCTTAAAAATCTAGTTTTATATTCTTATATAATTTATTAATTATTAAATTTATATTATTATTATTAAGTCTTATAACGATAATATTGTCTATATAATATATAAATATAATTTATTTATTAGGGTATATAAATACCCCTTTATTATATGGGCAAATAATAAATTCTAGCTTGGTTAATATATTTTTTAAATATTTATATTAAAGCATAAGTGATTATTTTAGCTTATATAAAGCTTTATTTAGTTTTGCAACTTTATTTTTATATTTTGGTTTATTATATATATATATAGGTAATTTTATATATATTTTAAAATTAATATTAAAATGTAGAAATGCGTTTTTAATGTTGTAATTATATATATAATATTCTTTATTTATTGCTATTATTAATAGCATAGTATAGGTTTTAAGGTAGTAGATTATAGAAAAAGTCTTTAAATAATTTATGCTTAATTTTTGGTTATATCCTTAAATAACCTATTTAAATTTAAATTTAATATTATTTTCGTTATTTATTATTTAATTAAGCTTTATAATAGCTAGGTTATTTATAAATTTCTTTTTATATATCCATTTCCCCCTTAAAGCCGTATGGCTGGGTAGTAAATTCATTATTATATAAGTATTTTGTTTTTATAAATTATGTATTTTATTTAGCATAGATTTAACCTATAGGGGTTTTTTTAAGTTATTTAATACCTCTTTTAAAGAAAAAGGTTTATTAATATTAGCTGTAGTTAAGCAGTATTTTAATATATTTTCTTAAGTATTTAATATAAATATTTAGTTATTTAATAGTGTATCTTATATAGTATATATATAGTTTTTTGGATTTCTTTAAATTATTATTTTATTTAAAATAGGAGGGGAATTTTCTTCTCTTTATAATTCTAGGAATATATATATATTATTGTTATTATTATTATTGTTATTATTAATATTAATATTGTTATTATTTATATATTGCCCTTTTAATATCTAGATATCCTAAATTAATATAGGCTTTTTATTATTTATATCCTATACTTAATATATATTTAATTCTAGGATTATATTTAATAATATGCTCTTTTTATTTCTGGGTTTTAATTTAGTTTTATAATTATTATTCTGAAAATATATAATAAATCCCTATATTTTTAAGTTATTTATATAGGGCTTTTTTTTATTTATTACCTTATAAGGGCATTTATACCCTAGGTTTTTATAAGGTATAATATTATATAAATATATAGCATATTTTATTGCGTTTTCCTATAAGTGTATAAGTAAATTTACCGTATATAAAAGGCTTTTTATTTTATTTATTATAATTAAATTTAGTTATTTTATTAAGCTATTTAATTCTTTTATATATAAGGGCATTATATAGTAATTTATGGAGTATTTATTTAATAAGATTTTAAATCTTTTATTTATATATTTGCCTTTATTATTGGTAAAGAATTCTTTTATTCTTTTATTATATTTATTTTCTGCCTTATTTTTATAGTTATTAAAAGCTTTTAATGCTTTGTCTTTATTTTTAAGCAAAGAAACTTTTAAATATTAAGTTCTTTTATTAAGGAATAATATATAATATTTATATTTATTATATATAGGTTTTAAGGGATCGCTTATATTACTATATACTCTTTTAAATATATTATATATTTAATTATTTAAGCTAGTTTTATTTATTTTAATTATATGCTTAGCTTTTAAGCATACTTTATAATTACTTATATATTTTTAAATAAGTTTATTTATTAATATATTTATTTTATATTTTTAAAGAAATATTTCCAAAGCTTAAATATTTATATAACCTAGTTTATAATGCTATTTATATATCTCTTCTTTATTTTTATTATTTATATTTAAATTTAATTAAGTTATATATAGTTTTTAAAAGGTATATTTAGGCTTATTTATTTATTTTATTATATTAATTCTTATAAAATATAAGCTATTTTTTTAATATCCTTAAGTTATTAACTTATTTATTTCTTAAAAGTATAATTTAATAATATTTCCTTTTAATTCTAATTTAATTTTATTACTTATGCACTTATATTTAAGTATATTTAAACTTAAAAAAGGCATATAATATATATTAAAAAATCTTTTTATAATATTTATTTTTAAAAACTTAATTATTAAGTCCCTTATTTTATTTATAAATATAATACTTATATTACCTTATTTCATGGTTTTATTAATTATATATATAGTGTTAAAAAGCATATATCTTTAAAACTTATTATATTTATAGCAATATTTATAGCTATTTCTATAGAATTTATATATTATTAATTTCTTATAAATTTATTATTATTAGCTGCTATTGTTATTATATATATATATAGGGTATATATAGGGTTATTTACCTTAATTTCCATTAAGTTATTAAAAGAAAGTTGTGAGAGATTTAATAAATTCTTATTATATTTAGTATTTTCTATTAAATTATTTATAGCTATATAGGCTATAAGTTCTTTTTAAGTGCCTTTTAAAGCCGTGGGAAATTTTATGCTAACTAATAAAGCTAAGAGTTATTCTTGCATTTTTTCCTGTTTTTCTTAGCTTATATTCTTTTTTAAAAGAGTAGTTTTTTCCTTTTTTTTTCTTTATTTATTTATTTTTTAACTAGCGGGTGCCTTATTTAAATAAAGGAAATAGCAATTCTCTTAAATATAGCCCTTTATTTTATAATTAAGGCATATAATAATCTTTTTCTTATCTTTCTTATCCTTTATATATAAAGCTTTTTTAAATAATTTAAAGGGTTTTCTTTTACTTTTATTTAATAAGCTAAAGAAAAAAGATTTAATTATATAAGCATTTAAATTCTTTTTAAGACTTTAAGTTATATTTTAAATAAAGCTAATATATTTATTATTTAAGCTATAAAAAATTTAATTAATTATAACTTATTTAAAAAGAATTATATTATTAATCTTTAAATCTTTTAAAAAAAGCTTTAGCTTATTAATATATTCTTTTATAATTTTAAAATTATTAAAATTAATATTAAAAAACTCTTTATAAAGTAAATATTAACTTATAAACCTAAAGAATTTATAATAAAATTTAAATATATTTTATGCTTTTTAAGCATTATTTATATTTTTTATAAATATAATAAGCCCTTGCTTATATATAAATTTAATATTAATAAGGGCTTTTTTATTTTAAGCTAAAAATAAGCCTTAAAAAAATTTTTAAGATTATTTTTAATAGCATTTTCTTTCTTAAGCTAAGCTTAAATTTTAATGCTTTAATATATATAGTTTTCCATTTTATTAAAAAGTAAAACACTATATTTATTAAGGAATATTATTTTAAGATAAATAAATAAAATATTTATTAAGATAATTAAAATAATAAAAAGAAAAATATAATAAATTTTAAATGAATTTAATAAGTTAAGGAATAAAGATATAGGTATTAAAATAATATAATTATAAAAAGAAGAAGAAAGGCTTTTAAATAATATATTTTTAAGGTATTATAAATTAAAAATAGCTAAGATATAATTAAGTATTTTTAAAGGAGTTTAAGAATTATTATAATTTTATTAAAATTTGCATTTTTAATATTAATTTAGTATATTTTTAAATTTTAAAGAAATGCTCTTATTATTCTTAATAAGGGCTTTTAAATAATATATGAATTATATAAATAAGTTAAGTATTAATAAAGAAATGATTAAGTATTTAGGTAAAGAAGGTATGGTTTTTATATATAGGTTTTAAGTTAAGAGATAAGGTTGATTTATAATGTTAAATGGGGCGATTTAATTAATTAAGGGCTTATTAATTAGCTTAATTAAGTAATTAATTAAAAGGTATATCTTTAAATATAAAGCTTATTTTATTTAAAAGGTTTAAGAAGTAGTGGCAATTAGGAGTATTACATAATATGCGTTTTCCATATCGGGTTAGCGTTGCCGTTTTGGGTAAGCTCCGGGCCTCATAACCTGTTAAATAATAGTATTAAATGCTTAGTCTATTAGGCTAGCTAACGTCTATTTAACGAGAGGAAAGGCCCCTATTTATAGTTATTATCCTCCATACAGTGGCAAACATATGGGGAAAAGGATATCCCGTATTAATAATAGCCTAGATATCTAGAATATTCCAACACTGCACCGAGGGCTGAAGGGATTTCCGATCGGGACAACTATTGAGCTCAGAGTTTCCAACGGCCCAGCAGCCTTAACAGGGGCAATCGCGTGCTAACCCAATCGACAGCCGGTACACCAGCCACCAGGTATCACCGCATTCGAGGTCGGTTTTTCTGCTACCGTCAGGGAAGTTAGATACTTACTTAAGTACAAGTACTCTCTTAAGGACAAAAGCCGGGTAGTCGGAAGTCTTAGTTTGCTATGCAGTAATAGGTAACAGAGGTCCCTCAACATACCCGTCTTATAGAAATGAGGGAAGCGTCTTGATAGGCTATGTTTTATCGTTGAAGTGACACAAACCCGTACCATTTCTTTTCCCCGCTGGAGATGACAACGTGGAGGGACAGTCCCACTTAACCCCTCAACAAGCATCATCTTTCTGCCTCCCGAGAACGCTCGAAGCCGGCTCAGAAGCCAAGATGTCAGGGCTCGAACCTATAGCAGCCCTAGGCCTTGCCTGCAATATTCTACAAGTCATCGGCACTGGGCTCGAGACAGTGCGGGTTGCCAAGCAGGTGTACCAGAACGATAAACTTGACCCCGCACTCACAGAGAGCGCCAGGATTCTCGACGACCTCTCGAGCCGGATCCGATCAACCACAACAGTAGCATCTACGGCGAAGCCTAAAGCGCAGGAAAAGCAGCTGTTCGACCTCGCCGAGAAGTGCCAACGCGCGTCGCGGGCCCTATGCGAGGAGGTCAACTTCCTCAACGGCCAACCGACCAAAGCCAAGCTGTCTGGGTCGATCAAGACCGCGTTGAAGACGATGTGGAGAAAGAGGCGCCTGGAGACGCTGGACCAGCAGCTCAAGGAGGCAGAGAGCCTCCTACAGACGGGACTCCTCACCACAATCTTGTCAGTTCTTCTTTTTGGTTCGTTCCTCCGAATGTGCTGAGAGCTGACTTTCAAAAGCGAGCAATCAAACAGTGATCTATCATCCCTCGATGCAGATTTGAAGGCATTCATCGTCGAATACCGTAAAGGGCACGCTGGGGCAACCGATCTCATGAGGAAGCACATCCCCGCTGAAATTGAGACGAATCGGAAGGCTATCGAGCTCCACGTCACGCAAACAGTGAGCGAGGCCGAGAGTTCTCTGAAAAGTCATATCGGCGTCGCTATAGGAGGCGTAACGAGGCACGAGCAAGACGCTCAAATACAGAACAAGAGAGACCGACTCCTCCGAAGCCTCAAGTTCGACCGCATGAACGAACGGAGAAACCAAGTCACGTCCTCACACCATAACACTTTCACATGGATGTTGCGGGATGGGAGCGAAGTCGAGGGAAGCCAGAGGTCAACTGAAATGTTCGACCATGAGTCTGGTTCAAGTTGGCAAGATGGCCGTGATAATTGGGAGCTGTCATATGCAAGAACCTCCTGGGACAGCTTCTCCGACTGGCTGAGATCAACAGACTCGGTATACTGGATCAGTGGAAAGCCTGGTTCAGGGAAAACAACGCTCATGAAATACATCCTCGGCCAGCCCCAGACGCAGACGTATCTGGACCAATGGAAGCCTGACGCAATAATTATATCTCACTTTTTCTGGCGACCTGGTACCGTTATGCAGCAGAGCATCAAGGGTCTCATGTCTTCACTGCTCCACCAGTTGCTTCTCGGGGAACCAGGAGTTGTCGACCAAGTTCTTGGCAGCACCGCAGATATGCCCAGGAAAGAATCGGAAACAGACTGGTCGCCCGAGGAACTTCGAGAAACTCTCCACTATGTGATCAGCCGCTATCCGAGGCCTATCGCTATCTTTCTTGATGGCCTCGATGAGGTCCTTCCTAGAGATGGCGTACTACGGTTGCTCAACATTATTGATCAGCTGAGGCAGCCATGTGGAGACACCGGGAAGATCAAACTTTGCCTTGGTTCACGCCCAGAGACGCTCCTTTACAAACACTTGTGTGGTTATCCGCAGCTTCGTCTTGAGCAACTCAACCGTGTGGATCTTTGGCAGTACGGCAATGACCATGTCATAATTCCGTCTGACTATCGCATTGTCATTCCCTACAATCACGGAATGTACTACCCAGCCGTGAACTACCCCCGAGAAAAACCACCAAGTCGGGATGAGTTCAGAGAGTGGCTTGTGTGGACCCTCGTGACCAAGGCTGAGGGAGTCTTCCTTTGGTTGTGCCTCACTGTCACAACGATCGCAAAAGCACTCAATCAGGATGAAACATTTGAGGACTTGGAGGCTCGAATTCAAAGCCTGCCCAGTGATCTGGCAGACTTGTACGCAGATATGTGGAATAGGATGAACGATGATGGTAGTCATCTCAGAGTCCGCGCAGCTTCGTACCTTCAACTGGCACTTGCTAACACAGGCTATGGCCCTGAATGGCCTCTCAACCTCTTCACCATGATGGTGTCAACAACTCCCGAAAAGGCCGGAATTCTTCTCCGGCCAGACCCATCCCAACGAACATCGGTAACATCATTGATGGAAACTTGCGAGGACACGAGGCGAGACACAATGAGTCGATGTGCCGGACTTCTTGTGTGCCCGAGTCTCATGGAAGTGGATCCAGTTGAGGGCGACCCTCTGTATCCTTGGTATGGTGAAGAGTATGACAAACTAATTCCATACGTCTCAAGATTTCCGGTGTACTCCTTCTTACATCGCACTGCCCGGGACTTCCTTATGGATACAGAGGCCGGGCAGGGTATCCTAAGTTGGGGTAAATTCCCTGGAAATCTATCCCGATTGAAGCTGCTCGAGGCTCGCTTGGCGATTTGCCAACTTTTCAGAAGACCGATTTTCTATGTCGCGGACGGTGAAAGTATTTACTATTCGCACCCGTCAAACCATGTTTTGAACGTGTTGGAAGAATTGTGTGAAAACGGCAGACCGGAGGAAGATGCACCTACGAGGCAGGAGGTTTCTCGGCTGCTGCTTTTATGCGAGCAGCTTTTCAACCATGGCCAGCTTTTCGGCCTAATTAAGGTTCCGCCCAACGCTATGCAATTCGACCAAGAGCCGCGACACCCTGGATACCACGTTTCCTACGACATTACTGTGAGGGGTCCACACGACTTTCTCATTGAGGCGGCTGCATATTGCAAATATCACTCCGGGAGCTGGAGCTATTTGTTACCATTCATCAAAGATCGACACCTCGACGAAAATACCAAGTGCCAACTTCTTGTCCACGCCTGTACTTTCAGTGGACCATTGCACGACCCATTCGTGAGAATTGATTGTCGTCTGGATTCGATTCAGAGTCTTTTGGGCTGGGGTGCATCTCCGTATCACCAAAGCGTAAATCGGGAACGGGAAATCTTTCCTGGTAGTCCCATTATAACGATTGCCGAGACACCTTTCAAAGCATTGATGAGGTCTACCTGGACGGCTGCAACGAACTTCGTGATCGGCAACAATCTTCGTCAGAAGCTCTTTGAGCTCATTTCTCTCTTTATCACGAATGGGGCGGACCCTCACGAGGAGATACACGTTGCCATTGAGGCCAAGGCCGGGCGTATAGAATTTAAGGACCTATGGCCTGAGGGCTACAGATGGGAAACAGAGGAAAGCCCCGAGGGTTCACCGACAGAATCTGGGCACATTCTTATCATCCTCGCCTACCCGGCCTCTGCACTACTAGCCAACATTCTCCAGATCTGGAAGGTTGCAGATCATTCTCAGGTGGGCTGGGTCCCCAAAATATGCGAGTTGCCGGGGAGCGGCGTCGGAAAGGGCCGTCCAATTTCCGTTGTCGAAATGGGGGACGTTTACAAAAGGCGGGTAATGGGTCGCACCCCACCACTGTTTCTGTCAACGGGGATTTTCAATATGAGACACGAAGCCGGCATGGAAAAGCATTTCCTAGGCCTCATACGCCTCGTAGAAGAGAGTCTGCAAGGCGTCGTTGCGGAGGGAAAGAAGCATTTTAACGAGTACTCTGGGGGTTGCCTTTCTCATGTCTCCGTCCCCTTGGAGGTTCAAGCAGAGATGGAGGCCGGTCTTCAAAGACTGAGATCCACCAATGTGCCAGTGAAGGAAAGACGCAAGGAGCTCCGGACGAGATTGGGCGTGATCACACCACTGGAGGAGCCGGAGTGGCAAAACCTGACCTTCACTGTTAATTCTTCGCAACTTGTGTCACGTACGCCTCCAAGTGAAGACGGTTCGAGCAAGGAGGGGAAGGAGGACGAATAAGGAAGGACGAGCACGGGAGGCAGAGTCATAGAGGATTGCAACGAGACTTTTTCGCCAAAGGTAATAGATTCTAGGCGGGCCTCCTTGGCTTGCATGTCGCCTGGCTAACGTAGGCAGGTTTCCTGGCGCTTGGCGTCCTTTCTTTGTAGCGTGGAACATCCAGGTTGGTAACCTGACGAGCATCGCGTCCAGCTTCGCAGAACGGCCTCATGGCCTGGTACTATTGGGAGGCACTGGGAATGGTCCTTCGATATTTCTCGCTTTCTACTACTGCTGGAATTCTGTACTGCTGCTATTGAAATTACCTTGATTACATGTATACAGAGAACCTCTACAGTCACTCCATTCACGTGATAGACACTATTCTGACGCCTACCGAGCGAGATAGAGCTTAACAGTTTTAGCTTCGGACCTAGATTATGAACAAGGTAACGGTGTTTACTCTCGGAAGACCGCGGTTCTCTCTTCGTGGCTCATGGATTGGGGCCGTGACGTGTTGAGCGTAGCCACAACCGGCGGAAGGGGCGGTGCTGCTCCCTCGGATTGGGCCCATCTCGCGACGTTCTAATCGCCTGTCGGCTGGCTGGAAGCCTCGTGGAGCAACCTCCAGGCCGCTGTTTTCGCTTCGCAGATCACCTCTTTCTTTCCGAAAGTGTCTGCCGGAGGACGGGCCGGGCTGCGTCTATTCGGTCGGACAGCCATGTGCTCTGAGCCTTCCTTTCTTCCTTCGCTGTTTGCTTGATATCGCGGTCCCCAGACGTTGCTTCGCCTGCTCGGCGGTGAGGGGGCGCAATTAGATCGGCGATTTTTATTTTGTGCAAAAGGTGTTGGAGAGACTCATGATCGTAAGAATTTCTGGAACTTATTCGTGAAAAGAACGAGACAAGTGCATGACCACATCTCAACCGGATCATAAGCACATTGACATCCGCGGAGGTAACCTTGACTCCCCGACGATACTGGTAATATTGGCTATGATCCAAGCACAGTTGATCATTCTACCGGAGGATGCCGTGTCCTCCTTTTCTGGCCATGGCTGCAAGGTCCGTTCGGGACTGTGGCAGATGAACTCACCAGATAAGGAAGATGATCTGTGTCAGGTTCTGTCATTATGCGTAAATGTAGGCGCGACGTAATTTCCGGGCAGCAGCAAGACGCGCAAGCGGGCGATCGCGTGCTAGACATCTTTGGCTGGTTTTGCCCAACAACTCAAGCGGAGATCAACGTAACGCTGCAATGATCCCGCTCTTTAAGGTTCAGGGATCAAAGCATAACAGAGGGGCATCCGTTCAGGGCTGAACATAAACCACCAGGCGGAATTACGGATGTACTGAGTATAATGGCACCATGATCTGCTGTCGAGACAGAAAGAAAAGAAACGAATATCAACAAACGCCTCACATACCGCACTCATTCTGCATATCTTCATCAAAGCGCCCACAGCCAGTGTTTAAGCTCACCCAGTCACTCGTTACGTCAACCCAGACCCACCAAACAGGCCAGAAAAATGCAGATCTCACTCCCTTCACTCGCGCTGCTCTTCTCCAGCCTCGCCGCCGCTCAGAACTGGAGCGGCTCAGTGCCCACCCTCTCAGCCTACGAGCAGATCCGCAATACCCTCGCCACAGAGGCCTTCCTGCTCGACACCAGGGACCTGACGAACCTCGGCCAGGTGTACACGGACTATGCAACCATCCAATTCGCAGATGAGGAGCCCCACAGCGGCCTCGCGGACATCATCGCTTTTGAACAGGTCGCCCTCAACAACACGTTCACCCTCGTTCATACCTACGTCAACAGCCTCATCAGTTTCAGCGAGGACGGGTCGGCGAATTCTACCAGCTAGTAAGTCTGAAATAGCACAGTACAGCCGGTGCTTGCGATGGCTTTAGCCGTCGCCGGAGGGATAGAATACTGACTTACCTCTGCAGCGCGACGTGGAACAAGCTTGGCAACGTCAACGACGGGTACTTCCAGCAGACGTGGGCGAAGTACTTTGACACTCTGGTCGAGGCGGATGGGACGTGGAAGTTCCAGACCAGGAAGGTCCAGATCCTCTTCGGGCCATTGTCTTCGAACCTGACGGATGGTGGCCTGTGAACTCGAAGACTGTTGGAAGCCGCATGCATCTTTCATTTCTTGGACATACAACTTGAGAAGCGAGTTGGAATGAGACTTTGGCATCAGCGGCGTATCCTAAATATCACTGCGCTATTCAGCAAAGCATCTTGTTCCGCACCTTTGGCCGCCTTGACGCTTGTCTCCAACGGCCAACTGGACTTGGGACTGAGTTCATCCTCTTTGTCTTAAAGTCGAGCAAGCTCAGCCCCTGTCTCTGACAATTACCAACTGTTGCAGAACCCAGGATGGAATCCCCCGGCGCCACCAGCCACCCATTCCAGCGTACATTGTACTTGAATTATTTGCACGGCTTGCTTGTACTATAAGGGTTAACTTGAAGGGTCAAGTTGATGGCGTTGGGCGATGTGCATGTTCCAGTGCAGGCCCCCGGGCCTTGCCCTGTGGTTTTGAGGATCAGGGGAATTGACTCTATTCGCAAATGGATACTGTTCACACGACACTGGACCATTACTTTGGAGGATCTGGTCAGTGACCGTTGGCTTTAATTGCCTAATTGAACATTGTAGGGCTTTACTGGCTTCGTTGTTACAGGCTTGACTAGCATGTCCATCGATTGAACAATGCAAAGCGTATCGTGGAGCTCCCCACAATACCCATCATCCATCGAACTTCGCACCAGCCAGATAATCATGCGCAGTCCCAAAAGTCTCCTGCGCGGACGCAAACAAATTGATCGCGTGCCCCGTCCTAGCAACCCTCTTCCAGTTGAACTCGGCATTGGGGAAGATCTCCACCGTTCTCGGGCAGCAGGTCGCCGCACGCGGCCACCGCTATCAGGGGGGTGCCCTGCCCGCAGAACGGCTGGTCCTGCTCGCCCGTGATGACGAGCACGCGCCTGGTGTAGGCGGGCGCCTTGGTCATCAGGACGTAGGTGCCCATGTACTCGCCCGCCGCGACGACGTCCTCGCGCTCCCACCATATCTGGGCGAGGTCCTGGTCGAAGTCGACCTGTTCGTGGGAGCCGAAGAAGGAGTTGGTCCGGGTTGACTCGTTGGGCGAGGTTAACTGCGGGAAAATTTAGTACGCCTACCCCAGCGTGAACTGAGCTACATGCCGTATTGTTGAATGGAAAAGAGGAAGAAAAGTTGGCTCTTACGTAAAGCGGGAAACTTGAGTTTGGAAATCTCTCTGGAAAGAGCTTGTTGGCAGATTGGGGATTTTGAAGCGCGATTCCGTAGTACGATGGGAGGATGCGTTTTGTGTAACCCGTGAAGACGCTCGTGTTAAAAAGTTCAGGATTTGTTTGGGAGATGTAGACGCCAAGCACTGATCCGTAGGAGTTGCTGATACACAGGAGTTCGTCGTACTGTGGGATCTGACTTGTGCTTCCGGACCTGATTTGGTTGGCGAGATCCACATAAAGGGAGGCTCTGGGTACAGTCAGTACGGAAGCTCATGCAACCTGAAATGGAACAAGGCGGGCTTTGCGAGGTATGATAGGAGATCGTGGCAAGGATACTACAGCGTAGTTATCCTGCAGCGGTTCTGCTCAAGTGTAAGCAGGGCGGGAAACTCACTCGTAAGGGCCTTGATTATAAACCACGGGATCCGGGTGAGACGACTTGCCGTGCCCTAGGCGGTCAAGTTGCAATGTAGGGTCTTTTGTAATTGCACCAAGTCAGCTCACTACAGCTGGTCCATAATAGAGAATCTGATGCCAGTACTCACAACCCAGGCCATTTGCATAGTGTCTCCAGGAGTATATCTCGGGTTTGTAGCTGTCATATCCCAGCGTAGTACCTTCCACCAAAGTCAGTTTGGACAACACACGTCCGAATGCTGAGTGAGTCTCACCTCCCATTGCTGACCAGTAGTCTCTATTCGCGGTGATAGAATGAAACATGAGCTGCAGCCTTGTGCTGTTTTCGTTTTTGGTTGTCGGCTCGCAGTAGTATCTAGCAATGGTCTCGGTTCCGTTTACCAAGGTGGTGGTATACCAACCGCTTACTACATCGAATATGGCAGTCTGGATGAAGGCTGGGGTGGACTGGTTGTAATGGCTGAGATCATAATCTGAGGGTTGTTCAATATGGCGATGTCCGCGGAAGCATGATAGAAGTAACTGGACATGGACAAGTACATACTTTCGGCAGCGCCCGACACAGTGAATGCGACCTCGTGGTAGCTAGAATACGTTAGTCTGTGGTATTGTGATCATGAGAGAAGATTAGATGAACGTAACGTCTTGGCCGGTAGGAAAATCTATTTGTGCGAATCCAAGAGCTTTTGGGACTTACCTGGTTTCTTGAGCCGAGGTGAGGGTTGCCAGCATCGAAGCAGTGGTGGCTGACAAGGCCAAGAAGGTTGATAGGAGCTTGGTAATCGCCATTTTGAGTCTTAAGAGCCAGTTGTAGATAGACTGGTGTACCTTGGCTTCAAGAACTTCAAGTCAGAGTGCGCCAAGGAAATAAATACTGCGCTCCAAACCCGCAGATCAACACTGGAACGAACTGCCACTTGCTCAAGGACGGTCAGAATACATGCCTACGCTATCGAACTTTATTCTCTTGACGGTTGCACCCTGCGGTGAAGCCTGACTCAAGGTATCGAGTGTATAAACCAGGGCACGGCGCGAAATGCGCACATGCTTTTCGCTTGTCGATTCAAGCTGCATCTAATTGATGTCTAATAAGTCACCTTCAGAATACTGCCTGCATCCCTAGTGCTCTGTACTAACTTGAATATCTGTCAGGGCATTCTGCGACAAGCTTTGAGATCTACAAACCGGTAGCTAGGTAGCACCTGCGCCCTACGCCACAAAGGGGAGATCACCCGCAGGATATCTCGGTCAACCACGCCCATGAGGCGGCCGGTCAGAATGAATCCCCGACGCTAAAGGCCAAGTATGTCGGCATGCGTTCGCACTTTTACTTGCAGTTGTGCCACGGCTCAATAGGGGAAGTTGTACTTCCTCGCCGCCGTCCTCTCGACCAACGACGGCCAGAGGCAGTACAAAGGCTGCGCAAAGAAATACGGAATCCACGGCATCATGATGTTGCCTCTGACACCTCTGTCAACCGCGTCGATACACTTGGCCGCGACGTAGTTGATCTTGAGCCCGTGCTTGTTCGGGTCCGCCTCGCGGACGGGGCCGGAGTCGACGGCTGACGCGCGGAAGTCGCCCTCGATGGTACCCGGTAGGATGAAGGCGAACGCGATGTCGCGATGCTCTATGGCCAGTGCTTGATACAGGAGCAGCGATGACGCCTTTGTTGCGGCGTAGAGCGCACGTGTCGGTGCCGGCACCAGGGCGGCCAAGGAGGAGACGAGCAGAATGGCCGGTGCAGTAGATGTGCGTGTCAGCATCGGGATCTGGCGGGATATCAGTCCAAATGCCCGCTTACAGTCACGAGGGGAGGCCAAGATGCGATGCAGAGACTCACAAATGTCAGAGCAGCAGCCATGGGCCCGAAAAGATTGCCCTGGACAGCCCTCCCAGCCACATCAACAGCGTCCTGGATGCCCTTCCCGCCAGCATCCTCCTTCCCCTCAACCCCCGTGAGCGCCATCACAGGCTGCAGCGCCGACACCCCAGCACACACGTGGATCGTGTCGAGGCCACCCCACTCGCGGGCGATCGTCTCGCGGAGCCTAACCATATCCTCGACGACGCTCAGGTCGGCCGCGACGCCGATGCAGCCCGCGCCGCACTCGCCAGCCAGCGCGGTGATCTTGTCCGCCCGCCGCGCGACGACGCACACCCTCGCGCCGCGGCGGGCGTACTGCCTCGCGACGGCGTGGCCGACGCCGCTGGACGCGCCGAGGACCAGGACGCGTTCTGCCGAGGCTAGTTTTCTGCGGCGGGCGGTGATGCGGCGGAGAAGGTGGATCGTTGGGATGGCGAGGGCCAGCAGCGCCCCGAGGAGGCGCAGGCGTTGGGAGACCATGGTGTGGATGTGAGTGCCTTGATGAAAATCGTGGCTCGGGTCGATGCTGAAGAATTCGACCGATCGAGTGGTGTTTTGATATCCCGAGGAATGGGGACGGTGTGACGGCATGTGAATCTAGGTTTCTTGCACCGGGGTTCGTGAGAGCGACCCCCCCCCCCACCTTGAAAAAGCCAGACCGCGATGCCCCCTAACCCTGCCAAAAACTGGAGCTGTCTTTCCTTTGGGGTCGAGGTGCAGTCTTTCCTACTGTTAATTATTTGATCAGGTATAGATCTCGCTACCAAATTCTTCAGCGTAAGATCTCAGGTCAGATCCCTTAATAAGCATGTATGCGAGGTGGTTAAAGGGATGTAGCCTGCTACCTGAACCCAACCGAGAACCATAAACGCTCCCATTGCTGCACGTGCATAGTTTTGCCCCGACTATTTTGATGATGTGAACTGTCAAGATATTACAGTTTGTTTCAATATCAGCTGACAGTGATCGATTGGATTCGGCATACTCATCTGCGTGCCGAAGGGGAAGTTGGGCCCCGCCTCACAAATAGCGTTTTGACAGCTTCAACCATGCCTTTGCTCCTTGACGATCTCTCGGCCGGGTCGTTACGTCCATGTGAATTTCATTTCACACGCTGTAGATCTCCGGACGGGTAGAAAAAGGACTAGCAATGGCGCGCGGCATGTTCCTCCTCGACCGAGGGAATTAGCGTGGTGCCCTTTCCCGGCTTTGCCATACCGCCGCGAAGTCTAATCTTCCGAGCGCCCGCGGGCACGGACGAAATAGATGAACAGGCCCACCGTCGGCTCTGACTCTTGACTGGGAACCGGGCTCCAGGGTGGACTAGTGGCCCTACGGCCCCATGTGCCCGGGTCGTATTTTACTCGCAGGCCACGAGCGATGTTAGGGTGCCAAGGTTGAATAGAGTTCTGGGCCACTTCCTCCTCTTCCCCATCCAGTCGTGAAACTTCTTAGAGTTGCAATGCTGGCCGGGCTCATGGACTGGCGTCACGGCAAGTCTAGTAGTCACCAAATATGTTCGCAACATTCATTCGTTGCCCTGTCACTCGTCCATTTCTATCTGTATTTCTGACTATCACTATATGAGAACAGACATATACATCCGCGGCTGAAATGCAGGTGCCAACGCATCCACGACCGGGTGCGGCGGGGCGGCGATGACGGGCATGCCTCAAACAACCTTGACGGCAAATAACTGTCTCTTATAACCCCTTGTTTCGTTCCGTTTTGTCGCTGCATTCTACCTTTTCGAACTCAGCAAAATAAGGTTACCCCCACGCTCAACCTTGACTGGGACATAAAACCTGGTTCGGCGAAAGGCTAAGCTTGCTGAGGTCTTTGACTCGAGCTCACCTTAACCCCCCCTAAACATCACGCTGCGAGGAACCATTTGAGAGACAGCAATCCTCAGTCCACTCGACTCCACATCAACGCAGGTACGAATGCGGCACTGTTCGCCGGCCGCAGCAGGGGGCCAGCCTGCCCCTATGACTTGATTCTTGTTCGCTCCGTTCCTTGGACATGCACCTCATCTGAGCGCAGGACTGCACCTCCACATCTTCGGTGAGACGGAGATTCCGCACGGGAGGTCCTCCCCGGTGGGATCTCGAATGATGACCTCGCCCAACTCTGTCCCGTTCACCAACGCAACACAGGGCGACACAAATACTGCGCTGCAAATCCAACAAAACCACATACGGCCGTTAAGCGAGTGCATAACGTTGGCTTAATGCATCGTCTCGCAGCAAACCTTGGAATCAACTCCGAATGCGAAACCGCAGGAGGACCGTGCAATGCGACCCAGCGAAGAGTAAAGCCATGTACATTATTTTGCACAGTTCTTCCGCTTAAGCCCTAGGGATACCAACAAAAGAAAACACCCAAGCCGTCCGTTAAAAATGCCATATCATTCTGAACCGGAGGGAAGACGACCGCGGTGGAAGTTTTGGCGAAGCAGGACCGGCGAGACTTCTCATCCCAGCTCAGCGACAAAACAGAGCAGCAGCCGGAGCGACGTGAGTTACAGAGACGGGCCACCTAAAAGGCTAGACGACCAAACCTTCGAGAACGCCAGCCTGCCGGGACAGCTTATCACCAACAGCTCCGACGCCTCAAGCGAGCTCAAGGAGTCCATCGCCTCCCCGAGCCTCAACCCGCGGTCACTGAGCAACTCATCAATAGCACCAGTAGAGCACACCAAGTCAACATCAACATCAACATCCAGCCCCGTCGTCACGCGGGAGACGCACACCGACCCCGTCACAGGCGAGCTAACCATCACGATGACGACCACGATAGTAACGACAACAACGACCAAGCGCATCATCAAGGTCCCCCCAGCGACACAGGATGAAGTCGACCTGGACGAGGAGCGGCGCCTCGCGGCAGAGTACCTCGCGTCCAACGGCCTGAACAGCCCGCGGGACCACCCCGGCCTGCACCCGGCGCCCAGGCGGAGCGAGAGCCATTCTAACCTCATCGGCCGCTCGGCCGAGCAGTCGTTTGGGGCGAGGCCCAAGGTCGCTGATAGGTCGTACTCGATGGGGTCGCGGACGGGGCCGCCGCCGAGTCTCAACAACAACGCGCGGAATTTCTCGAGGCCGGGGCCGAGGCAGGCGGGTGAGGAGGCGCAGACGCGGTTGAGTTTGGATGCGAGGCGGGGGCTGAAGCGGGCGGAGTCGATGAGGTCTAAGGTCAGTACTCTAATCATGCTTCATCTCAGACGGCGATTGTGCTGATGAATAATATTTTAGTCTCTGATCCTGAGGAAGCCGGACCCAACGCCCGCCGTGCACAACCAACACCCCATGCCGGATCACGACCACCAGCAGAATCACTCACACTCAAGAGACACCATAGCCCTCCAGAACACACGAACGCGGCCCCACACGAGGGATGGGGGCGAAAAATGGACCGGGAGTCAACGTCACTTGACGTTCCACAAGCCACGGAGCCTGTACCCGGCGTCGCCCCCAATCGACGAGACGGAGCTGAGTCCCAGGCGAGGCAGCTGGGGCACGTTCGGCGGGCAGGGAGGGATGAAGCAGCAGCAGCGGCAGCAGGTGACGAACAACTTCATCCTGGGGATACCGAGCACTGGGGGCCAGCTGGGGAACATGTTTTGACCATCGGAAATGAAAGGGGTGATGACAATATTAGAGGTGAACTCTTTCTGCGCTCATTGAGCGAGTGTGGTAATCTGAATACATGCTCTTGGCTGAGCATGCGCCTTGATGCAGAATTGAGAGGAAAATGTGGACCTTACCCTTCCATACACCCCGTGTGTTCGGGGGCTGTCATCAAAATGAAGCTGTGTATTCTGACAGATCACGCCCGGCGTCAAGTCTGCCTGCGGCTTCTGGTTACATCGGGCTTGACTGTCATTGGCGGATTATACGACACTCAAGGCGGCTCACCGTAGTTTTCAACACTCACAGAGCTTTCACCGGAAGAGAGGGAAGAGGGCATCGTCTTTCAAGCCCCGGCCTCAGATTCGAAATTTTTTTAGCCTCAATATTTTGCATCAGTCTCTGAAAATGCCACAATGTGTGGCTGGTTGACCAAATTGAATAATCCAACAAAGAATTCACTTAATATATTTTCAATAGCATATACAGCAGCTACTTATTTTCTCCATTCTGCTCATTACCTAGCAGCAGGGTCTCTAGGAATGGTATTGTCAGCGGTTAGATGCTACTGACATTATTCTACGCAACAACGGCAGCGCGCAGTGACACAGGCTCTAAAATTACGCATAGCAGCTGCCCATCGTCTTTATTCTGCTTCAGTACTTAGTAGTAGCTTCAACATCAGCTCCCTGTTCATAATTCATTCTGATTTGATGCTTCGTGGTATTTTCAATGATGGTATCGGCAGCCACTAGAAGCCGCCGTCATCAATAGTCCTAGCTGACTGCCACGGGTCATTCTAGAGGGCCTTGGCGACAACTTTTGGTTGCACGAGAGACCCAAAGTAGAAGACTATATTCCACAGGCAAAGCAGCGAAGTTTGAAACAGGGCCGACAAAATAGGTGCAGGGACACGGGCGTAACCAACGATGGCATGTCCTTGAATTTAGTGAATGGGGGCTTACTGTAACACTTTCAGCTGCAATATATGAACATCAGCAGCGGTCTGACCAAAGTAGTAACTTCAATAGTTTAAGCCTAATAAACTTACTAAGCCGTATTATCCCAGATTATCGTGTTCAATGGGGCGTGGACGAGACATATGGCACCTCGCTCTCTGGCTCAACAATGACTTTAAAAGCCGGCCTCTTCTTTTCACCGTTCAAAGATTCTGTCGTTCCTAAACAACTCCCAACTTCAAGCTTTGCCAGACATTTTCAAATTTTGTCGCAAAAGTCGCCATGAAGCTGTCACAGTCGATTCAGATCTCCGCCTTGCTGGCTGGAATCGCCTCCGCCTTCCCCAGCCCCCCGGCACTCACCGAAACTATCATGCTCTCCAACGGCACCATGACAGTGGCTGTCGAGGTCGAGTCCAGCGAGGTCCGGGATGAGCGTGCCATTCTCTGCCGCTCATCGGTCGATTGCAAAGGCAGCAGCCGCTGCACCAACAGTCAGGGATTCAAGGACCAATGTGGGGCCGCTTATTCCAAAATTGAAGATACCACCTAGACCACCGGAGGAGCGTAAGTAAAAAAGAGCCCCCTTCAATTTCGACGGAAATCACAAGGGGAGAGGCTAATGTACCCACGTTGTTCACAGGAAGAGCGGTGTCTGCTCTGGCAACTGTGGCATCTTTGTCCAGAACGGTGGCTGCTCTAGGTCTGGAGCGGATCTTCGCAATGGCTACAATGCCGTTCGGAGTGGTGGTTGCCAGGCATGCGGTTCATTCCATGGTATGTCTGGAGTGATGTGATGCACTGTTTGAAAAGACGCTCACGAGAGAATAGATGACGGCGGCTGCTTGATCACTGTCAATTTTGTCACCGGATGCTAAAATGTAGCAACGGCACAAGACTCGGACTGCGGTAAATGATGTTCCGGAAGCATGGAAATCAAAAGAAAGCGCAGAAAGCAGCGGACTGTCTTTCATGGGGGATCATCATGTTGAAATAAGTGAGAAAGCAAAGCTGGTTGTGGTCTCTAGGAATAGGCAAAAAACAGGAAAGCCTGTAAATGGTCTAATTCGACGCATGATGAGCCGCCCTTAAGTTGGGCCGTCGCATGTTGGCCAATTCCTGTCTATGACCTACGCACCTGAAAAATTCACTGTGATCCGGAAAAGCTCTAGAAATCCTTCCCTGCGACAGGGACATCCACCTGCCTTGGCTTACCACCGCTACTCTCTGGATCCGGATGGACGCCTTCAACGACCTCCGATTCTGGCACAAATCCAAGCTTGAGCGCCTCGTCGGGTGTGAAGCTGCCGTAGTAGTCCACCTCATCAACCAGGCCCAGCCCGGCGGGCGGCCAGATCCTGTTCAGGACGTAGTGAGCCGCGAAGGAGATGGCAAAGCCCAGCGGAAACGCCAGGTAGAACAGCTCGTTCCAGGCGCGCCCGACGCTGACCTTTTCCGGCGTGACGTTGGCGGCGAACCCAGGCAGCTGCGTGGCGAAGCCGAGGACCCAGGCCACGAAGCTGCGGGGGTTGAACCCGCGGGAGAAATAGTAGATGCCATCCCGCCCCGGGTGGTACAGGTCCGAGAGCTTGAGCCTCTGCCGGCGGACGAGCCAGTAGTCACAGATCTGGATGCCGATGATGGGACCGAGAAAGACGCTGTAGGCCGATAGGACCGAGATGAAGACTGCGGCCGACGAGAGCAGCTCCCAGGGGCACAGGGCGACGCTGAGGAGAAGTCCAATGTACGCGCCTCGACGGATGTTTATGTAGGAGCAGAACAGGCCCGCGAGGTCCATCCCTGCGCTGTAGGCGTTGTCGACTACATTGATGGCGACCTGGCAGGCGAGTAGGCCGACTCCTGCGAAGAAGGCCCCGGCCCTTGAGGAAGAGCTGTAGTCATTGTCGAGCCACCTCTGGGCCATGTCGGCTTGTGTCCCGGCTTGTCAGCTATGGGAGATTGAAAAGAGGGGATCTTGCTGTTTCCTCTGCGACTTACGTGGATTCCATATTGCCTCACCCCAAAGACCCTGTGTTGCAGAGGCGGCTAGACAGCCGAGAAATGGGAAGATCGTGCCAAAGAATCTGCGGCTGCCTTAGCGAAGAGATCGATGGAATAATATCAAAGCTTCTTTCCGAGGATTTGCTCACATGATTGAGAACCACTGACCAAAAACTTGGTCTCCGGGCCTCCTCGCAAAGCGCGAGTAGTCGTTGGCATTAGTCAGGCCGACTGCGATGCCTCCGATGACGGTGGTCACACCCGACACGATCGACCATCCCAGATCCCACGAAGTCATGGATTTCGCTCCCTGGGACAGCAAGGGTCCACCGCCCTTGGCTACAGCCAGCGACCAGATCAGCATGGCCACGAGAGTCGTAGCCGCGAGCAAGTTGAACACCAGAAGAAGGCGCTTGATCTTGTGTGGCGGTATGTACAGCACGGGCGCCATGGCCACGTTGAAGAGGATCCACCCGACGAACTGCTTCGTCTCGAGGTGCGCGGACTCGGGGAAGACGTTTGGTAGGTTGTGGAAGCTGGGGAAGATGGCAGACAGGATCACGGCAATGCAAAGCCCTCCCGTCCAACTCTGCACGGAGAACCAGACCAGGCTAAGAATGATGCGCTGCACGATCTGGAGGAACGCGCCGTAGGGTCCCCAGACGTACCGGGAGACGACGGGGAAGCCGATGTGCCACGTTGCTCCGACGTAGCCGTTGAATATGGCCACCAGTGATATTATGATCTTGCCGATGAGGGTCGCGAGGACGGCCTGCCACACGCTCAGACCGGTCGCGACCAAGGACCCACCAAGTTGCCAATTTGAGACTTATCAGGAGGATCCAGTCAGACAGACTTTTCATTTCAGGCTACACATGTGTGGGGGGTGAGTTCGCTTACTGGCGATCTGGTTGGTGAGCCAGAAGGAGATGAATGTCCAAGTCGTCCAGGTCCTCCGCGAAGGAGGCAGAGGGCGGATGTCGTCGTTGATCCATATGTTAGCGACTGACTTATCCGTGCTGGACAGTCGGATCGAGCTCAGAAAATTTTGTAGCCTCATGTTAGAGGTTCTGTGCCTGTGTAAGATGTCTTCTACATCTAAATCACCCAAGTGGTCCCCGACAGAATGGAGACGAGTCGAGTAGTACCAGAAGCAACGAAGAACATCGGATTCCACCATGCGACCAAGGTTGCAGCGACGAGAATCATTCTAATAACAGCATTCAGATACTGGCACCTTATCATCCGTCGGGCAAAACATGGGCAAAACATTAAGTATTGGTCTGCTTACCCCAAGAATGTTTGTCCGCCAGCTGGGAAGCAGGAAACTCTGATAAGGCTAGTTAAACGTCTCCAACATCTTGTGGTGGCCGGCGGCCTTTTCCTATCTCTCGGCGCGTCGGGTCGGAGCCGTTCCTGCTCTGTTAGTATGCCCAGATCGACTAGCTCCGATCTCGTTAGGGGCGTATCCCTGGCAAAGTCCCCCGCCCACCGGGTGTCACTGTAGGGTGAACTAGTGGAGAACCATGCCAGTGTGGTCGGCATTTGTGGATGATACGATCTCGGAGTGTCACCATCTGCTAGACATAAAAGCAACCTGATCTAGGTGCAAGTCATACTAGCGGAAGTTTCCGACAGCGATGATCTAATCTTCTCCGGGCCCTGATTGCAGGCCAAGCTGATTTCTCCTGACCTGAGGGATATCATCAGCCCCAAGCCCAAATTCTGCCATACCCATCCGGGGGTAACACCACAAACAACGTACTCGCCCGACCTCCTTGGCCTCGCAGTACTACCCCTAGACCTCCGCATGAGAAACCATGACGCTTGATAAATCAATCCGCATAGGCGTAGACGTCGGTGGCACAAACACCGATGCAGTGGCCGTCGATATGGCCCTCGCTTCCCGAGGCCACCCAGAGCGAGGCGTGCTTGCCTTCAAGAAGACGCCGACTACCCCAGATGCCACCTCCGGCATCGAGACGGCCGTGCGGGCCGTACTGAGCTCGGCCGAAGGTGCAGGCGGCATCAACCCGGAGCGCATCGCCAGCGTCACCGTGGGTACCACCCACTTCATCAACAGCGTGGTGGAGAGGGACTCGCGCCGCCTGCAAAAGGTCGCCGTCATCCGGCTCTCGCGCTCGTTCCTGCGCGAGGTTCCACCATTTGCCGACTTCCCGGAGGACCTGGCGGCCATATTGAATGGCTACTGCGGCATCGTGGACGGGGGGCTGCACATTGACGGCTCGCAGGAGGCGCCGCTGAGGGAGGCGCAGGTTGTCGCCGAGTGCCAGAAGATCAAGGCGCTGGGGTTGACAGCCGTGGTGGTGGCGGGGGTCTTCTCGCCCATCGACGAGACCTTCCAGCAGGAGAACCGTGCGAGAGAAATCATCCTCCGTGAGCTGCCGGGCATCGACGTGGTCTGCTCGCACGAGGTGGCGAATATAGGGCTGCTGGAGCGGGAGAACGCGAGTATCTTGAACGCGGCCATCCTCAGCTACGCGAGGAGGACGGTGGGGCGGTTTAGGCTGGCCATGCAGAGGCTGGGCCTGTCGTGCCCACTGTTCATCACCCAGAACGACGGTACCATATTGGACTCTTTCTCAGCCGCCAGGATGCCCATCAAGACCTTCTCTTCAGGTGCGACCAACTCTATGCGCGGCGCTGCGTACCTGTCTGGGCTCGATGCGGGCGGCAGTAGGTCTGCTGTTGTGGTTGATATCGGAGGCACCACATCCGACGTGGGTGTGATCCTCGCCAGTGGTCTCCCGCGGCAGGCTTCCGCCTACGTCACTGTCGCAGGAGTAAGGGTGAATTACTCGATGCCTCACCTGCATTCCATCGGCCTTGGTGGCGGATCTCTCGTGCGAGAGGTGGAAGGCAGGGTGCGAGTTGGGCCAGAGTCTGTGGGGCACTTCCTTACTGAGGAAGCACTGGTGTTTGGTGGCCAGACCTGCACAGCCTCGGATATCGCAGTGGCGCTGGGAAGGGCAGAGATGGGTAAGGCGACCGCAGTGAGGCATCTCAGCGAGGACTTCATCAATTCTGCGCGAGACCGCATCAAGACTCTCCTCGACGGCGCTATCGACGTGGTCAAGACGTCTGCAGACCCGATTCCCGTGCTGCTCGTAGGCGGAGGTGCCGTGCTGGCCCCTGAGGAGATTGCCGGTGCGTCTGAGGTTGTCCGGCCCCCCTTCCACGACGTCGCGAACGCGGTGGGGGCGGCCATCTCGAGGGTGTGCGGAAGCGTCGACATCGTCCAGAACACGAGCCAGCAGACCGAGGCACAGGCCATCCAGCGCGCCAAGGACCTGGCGGTGCAGCGCGCAATATCGGCGGGAGCTGTCGAGAGTAGCATCTCGATCGCGGAAGTGGAAAGTATGCCGCTGCAGTACGTCACGAATCAGGTCCGGACCATCGCCAAGGCAGTCGGAGACATCGACTTCAGGGCTCCCGTGCTCGACAACGCGGCGGACGAGGATCTGTCCGGTATCGACGACAGAATCGAGGAGCACAAGAACCTAAATATCAAGACCCTTGACGCCCAAAAGGTTGACCCGTTTGCTTATAAGCCCCTGATCGAGAAGAATGCGCAGGGCATACCGGAGTGGCTTCTCAGCGAGACTGATCTGGCTTGGCTTGCAGATGGCTGTTACGTGCTTGGCTGCGCGGGTGGAGGCAGCCCTGCAGCAAGCGTCCTTCAACTTCGCGACATACTCAGGGCCGGCCACAAGATCCGAATAATAGACCAGTCCTCTTTGAGAGACAACGCCCTCATCTACTGGGGCGGTCACATGGGCTCCCCTGCCGTCTCAGTAGAGAGGCTGCAGGCGCTCGAGACGGTCCAGGCGTTCGAGGTTCTCATGGAGTACCTGGGCCATGACAAGTTCGACGCCGTGATGGGGCTAGAGATCGGTGGCGCGAATGGGATGGAGCCCATGCTGGTCGGCTCTTCAAAGTTCTTCGACAGCCCCATCATCGACGGCGACTGGATGGGCAGGGCCTACCCGACCTACTGGCAGACGACCCTGGCCGTTCACGTCCCACTTGAGCTTTGCCCCTGCGCCATAGACTCGGGGGACGGCAAAAGTATAGTCATGACGCGGGCTCCCGATGATGAAATCGTCGATAGAGCACTCAGAGCGTCGTGCTCTGAGATGGGCAGCCGTTTGGGCATGGCCGCCAAGCCCACGACGACGGAATACGTTAGAAAATACGGCGTGCTCAACACGTGCTCCCTGGCTTGGAGGATAGGCAGATGCATTGCGAGGTGTGAAGCTAGCAGCACCCTTTCGACAGTCGCCGAGTCGATCATTGACGAGGCAGGTGGCCCAGGTGCTGCGAAGGTACTGTTCAGGGGTAAGATCGTGGCGGTGGAGCGCCGTCTTGTCAAGGGGCACTCGTACGGTACTGTTCACATCGCCACTTTTGAAGGCAACGACTTGGACGATGAGGCTTGCAGCTCCTCCACGACTAGGTCGACCGCCTTGGCGTCTGGAGGCACTCTCAAGATCCCCTTCAAGAACGAGAACATCTTCGCAGAGCACACCGCTGCGGACGGCACCACGCAAGTGATAGCTTCGGTGCCAGACCTCATCGCAATCCTGGACAATGGCTCCGGCAGGGCGCTCGGTGTGCCTGAGTTCAAGTATGGATACCGCGTGACTGTGATTGGAATTACATGTTCACCGCGGTGGACAGAGGTGCCTGCAGGTCTCGAGATTGGCGGCACAAAGGCATTTGGATACGACGACATTGAGTATCGGCCTCTGGGGAAATACGTCGAGCCCAAGAGCGTGATAGCAGAGTACGGTCTTGCCTAGGATTGTGGGAGAATATAGAATCAGAGGCACGAGAAAAGACCCAGTAGCTTCGACGACACAAATGCACGTGGCTTAAGCCTGTGAATAGATACCTTGTAAAGGGCGGCAAGTTGGTAGGCGGGCCGCTGCGTACCGCATCTCGCACGCGTCTAGGACACTGGTGCTCATACTGAAGGGCTTGCATTCGGCTCTGCGGCATTACCATCTCTATTAGATCAAACTAGGCGCCTGCATCCTTCAATATATTGACAATCTCCGCACGTCCAAATTTCCTAGCAAACGTCATAGCTGTATTGCCTTCCTCATAGCCCATCGCAGCGTACTTGGGCATGTCGTCTACGTTCTCGAGAAGCGTGTACACTTCCTGTACACGATTATTGGCGGCAGCATAATGAAGCGCAGTGTACCCACGGACATTCTGAAGCCGTAGAAGAGCATTCTTTTCCGAGACTTGCTGAATCAGTGTCTTCACCACTTCCGTATGTCCTGAAGCGACTGCTGCATGCAACGGCAAGCCGCAACACTGCCCTACTTCGGCATCTTGTCGCGCCCCCACGGATAGAAGAAGCTTGACAACTTCCACGGCCCCGCTCCAGCACGCGAAATGTAATGCGGTGTTCTCGCGAACCATCGCATTGGCATTATAGCCAAAATCTTTCAACACTTTGACCGTCTCGATGCGTTGATGCGCTCAAGCTTGAAATGAAGCGCAGTCCAGTGTTTTAAGCTGGTCTTTACGCGCTTCGGAATGGCACATGCATTCCAGATAATGAAGCCTCAGGAGATTCGAGCATCCTGCAGATGCTAAAAGCACCAGGATATTGGTCTATTCGCGAAGTAATAGCCGGTTCTGCGTCGAGCTTCGGTGGAGCGTTTCGTGAAAACGTCGAACCAGTTGTTTGGTGCGTAGTCGTCCGCAACGAATCATTAAGTCTGGGTACTTGTCTTTGTTGACAGGAATGATATCGGAGTCGCGCATGTGGTCCATCCAAAACCTACAGGTATACTGTAGCAAGCAGGATTTGGGTTCGGCGCTCAGATCTGCTGACTCCAGTACGTCCACACACAGCCTCGACCAGGTGTAGTGGCATCGAGTTTCTACACCGTACTCATCATACATCCCAATGCGACGTAGTCCCGAGTCTGATAAAAGGAACTCGCGGGCGGTCTGGTGAATGAAATTGACAACATATCCTGGGTCTCCTCCGTCCGACTTCTCAAGCGATAGAAGAGCTTTAGCTTGCTGACGTTCGGTCTGGACAAGTCCACTCGAGATTACCGTTAGGCGTTGAGAGAACTTCTCCAAGTCTTGTACAAACGTATAGTTGCCTGAAGAAAGTGCATCTCTCAATAAGGAGACTCCGAGTGGTTCCCGTGCCACAAGGAGGAGTTGGAAAAGCCTCAGGCGTTCAGCTGCATGATCAGGATCGTCTGAGTTGAGGAGATGGGCATATAGCTCAAGGATGTCCACTGGGAGCTCCTCTGCGTGCCTGAGTAGCTCATCATTCGTCTCGCAATCAACCTTCGACAGTATCTTCCATACCACGAGATCGACCCATTGAAAGATACCAGATGCCTTGTCCAGTATGATACGCTCAAGCATCACACGAAGTCCACTCTCGTTGACATTGACAAGCTTCGACTGCACGAATTCCTTGATGTCTCCTTGGTTATGCTCATCGACAATAATGATGTTCCCTTTGGGTAAGGCAGCGCCGAGCTTGTATCCACTGCGGACCGATAGACAAACCTGCAAAGATGTCTGAGTCTGATTCAGCTTTTGACTCAGAATGTGCAGATGCTCGAGCATGTCCAATGACCCATCTCCCCCGTCAGCTTTGCATTCGTCAATCGCATCGAGAAACAAGTAGACAGACAGTTTTGTTGTCCGAGTCGTGGTTAGGATTGCCGTAATCGCATCTCTAACGGCATCGATGTTGCCGCTGCGTAGGAGAGCTTCATTGTTTAGGATCCCCTCCGGGAATGGGCGTATGTTCCGGAGGAGCTCGCAGAGTAGCAGACGGTACATTCGCAAAGAGCTTTGCCACAGCTCGGGCTCTGTGTTTTGCCGACCATCGAAGAAGAACTGTACAGTCAATTTTGCGTGTGACTGCTCGTGGCTGTGCACCAAACGTCCGGCTGCGGCCTTCATTCCGACATATTTCCCAGCTCCAGGCTTGCCTTTTATGATCAAAAAGGCCGATTGGGAGGCTGCACTGCATGACACCCAGCCTTGATACTTGAAATTCTCGAACAGCCAAGAACAGCTTTGTTCCGGGGTTATACTCCGAATTGCGTTCAGACGCTGGTGCATGGTTGGAAACTCGAGACGCTTCACCAAATCTGTCGATTGTCAATTGCTAAGCATACACGAAGTCCCTTGCCAAGATAGGTCCTGTTGCTAACCTTGCACCTTTTTCTCGAGCTCCTGATCCCCCCCTTCCTTCTTGAGTCTGTCTTCGATTCTTCTGCTTTCAGTCTCTTGTTCTACTGACCCCGCCCATCTGCAAAGCTCCCCTTGAAGCGATTTGAACCCTGGGTCATCAGGTCCGTCAAACTTCATCATATCAATGTGATTTGCGTGTACCATGGCCTTTGTGCTTCCATCAGTGTCTCTTCGCATAACAAGGACGAGGAGGATGATACTCACGTCTTTGCAGATTAGTCCTCCAAGGCTACGACAGACGAAGACGATAGGTCGATTAGCCTTGCACAATTAGCGCTGAGCTTCGAGCATGAGGTCCAAGTCTTATATACCGTTCCGTCATCTTCACGCTCGTTGGAAAGGGCGTGTAGTAGATCAGTAGCATGGTGGCCGATCCGTGACTGAGAAACCACACTTTTCCAACCATGTCTTACAACATCAGCGTCGTAGCCGAACGTCATCAATCGGATATTCTGCAGTTTTTCGGGAAGAAATCCAGCATCCCAAGGAGCGTTGCCACTGGCGGAAGGCCATGTTCTCTCGCGATGGCCGGTCAAGCCATGTACGAAGACTACACTTTGAGACCAGGTCAGCACAATCTTGACTTCTTCCACGTCCTACGCCATTACTACAATAACCATGGAAAAAGGCATTGAGCTCGGCTGCGCAAAGTTAAGCCCGTCCACTTTGTCAAGGTAAGTATGAAGATTTCAATGACCCAGGCTCCCTTTTTCGTCGTATTGCTGCCGCCGAAGCACATGGAAGGTCATTTTGACTAGCACATTCTATTACTTAGAGCAGTTCAAGAAGTAGTACTATAAACAGCTTATAGACATTCAGAAATGCCCTAAAATCCCAACTAAAACCCGAGCATACGACAGCTACTCCTTCGATCCCCTACCCGCTGAGACCAACCCTCCTATCAGGCCTAACCGCCTCACCCACTTATTCAAGCATCCAGAGGACGCAGAGGCTCTCCCAGTACTGTACCGTAAGATTCCAGAGAAGTTTCGAGCGAACTTCTAAGCCTTTCCCAAAGAGGGAAGCGCAGTCGGCTGGGTAATCGAGTTTGTTGAAGGACTAAATTGGTTCACCGTGTTTCTCTGCGGCTGCCTGGGTTTCATGGCTGCGTTGGTATCGGCAATATTTTGGTCTGTAGTGCGAAGTGATGTTCAAGGTGACTTTGCCATTGCTAGCTTTATGCTTGCATTCTTAGGCTTCTGCTCGGGTATCGCGAGAACCGAGATCCAAATGGCATGACGAGAGCTCGAGGCGCGATAGGTGGACTAGTTTTCTAAATCCTTAACAAACCACATTGCCTTTACCGCCGTATGACAATTTTCCTGCGCCAGCACAATCGCCCTTTCATATTGGCTAGCAGCGAATTTCCCGCCCGCAGCACTGCATAGGAGTGGTATCATGCTAACTCGGCAATACTGCGCGGCGTACTCAATGGCAGAACGTCCTCCAAAGCGCACGCCTGGGGCATTCACGTTTGCACTTAAAGCCAGCAACTTCTTCGCACTCCTCATTGACCCCGCCTTGGCAGCGAGCTGAAGTGCAGTCCCGCCTCCACGAGCGGCCGGGGCGGCGTTGATATCGACGTTAAGTTCGAGGAGAAGATCAACGATAGTATGGCTCGCGACCTCACAAGCCTTTTGCAAGGGCGTGCGCTTCAAGCCCTGCTTCGCTTCCTTTCGGACGTCAGCCCCCTTGGAGACGAGTAGTTCTACCAGAGGCAAGCTTTTCGTCTCTATAGAATCCAGAAGTGCGGTGTTCCGTACAGTGATTTGGTCGGAGTATTGCCCAAAGCAGTTTTCTGCAGATGAAGAATGCTCGCGTCTTTCGCTTGCTGGCATGTCAACATTGCCTCCAGCACTCAGAAGCTTGGAGATCAAATCTAGACAACCGCCACGGTATTTCTTGATAGCCATACCGAGAGCTGTCACGACGCCGTAGTCTTCGTAAAGGGTCATTTTGTTCACGTCAAAGCCCGCACTGAGGCAAAATTCCAAGAGCGCTCCGTCCTCCCTCTGTAATACCTGTGACGCGATTCGCGCTGCCGCTTTCGTGATTGGCTCTGTCTGCCGCGCTGCACTGGCAGCCTCGTAGGTCCAGAGCGGTACCTAGTCAGCGAGCCTCATGGTTACTTCTCCCAGCCACAGCTTCTGGAATGATGAAGGTACGAAACTTGTTGGTTGGGCTTCTTCGTGTGCACACGAGGGTGTTGGCGATAGTAGGTATGGTGGTTGCATTCGATTATGGTGTAGTGGGTAGGTTTCGCCTGGAAGGCGAAGCCCATACGCAACTGCCATGGGCTGTCCGGCTAAGCCAGCTGGGACTCAGGTGGCGACGGCCCAGCAGTGTTATCTATTGGTCTAGTCTACTGTGCACCTTCGATTCTGCGCAACGCACCCACGACATTCCCACAAAATTGTTACCAAGTCCTCCTGCGGAATTGTAGACAAAAGACGCATCCGTAATAAAATGGCGAAAATTCATTAAATGAAACAATTCCGTGAAAACTCCTGATGGTAGTCCGCACATATGCTTAAGCCAGGTAAACCGAGAATTCGTCAATCGTGGACGGCATATCCCCAGTGATAGGCGCTTCCGTAGAGCAACCTGATTTCGGGTCTAGCCAGACGCAGGTCTCAGACTGGGGCGGTTTGTAGCACGCGATAATCCTGTCCGCCATAGTGCTGAACACCTTCATATCTAGCGGACCGTTCTCACTGGTGGTGGTGAACTCCCAATCGACGTATCCAGCGTAAGGTTCCGACTGGTAATACACTTCAGCATAGTTGGTGGTTCCATTTGTATCAATTGTGGATTCGCCTCTGTTGAATGCTTGGGGGCTAGAACTTGGTCGCTGGGTAATTGCACAGGCGACCTGTGCTGCGGCTAGGTTCATGTTGGCGGCAAATGTGACCAGAAGTCCAAACGTTCGAGGGAGGCTGGCGGGCTTCATTTTTGCTTTGAAAGAAGTTTGGCGATTCTGTATAGCAGCTCAACTGTAGTAGTAAGACTATTGTTGTGAAGAAATATTAGTATGTAAGTTAGAGCTTGTATGTGGACGTTAAAGAAGCAAATCGCATATCATTACATTGGTGGTAGCCTCGTTTATATCTATGCTCGCAATCTCTCAGTTCTTTTTTGAAGGAAACCCGCACGGGTGTTATCTCTAACACACAAACCTCCTTGGCTGGGAGATAACATGAGTGCGAGTCATGCTTTGAACCTGTAATTAGAAAACACTTTTGCGCCTTGGCCTGGGTATGAGGTAGATAGTTTATGAGAGGCAGTGTAGAGCTTGGCAAGGGCGGGGACCGAAATACCTAGGTAGTGATCATGTGTAGCACATGACTCGGAAGATCTTGACTTTGATTAGTGCCAAACTGCGGTCTTTTTTTAGAGCAAACCTGCATGGACCCAAGTCATGCTTTGAACCTGTGGCCCGGGCATGATGAATTCCACCCTCCCCGGGCGGACAAAAGCGATGGTTTTTCTACGGGAAATCCAAATTTAATTAGCATGAAAACGCTAAGCAAAAATGTAAACTTAAAATTTAAAGTACCTCAAAGTACCATTTTTACTTTTAAATATAACCTTTTTAATAATTTAACTCTTCCTAAGTTGGCAATTAAATTTTAAATTGGCCGGTTGGGGTGAGGATGGACGGTGCCGATAGGCACCGCTGAGCACCACTTGAGGCCCAACTCGGTATTCTTTATGTTCCTTAAAATAAGCGAGATGCGTTTTAAGTGAAAAGCGTGGAGGTATAAGCGGGTACAAAGTATCGTTTTTGTCCGCCCGGGGAGGGTGGAATTCGTCATATAACATGTTGGTGTGGCCCGGACGGCACGAAGAATTTATATATGTGTTATAGGGTGGGTCGCCTGGCCAGCTTGGCAACTGTTAGATATGCGGTTAGCTTGACCCTAACGAGGACTATTTTGAGGAGTGTTTCTAGCACGATGTTTAACAATTGTATTGCTTACAACAATACCATTTTAACATCCCGCATCCGGGTCACGGGTGGTGCCGTGCATGGCCGTATTGGAGGCCTGAGGCCCTCAAGAGGCCAGTTTCAAACCGTCGAAAGCTTTCGGGGCCAGCCCAATTGACTCGGAGCCTGACCGGCTAACCGGACGTGGACCCAGAGCTGCGGCGATCAAAGATTGGGTACAAGGGCGGCAGCGGGAAGGTGCTTAGGGCCGGCCAAGGAGGCCGGGCTCCGGGTGCTCAATTCTTCAGGGGCTTCGCCATCAATTAAGACACCTAAAACTTACTCACCACTCTTAGTCCTGGAATTTGAGCAAAGAACGGACAGAAGGTGACTATTCCATGATCTTTGGAGAGATTAATAGTGGCAAGTCTCTAGTCGCCAGCTGCCAGCTCCTCTTCATGTCTGACCTCGTCTTCCTGCTATTCACAACAATGCCGTATGCGAAAGCAGTGATTATTTAATATCTGAATGAAATCTAGAATTCTCTACAGCTACCCGAATCTGAAGGGCTAGATGCACCATGTGGACTGTGTGGCTTTATTGGCTGGTTACACAACGACAATGCCTCGCCAGTTTTCAGGGCCCGCGACAGGCACCCGAGAGCGTGGCGAGCTGTGTTTCCAGAATTTTCAGGTTTTACCAGGGAAAGTTCAGCTTGCACGTTTCTCAGCGACTTCGTACTGGCTGGTCGACGGCACACAGTGCTTGAACTGGACGCGCGATCATCTGGCCGTTGCACGGGACATCTTCGCAGAGCGTGTGCCTTACCAGAAGGAAGACATGCTGCAAGCGAAGCATCTTACTAGGCACTGGAACTTCAGGAACGAGGAGATAAGCACCAGCAGACCACCATCCCCCCTCACCCGGGAATTGGGAGCGAACGGCTGGCGGCATTATGCGGTTTTCGTCGTATTCAATCAATTTGTTGTGAAAGTTAGACAGCAGCTGGACGGAAGCCGGTCTGGGCTATAGCGGCCGTCTCCCAAACAGCGCGGCCACATGGCCCGAGGCTCTCAGGGAACCGATGCGGCTCGCGCACGATGTCATGCGCGATGGTGCCAGGAACACGGGGACGTCCAAGCAAATTCCTGGAATTCTAATGTGTAAGCACACTCGAGCCCGCCAAAGTTCCGGCCGCACATAATGTACAGATAGATATCAGACTCTTCGATTTAATGCCATTACCTCTTGCCTACATCACTTCATCCCCGCAACAGTCACATTTGACCAATTAGTTCAAGACCAGACCCAGCCTCAGCCCCCAATCTCACCCCTTGTTGGGAGACGATTGTGCGGAGTCTTCTGCCGCCAGTAATTCAGAGCATTGGACTGTATTCAGTATCCCATTCTGCTGGCCTGTAGAATGAAGTGCCAACTTTGGAATTCAGCGAATGGAAAGAATCTGCTACACCTGCAGTGCTCAGTGCCCGAAGGTGTTAGCATGCATTCAAAGTGGAGCCGGTGATCCCTCCATGCACGCAGCTTACTGTCAGGTCGGAGGTGCCATTCCGGGACAGAGCCTGGTAATAATTACTATCCACTCCTCCTTTTGGTTGAGGACTGCCTGGATGCCCTGGTGCCAACAGTGCACGCTGCATGGACTGTTGGCTGGTACCAGTTCGCTGCTCAATCTCACCAGAAAATGCACGCAGCAGCAGCCACAACTAGGCAAGGAAAAGCTGGCAGCTTCACCACTGCTAGAATGGGCTCAGAAACAGAGACGGCATCGACCATTGAAGGTCTCCTGCGCCAGACCGGCGCAGAAGTCCTTCGCCCCTGTGATCCGGGGTACACTCTTCGCCAAGACAGCTATTTCTCCACCACGGCTGCCGAGCTCCGTCCCGCTTGCATTCCGGCCGCATGGCGCTTCCGAGGTCTCCAAAACCATCCAGATCCTCGTCTCAGGGGGCCACGTCTTCGCCCTCCGCAGTGGAGGACATGGCACCAGTCTTGGGGGCAGCAACATCGACGGGGGGATCACTCTCGATTTGGGGTTGTTGGACTGGACGCGAGTCGTGGAGAATAGCCAGAGTGCTGATGGAGGACAGGAGTTTGCCGCGTTGGTCGACATCGGGCCCGGTGCGCGCTGGCGGGACGCGTACGCTGCCCTGGATAAGCACGGACTGATGGTGGCGGGCGGGCGTGAGGGCTCGGTGGGTGTCGGGGGACTACTGCTTGGAGGAGGCATTTCATTTCTTTCGGGCACCCGCGGATTGGCGTGCGACAACGTGGCAGCCTTCAAGGTCGTGCTGGCCGACGGTCGCATCGTCCAGGCTTCAAAAACCGCGAATGCCGATCTGTTCTGGGCCCTGAAAGGTAGCACTATCAACTTCGGCATCGTGACCAATATCCGCATGCAAGCAGTGAAGAGTCGCCCCGTTTGGGGCGGCCTCACCATGATGTCGCCACAGACTATTCCGCAGGCTGCCGAGGCGTTAGTCGACTTTACGAGCCGCGTGAATGAAGATCCGGACAGCAGCTTGTTATGCATCACCGAGTACCGGCCAGAATCAAAAGAAATCGCCCTTCCCGCATATCTGGTTCAAACCGCTGGAGTGGAAAATGCGCCTGCATATTCTAGATGGCTGCAGCTACCATCCACCCACAAGTTCTTTGCGAAGTACACATTTGCTCAAGCCTCTGGCAACAGATCCATGCCGGATGGGTACCAGTAAGCTTTTTTTCCTCTACTACTGTTGACCAGTCGATTGATATTCGAGATGCAGTAATGTCTGATTCACTGCCACCTTCAAAAACGACGCTCGCATCGTCTCGAAAGCTACCTCTCTGCACCAGGACCTTGTCAATACGCTCAAGACATCCATCGTACCGGATGGTGACTTTGTCTCGCTCTGTCTTTTGCAACCACTTCCAAAGATAATTGTCCAACTCGGCGACAACCCCATGGGCATCTCACACCAGAGTGGGGATGCTGTCCTCGTCATGACGACGGTTATGGTACGCACCGCCCAGCAAAAAAGCAGCGGCACATCCCAAATGCAAGGAATTCTTCACCACGCTGAGGGAGTTTGCTAGATCTACTGATGAGGACCTGAACCTAGACTGGGAGTATATCAATTATGCCGATGAGACCCAGGACCCTCTAGGAAGCTATGGTGCGGAGACCGTCAAGAAGTTGAAGGAAATCTCCCAAAGGTATGACCCGGACCAGGTCTTTCAGAAGTTGTGTCGGGGCGGATTCAAACTCACTCCTACTTCGATTTGAAACGCAAGCCGGTCTTGGAGAAATCACATGGCAGTACATCGATTCTCGGGTGATTGTATCAATCGTTATCATGGCTAGATGCTCTGACATTTTGGTCTTCATCTATGCTCTCATTGTCTAACGACGACCTGCAGTCCTTTACTTCCATTGGCTGGTGCCGGAATTATATAGTCGCAATTGGGATCAATATCTCTTGCGCGTTGCGTGTCGTACAGCTCCAGTGACGGCCCAAGTCCTTCCTGCCCGCAATAAAGGTTGCATTTGCGGAACAGCGTGGCCAAGACGAGCGCCATTTCTCTGCGGGCAAGATTCATGCTACGACACATGGCACATGAAGTCGTCAGCAGGACAAAGCAAGAACTTAAATACTTATTCGCTTAATTTGGGGGATTGTCACTTACCCTACACAATTTCTCGAACCGCGAGCAAATCCATGAAAGGCTTTATCGAGCCTCGGCTCGTCGATCCACCTCTGTGGTCGGAATTGGTAGGGATCTTGGAACAGATCTTCTTTCAGGTGTGTCGTATATGGGGACATACTCATGACAGTTGAAACACGTAGTCCCGACAACTCTTACTCTTGTACGTGACGGGTACGTCAGGCGAAATACGCGCCTGGCGAGCCATAACGCCCGGGTGCAAACGCACTGTCTCCTGGATCACAGCGTTGAGGAATGGTAGTGCGTTAACTTGTGCAAATGATGGCAGCGTATTTGCGTCGGGAATGGCTTCTGAAAATTCTCGTTGAAGCTCCTGTAGTACCTGAGGGTGGGCGAGTAGCTCATACGTGCCTGCGTTCAGCGTATACGCTAGACTTAAGAGTCAATGGATTGATGTGCTTTGTCATTCAATGTCTGAAAAAAAAAGAAATAAGAAAGAAGAAGAAGAAAAAAAGAGGAAATAGTCCTGTATTTACCTGTTGTGCCCTCGCCTGCGAAAACAATGAGTTGTGCCTCGGCCAGTAAACGCTTACTGGTCAGGTCTTCATCAGGCAAACCCCGGTTGAGAATACCCCTCAAATATGGTTCCTTTGGCCTTAGACATACCAGGCGACTCTTTGATCGCATATACCATATCCATCCACTGCTGTTGCTTCTTGGCCAGCTCTGTGAGCGATGGGAAGATTTTTGGGGCCACCCAAAGCGGCAAGTTGTACACAAAATCGGCCAACCAGAAGAAGTGACCAAAAAGGTGCGACATTCGGAAAAAGACGTCGCTTGACTCGTAGTATGAGCGTCCGAGATCCTTCTGGTCCAGGAGGCCAATCGACTCTCCAAAGGCGTACGTTGTTATAAAATCGTTGGTAAACGCACCGCAGTAGCAAACGTCCCAGCCCAGAGAGGATCTTTGGTCCCAGTGAGAATGCCTTTGACTAGCTTCGGAGCGAGCTGATCGACGGACATGCATGAATTCTTGTGCTCGGCCCGTTGCTTGTTCGCCATCTCTTCAATACCGGGGTACCGGTAGTATGAAGTCTCGGGCAAGTGGAGCTGGCCGCCAGGCTTGTCGAATATCGTTGTACTGGCAGACCCGACCATCACCGTGACGACACGCACCCCCAGCGGGCCCATCTCGATCCGCAGTGTATCCGACATCTGTGCGATTGCAGCCTTGGAGCTGGAATAGATACCTAGTCATCACGTCAGGCCATCACTTTCTTCTGCAAATGCGGGAAGCTTCTAGTTGGGGAGTTAAATACCGGCCCAGCACATCGGGATCTTGCCGCCGATGGAGCTCAAGTTGGCAATAATACCCTTTGACTTGATGACGAGAGGGGCAAAAGCCTGGGTGACAGCAAGAGGGCCCCAGACATTCACTTCATACACCTGCTTTGCCCATTCCATGTCCATGTCCAGGAGAGGACGGACCCCCTCGACTCCGGCACAGTTGATCTGCAAACCATTAGAAGTGAACTGAAAGTTAGAGAGTGGGAGGCAGTCTCGTTGGAAATCTGAGGTTTGCATATGGGGTAGAAGTACTGACAAGGACATCCAGCTTCCTATCAGTACGTTCCGCAACTAGCTGTTTGCACTTCAAGATAGTTTCGGACACCGTCACATCAAGCTCGACGAGGTCCACGTTGCTAAGCTCGGCCAGGTCCTTTGCTTTGGAGCGATCGCGTACCCCCGCAAAGACGTGAAAATCATGCTCAAGGAAGACCTTTGTCAATGCCCAGCCGATACTTCCCGTGCTGCAGCCTGTGATCAAGACTGTCTTCTTCTGAGTCGCCGCAGTCGCCATGGTCTCTGTTGATGGAAGTCTGGGATGGATGCAAGGAGTGAGATGAAGAGTCTGAACTGTGCTTGGGGCGGAGAGAAGACGAGCATGCTCATGCCACCTGTGGACCCTGCAGCCTTACGGCGCAGTTCGGACCGTTCAACTCAATACTGCTCAAAGAGGGTATCAGGCCGTAAACCGTAGTACCCAGTGTTTCTGTAGCGCCAACAGCTACCAATCGTAGTACCCAACGTTTCTGTGGACGTTGGCACTAGAGAATCACCAACAGCCTCCGTACCAGGTATCTTGAAAGCTCAGACCAAGTCGCATTTCAGCAGGCTACTGTCTGTCGGCTTAGCTCCCTTTGCATGGTTTGGGGACTCTCCTCCAAGACTGATCCTCCTGGCCGCCGAATTTTCCATTTCATAGAACGGCGAGGAGCCTCGTGCGGATGCCAGTACCTGACATACTTCATCTTGTGCACAGCCTAACCTCGCCCCGGCTCTGCTTCTCGATACTGTATTTGGAGGTAAAAGAGAGCTCAGAATTGTGTGACGTCCAATCTTGGGGCAGGTTTAGGAAGATTTGCATGGTGGCTTCTTTGCCACCCGGTAACACCCTTTCAGTACTTATGGTTACTACTGTACATTGCTTTGTGCTGCAGTGTTGGAGGTCACCAATCCCTATTTCGAAAATGTGGTTATTCAAGGCGTGTACAGATAGATCATGAAGACTCCAAAAATTGGCGATATCTTCATCATCTTAATCATCCGTCTGTCTAACCGTTTTTGTAATTTTTTTGGTTTCGCGCACAGAAGCTGTGGGGATGTCATGTTAGCTCGGGGTTGAGCGTAGCATTTCGTTGCGCTGACCCCTAGATGTTTCATTATGCCGCACAAGCTCATGTCACGGCCACACGTGAAACTGTCGAGTCTCAATATGCAACCTACATGCCAAGCATCCAATCTCCTTATTGGATAGCACATACAAAACCCTGGCAACGACCCCGTTCAGGACTACTGCCGCTATCCTCACGGCGGCGGTACCGTGGAAATTTAAGAGGCCAGTGGAACCCGTCTTGGCCGCTCCCGGGCCCTACTCGAGATGAACATTGGAACAATCCATTCTTCTTCGATCAACACTTGGAATCCCGCCGTATGTTCGAGCACCGCTCGGCGACATCATGCTTGCATTACCGACAGCGTGGGTCTGGCTGCTCTTGGCTTGGTTCGCAGCCAGCGACACCAGGCTCCTGGAGCATATTTCTGCAGCGAGAAAAGGAGGCCAGAAGAAGCAAAAGAACCCAGATGGCCACAAACCAAAGGAAAAGGCCCCATTCAGCTTATATGCGCGCATCGCTGCCTATGTCTCCATAGCCGTACTGTTTTGGTCGCTATCCTTGTCACCACCCGACCAGCAAACACCACAATCGGACAAGGCAGAGCAAGCGTTCTCATTCAGCATACAATCAAACAGCATTCGGTCCGAACAAGAGAGTACCATCCCCTCTCAGAACGAGTCAACAGCTGAGGTCCACGATGAGGCAATCCATAACGAGACGCTTGGGTTCCAAGAAATATTTGTCATCAATCTGCCAGAGCGGACAGACAAGCGCGACGCTCTGTCACTCGTCTCTGCCTTGACTGACATTAAACTCACATGGACGAGTGCAATACGCGGATCTAACGTGCCAGACAAGGCCTTGCCGTTAGGCATAGACAGGAAAGGTTGGCGAGATGGTGGGATCGGGTCCTGGCGTAGCCAAATGAACGTGATACGAACGTAGGTATCGGCACCCACAATGCTGTGACAAGGCTTACTGACCACATCGGGGGTAAAGTATGGTCGAGCAGAACGTAGCAAGCGCCCTCATCCTGGAGGATGATGCCGACTGGGATGTTCGTTTGAAAGAACAACTCGAGTCAATCGCTCAAGGGACGCGGGTACTGCTTGAAAGAGCCCACACAGAAGATGACTTCGTGTCAAAGCTCAGCCCCAAAACCAGGAAGTGGGACAATATCGACTCACCTTACGGAGACGGCTGGGACATTCTATGGCTGGGCCATTGCGGCGAGACCTTCCCAGAGCGGATCCCAGGCCACCACGAGATCTACAACCTGTCATCAGCACGATACACATACTACGCGCTGCAGGACGACGAAACCCTTCCGAGCGATCCCAAGGACATCACGGAGACCTGGATCGGTCTCGAGCACAAGAGCGACAAGTACCAAGGCACGCGTTGGGTGCACTTCAGCGGTGGTCCGACTTGCAGCCAGGCATACGCGCTTTCGCAATCCGGCGCGAGGAAAGTATTGCATGCACTGAGTGTCGGTGGCACTCTGATTGAGCAGCTGGACAACGCTATGAGCCATCTCTGCCGTGATCACACGCCATGGGATAACCCTGACGATGTCGATGGCCCGCCTGGTTATCCGGGTGCCAACATGCGGTGCTTGAGTGTTAACCCGCCTCTCTTCTCCCAGCACAAGCCGCGCGGGCGGAAGGCAGCGGGCTCTGATATTGAGACCATGGAGGATGGTGAGGCGATTAGGGAGGTGGGAGAGTCGCCGAACTTGGTGTGGAGTGCTCGATTGAATGTACAGAATTTGATGAACGGGAAGCCCATGGAGGATCAGTTCGCCAGGCCCAGGGAAGACACGGCTTAAACAAAATTGAGGCATGCGAAATTCGAGAAATCTGGAAACCTAGAGGTGATGGATGAAACCAAAGCGATCATTTTCTACTAGTATTGATGAAATGCATGTATCTCATCTGAATGTCTGAGTGAAGGGGAAGTCTCAACACACTTGATACGATCTTGTTTTGTTTCTACGAGTCAATGGCAAAGGAAGCCTCTCCAGAAAACCCACAGATCATATACGAGGTCCATGCGGAACATTGAGAGTCTATCCCAATGATACCTAACGGCGTGTTTGGATAAGTGTTGTTGCCGTTCCAGGTCTGATTTTTGCAGAGGACCTCTGGCCACAGATCTCCCATCCCCCCCTCCGGCACCCTTCTCCAGCTTCGAACTCAGTCTTCTGCACAAGCATCAAGTGAACTTCATAACGCCCATATGTTCCTGTATAGACTGAAATATTCTCATTAGACTGACATTGATCTTCCAAAAGCCAGCAGAAACATATTGTCCACGTGAACATGGCCCTCACCTAGTACGTGCTTCGTCGTTGCGACAACATCGCCATATGCAGCATGCCAGGACTGAAAGCAAAAGCGTGGCCCCAACAGCGGCGCCGACGATTATGCCGATTTTTGCACCCTGGGAGAACTTTTCCCACTGGCTCCGGGCCGTGCCGATAATTTGAGTACCATTGGCGTGACAATCGCCGTCACGGCAGCCCATACCACCGTCCCTCGCCACAAGGTCTTCGTAGAACGCTGCTGGAATGTAATTGATCATTTTGGCCGCACTGGTCTCATTTCACGTTGAGCTTCAAACTGTCCATGGATTAGCGTTTTGTTAAAAAACCGAATGTGACAAGAGAGGCCTACACGCACCAAATCTGATAATAGCGAGGTGCCTTGGGAGCCACGTCGAACTTGGGTTCTCTAAGGAGAGGACAGCCAACGGAAAAGCCGGAACGACTATTGGAAGGATGCAGCGGTGAGATACAGTCATCAAAGTTTTTCACCTCACGCGAGAGGGAAGAGACACTGGTCTTCTCTCGGTCTGGTATCATACACTGCAATGTGTTCAATATAACCGACGACGGTGCGTCGCACAAGGCAAACAAGGTGGCTCGACTCCATTGACCATGTGATGTTGGGGGTCACCAGCCAAGGCTTAATCAGCCTTCGTCTCGGCTGTCACATCGTCTTGCGCAATGGCTGTACGCAAGTCCGGCATGTTGTTTGATAAGTTAGGGTCTGCACATTCAGCCCACCCCCTAATTCGGCCCACTAAAACGGTCCTCCTCGCCACACCACCCCTTTAATTAAAGTCATTCTAAATCATCATTACTATCCATAATAATGCATTCCTTTGTATTTATAATATCTTTAAAAGTATTTATTTTTGCTAAGTTATCTTTAATTATATTAATATTAATTTATGCCTTATATATATATTTAATTTTAATAAATATAAAGTTTAAGCTTATTTTAACCTTTTTTTTTAAGGTATTATAGCTATTAATTTATCTTTAAAAACTTAATTTTTTTATAAAAGCATTATTAATTATTAATTTTTCTTATTATATCCTTTTTAAACCTTTTTAAAGAATAATTATTAAGTTATTATTGGTGGGTGCAGGGAATTACGTAAGAAATGGTATTGCATTGAATTCCGGCTGGCTATAAAAAGCTAGCTTTTACGCTTATTCTAAATATTTTTTTAAGAAATTAACTCTTCTCTTTTTTTATATATTTAGTATTTTAATTAAGCTTTTCTTATTTTTAAGAATTTTTAAAATATTTATCTTTTCTTTTTCTTTAATTCCCTTTTATTTTTATCTTTTCTTTTTATTACATTAAAGCTTTTCTTTAAATTATCCTTAAAAGGGTTTAATAAAACTTATTTCTTATTATTTAAGTAGCTTATTTTTATTAATAATTTAGCTTAAGCTAATTTTAATTTTATATATTTTTAATTAATAATAAGAAAAATAAAAAGTTAATTATAAATTAATTATTTATTAATTTTATTTTTTCTTTTATTTTTATATTAAATATTGCTAAATTATTTTATATATTAGCTTAAAGCTTTAATTAAAGCTTGCATTTATCTTTAACTTATTATAAAAAAAAGTTAAATATAATTAAACTTATAATAATATTATAAGTATTTTAAAATTATTTTTTAATTTTAAAATACCTTTTATACTTTTAATATTTAAATAAAATATTACCTTAATTATATATTAATATATTATTAAATTTTAAATTTATTTTAAGTTTTTTATTAAAGATTATACTTAAAATATAGTAATAATATAAACTTAAAATTAAAATAATAAATTTAAACTTTATAAATATTACTTAATATTAATTAAAGATACTTTAAATTCTTAATTAATATTTATTATTATTATTGCAACCTTAAGCTTAAAATAAAGAGAGTTATAATATAAAATTAAAATACTTACTTTGCTTATTTATAAATTTAATAAATAGCATTATATTATATATTTTTATATTAATTAAATTATATAAAAAACTTAAACTTAAAGTATAACTTTACTTAAGCTTTAATTAAACTTAAATTTAATTTATTAAGAGTTTAATATAATATTAATAAATAAGGTATTAAATATAAATTTAAAAGACTTTTTTTATTATAACTTTATAATTTTTATTTCTTAATAAAATATTCTTTTATTAAATTTATTTTATTTATTATATTTATTAATACCTTTATTCTTTAAATTTTAATTTAAATATTTTATAATAATATTAAAGATAAATTTTTTAAAAGTAATTATTTTAATTAAAGATATTATTACTTTTAAGTTTTTTTATTTTATTATTATTTTAATAAAAATTATTATAATATATATATTATATTCTTAAGCTTAAAGTTTTTTTAAATTTATTTTTATTTTAAAAGTACCTTAAAATCTTAAAAATTATTTATCCTCTTTTATTTAACGCTAAAAAAGAAATCTTAAGAAACTTATTAAAAAAAAAGAAAGATTTAATTTTACTTATTATTAATTAAAGCATTAGCCTTGCTTTAATTAAATTTTATAATTTATTATTAATAATAAGTTAAATACTTAAATTAATATTTTAAAAGTTTTACTTTTTATTAATATAATAATTTTACTATAAATAACTTTATTTATAATTTATAATTTAAATACTTTAAATTTTAATAAAATTAATATTATTAAGGTTTTAAATAACTTTAAAATTATTATTTATTAATTCTTTTATTTAAATAATTAAATCTTAAAATTACTTAAATAATGCTATATTATTTTAAACTTAATAAGAATAATTAAAAGCATTATTATTAAATAATTTATTTAAAAAGATTAAAAGGAAAAGCTTTTTACTTTTTATAAATTTAATAATTAAATTTATTATATAAATTTAATTATAATCATTAAAGATATTATTTATAATAATTCTTATAATAATTTAAAAGCATAAAAAAGGAAAATTATAAAATATAATTAAAAATTTAATAATATAAATAATATTTTTCTTATTATAATTTAACTCTTTTATAAAATGCTTTTATTATATTTAAAGAAATAATTAATAAGAAAAAGAATTATTTATAAGTTAATAAGGAATATTTTTTAGCTAAACTTTAAATATATCTTATTAAAAGTTATTAATTAAAAATTTAAATATTTTAAATAAAATAAGTATTTACTTATATAAAATAATTTTAATTAAAATTTACTTATTTAAAAAAATTAAATTTTCTTTAAAAAAGTTAAAATAATTTTAATTCTTTAAATTATCTTTAAAATAAAAACTTATAAGCTTAATAATTTTTATTTAAATTTAATTATATTAATATTATTAAAAATATAATTAAAATTTATAAAATATAAATAAATTTATTAAAAAGTTTATAAAGTTAAAACTTAATTTAATTAAGTTTAAAAATAAATTTAAATTATTTTAATAAAATATTAAAGCTTTTTTTTATAATAAATAATAAAGTAATTTTAAAATAATTAAGTTAAAAATTATAAATTTTATTTAATAATTTTTAATAAAACTTAATTAAAATAATTTTAATAATAATAAGGTATAAATTATAATTTTAATATTTTTTTTTAAAAAAAAATAAATTATTTAAAGTTTATTATAATTATACTTTTTAAAATTATAATATATATTAATGCAATAAGCTTAAGTAACTTTCCTTAAATAGCTTATTAATAGCTTTTAAGCTAAAAAAGTTATTAATATTCTTTAGCTTACTTAAAAATACTTAAGTTAACTTTTTAAAGTATTTAAATTTTACTTATATTTAATTATATTATAATTAAAATAGCTATAATTTAAAAAAATATATTTATAATTAATTAAAGTTTTTATTTAAGAAAAAAAGGTTTAATTTACTTTATATAATTAAATATTATAAGCTTATTAAGATAAATTTTTTATTTAAAAGAAAGGCCTTATTAAAAGCTTTAAAAGTAATTTAAAAGCTTAATAATTAAAAGAAAGTTAATTTAATTTTAATATTTATAAATTTTATAAATTATATAATTTATATTAAAAAAAAGCTTATAATTATAAATATAATAAGCTTTTTTAAATAAATATTATTATAATTAAAAGAAAATATATAATTAAAAATATTAAAAATTAAAATAAAGTTATAAAAATTATAAAAATTAATTATATTTAATTTAAAAATTTTAAAAAAGTAAAAAATAATTAATTTTAAATTATTAATAATAAATTATAATTAAAAAATAAAAAGAAAGTAAGGAAAAGGAAAAACTTATTTATTAATTAAAATTAAACTTAAAAAGAAAATGCTAAGTTTTTTATAATAAAAGTAAGCTTAATAAGTATAATAAACTTAAAATTAAAAAAGCATATTTAATAATTTTTATTATTTTAAAAAAAAATAGCTTAAGTAATTTTAATTATAATTATTAAAATAAATATTATAAATATTTTAATGCTTAATAATATTAATTTAACTTTAATTAAGTACTTATTAATAATATAA